CGGGGGGGCCCGGCCCGCCCCCCCCCCCCCCCCGCCCCCGCCCCCGCCCCCCCCCCCCCCCCCCCCCCCCCCCCCCCCCCCCCCCCCCCCCCCCCCCCCCCCCCCCCCCCCCCCCCCGCCTGTCATACCATGCGGTACGTCCCGACATCTGTCTCCTTGACATCACCCGTCTTTTGCCAGTCGTTCTGTCCGATGATCTCGACCCAGTAGCCGTCAGGGTCCAGGGCAAAGGCAATGTTCCTCATTCTGCCGTCAGTGAGCTTCTTCTGGAATTTGTAGCCCGCATCCTCGATGCGCTGGCAGGCGGCCTGAATGTTGTCGACGCTGATGCACGTGTGGCCGAACCCACGGTGAGGCTCCTTGTTGCCATTGTTGACCTGGAAGTTGTCGTCGTTCTCGGTGCCGTAGTTGTGCGTGAGCTCGATGACGCCCTCGCGATCCATGGGCGAAGCACCATGCGAGCGCGCAGTAGGGCCGTCGTAGGCGAGGAAGTACAGGTCAAACTTGTTGTCGGGGAACTCGAGCTTTTTGATGACGGACATGCCCAGGAGCTCGTAGAATTTGACTGCGACAGGTCAGATCTGCAGCTAGCGAGCCACGGGCAGGCTCATGGAGGGTGGTTATCAAGGTGCGCATACCCGACGCCTTGGGATCCTTGACGCGGATCCTATGTGGGTTAGCTCGACCATTCCTGGGCAATGGACCTGGCTACAAACATGGTGTGGTTGAACTTGTAATTGTTGGTGTTTGTTTCCGCCATGGTGGCTAGACGTTGGACCTGCTGCCCTGCATCGCGTGAGCCTTGTTCTCACGGCTGCTGCGTGTATCACGTACTCGTAAAGAATTGGTTCGTTTGCTTGGGAGATGAGAGAAATCCTTGTACAGCTTGCAATCTTCTCACGGCTTGTCGGAGACTCATTGATTTGATAGTGTGTTGAGGTTCACTTTACTGACGCGCGCGGAGGTTTGAAGCATCATCTCGTTTACGTCAACGGGTGCCCCGCTCGCTCCCCGCTGGACTCACGGAGAGTCGGAGGTTGAAGAGTAGGACTCTGTGAAGGAAAATGAGCGTAGGCTGATTGTCCAAGGTATTCCTCACGAGTCATCACAGCCCGGCCTCAGTGCCAATTGCTTGCTCAAGTCAGCACTGAGGTGAGACCACGCATGATGAAGCGTCTATACGTAGTTGAGCATGAATGCCCAGGTTTGATTGAGTCAGGGTATCGACATTGAAAGCAACGACATGGACCTCCTCAGCTCCGGGCCCGCAATCCCACGCTATCATGAGTGGATATGGCCGCTCTTGGCGTTTGGTAGTCGACTGCCCACTGGGAATCAACACCAGCATTCGCTCCTCTTACCAAACGAGACAACGCTGTCTCTGCGCCGGGCTCAATTGGGTGCCCTTTGTCTGGGGCACCACTGGCAGTGCTGTGCAACCCTCCATCTCATATGTTTGAAAGCGCCCATTATGTCAAGAGGCAAATGGCATCACCCAAAGGGATTGAGGAGAAACGTTCGTCAATGGCCGCAGACGGTCAAGCACAGGCTTGGCTTCGCTCTCTGATTGGCCAGGCGATCCTCCCCACCAGCCGGACGCACACACCACGGGCAGCTGACACCGCCGTACCTGCTAATTGCGGCGGCCGGCCTCCAGTCTCGCTGGCGGGCGGGCGTCTTCAGTTCACCGGTGTGGCCAGACCAGCCCAGCCCAGCCCAGGCTGGACCCGCTTCGGGCTGGTCCAGACACCGAAGCCACTCGACTTTTCCCATCTTTTCTCTCGCCTTCTCCTCCTCTGACTCTTTTTGACCACCACCACCACTACAACTTCGTCAGTCAACAAGTCAGCCAACTTCAACGCCAGCTCCAAGCTCGCCAAAGCTCTTCCGTCCATCGCACGACACTCGAAGCTCTTCGCTCTCCCGAAATCAACACTCAGTTTCCCCGAAACGCACCCCCATCCAACCATCAGCAATGGCGCCCATGATGAATTACAGTAGTAATTTAAGTAATTACGGCGAGGACGCTGTCCAAAAGGTCAACGTCCTTGCCTCCGCCTACATTGTCGACGCCTCCCTCGCCTCGCTCAAGGGACTCCACTACTGCACTACCGGGGCCGCAGGGGCCGAGTGGTATTCCTGAGGTCCCTTCCTCAGGACTGCCCTCCCCCCCAACAAGCCCCCCCCTCGCCGCATTAACCTCGTCCAACGACGTCGCCCTGTTCCCCAAGAAGAAGAGGAGCAGCGGCGCCGCGCGCACCCGGCGAGGGGGGGCAGCACTGTCGATTAGGGAAGACTGTGAGAGATTCTTCTGCGAGTCCATGAAGACGGCCTTTCTTGGTGAGAGGGAGACGTCCAAGTATGGCTCCGGCTACTCGAGTGCTTATAACAACAACAACAACAACAACAACAACAACAACAACAACAACAACAACACAACTTCACTATTGCCGACGCCGCCGCCCGACGACACCTTCCCGGCCTCCTTCCGGCGCGGGAGCGATGTCGTCGCCCGTCCGAGCACCAACAAGGGCTTCCACGTTGATGCTTGGATGGAGGTCTGGGACTTTGCTGGCGGCGCCAGCTTCCGCGCCTTCGTCGCCGACAACGGCCACGAACGGACACTGTTCGTCTTCTTTGACTCCGAAGGCGCCATGGCCAGGGATCTGAAGAAGGGGTGAGTCTCCTAGATGAATTGCCCCCCGAAACAACTGCTAACGCTCGACAGATTGATGGCTCTCATTGAGCTGAGTGACGGCCCTCTTGACTGCTCCCACATCGTCACTTGTCTTGACCGCCGCATTCCTGGCCACGACGCCGTCGAGCTGACCAAGAGCCTGCAGTGGGTTGGCTTCGAGATGACCACGCTCGACCACTGGGCAGGCGACTTCGACGTGACCAGCCGCGACTGGCTGTTTATGGGTATGGAAGTTTAGGATGTGGACGAGAGGAAGTTTTTAACAATTTTGCGTATGCTGGCGTCCCGACGGATCTGTACTGCTATACCATGCATGGTCGTACGGAGTCTGATATTGCGTTCTTCCTATTCTTTCTATCCGGCGCCTTTGAAAATGTCTCTCTAGTGCGTTTTGCAGCTTTCACTTCCCATCTATAGTATCTTCAATCAACTCCAATCAACCAATTGTTTTCCACTATTCCTCCTCTTTGCTCCCGTCATAAGTCGCCCTCGTATTGTCTGACCACCAGGCCTTTTTCTTGGAGATAGTCCTTGACCTGGCTCACTGTGTACTCTCCTCGGTGGAACATGCCTGCGCCGAGTGCGGCGTCAGTTCTGGTCTTGTTGAAGACTTCCTCAAAGTGCGCAGGGACACCAGCGCCGCTCGATGCGATCACAGGGATCTCAATGGCACTCTTGACCTGCTCAATGAGCTCGAGGTCAAACCCACTGTTGGTCCCGTCCTTGTCGATGCAGTTCAGCAGGATCTCGCCGGCCCCCATGGCCTCGACGGCTTGCACGAGCTCGACGACGTCCATGTCCCGCGTCTCACGGCCGCCCTTGATCGTGCAGGCGTACCAGCAGTACTTCTCGCCCTTGGGTCCCGGGAACTTGGTCTCGATGGTGGCGTGACGGGTTGCGTCGCGGCCGTTGGGCACGTAGACCCTCTTGGGGTCGATGCTGACTACGACAGCCTGGTTGCCGTAGGCGCGCGAGATCTGCTCAATGGCCGTGTTCCCAAAGAGCTTCTTGCCGAGGGAGTAGTATTCCTCCGCAGCCAATACGGCGTCAGATCCGATCGAGACCTTGTCCGCGCCAGACTTGAAGTACATTGTCGCAATCTCGAGGGCGGACACCTTGGTGCCGTCGGTATCGACCGTATCGCGGATACCGCCGCCAACGGTTAGAGGCACAAACACCGTCTTGGATGTCTGGCGCAGGATCTCGAGCATGGGCAGATCAGCAAGGGGACAGTCCCTAAACGAGGTGATGTTGAGAAACGTCACTTCATCTGCGCCAGCCTCGTAGTACTTCTTGGCCATCTCGACTGGCTTTCCCAGGTTGCGGACGTCGCGCTCGTCGCCCTTTTCACGAACATCGTACTGGTCGCCTTTTGTGACGACGAGGTCGCCCTGGTCGTTGGTGCGCACGTCCAGGCACGCGATGACCCGGCGCGTCAGGCCGTCCTTGAACTCGCTTGTGGGTGCAGGCGCTGCGGCTCCGAGGTTCTTGGCCCCCTCGCCCGTCAAGAATGCGCGAATAGTACGGAGGCCCGCCACGCCCGACTTCTCCGGGTGGAATTGCGTCGCATAGATGTTTCCCTTTGCGACAGCACCGACAAAGGTCTCTCCTCCATAGGTGCCGGTGGCCACGGACCAACCTTGGCTCTCAAGCTCGCCCTTCTTGTACGCCTCGCGATAGGTGTGGACGTAGTAGTACTTGGAATCGGGGCGCAAGTCGTAGAGGCTGCCGCTGCCAGTGTTGGCACTGTTCCAGCCAATGTGAGGCACAGCCTTGTCGGTGGCATCGAATCTGCCGAGCGAGGATTTGATCACACCCAGACCAGGTACCTCGGGGTCCTCTGACGATCCTTCAAAAAGGGCTTGCAGACCAACGCAGATGCCCATGAATGGCTTGCCCGACTCAATGTGGGCTTTGATGGCAGGAAGGAAACCAGCTTGCGCGAGCTGGGACATGCAGTGACCGAAGTGACCGACGCCGGGGAGAATCAATTTCTGAACATGTCAGTCATACGCTCCAGTCCTGTCTTGTATGAAGGACACGTACCTCGGCCCTGGGCACATCTTCTGGCGTCTTGATCCAGTCCACCTCGTAGCCCAGCTTCTCAATGGCATTGACCAAGCTGCGGACGTTGCCGGCGACGTAGTCGAGCAAGTGAACGGTCGGCATCTTGTCGAATGCTCTGTGTTTGTTCGATTTGGGAAATCTGGCCTCCGTTCACCCAAGAGGACAAGATATACGCATCGCCAGTGAGTCAACAAGTCTGGTTCGCGCCGATCAAGGTTCACTGGAGAGTCCAGTCACTGGTGACTGGACTTCTTTCCATGGCGGGGCACTCGCTGTCGAAAGTCGTCAATGCCCCGCCTAATCCCTGTGTGTCTTCAATCTGCCGCCTCTGACCGCTTTGGGGCCTTCCGAAAGAGGACATGGACCTGATTCTCAGCTTTTCGATCCCGAGTCGCGTCATCCTCCCTGCTCACCGCGTCGTGGGTTTGGACAGTGCTTCCCCAATGTTGTCATCACTGTCACGTGTACGCTTTCGTCTCATGAGCAGCCAGAATGGATGATATCGCCATCGATCCGGCTCTCGTAGGCGTGGGAGACGACCCTTTGACCACCATCGACATCGAAGACGAAGAAGAGGACGAGTGGGAATATGAGTACTCTACAACCGAGGTCGAGACCTACTACCTCACTGTGGATCTCTCGTACCCCGAGTTCAAGGCCGCACCTCTCAAGGATACTTTTGCCAGCCGTGGCCGCCACAGAAAATGGGAGAAACCACCCAACGACCCCTCGAACACGCGTGCGCCAGGCGCTCACGCGCACCGAGCGAACGAGCACGACGACGATGACGAGGCGGATGTCGAGCAAGAAGACGAGCTCGATCCCGATATCGACCCTGAACTACAACACGCGGAGGACGACGTTACCAGGCAGACCGAGCAGGAGGGCCTAGACTCGGACCAGGCGGAGGAGATCCAAATCCTGGATCTCCATTCCAAGCGACCAATGTTCTCGTACCGGGGGAGAGTCTTTGAGGGACAGTGGTCCGAGATGATTGGCACAGACATGGTCTTTGCTCAGCACGATGGCTCGGCGGAATTGCCCACACTACGCCATCTGCCAGGGGACGTTGACCTCCTCGCGGCCAGCTCTTCGCGCATCACTACCAAGGAGAAGATGCTCGTGCCCAAGTCCGGTACCGTGGACACTCTTGCGCCCATCAAGAAGGAATGGAACATCAACATCCCCATAGGCCGGGGCAAGACAACAGAGCGCATCCAGCAGGCCAACTTTCTCGAGCGCATGATCGCCCTCAAGATCCAAAAGGGCCACACCGACCAGGTCACCGTGTACGCCAAGGACGGCGAGGGCAAGCAGTTTCGTGACGACCGCGATCCCGACTACCGCCCGCGGCGGAGGAAGCCGATTACGGACCCGGAGAACTACTACGTCGAGAGCGCCACGGGCCGCCTGAAGAAGAAGAGGAAGAAGACGACGACGGGGCGGCCGCCTGGCAGGCCGAGGTGGAAGCATACGGAGGGCAGTGCCAGAGCGGACTTGGCGGCGGCGCCTCCGTTGTCCACGCCCACGCCCCAACATTGGGAGGATCTGACCGGCGGTCAGCGTGATGCGGGAAGGGAGGGGGAGAGTGGTGAGGAGGAGGATGAAGACGAAGAGGACTTTGATCATGATACCCCAATGGCGAATGCCTGATGAATGGAAGTGCTTTTTATGCACCAGTGCTACGTTCGCGTGAATGTACGCCTTGACATTGGTTTGTCCGAACCATTCAGTGTAGCTTATACACGTTGCCTACCCTGTACGACATGGCACTGGATGTACACATAGACTGTACGGTAGGTCATGTGTGTGATCATTTCAAGAGTTGCAGGTCTTCCCTTTGTTACGGAGAGGCTATGACAAGATGCCGCGAATTGGTCCATATCTACGCCAGGTGGTTGTTTTCTCAATGGAGCGACGGAGGATCCCTCCAAGGCTACATTAAAGGTCTAGATTTCCAACCAATTCCCAGGGTCGAGAACACTTGCGGTCTGTTGAAGCAGCCCCTGGCACCACGAACCAAACATTGAAATCCCAGCAGAAACATCAGTGGCACGGTGGTCTGCCCTGTGCGTGATCTACAATGCGCGCACCTCTATAGGCATGATTCGAGAACGGTTTGGCAGTCCACCGGGGACGATCGATGCAACTTTGTTGCCCTGGATCAACTCTCCCAGGAACCAAAAGGTAAAGGCTCACAATGTGGCATAAGGCGGACAAACGCACACACCAATGAATGTGCTTTCATCACGTCTCGCCTGGATAAATTCAGCCCAAGGCCAAAGTGTTGAGTCGCTTCACTGGTGAAGGTGGTGCGCGGGGTCAGAACAGGCAGGGGTTTCTCCAGGGCCCAAAAATCGCGCCGGTCCAGAGCGACTTGGCACTGTCTGCAGCAGGGTCCTTCCTAAAGCGATTCTATCCCCCACCAACCGCCGATAACGGCCCAGGGCGGCGTCGTCCATGTCGCATGGCAGCGTATGGCAATGCGCACGAATCAAGAAAAAGTAGATCTCTAGTCCGTGGCCACGTAATGCTTCGAGGTAGCCAACGACTCGCAACGCGTGCAGCACGAGGGGCGAGGACGGACAGACTGACTAGAGCCACGAGCCACGAGGCGCCAAGCTTCCCATTGGGGCTTTCGGGGTGCCTGTCAATTCGTCGCCTTTGGGGGTCTGGCGGTCGGTGCTTCTCTCCACTGTTCCCCTGCATCAGGCCTCATGTGCTTATCGTTGGCTCTGATAGGTCCATTGCGCTGAATGGCCCCGCGGCCTTAACACACAGTGTGTCCCCACATGGTGATATGCAGTGCCAGAGCCGCACCAGCAACTCGAAGCCTCTCCAACACGCCGGCGGCGTTTTGGTCGTCCTTGTGTCTCTCCGCGCATCCTCCACCGCCTCAAGTCGGCTGCCTACCCCCGGGTCTCGAGTTCGATACTCCCTGTTCCTTATTCTTGTTTCTCTTCTTCTGCATCTGCTCCCTATCGTTACACCGCACGGTCCGGGGATCTTTTCAAACGTCCATGTAGACATTATGCGCTCATAGCCGGACTATTGCACCCGCCCAAGCCACTCTCGCATCCTCCTCCTTCGCGAAAAGTCGTTCCTGCTTTGCGCCTGCGGGATCTTTTAAGTCGGCAAAAACGGCTGCTCGATCTGTATTCGGATCTCACTCCTCCTCGAAGACCTTGAAGGCTGTCGTCAGCTGTGACGAATCCATCTATCCCCGCGACGCTGCCAACGGCCGCGTCGGGTCTCGGCCAAAGTCTAAATCGTCACAAAACGTCCGAAGGTCCCAGACACCTCTGATTTGCCCATCTCGCCTTTGGGAAAGCCTCGATCTGCGGTCTCCTTCACAGCGAAAAGGCACACGATGGCGGTGATCTGGCTTCGGCGGCTGATCATCCTCACCACGCTCGTGATACTGGCCTCATTCACTGCATGGGCCGTACCGCGATACCTCGACCCCACCGAACCGAATGCTGAGAAGCGCGCACGCGACCGTCGCTGGGTGTCCAGCAGCCATTACTTCCTCGACCGGCAGGCCTGTCGATGGATCTCGCTGTGCGGGCTGCACCATCTTCGCAAGGACCCCCCAGCGCTGGACGGCCTGGTCGACGGCTTCTGGGAGGAGAACGACAAGATCCGCGGCGAGCTGAGGAAGAGGGCGACGAACTGGGAAGATGACGAGCCCCCGAGGGCGGACAAGAAGCGGGACAGGCACGAGAGAAGACGAGTGCTCAAGGAGATCCCGGACTATGTCAACCAGTATGCGCCGCTGGTACATCTCTACTCGGGCGAGGAGTTCTGGCCGTCCGACATCAAGGAGCACGTCCAGCACATGACCGTCTACGTCGACGGCAAGCCTCTCAATAAAACCGAAACACCATGGTCCCTGTCCAACCTGCATCAGCTGAACAAGCTCGGCGGGTCTGTTGTGCTGCGTAGCAACGATGACGTCGAGCAGCGACCGGACTGGCTCCACAGCCACGACAGTATCCCTACGCCGTTTGAGGAAGATCCGAGCGTGGGCATCGCGCCACCTCACAAGCACAAGAGCGGTGATTTGCCCATTGATCGCGAGTCCACGACATGGTACGACGTCGACAAGGCGCATCCGCTCCACCGCATCTCCGACCCGCGCAAGACACCCCGTTCGCTTCCTTCGGATCTCCAGCAGGCCAAGCGCTTGACCACGCGCGGTCACAAGCCCGACGCTGATGGCTACTCGGCTGCTCCCGCCGTGCTCGTCGTCGTCGACAAGGGTTCCGGCATTGTCGACGCATTCTGGTTCTTCTTCTACTCGTACAACCTCGGCCAGACCGTGCTAGGCGTCCGGTTCGGGAACCACGTCGGTGACTGGGAGCACTGCATGGTCCGTTTCGAAAACGGCGTGCCCAGGGGCATGTACTTTTCCGAGCACGAGGGCGGTCAAGCCTACGCGTGGGAGGCTATGGAAAAGTCCAGCGATGGCCGACCCATCATCTACTCGGCCGTCGGCTCGCATGCCATGTACCCGCTGCCCGGTCCTCATCCGTACATTATCCCCTTTGATCTGCTGCGGGATATCACAGATAAAGGTCCCCTGTGGGACCCAGCGCTGAACAAATACGCTTACCATTATGATTACACCCGCGAATCGTTCGACAGAAACCCGGACACTACACCCGAGATTCCGCCTGAAGACACCCTCTTGAATCAACAGACCGCCTTCCCTCATCACGAGTCAAGGTCTCTCGTGCCCGCCGCCGAGAACCCTTCTGCGCCGACATCCTGGTTCCACTTCTCCGGTCGTTGGGGCGACGAGGTCTACTCGCTGGCCGACATCCGGCAGTGGCGGTTGTTCGGACAGTACCATTACGTGACGGGGCCTGACGGGCCCAAGTTCAAGTCGTTGAACCGATCGACGCTCTGCCAGTTGGAGAAGTGTCGGATCGCGTACAAGCTTGACCCCAAGGGAACATGGTACTGAGGGACATTTTTCCTTTTTCCAATGGGAAAGTAGAGTTATGGCATTTCCGATACACTTGGCTTGGAACGGAGTGAGGCTGGCTTTTTTTTTGGGAACTTGTTTGCTTTAGACGACGTGCGGCGGTGGTCGATACCCCCTTTACAAACTATGACCAGCGCTATGAATTTATGTCATCAACGATTACATTCAAGATATGAACGTGTGCGTGAAGTCTGCGTGCGAGGTGAGAAGATTCCATTGTACAGAAGTAGAGATCACTACAGTACACGCAACCTCAATCTGCTATCTACTAATAAATTGCCCAACCAAGGATTGCCAACAAACTCTCATACGTATGTGTGGTGGTATATCGTAACAAACGCCATGCCTTCTTCGATTCGCAGCCAACAGAAAGAAATCATGTACAGCAGTGTAAGCAATTCGAGATATCATCACGCATCCTCGTGGATGCGAAAACCGGCAGCCGTATCCTCCGGCCACGCGCGATTCGTGCTGGGATATTCTGATGGCTGACTGCTCGCAACACTCCGCCTGTCCTCGGCAGGGTCGACATTCTCGCCATCCGACATTTGCTGCTCCTGATCTTCGATTCCCGGCCAGGGTTCATCTTCTGGTAGGTGTGTCCGCCGCTGTGGCTGGGCATGGGGAACAAGAGCACTGAGATTTGCCGAGGCGATGTTATCCTCCTCGTCCTCCTCATCGTCGTCGTCGTCTTCGCCAAACGACATCTCCGAATCGCTCTCGTAGATCTCAATATCGTATAATTCGTCGTAGGCCATATCGGCCATGTACTCGGCAGGAATAGGCGCGGCACTTCCTGAACGGATGGTACGCGCCTCTTGTAAGGGCGCATTGCTGTGTGGTGTCGCGTAGGCGAAGGGGGTAGTGCCTCGGACATACTGTCGCTCATGTGACATGGGCATGGGGCTCGGCGACGTGGTGAACCGTGGTGTGAAGCGTGCATAGCTGGGTGACCTTGCCCGACGTCTCTTACTGACAGCGAATTGTGGAGCTCCCCTGACGCTGGGCGATGCTCGTCTGCTGTGGCCACCTGACATGACCCTTCGACGTGCCGTTGTCATGGGCGAGGGGTGGCCACCGACACCTTCCAGCGGAACCGAGGTAGTCCGGATGTAAGAGGGCCGTCTGTTGCGACGGATGAGAGATTGGCCGGCAGACGATGCGCCAACGATGGGGCTGCTAGACCGCCACGATGTCATGTTCTGGACAGCAGGCGATCCGGTAGAAGCACGGAGGCCACTGCGCTCGTTGCGCATGCTCATGGAAGTCTGTGTGCCTGGCAACTCGTCCAGGGTGTCGGTCCAAGCCCAGCAGTCTTCGAGCGCATCGGCTTCGGGCACCTCCTGTGAGGATTCGTTCTCCGTGTAGACACGAGTGAGCTCGCGCACTCTTTGCCAGGTCCAGCCCGTCTCGTACGACTGAAAGTCTTGAAGATAGGCGTCAGGATGAGTGATGAAAAGACGCGGCTCGGAAGCGCGCATCATCACAGAGTTGAGAAATTGCACGTCCCAAACAGTTGGGTTGAGCATCTCCGCCGGCGTGAGGAACCTGAGTCGAGAATCTTTGTGAACTTTGCGCAGGGGAATCCAAGATGACTGTAGACCCAGGAACTGCGAATGTGGAGGGCCGGGGGCTTCAGGGGCGGAGGGAAGCCCCATCTCTTTCCAAGTGTCACCAAATACCGAACGCATGGCGGTTTGGACACTGCGTGCGTCTCCGCCTTTAACAGAGACCGTCCTAATCAGACCACGACTCCGCAACCTTCGGTCAATGATGCTCTTATCACCACAGGCCTTGGGTAGGAGCCATTCGGTATCATGGTCTTTCGGCGCCCAGTCACCTGGAAACGGGGACATTGAGCGTCTCGAATTCGCGCTGCAGGTCATGGGCATCTGCGTCCAGTCGTCAAGCCCATTTGCCTCCGATTTGAATTGGTGAGGTTCCAGCCACAGCCTCTTAAGCGGAAATGGCAAGAAGACGACCTCTACCTCCCAAGGATGGATAAATGTTGGCAGAGAGGATTGCAGCGACGTGACCTGCGCTTGTAAGGCCTGCAACTGGCTTTGGAAATCTTGTGAGTGGATTGGTCCGGCTGTTGAGAATGATGCTACACTAGCAGTGGCATCATCATTCTTCTCGGCCTGCCGGGCGGCATTGAGTTTTTCTGCCTCCTCCATTCGACTCTCCAGATCGGTGATCCGCAGGTCAGTGTGATCGTGTTTTTCCTGACAGTCGTCATGGGCAGGCGCCGAGAAGGACAGTGTCTCCAAACGATCCAAGCGCTGCTCATGGGCTCCAACAGTATCAGACAAATTTTGAAAGGTCTCCCGATCCACGCCTTGAGATGGTTGGGCACGGATCTCAGCTTGTGTATCCCCTCCGACCACGGTGGGATTGCTCATGGCATTCGTTGGGACCTGAGACGACTGCGAGAATCCTGGGAGAAACCGCGATGGTGAGCAATAGGGCAGCTCTTTAGGGATATCAAGTGTAGCGAGTCCCTTTCCGGCAAACGGACGAAGATATCTGGCCCTGACGGAGGAAGTAGTAGACGTGGCCTGGGAGGGGCAGATTGTGTGAGGAGGGACAACACTCTTGGGCATTGACGGTGCAAGCGAGGGTCCCGCATCGCCCCATGCCAACGTATCGGGGAGAGATCCAGGAGGGTTCGTGGCATCCTGTGGTCCATGGAGCTGCCCAAGGGGGGCTTGATCCGAGATGTTGCGAAACAATCCTAGGCCGTCGTCAAATATTGGAAAGTCCATCCGAGGATTGGCCACAGGAGGCGGCGGCGGCATTTGCAGTCCAAGGTCCACCATAGGGCTCAGAGGTTCGCGACCAGTCCTTGGGCGCTCATTTTCCTGTCCTGGTCCATATGCCTCTACGGGGGGAGGGATATCTCGAGGTCCATCATCATGGAAGCAGGCATGGTGATTGCACATACACCACCCTGCGCCGCCAATATCCGGGCTTATCTCTGCGGACCTTACCCAGAATCGTCGGCAACCACACTTGGCGCCATTAGCACCAGGACTCAGGTCGACATAGTTGCACGCTCCTCCGGGAAGGCCAACCGTGCCTGGGCGGGGCAGTGCGGCGACGGGGTCATTGTATATGTCGCCAAAGGGCGCGCCATAGTTTTCATAGTCGTAAGCGTTCGTCGCCATCGGGTATCATGGCCTCGTGGGCTCCGTCGTCGCTGGGCGCGCGCTTCGAGGACGAGCAGCCAGCTCGGACCAACGCGGTCGTGCAATGAGGTTGTCGGTATCTAGAACATTGCACTAAGCGCAAAGTCAGTCCATATGATGGCAAGCGACCCGACGGGTCAATGTGTTGGCGCGGATGACGACTGACCAAGGAAACATTTCGCGATCAGTCGAGAGGCCTGGACAATTGCGCTTTACTGTTGGGCTCAATATGCCTGCCCGCTGCCCACGACGAGCAAAGAAAATGAATACAATTGATGAAATGAGAACGAGGGGCAACCCGATATATATAGGTGGGAAAGCACTCAAGGCAGCGCAAGGCAGACGAACGCAGATGCAGGACGAGGATCAGTTGCCAGACCCAAAGTCGTCGACGGCGATTGCTGGTCGGGACTTGTCGTGGAGGCGGGCGGGCGCCAGCGTCTTGTGGGTCTGCGACACGCCCCGACGCGCTGCGCCAGTCCAGGTCGGGCAATTCGGGGCCGCTGGTTTTGACCCCGGGCATGGCTGGAGGGCTGTTGCGTACGCGGGGACAACGACTCTTTCATGTCGTTGAGCGAATTATAAATGTTGGAATTGAATGGCCGGACAGAATACCTTGCCCCTTCGCCTTAGGAAGCGATTAATTCCAATCCTCCAGCGAGTTCGCAGTTCCAAGGCCACCCAGATGTGTAAGGCCCTGGATAAAGCAGCGCCCAGTTGGATCCACCTTTAAGTACCTTCGGGAGTATCCTCTCTGTAATTCGCGCGCATTTTGGTGTGATGAGGGGCTTGACGCGGCGCGCGTTCTCCTGACAGTACTTCTCGCTGATTGTCACCATTCACCAATAGGATCTACCTGCAAGCATTCCCCGTCTCTGAGTCAACCACAGCGGGCGGTGTGTCTTTGCCTCCAAGTCAATGTTCACTTGTCTATCACGCAAAGGTTCTTTCGTCTACGGCGAGGCTGCGTCAATTATTGGGTGGTAGCCGACATGCGCGCTGCCGGAGATCTTGACGATGACTCTAGAATCACGAATCACACGTGAGGCGAAATGATGATTCGACGGACTGTGTTGCGCGGTGGTGTGGAAGAGAAAGTAATGGCGGCTTTCGATCACACCAACATTGTGTATATTGTAACCTTTCAAATATGTCCTAAAGATAACGCGCTGCATATGCTCCCATGTCATGATATCGTACACTATGCGCACACTCCCAGTGCCATCAGACCTCTCCCCAACTCCCCATCGGCCCTGTTGGCGCGATCATGGATCCAGTCCCCAGAGAGCCGCCAATGTCCCAGTAATGACGCGAAGAGACGCTGCTCCTTCTCGCTGATCGCCGCGTGCTCTGGCTGGCACAGCTGCTGTGGTGGCGCATGCCGACAGGGCTGCTCGGTCCAGCGACGACCTTGAACGATCGCCGCTCGGCCGCCGTGCGCGGACGTGCAATCAATGGGTGATGCTGACGGACACGCGCGGCCTTGGCGGCCGCATCCTGCATGCTGGACGAGCTGTTGGTAGCAGCCTGAGGTGCCGCACTGCGTGAGGTGAAGCGGGACCGGATGTACTTGAAGACCAGTTTGATGTCAAGGTCACGCTCCCACTCTTCCTTTGTGAATGCGTCGCCCATTTTCACATCCTCTTCAGTCGTCGTGTCGTGACGCCCTGGGATGTTCAGAGCTCGAGTCGCTTGAGGTATTGTTGGTGCGAATTCGGGGGACTGGGGCCGTTCTGATGATGCATCACGGTGGCCTTCTGTGTCCAAAGCATTCCCGACTTCAGGTATCACAGGTAGGCCAGCGTATGGCAGGGGCATTTGCTGCATCCGCTGATACGTTGAGAAGGCTCCGGGATGATGGGACAATTGGTTAACCAGTAGCCCGAGCTCCCGCGAGACCCGCTCCAGCACTTGCGTCTGCCACGACTCACTTGACTCTGCGATCTGGCCGCTGAGTTGCGAGGCTCGCGGCGTGCTCGAGAGCTCCTCGCTTTCCGGTATGCCCTCGCCAAAGAGTATTGACAGCATGCGGTCATCGATACCAAGAATGTCCTTGATGACTCGTTGCGTGAATGCGGCGAGGAAGCCATCAGCGTGTTGGTCTGCCGCCACATCGTCGTCCTCATCATGCCAGGCCATGTTGTCAGAGTCATCGATGGGTTGCGAGGCTTTCGCGGCAGGCTGCGTCGCCCGCACATGTCGGAGAGCAGCCTGGGACTTCCGCCTTCGCCGGGTCTCTCGTTGGATCTCTTCCAGGAGAACCTGGCTATGCTCCAGGCGCCAGGCTTCGATGCGCTGCGTTTTCTCTGCCTCCCGCACCCGCTCGTCCTCCCAGTCAATATGTGGGTGCTCGAAACTCTCCCTTCGCCGGCGAGTCCGCTTTGGGTTGAACTGCTCGAACTGGTAGAGGTGGTCCTGGGCCTCTGCAGCAGACGCAAGATTGTTCAAGTTGAACGAGCCAAGCCCGTCGTGGCCGGGAAACACAGTTGCGTCTTGATAATTGCCTTGCTGTGAATGGGAGTGCCTTCCTGGCAGTGAGCGAAAGGAGGGGAGGTGGCTGTCGAGGCTGTCCAATTCCCCGTCCTCCTCACCCACTGCCTCGTCTACTGATGGAGCCGCTGACGGTGCATCGCTCTCCGACCTCGCAGCCGTGTGTAGACTGCCGAGATCGCTCTGCCTCGATCGTCCGGGGGTTTGTACACTCGCTGGTCGTGCTGCGCTGAATTCCGATTCTGTTGCTGTAGTCGCTGTTCCTGCATCTGTAGCCGGAGCAAAGAGTACCCAGCTGGTCTGCGACTCATCGAGACGATGCGGGTCCACCGATGGGCGGGCTTGGGGCACGCCAGTCTCGCGATCTTCCTGGCGAAACGCCCACTGCACAGCCTGGCGAGTCGGCTGATGGAACGCCATTTTAGATTTCTGGCGTTTTTTGAGCAGAAAGCGTTCCTCAGCTCAAAGGACGTGGTGTGGTGTATTAATGACGATGGCTTCAGGTTACGGTTATCGGGGAATGGTAGCGATCGACTGGGGTCTGCTGATAACGGCAGATGGCGATAAGATTCAGTGGACCGCCGTAGCCTTAGCGAGCCATCAAGTCCCCGCGTCGACGAATGCAGCAATGTTGAGGGAGATTAGTATCGGATGAAGGCTCGAGGAGTGTACGAGGAGTTTCCTCGCCGATACCCCTAATTTGTGACTTGATGCAAGGAGAAGGGGAAACAGGGAATTGACGAAATGGCGTCCCGACTCTGTTGGGGGGCTCGGGTGGCTACACCTGTGGCAGAGAGGCCCAGCTGACTCGAGTCCCTGATTTGGGCGTCATTCAGTCAACAGCATCGGGAGGAGGATCTGCGACTAGAGTGGGGGCGGTCGGCCAGGACAGCTGTCGTCCAGCGAAAGTAGTCGCGTGCGTTGTCACTCCTCAAACGCTGACGGAAGACTGGACTAATCAATAGCCGTCTGTCCAGTCCCGTCTATCCGACCAGCCTGATGTGTGGCGGTCGAGCCTCAATATATCCGCGCCTAATGTGCTTACTGGTAGAAAAAAGAGGAGCCGATACTGGATAGCAATACGGGCACGTTCTGCTTGCATTGTATGGATACTGGGACCAGCCTCAGGGACTGAGAGAGCGGACGTAGCGCTAGCTGCGCATCCCACTGTTTGCGCTTATGCTTTTGATAAGTCTAGCTAGGTAGTACTCGGTACTGAGGCCGACAGTTTACTCAGTACCTTGCGGCCTATCTGCTACCTTGCTCCGTCTTATGCTTCAACGACACGAGCCTGAAAGCACATCAACGCAATTGCGAGATCTACAACGTACGCAAAGGGAAGCATAATGCACCATAAGGTAGTGTCTAGCTGCCACGTTGATGGAAGGGGATGTGCCTGGCCCTAACGACTGCTCTGCGCGTTCGCTGCGTGGGTTTCTTGCTCTGGGAACTTTAATATCCCATCCTCATCCGCAATGAGCCAGCGAACTAGATGTAATGGGGTTGGGTATGGTACAAGTGTATGGGGATAGCCTGCGGTAGCGGACTGAGCATAGTGCCAGAGGTTCATCATTCGATGCGTGAGGGGGTTCATTACACATTCCGCACTTCCTGTCTATCACCCGCCTCAGCATGCACTGTGAAAGATCACTGCCTTTGATACCATCCGGAGACAAAAGCCTCAAATCAATTGTCGTTACACCCCGTAGAGTCTATGTAACATTCCTCATTGACGCCATAACCCATGTACCAATTCCATTTAAGCCTCCTGCTGGAAAGCCTCGGGGAAGCGGCGCATGTTCTGCCTCAGGTTACCGTGGTTGCTGAGGAACTGGACGTAGGCACCGTCGACCTTGACACGGCCGGCGGCCTTGCGCTCCAGGTACTCGTCACGGCGAAGAGGGGTGAAGCCCCAGTTCTTGGAGACGATGATCTTTTGGCGACCAGGGAACTTGTACTGCGAACGGCGGAAGGCCTCGAGAGCAAGGTGACGGTCTGTGGAAAGTTAGTATGACGTAGGCATCGCAAAATTTGCCAGGAGAAACATACTGGAGTCACGGGTGCGGACGCTCATGAGGATCTGGCCAATGTTGACACGGGCGACAGTGCCGTTGGGCTTGCCAAAGGCACCACGCATACCGGTCTGCAATCTATCGGCACCGGCGCAAGACAACATCTTGTTGATACGGACGACGTGGAAGGGGTGAGCGCGGACACGGAGGTGGAACGACTCCTTGCCACCGTTCTTGACGAGGAACTTGTTGGCGCAAATGCGGGCAGCCTCGAGGGCCTCAGAGCTCAGCTGCTCATACTCGTTGGAGACCAGGTGGACGCAGAGGGGGAAGTCGTCGACGTTGGCACGCTTGCGACCGAGATCGAAGATGCGGATCTTGGGGTCGGGGACACCACGGTTGAAGCGCGACTTGGGGTACGGCTGGTGATGATGTTAGATGCTTCTGTTCCAACAATTCGTGACGCATGTCGACCAGAGAAGCCCCCGGGTGCGCTCAGCCGGGAGCCTCGAGGCCGTCCACGCTCTCTCCATCCGTCAAAAACTCACCTTGTTCTTGCAGTAGCGGTAGCAACGGGCGGGACGGCGAGCCATCTTGACGGTATTGCTGGTGAGTCGTGGGGGTGGTGTTGTTGATCGAGGGGAGATGCAAGTTCGTCCGGCGAAAAAGACCCAAGTCCTCCTGGAGCGCTGCACTGACAAATCCACCCATTCGCCTGATTTCAAAGCCCGTGTGACTCAAGAGTGGTGGCGTCGTGTGAACTTCGGCACTTTAGGGCTTAACGATTCTGGTGGAGCTCATGATGATTGGCCAGTCGTGTGGTGCCCTTTGCCCCACCATGCCGCGATCATGGTCTGGTGGAAGTGCAAAATCCATCGCAGCAGCACGCAGCGAACTTCTTGCCGATTCAACCTACACCACATCACCAAAAGCCACCTCGAGGAACGCCCAGCAATCCAACGACAAGATGGCCGTCAAGAAGAGCAAGAAGGATGCCAACTCCCTCAACTCCAAGCTTGCGCTTGTGATGAAGTCTGGCAAGGGTACGCCCAACCTCAATGGCATCAAAATCCTCCATCTAACGTGTGCGCAGTCACCCTTGGTTACAAGTCGACCCTCAAGTCCCTGCGCTCCGGCAAGGCCAAGCTCATCATCATTGCTGGCAACACTCCTCCTCTCCGCAAGAGCGAGCTTGAGTACTACTCCATGCTTTCCAAGGCCCCCATCCACCACTTTGGCGGCAACAACGTAAGTTCTCAGCCTCGTAGATTCTGCTTCTGCTTCTGCATCTGCCTCTGCTGTCCTGGAGGGATCCTCCACAGCATACCCAGAGAAGAAGTCTGTCCAGACTTTGGAGGGTGCACATCGGCTTACACGTTCCTCTACAGATTGAGCTCGGTACCGCTTGCGGTAAGCTCTTCCGCTGCGGCACCATGGCCATCCTCGACGCCGGTGACTCCGATATCCTCGCCGACCAGCAGGCTTAAATGGTCTGGGCCAACGGAAAATGCATTAGGAGGCGTTTCGGAAAATTGGTTTTGGGCTTTCGAGGATACCAGTCATGCGATGCGAAATGAGGTGGCTGTGGGTGCTTGCACACCCAGTCTTGGGCTCGTCAATGTGACCAGACACATGATCTTAGCCCAAATGAAACAATACAATGATCCCTCCGCGCTACAAGCTTGTTCTTCATGATGCCTTCTTGTGTATGGTCTGCATGTCCTACTCAATGCGACTCCCAAGCCGCCTATAAGACATGGTGCTGTAATAGCACAATGCCGAGAAATTGCATTCCTCTAATTATGCCTTAATTTGGGATCCCAGTCGACGAGTGGCTGCGCACTGTGTGGCGCGTGGGGTTGCAGGTGAGGCGCAGGGTAGCGAGGTGGTACCCGGATTGTAACGGCTTTCTACATGAACGACGAAGGCGACTCGATAGTTATTGAGTTTCTTGTGCAATCTACAGAAATTCGATGCTGTAGTATTTGTTTCTCTTATAACAGGCCTCTAATTCACGCCTCAGTGACGGCGCGACGCTGCACACTGAAGCCAGTCTTTTCAAACACGCTAAGCACGAAACATCGGTTTCGGCGGGGCAGCACCGTGTGGCGCCCCAGCTGGAGACTGTCCGCTTTGTCCCCTTTGTTGTCAAGACCTCGAGACCAGGGGTCCTTCGATATCACTACAGAACTTAGGAGTCGAAGCAAGCAACCCGACACCGTATTTTTCGAGATATACAGTCGCCGCTGCCCACGCCTTGATCGTATATACTGGCCGAAGTTGTCTCAACACCCATCGAGCATTAGTTACACGACCGTACGCCAGCAATCATCATGTCCACCGCCCCCAAGAAGCCTCCTTCTGGAGGCGTCGGGCGAGTATCGAACGCGGAGACCGGCTCATCCCCCAGCTCGTCACCCTCGCGCAGTAGCTCGGCGCGCTCAACGTCGACACCTGCCAGTGGACACGCCCGCACACGATCAGTTCGCACAGGCACGCCAGTGTCAGCCCGAGCAGCAATCACGCGACGAGACACGGGCGGCATGAGCGGCGCCGATTCGGAGGCTCGAGCGGACGCCGCGGCCGCAGTCGAAGATCTGCAGCAACGACTCGAGAAGGAAGAAAAGCAGTCTGAGCAATACAAGAAGCAAATCGACGTGCTGCAATCAAAGCTGGAGGACTCTACGAAAGAATCGGCCAAGATGGAGGAGAAGGTACACGAACTCGAGGAACACATCGAAACGCTCAGCAACGAGAAACGCGAGGCGACGCGCCAGATCAGAGAGATGGAATCCATCTACGAGTCGGAGAGGAGCTCCATTCTCAAGGAGAAGGAGGAAATGGCCAATCGAGAAGAGGAGATGCAAACTGTGATACAGCGGCTCAAGGACAGCTTGGCGTCAAGAAACAACGGTGACGACGAGGGCAGGCCCTCGCGACAAGGTTAGATCTGATTTTTCACGTCTCTGCGCGCATTCATGCTAACGACGATAGCAAATCACTCGCCGTCTCTTGATGGCAACAGCTTCGCACCGCCGTCGTCTCTTCAGCGAAGTGACTCGCGCAACAGCTCGAAGCTCATCCTCCAGAAAGACAAACTCATCGAGTCGCTCCGTCTCGAACTCGCCGAGGCCCAGATCAAGCTCGTGGAAACGGAGAATCAAGGCGGTGGACGGCTGCAGGAAGTCGAGCGCCTCCTCATGGAGGCGCGTATGGCGAATGCGCGTCTGATGGAGGACAATGAAAGCTATCAGTTGCTTCTGCAGGAGCGGACTCTCAAGGGCGACTTTGGCCAAACCGACTTTAGCTACATGGGCGCCAACTCGAATCAGGATGCACTCGCTGCGCTCGAGGGCAAGACTGGCGGCTCCTCTCTAGCAGACGAACTCAGCGAGGTGGCCGAGGCTGACGGCGAAAGCGACAAGCCGCGCACTGAATCGCGCCTCGAGAGCGAACTCAAGTCGATGAAGGAGCAGAACAAGGCGCTGACGTTGTACATTAACAAGATCATCGAGCGCCTTTTGCAGCACCAGGACTTTGAGTCGATCCTCGACACTTCGACAGGAGAAATCAAGCCAGCAGCAGATACGAATAAGGACCTTCCTGCGCCTCCTGGCGACAAAAACCAGACCTTCCTGCAGAGAGCAAAGACCATGGCTGTTGGGGGACCTGCGAAGGCCAAGCAACGTCCCATGTCGATGATGCCTGCCAACACACCGGCTGCCAACTCGGCGCATACCGATCCCGAGACGGCGCCCAGTATTCCCATCAACAACCTCACCCGGTCAACCAGCACGCGAAGATCGCGACCACAGAGTGAACAGTACACGGGAGCGGCAAGTCTTGTGAGCCAGATGTACAAAGGGCCAGACGGCCCTATTTCACCATCTCTGAACAACCCTCGTCACTCGCAGTCCTTCTTCTCGCCAGCGTCCATGTCGGGCAACAACCCCAACACAGCTGCTCGTTATCCATCGGGCAGCAACACGACCACCTCGAGCGGAAACTTCCCGGGCATGCGCAGCGAGACCTCGAGTGTCAGCGGAGATTCAGGCGACCTGTCGACGCCGCCTTCGCAGTCGCCTCCGCGCTCGCATAGCGACAAGGGGACGACGTTTTCCGGCGGCAAGCCTCGGCCACTGCGGCTTGTGCAGGAAAACCCCGACGTCGGCAAGAATGACAAGCGGGCGAGCTGGATTCCTGCGAGCTGGAGTTGGGCCAAGAAAGACAGCAAGGACGAGGCGACGGGCACGGGCAACCCGATTTCGGAGTAGAGTCCGACGGAGGCGCTGCGATCGTTCATTCTCGGCAACGATTTGTCTAGAGGGCTGCGCTGGGATAATTTTCACGAGTAATCACTTGGATACATGGTGTCGTTGGGGGGTCCCTTGGTATATGGTGTACGACTGGGTCAGCGTTCAGGAGGCAAACATGTATACATCATTACGGTCAATGACGGCGCATGGACGGTGTTGTCGGCTGGTCCGGAGATTGAAGACATTGTATGGGTTCACTGTAGTCGAAGATTAGGTTTGCAGAAGGTCACGACGGCTGCTACACTGGGTCGTATCTGTCGTGCCTGTCAACGTATATTTAGGCTGGGTGACCAGACTTGCAGCGCTATCACTCATTCTAATGCAAATCATTATCTACAAGCCTGTATCATGTTTATGGCAGTATGTAAGTGGCTAATGGGATTGGGATGTTCCGTCGCGATTTTCAGGCCGCACAAAGCAGCTGGTCTCCCGAGGGCCGTGCTTCGCAGTGGAACCTAGGGATGGCATATTATGCGCAATCTTTATGAGGTGTTCTAGGCTGTGCAAAAGCATAGTCATGAATAGCGGTCTGGACTACGCCCGTCGCTGTGTACTACGTATGGTTAGGCCTCACACAACCACCACCGTGAAGACGAGGCTGCTGCATGGCGTGGCAGGGGTGTCGTGTCAAAGCCTCAGAGGCTGGACAATGTAGACCAAAATGGCATCCTCATGGTGTGACGATGCGGGCGAAAGATGTTGACTCATGTGTCAATTTGTTATCTATTCCATGCTTACCTGGAAAAGTGTGGTAAATAATCCAAGCGTGGGGTGCGTTGTATCACCAAGAGCGCATTGCCATTGTTTTCTACGGTGGTATGATCAAGGGATACTCCCTACTATTTTTAACAAAGTTGGGTTTGTCTGTTTTCCAACATAGAGAAGGGTATATCCCACGTCGTTATCGGCGTCGAGCTTGTCATTGTGAACTATAGGTTAGCTCAATTGCACGCGCGATACAGCCACGTCCGTCGCAACGGACCGACCCGCACGACAGATCCAGTCCTAGAAGCGATGGGTGCTAAAGTGCTAGCAGTTTTAACAGACCCCAAATACCTGTGTCGCTTGATATTGGAGAGAATTTGGGCTTTGAGTTCCTGTTGCTACGCCAGTAACAAGCCATACTCCTTCACTGTAACATGGAAGCTTGGCATTCTTGTGGAACACGACGAGGCCGTGCTGAAGAAGTTTAAGAAATGTTTGCTGGCGATGACTCGGATACAACATGTCCCTAGATAGTGTCCCGATCCTCTCAACGTAGGATCGAAGCCTTCTCAGTTTCCTGGAACCCATCTCACAGGATGATTAGCTATGAAGATAGCCTGGTGGTGGGATGCATCCTTTTTAGCAGGGGTACAATGTAATATAGGAGCCCCCCAAACTCAGGTACATTGGCAGCACATCTGACCACCAGAATGCCTCTTAAGGCATGAACACCTGGCCGTCACCCCGTCCGACATCCTGCGGGAGGTAAACTGACACGCGATCCGCCGAGGTAGGTTGTGCCCCTTTGTTGATGTTGCCACACCTTCCATGCGCCGAGGTCTCCCGGGGCAACATGATGGAAGATCAGGTACCGTTGTCGAATGCAGTAATAGCGGGAAGCACAAATGACTCGGCGGCGGCCATGTCATGATGTGTCGGTCAACTCGTTGTGAACATGTCAACAAATGTGCCCTTGTTCCCCCAGTCCGACATTACTACGTACGTAGCCGTGTCTGACGGAGCGGTGACCCGTGGGCCAGAAACCTGGAATCATGGCAGGAATGGATCATGGGGGATCGTGATCCAGCTCTCGCGGTGCTGCGCTGCTGCCGGAGCAAAACCTACGGCTGCATTTCACGCAGTGGCCCTGCCGCCCTACAGCCTACGGGCATGGATGTTTGCGGGGTACATGAGCATAATAAGTCGCATAGTCCATCTACCAAACATGATAGACAGGTCGAGGAGAAAATGTCGCATTGTGCGTACCGATTCCGGGTCATCTGAGGCGTTTCTGCGCAGCTCCAGCTGCCTTCCCTCGTTCTCCGTCCACTGGGAGATGGGAGGAGGAGCCCCTCTGACCGAGATTTCATGCTGTTGTTGCTGACAACAGTGACCGGATTGAACGGGACAACGTGCAGGGTCCGGCTGTCCGCTAGCATCGGCACCTTCCCCGTGGCCAACAAGCGTGGCCTGCTTGCTGCCAGCGTTGCCAGTTCATCATCTCGTGCTTGAGCATGGGTGGAGCAACGAAAAGGTCATTTCTAGGGCTCGATCAATAACATTTGCGGGCTGCCTGTAGGGCCAAGGTGAAAATGGCGGTGTCGTTCGGGTCAGTCGACCCTTTCTTGTTCTGAATAAATTGCCGATGATTCCACACTGGATCCTGAGCCATGCGGTCGAGCCTGTTTTGGTGGTAGAAGCACCTATGGAGATCCTTCGGCAAGGCGGTCACATGGCATCGTTACGCCTGGCTCCCGCGGAGTGCGTTGTCCCTGCTTACAGCCAGGGCTAGGTTTCGGTCCAGGCACAGTGAGTCCAGGGCTAGGTTTCGGTCCAGGCACAGTGAGTGAATATAGCAAAGTCGTGCGGTGCTAATTCGAGCCTCGGAGGATAATAAAAGACTAGAAGTACATGTAGGAGCTGCCATGGTACACTTCTACTTCCTATTATTAACACTCATGGAGGCACGAGTAAGACATGGGGAATCACTTGTTACTGTACATTGCTCGCTCGTTTAGTAGTGCCGCAACACAACAACTGTGTTGCCAAAGTTTGTTGCATTTACTAATAGTCCAAACTTTAAAGTGAGAATCACCAGATTGGGCTGTGTGGCACCTGAGGGAGCAGAGTGTGAATAACGCAGCGGAAGGCGCCGACTGATGACGCTGAGGTGAAGTGCTTTTCTCGTCCGGCAATTTGCACAGGCCCCAAACGATGATGCCTGCAAGAGAGAGGTACTTGCGCCAGGCTGGTGCGTTGGGCGTGATGACGCGTACTCTGTACACGGCGCAGTCTGCAGCCGGAGGGCACTGCTCCACCGTCATCAATGCAGTGCCAGGGCAGGCGGCCCAGCACCAGAGCACCATCAGGCTTGCGCTGTACCCGGCTCTAACTGCATATCGCCTGGCGCGGATCCCCTTCCTCCAGTCTTTTGTTGGACAACCCGACAGGTTGTGTCATGCTTGCCCATCCGCAAGTCTCGATTCACAATCTTCCGTCGCCCATACCATCCCATCACTGGTCCTTCGCTTCCCCGTTTCCATCTTGACCGACCCAATTCGACGTTTTTTTGGCTGTCAAGTCAGCCAGTGCGCACCTCTCTCGTTCTTCGTCCCTGCGAATAGTACGCCATCCTGACAGCGTTGCGCTTCTCCAACCCGACAACTGCGCCCTAACCGCCTGGACAATATTGTACCTCCAGTATCCGTACTCCTGTGACGCTTGACAGACCTGGCAACCGGCAGCAGCACGACCGACCACCCACGCACGTACACGTACCGTACCTACCGACATAGGCACAGGAGCAGGCACGCAAGACAAGCCACACACACTGCGTTCATAAACCTGGCCTTCTCAACCACCATTTTCCTGGGGTTGGGCATCAGCACGTCCTGTATGGGCAACATGATCCAATCCCATCCAGTCTTCACCTCGAACCACCGCTAGATGTGCATCCCGGTGGCATGCACGATCGACCTCTTCGCCTACCACCCCACGGACCCCCAACGCGCTTGTCACGGCTAGCGTCAGCATCAGCAACAGCAACATGAGCAGCAGTGGTACTCGCCGCCAGACGCCGCCAGCGTCGGTGAGCCACGACGACACCGCAGGTGATCCCTCGCAACCCGACTCGCAAAAACACTCTCGCCAGTCATCAGCTACTACCTCCATGACACCGTCACCTCTTGCCTCTCGAGAGGGCTCGCCAAGCCGCAATCCCCGAAGAACAATTTCGGCCACTCCTCTGACCTCGAGGTCACGGAAGAACAGTCAACAGCAAGAAATCAGTCCGACGCGCCAGATGCAAATACGCGCCAGCGCACCCATACGCACTGCGTCCTCCAGGAGTCTCACCTCCGCCTCCACGCCTTCGCTTCCTCCGAGTTCAGACCCTCCAATCCAAGCGCCAACGCCCCAAAAACCGGTAGCGCCCGAGTCAAGGGAAAGCCCGCGCTGGCCTGTCTCACCTCGTCTGAGATCCCCTCCGCCACTCAACAAGGCTGCCGGGGCCGCCGGCCGCCGGAACGAACAAGACGCGCCGCCAGCGATCAACGTCCAGGGCGCTTCACCATCACTAAAACCAGCACATTCGGCGCCGGAACCTCTACTAACGACGTCGGGAAGTGACACGGAAGACTCGGCCAGAACTTCGGGTACAAGGACGCCAGCGCGCAGCGCCCTGGAGACAGTGCAAGAAGTCAGCCTGCCCAACTCCCCGAGCCCATCCAGCGACGCGGCGCTCATGGCGCGAGTTGACGAAAGATTGGGAAGCCAGCCGGATGGTGCGCCCAACAACCTGCCGACGCTCCAAGCGAAAGCGAGAGTTGTAGACTCTGAAACAGAGACGGCCAGCGACACCAACAGCAGCACACCCAAGGCTGATCGACGTACCAACTCGGGCCCCCCACCGATGGTCCAGCGTCAGTCGAGCGCCCTCTCTTCGAAACAGTTCAAGGTGAAGCCGGACAACTCCTCGCAGAACATGACCGTCGAGACCGAAACCGTGACCAGCATACCGCAAGTGGCACTGGCATCGGGCCCAAAGTCATCAGAAGGACATGCGCTCAAGGCCAAGCCTAGCACCGAAACCATCAAGCCCAAGAAAGAGAAAAAGAAGCCAAACAGAAAACAGATCAACGTGAGCTCTGGTAATGGTAAGGCTCCCACTGTGCTCAACTCAAGACCGCATCACTACCCCATCCATCGATGAGATACACATTGGTCCATTTTGAGTCCATCTCATGGGAGCAAATTGCTAACTCGTCCGCCTCGTGTAGCATCCTCTAAAGCAGACGTCTTTGAGGCCAAGATTGCGAGCGCCGTTGATGAAGCCAACACGTCTGACTCTGAGGAGACCTTTGTGTACGACTCCAACCCCCCGGACGCCAGTGAGCGCACAGCACGCCGGTTTCACTCGCGAACGCCAAGTGCTACGAGCATGGCCAGCCAGGCAGACCGCCAGCATTTCCGCTCCATCCATGGTGTCATGGAAGGCACTTCGGCCCCCCCCGCGCACGGCCCGAAGAAGGGTATGAAATTTGTGAACACGCTCGCCGCTCCGGGGAGCGAAAACCTAAACGCCGAGGATGACGGGAAAGGCACTGGTCGCAGCGCTGGTGGCTCGGGCCGAGGTACCGTGCGCCATCACCATCACATTGGACGCTGGGGACGCCAGCCTGGGAACGGCCATGCCTCGCTTTTCGACAACGAGTCGCCTTTTCCGAACGCCGCGAAATCAAAGCTTGCTGGCCAGCAGTCTCGCAACTCGTCAGGCCCGCCCAGTCCTAGAGGCTACTTGGCGAATGGACTGAGCCATAAGCGATCCAACTATCAACTGTCCAACTACGATGCCGACGAGGCAACAACGGGAGCGGACGACGAGCGCACGCCTCTCATGGGACCGGGGTCGGCGCGCCGGCCAGGGAACGGTCGACGAAGGGGTCCGCACAGCTTGAGGCAAGCGGAAGCTCAGTCCTTTGACCGCCGCCCATCGTACCTCAACAGGTTTGCAGCATGCCTCGTGCTCACAATGATGCTCCTGCTCGTCATCACGGGTGCGATTGGCTTTATGTTCGCCACTTCGCAACCGATGACGGACATTGAGATCCTATCCATCAACAATGTGGTGACCAGTGAGCAGGTCCTCATGTTCGACTTGACAGTTAAAGCACACAACCCCAATATTGTCGTTGTCACAGTGGACCAAGCGAATCTGGAAATCTTTGCAAAGTCTGAACACGCCGGTACAGACTCAGACTGGTGGAAAGTGCCTCAGAATTCGGACGACTTTCATGTTCTCGACGATCCGATCAATGATCTACCCGACGATGACGCCGTCAGACCCAATGTGCTTCTGGGGCGGATCACGGAGTTCGACAGCCCCCTGACGTTCGAGGGCTCACTTTTCCACAAGGGCACATCTTCGTCCTCGGGCGAAATGCAGCTCCCCTACCCGGGTAACGGCACATCGGGCGGCTCAGAGCGATGGGAGCGCATTTACCAGGACGAGTTTGACCTCATCGTCAAAGGTGTCGTCAAGTACAGCCTGCCTCTGAGCACGCGCGTCCGTAGTGCGACCGTGTCGGGGCGGACGCACGTCACGCCAAACTCGGCCAACGACCCGTCCCTGAGGCCCAATGCCACGCAAGATGGCTGAAGCCTGCCATCCCCTTTCCCTTTGTCTTCCATTTCGTGTACATCGAGCGTGCATCAGCATGGAGCGAGCTAGCAAACGGAGCAATCCTCTTCACTTGGTTATGTGGGCGGCGACCCACTGGTTGGTGTTTGGGCCTTTTCCCTTTCCTTATTTCTGGCGCAGCCTTGCCTCGCGTTGCGCAGGGCTTATCGTTTGAAGGAATCTTCTTTGTTTTGCTCTGACATTAGCGATAGATGGAGCGGTTCGAAACTTGCCTTATTGTATTTATAACGCGTCATGACAAAAGACCGACAGACTGCAGGGGAAAACCTTTTACTTCGAAAACAGTGTATACGTACACTTCTGGGGCCCATGGGAAGGGAGACCAAAGATACCACAAATCAAATCGTTGCTATTACTGCTACTACTGTATGATCTCACGGTGTCATCTAGTTCAAGTGAATCGCCAGGCAAAAAGTTCATTCATGTCGTCAATGTCTTTTCGGACACGCCCGTCTGTATCATCCTACGAAAGCACTGGCTGCCCCTGAAAGCCCAATCCTCCCAAACGCCGTTGAAACGCCATATGCGCACCCGCGCTGTCTATGAGAAATGAATGCCCTCCTCGTTGAAGGCGTGCAGCAGCCGCAAAAAGTCCGTCTCGTCGCACTTGCCCGCGCGCTTGTCCGCCAACTCGGTCACGTCCTCGAGGACCTTGCGGATCTTCTCGCGGACCAGCTCGTGGACCCTGGTCTTCTTGCGTTTGCTCTTGGTCTTGGGCACGCCGCTTTGCTGCTGCTGCTCCTTGAAGAAATCGGGCACCTCCTCGTCCTCGTCCACCGCCATCGCGTCGGGGCCCGCGTCAGCCTCCATGTCGACATCATCGCCAGCCGCGTCGTCCCCGTCCTCCACGATGCTCTCGTCGACGGCCACGCCGTTCATGGCGCACCACGTGCGGTAGTTCCGCTCCACCATGTTGACGACCTCCTTGGTGCCGAGCCAGTTGGCGCGGAGGGTCTTGTTCTTGCGCACAAAGCAGACGCGCAGCACGCCGTCCCACTCGTCCCAGCTAATGTTGGGCCTGTCCTTGCCGATCTTGGGCTCGATGCGCACGACGCTGGACTCGACCTGTGGTGGAGGGCGGAAGTTGTTCTTGCCGACCTTCATGATGTGTGTGATCTTGGCCCAGAACTGCGCGTTGACAGAGAGACGGCAGTACAGCGTCTCGCCGGGTCGGGCGGTGAGGCGGAGGGCGAATTCGCGCTGGAACATGAGGACGGAGGTTCGTGGGGGATTTGGCATGGCGAGGAGTTTGAAAACGAGAGGCGAGGAGATCTGCTCCTTGTTAGTTTCGACGAGAGCCGTAGATGAAGCCACGTACCTGATAAGGGGTATTTGAAATGCAGACGTCAAAGGCAGGCAGCTCGGTCTTGATCACATCGCCGAGCATGACCTCGAGTTTCTTCTGCTCCGGCGTGCCCTGCACACGCTTCGTCACCTCTGCCGCCATCCTGGGGTCGAGTTCCACGCATATGCATTTCTTGGCGCGCTCGAGGATGCGGACTGTCAAGTTGCCGGTACCAGGGCCGACCTCGAGGACGGTGTCGGTGGGTTTGAGAAAGGCCTTTTCGACAATGGCGTCGGAGACACCGGGGTTTTTGAGAATGTGCTGGCCGACATTGGTGTTAAACTTGAAGACGTTGTTCTTGGCGGCGGCAGCGGCGGCGGATTTTGAGGGTCGCTCGTATGGGCTCGAGGATGCGCCACTGCGCTTGGGCGTCTTCACTTTCGCCATGGCTTGGGAAGAGACCAGGCAAACGTGGAGCGTTGGTACGGTGAGGCAGGATGGGAATCTATTGTCGTGGGGTAAAGGCGACATTGTCGGCGGTGGGATAAACTTTTTGGGTTGGAGGGCTTATCGATAAGAGATGGTGACAATTCTGCAATGGTACCAATTTAGTGGCCGTCTGTGCGGGTAGACCAAAGCTTACGCGTGCAAATCAACCTTATTGGCACCACCCAAGCTTGACAACCTCCAACGCGACTGAAACTACGATCAGTCATCCACCCATTGATCCATCTGCAACTTTGCACCTCTCTCTCCACCACGCACGCCCAACATGGCTACTCGGCGCGATTTCCTCAGCCAGCCGGCGCCCGAGAACTATGTCGCCGGTCTTGGTCGCGGTGCGACGGGCTTCACGACCCGGTCAGATCTCGGTCCTGCGCGCGAGGGTCCCAGCGATGACCAAATGAAGGAGATGCTCGCCAAGCGCGCAGCACAACTCGGTCTCGACGGTGCCAAAAAGGACAAGGACGACAAGGAAGACGACGGCGGCAATGACGACGAGCGGTTCCAGGACCCTGACAACGAGGTTGGGCTGTTTGCGGGAGGCGTGTACGACAAGGATGACGAAGAGGCCGACAAGATCTGGGACTGGGTCGAGGAGAGGATGGATCGACGAAGACGACAGCGTGAGGCGCGCGAACAGGCCGAAAGGGAGGAGTATGAGCGGAACAACCCCAAGATACAGCAGCAGTTTACGGACCTGAAAAGGGCGCTGAGCACAGTGACGGACGACGAGTGGGCGAATCTGCCTGAAGTCGGTGACCTGACGGGCAAGAATCGACGAAGCAGGCAGGCGCTGCGGCAACGGTTCTACGCTGTGCCGGACAGCGTGCTCGCTGGCGCAAGGGATCTGGGCGCCATGGGCACGACGGTCGCGGACGATGGGGATGCGTCGAGTGGCGCGGGCGGAGGTGACTCGGCCGATGGGACGATGACCAACTTCGCACAGATTGGTGCGGCCAGAGGCAAGGTGCTCCAGTCGCGCCTCGAGGCTGCGTCGCAGGTCAGCGGTGGCGATGCGACGAGCGGCAGCGCGACCAGCATCGATGCGCAGGGCTACATTACCGATCTGAACAGGCTGCAGATGACCGAGGGCCAGGCGCAGGTGGGCGACATCAACCGTGTACGGGAGCTGCTGTCCTCTGTGGTCAAGTCGAATCCCAACAACGCGCTCGGATGGATTGCGGCCGCGCGTCTGGAGGAGCTGGCTGGCAAGATTGTGTCGGCACGCAAAACCATTGATCAGGGCTGCCAGCGATGTCCCAAGAGCGAGGACGCCTGGTTGGAGAACATCCGTCTAAACCACGACTCCCACAACGCCAAGGTTATCGCGCGGAGGGCCATAGAGGCCAACAACCGATCTGTCCGCCTCTGGGTCGAGGCCATGCGTCTCGAGAACCTCCCCGCCAACAAGAAGCGCGTCATCCGGCAGGCCCTCGACCACATACCCGAGTCGGAGGCTCTGTGGAAGGAAGCCGTCAACCTTGAGGACGATGAGAACGACGCCAAGCTCATGCTCGCCAAGGCGACCGAACTCATACCGCTATCGACGGACCTGTGGCTGGCCCTCGCTCGCCTGGAAACACCCGAGAATGCGCAAAAGGTGCTCAACAAGGCGCGCAAAGCGTGCCCGACGTCCCACGAGATCTGGATCGCCGCCGCGCGACTGCAGGAACAGCTCGGCCAGGGGCAAAAGGTTAACGTTCTCAAGCGTGCCGTGCAGGTCCTGGCCAAGGAGTCCGCTATGCCGAAGCGCGAGGAGTGGATTGCCGAGGCGGAACGATGCGAGGAGGAGGGCGCCCTCGTCACCTGCGAGGCTATTATTCGCGAGACCCTTGGCTGGGGGCTCGACGAGGACGATGACCGAAAAGAGACATGGATGGACGACGCGCGCGCAAGCATTAACAGGGGCCGATACGAGACGGCACGTGCTATCTACGCCTACGCGCTGCGCGTGTTCGTTAACAGCAAGACGCTCTGGACGGCCGCTTCCGACCTAGAGAGAAATCACGGCACGAGAGAATCCTTATGGCAGGTTCTCGAGAAGGCCGTTGAGGCCTGCCCTAAAAGCGAGGATCTATGGATGATGCTGGCTAAGGAGAAATGGCAGGCCGGCGAGGTCGACGGCGCGCGATTGGTGCTCAAGCGCGCCTTCAACCAGAACCCTAACAACGAGGATATCTGGCTAGCAGCCGTGAAGCTCGAGTCGGCAAACGATAACGAGGAGCAGGCGAGGAAACTACTCGAAATTGCACGAGAGCAGGCGCCGACCGACCGCGTCTGGATGAAGAGTGTGGTGTTTGAGCGGGTGCTCGGGAACCTGGAAACGGCATTAGACCTCAACCTCAAGGCGCTGCAGCTATTTCCCGCGACGGCGAAGCTATGGATGCTTAAGGGACAAATCTACGACGACCTAGGCAAGGTGGGACAGTCACGCGAGGCCTACGCGCAAGGTGTCAAGGCCGTACCCAAGTCCGTGCCCCTATGGCTACTGTACGCTCGCCTGGAGGAGAACGCCGGCAACACCGTCAAGGCTCGTTCCGTCCTAGAGCGTGCTCGCCTTGCGGTGCCCAAGAACGCAGAGCTATGGCGCGAGTCCGTCCGTCTCGAGAGGCGGAGCGGGAACATGACCCAGGCCAAGTCCCTCATGGCGAGAGCCCTACAGGAGGTGCCCAAGAGCGGCATCCTATGGGTGGAACAGATCTGGCATCTCGAGCCGCGGACGCAGCGCAAGCCCCGGTCACTCGAGGCCATCAAAAAGGTCGACAGCGACGCGGTGCTCTTCATCGCGGTGGCGCGCATCTTCTGGGCGGACCGGAAGCTCGACAAGGCGCAGAGCTGGTTCGAGAAGGCGCTCGTGCTGGACAGCGACAATGGCGACGGGTGGGCGTGGTACTACAAGTTCCTGACGCAGCACGGCACGGAGGAAAAAAAGGCAGACGTGGTGACAAAGTGCGTGCTAAACGAGCCGCGCCACGGCGAGGTCTGGCAGACGGTGGCCAAGCACCCCAAGAATGCGAGGAAGGGGGTCGAGGAGATACTGAAGCTGGTGGCCGCCGAGCTGGATGCGTAGAGTGCATCTGTACCCATTAGAGTTCTTTCCAGGCGTACGGCATGAGGATTGTTCAATATCACGGTAGAGACAAGCAAAGTCCAGGGATTGGCGTTTGAGAGTTTAGAGTGGGTATATATTCGCCGCCGCCAACAAGCGCAGCGGGCCATTATTGTATCATTACAAAGGGAAACGCCCATTCATCATCATTGTTTGGCCACCCGTTGGGACTCCATCATCGCTTAATCCCCTTACTTGCTGCCACCGAACCAGCTGGAGATGCCAGACTTGGCCTTGGCGGCCTCGTTCTCGACCTTGGAGTCGAACTTGTCGACAGCCTTGAGGGCCTCGGCCTTGGCGTCCTTTGCGTAGGCCTCGGCGTTGGACTTGGCGCGGCCAGCCTGCTTGTCGGCCTCGGAGATCTGGGGGATTGCTGTTAGCAGGTATTTTCCGGCGCGGTGTGTGGGTTTGTTGTTGGTGAGGATTGGAGATGAGGACTGGTTGTGCAGGGACAGCTGAGTGACGTAACGACAGCCGGAGCTGGAGCTCCCCGGATGATCCACTTGAGCTCCCTGGGCTGGGGCTGGCCAGAGCGCATCATCTCCACGATGTCCTCATCTCCCTTCCACGGTGCTTCTGCTGCAAAGACTCGAGTGCTGTAGTGGATGGGAGTCAACGTACCACCTCGTCGACCTTGGCGCCAGCCTTGGCACCGTAGTGGGCGCCATCCTTCTGCGCGTTGGGAGCGCTGCCGGGGAGGTTGGCCTTGATGTTGGCAGACGCCTTGTGGACATCGCCTGTGCCGTGTCAGTCATCTTGCCATCCACGACGTGTTTTGTCGTTGTGTCGTCAGTAAATGGTACGCACTCTCGAACTTGTTCTCGGCAGCCTTCGCGTTGCCGCCCGCATTGTAGAGGTAGTAGCCAACACCGCCGGCGGCACCAAGGCCAAGGATGAGGGGCGCTTTCGACTTGGACATGTTGAACTGGACTGGGTTGATGGTGACTGTGATGCGTTGGAGATGGTAGAGCTTGGGGAATCGGTGCGGGAGAGGTGAAGGAAGCTTGCGCAGGATGGGAGGGCCAATTGGGGTTTTATTCACTTGTTGGTAGGCACGTATTATGGATGGCCGAATTAGTCTGGACTCTGGAATGATCGCGCGATGGACGATGATGACGTTATGCCTCCTTCCTGCTCGTCTCCCCGCATTTCTGTGGGGCTCGCGCGATTCTCCAAGACCAGCTTGTGATCTAACTTGGACGCAAGCAACGAGTTCTGGCAAGGTACGACGTGCAGACATTAAACATCTCTGAGTTAAATATTTACTCGAGGTTCATCCTCGCCTCGTCGCCAATGCCCCATGTCCCGCCGTCCTTGCCCTGCTTCTGAAGCTCCATTTCCACCTCGATCCCCAACCCGCTCAAGTGGTCCTCCTCCTCCTCGCTCAGCACATCACTCGGGGCACGTCGCCTGCTACGCTTGCTATCGACAGACCCGGGGCGATTCTTCCTAAACCCCGGAAGCCCAGCCCAGGACTTGGAGGAGGTACTGTACACCGACGCGGCGTCGTCGACACCAGCGCGCGAGTCTTTCGAGTCGGAGGTACTGGGGCGGTTCTCCGCCGTCGTCGTGTCCATTAGGGGCAGGGCTGGCTCAGAACGCATCGGCGAGAGCATCTTCTCACCCGCCGTGGAGTATTTGTTGGTTTGCACGGCAGTGGGCCTGGCCTCGGGCGTGCTTGGCTGCTCGTGGATCTCGGGCCCATCCGCCTCGACAAGTTCGGCGTCCCGATACCACTTTCTCCTGCGTGTCCATCGACCCCAGCCATCCGCGCCTCGACGGCCATTCTGCCACTACCTGCGCATTAGCAACAATCCCAAAGCGCCATTGACCAAGACTGCATGCATACCTTGCTGTCGTAGTAGATCCATCCATTCTTCCCCTCTTCCCCATCATAGTCCACTGGCCCATGGTCGTCAGCCACGCCATCCACCTTCCACCGGCTGCCGGGTGCCCAGCGCCACCTCATGTTCGCCCCGTCCTCGACATCCGGTAACTCAAACTCGTCTTTGGGAGGGACTGCATTGTAGTTCTCGTCCGACCACGCGGGCCTCTCATAGGCAAACAGGCTGTTTGTCCAGCCGAGGCCGACCCATCTCCGCTGATTCTCGTAGATGATGAATGTGAACTTGACGCCGGCGCTCCGCGAGCTCCTCCCTTTCCGATGTTTCACCTTCATCTGGCTAGGCCGACGCAGCTCCTTCGTGAGTTCCGACTCCCCCTTTCTGTGCAGAGTCGTCAAGGACTCGTGCGCGGCACCATACGGGTCCTTGCCAAGCTGCGGTGCCTGGAACTGTAAGCCCGTGATGGCAGAGGCTAGCCGTCGCACACTGCCGCTGCGCCATAGTATCGTCCTGGAGACACGCATCACCCGCGCGTGCCACGTCAAGGCGATCGTGCCCGCCACAAGCACGACCCGCCTCGTCGTCACGATCCGCCACGGTGGTGCCGTCAGCGCGATCCAGAAGGGTGTCACGATGAGCAGCCGCACAAACATGGCGGTCAGGGCCGGCTTTGTTGTCGCACTCGTGGGCGTGCGCTGTGTGCTCAGGAAATCCGTCATCTCCAAGAGCGGCTCCATCAGTGCGTTGCACCTCGCCGTCAGCTCCTTGAGTGTCTCCACAATCTCGTCGAGCGTCTTCTGGTGTTTCGTGTTGGTGACCTCGGAGTTACCGCGCAGGTGTTTTCCCTGTCGACCCGGGGTACCATTGTCCGCCGAGGGTCCCGACGGCGTGCTCCCCGTTGCCGCTGCGGCTGCCTTTGCAACAGAGTCCTTGAGGTCGCGAGCTGGCTCGTTCCATCCGCTGCTGCTGAGGGGGCTGTACCTCCTTCCGTACATGCCGCCGATGAGCGCCATGCCCACGACAATCGGCCCCGCCCATCGCACGACGACATCGCCATACAGCACGACCGCCCAGAAGCCGCACAACAAGAGGAAGCTTTGCCAGGCATCGCCGGTACTCCATGTCATGAGCCCAAGGAACGTGTTGAGCGGCAGTACGAACGGATGCGAGTAGGCGAGAGCGCGTGTGATCTGTGGCGGGGTCGCGAGGAGCAGCGGGCTCTTCTGGTGCACGAGGATCGTCGAGCGCCGGGCTGATCGCGACGGCGTGCTTGCTGAGAGGGTCGCTGGGGAAAAGGCGGCGGTCGTGGGGGGCGCGGAGAGGTAGGAGGTGAGGTGATCGGGCGGCGACCCGCCATTTGTTTCGTCGCGTGAGCTCATGGGCGCGGACGGTGAGATTTGGGTAGTCCACGGCGTGTCCTGGTGTTGAAGGTTAGGTAAGGCTAAATAATAAGAAATGCGACCCGGATTGAAGGTTGTGGTGATTGTGGGGGTCAGATTTGGTGGAGTTCAGGGTTCGTTCTGTGATGACGACTGGGCCTGTCCTTCAGCTCGTGCCGATGGCGCGGTAGCTACCTAGCCATGCGATGAAGGCTGAGGCTGATGGCGATGATGGGAATTTGAAAGAGAGGGATATGGAGGTGAGGGACTGGACTTACAAAGGCAGCCATGCCCTGCAGATCTGGATACCTGCCCAATGTCGGGATCAGCGCAGGCAAGTCTGAAAACCGGCAACGTCGACGTCATTCACCTCGAGGCTTAGACTAGCATCGCTTGACGAGTAGGTAGGTCACGAGCTCTCAGGAAAGCACCATGTCTAAGGCAGTAGGTAGAAAGAAAGATACAGAGGGAGATTTGGCAGCTGCGCAAACAGAGGCGAGGAAATGTTCCAGCCTCGAGTGATGGGAACCCAAGCTCAGATCGGCATGCCGAGGAAGGGCTGCGGAATGGAGCGCGTGAGCGTCGGCTGGGATGTGCGTCGTTCTGCGGAGAGACTGGGCAGTCACATGCAAATTGAGCTTCTGACTACCCTATATAGACTTTCCTCTTTAGGCAACGCTTCGCAAGCTCCTCCCGTCTAAGTGCAAGTCATCAATAGGAGAGCTGGTATTAACGAGAGCACTCAAACATGCAATGACACGAGAAAGAGAGTCCGTTTAACCTTTTTTATCAACATAGGAGATTCAATGATAGTATCTAGACGGCCATCGACCCATCCCATCATCCCTTTCCTCGTTCCCAAACTCCGACGAGATCCCGAAAGCATCACATCAAGCGTCCGTCATGCTCCCTCCACGCGCCACCCTACCCAGAAGGAAACCCAGACCGCGTCCGGTCAGAGACCCCTGGGCAGAAGTCGCTCGTCGAGGGGGATATCCCCATCATCCAAAAAGTCGTCAAAGTCGTCAAGTGATAGTGTCGTGATACCGCGGGGTGAGATGTGTTGTATACATGTCATGCCGTGTAATCCCAAAAGTCGCAATCCGCTATCCGTTTTTTTGTTCGTTCATGTTCATTATCATTTTTTTTTCTCGTGTTGGGCGTTTCGTCGATGTATCCTATCCGTACAATTTTGGTTGGTTGGGATCCCCCGTGGCAGAGCGTTGCGCTCATGGGGGCTTCTCGTTGGTGTAGTTGAGACAAAAGAAAGGGGCGCACCGCTATGAGTGGCCGGTGCAAGAGCCTGCCATGGATGTTAGTATGTTGATGTTGACAGATACACATGGTCGTCCTCTGGTGACGAGAGACAAACGGGAAGACTTACAGCTTGCGCCGCAGTTGCAGGGGTTAGAAGCAGAGCATCCGCAGTTGCCAGCCATCTTGATAGATTTGGAGATTGGGGGGGATAGGTAAAAACCTAAAAAAGTTGTCGGAAAGTTGTTGGAAGATGGGGGGTTTCGACTATAAAAGTCTACTTAAGGAAGGGAAAAAGGAGAAGTCCAGAAAGAAGGCGGGACGCCATTCTTTTATAGACAGTTTGATGGCACTCTATCCTCGTCTGATCCCGACAACTCTCCCAGGAGATGCATAACAAGACGACGAGTTGCGGTCTGCGAGAGCAAGCTACGTATCGTGAGCCCGTGATCCACTCACGGAGCGGAACCAGCTGGACGCACGATGCACTCTGCAGGGAGGGCGGCCCCGGCTGGTGGTTGGCGATCTCGACATGTCGGTGACCGTTGTTTGGTCTGCGAAGGTTAGGCCGCAACTTGGCTGCAGCAAAGCGGCCTCGCAGCGCTTCATGCGCCGCCAATAAAGGTTCACAAGGAGAATTGGCGTGGTCAATGTCCGCATGCATGTTTTCGTGGCGCTTTTCTGACGCATTGACAGGCCAAAGCACAAGGAACTTGCGATAACAAATTTGGGTGTGAGAGGCTGGCCTTTGTGTTAGTGCAGACTGCCCACCCACCATTGTCGTTGAAGGCCAGATAACGTGAACACGTAGTAATACTTCCTGCGATGACCATCCTACACCAACTAACCCATCATCCAAGCTTTCTTTCAGAACCCCCCTGAGTGATGCGTCGTCCGAGCTCTTGCAATGCCATGCATGCCGATGCACTCCTGCAGCAGCGCGCCAACACACCATCTGGGTCTCTCACGTCCTCTTCCTCCATCCTAACGCAGCGCAGCGGGTCCTATTCACCCCCAATCCCAGCCTCGCCGTTTCCCATCTCGGACTGACCGCCATCTTGAGTTGGCACGCGCAACGTGGCCTGGGGATCCATTTCGGGAACGATGGAAGCCGGGGGAATCGACAGAGGCTTGACCGCTCGCGACTTGGGGCCGTAATGCGAAGAGTGACACGCGCATCGCGTGGAGAAGGCAACAGTGGCGGCGCGAGATCCTCCAACACGATTTACGTCCAAGATCCCTTCCATGGTTGATTGTGGATCCTGGACAAAGGCATCAAAGTGAGGCGGCTGCCTGGCCTTGGGGATCGTGACGATTTCTCCCAGCCTCCTGTAACATACATCGTCTTCGATTCATGCGTGAGTGTTCTTTGACTACTCCATACACAGTACAACACTCTCAGTCACGATGAATGTGACGACCCACATCGCCCGACGTCGGATGCGACAATTCGACGAGACTGACCGTCAAACGCGTCTTCCCATTTTGACTGCCACGTCAGAGAACTCCTGACAGCGCACTTCGCAACCGCTTGAAACCGCACGTGCACAGCGAGCCCACAATGAGTGATCACGCGGACGACGAGCTCGTCATCACCCAAGTCACCGACGCATACGACGCAGAGCAGTACCTGCCGTCGCTCGCGGCACTCCTCCAGCGCTGCGTCAACGATGATCCAGCAACATCGTCCCTTGGCTTCCTCGCGCCCCTGTCTGAGGACCGGGCCAAGGAACAGTGGACAGAAAGTCTGAAGGGCGTGACGGGCTCCAAACCCTCAACGGTCTTGCTCGTCGCCACTCCAGACGACGACCCCTTCCACGTCCTCGCCACGATACAGATTAGTCGGAACTTCAAGGAAACGCATGACCACAAGGGCGAGATTAAGAAAATGCTTGTCTCCCCGGACCATCGTCGCTATGGACTCGGCAAGCGTCTCCTGGAGGAGGCGGAGCGTTTCGCCAGGGACGACATGAAACTCGAGATGCTCCTTCTGGACACGGCCACCGAGACGCCGGCGTGTCAATTCTATACCAAGTTTGGATGGACGGAATGGGGATGTTGCCCACACTATGCGCGGTTCGCGGACGGCAGGAAAGGCGACTGTACATTCTTCTACAAGATGTTACAATGATGCATTGCAATGCGGCTCTATACTAAAAGGACCATCGGAATGTCGCACACGTCCATGGCAAAGGTTGTCTCCGCCCAGGAGAAGCAGTGCCTGTCGGGAATGTCCTTGTCGTTCCAATCAAGCAACACGACAGACTCGTCTGGTTGCATATCGGCCTCGGGTGCACTGCCGTATCCTTCCTCCAAGGGTGGTTGTCCCAGCTTTTGTATCTGATATGCTGTTTCTAGTTCGCAGCTCGCACACACCCACGGCTTGAAGCCAAAGACACAATCTGTCTCGGCACCACGCAGATCGGTCTGCTGCAGATGGTGAACTATGGCACTCACCTTCTTATAGAGGTCTGCCATGGTGCAATGCCGTTTCCTGTCCGAGGCTTGCCACTCCGGGTCTGTGTCGGCGCCGAGCTTGCGTTTGCGGCTCGTCGTGATGCCGTCGCTTTCGCCGTAATTGCGATCGAGCTTGGCTGATCTTCGAGGCTGAATCCGTGTTGGACAGGAACTGTTGTGTGTTTTCACTCTTTTTGTGGTTTGAAGAGGTACTTTGCCTTCATTGTACGCTGTTGCGTGCGCTTGGGCCCACTGGAGGAAATGCGGGATGCAGAGCGGTGTCTGCCGGGGGGTCATTACTGGTGTTTGCAGATACATATTGACGGACTCGGATGGGACAGACCTAGACTTCAGCGTGATATATTATATATACTGGGATGTTGGGCGAGTCTAGGGGTCTTCGTTCAAGTCTGCCTGCCTCGTGCTTTTTGACAGCCCACGCGTGTGAACAATGAGGATTCATTATCAGCAGAGCGACAAAGACGGCAAAAAAGAGAAAGAAAGGATACGCCTTTGAAAGGATACGACGCACTGGTCAATTCATTGAGCAAAGTAGGCAATCGAATACAAAACCTGACTTCGTTACTCAGTGCTCTTGTGATGTACAGACGCGATTTACACCCAAACCGAAACCTTCAGCTGGAATGAAACTGGGGCTGTTTGTGGTTACGGACGTCCCCGTGACTGATTAATTCGAGAAAATCTCGACTACTTTGGAGTCTGAGATTGAATTGGTCTTTACTCCCCGGGGATTGTCTCTTCAAAACGTTGGTCTCGCTGGTGATAGGGTAAGATGATCCTTCCGTCAGGCCGCCGGCGGAACATGCAAGTCATGCACGACGAAGACTGATCCTGATCTTTCGGGTTGAAATACAAGTGTCATGTAAGATATTGCGTACATTACGCCCTAGGCGTCATCGCTATGTCGTTATTCAGCCTTTTGCTGCTAATCACGCCCTTTCATTAACAAGATTTGCAGGGGTTCAACTTCACAGCCAATGCCAAGGATTCTGTTCTGCCATGTGTCCTCCAAGGCCCAACAATACTTATAATGACATCCCGTCGAAACCGATTATTCCGTGAAGCTTCAAGCAGGTGATCAGCTACCCTGCAGACTAGTCAGGCATTCGATCTCCAGCATAACTAAGTTCATTCACACACGTTCATTTCACAAGCCTTCTCCTCATTCAAGGTTCCAACTCCGTCTACGACCACCACTCTATTGTGCGCAGCATGCCTGAGCCATCTTTGGACTTTGTGACCTGGGACCCCGAGTCAACTGGCCACATCAACCGATTGACGACTCAGCGAGAGCACTGCGGCTGGCATTCTTCCAAGGTGGGGTCCGAATGGCGGGATGCGCAACTGAGAGGTGTGATTTGTATATATTGGCTTGTGAATTCACCATGAGCAACGCCAAACCAGCAACTAACTAACACGCATTAGGCTTTGTCCGAGGATGAACCTTGGAGGGAGGAGTACAACAGTCGCCATCGAGAGGCATATCCTGATGTACGTGGAACCATGGCAAGGCACATGAAGTCTCTGACCCGTGTCATAGGAGTGTGATACACTGGCCGATACAAGCAGATCGATCTTCGGGAAGCCAACTCAACCGAGCCAGACACCATTCTTTCCAATTGGACACATTGCGCTCTACAAAGACGACCCATCAATACCCCCTGACGTCTTGGACCTGCCCTCTGACCACTTCCTTTGGATCAAAACCCTTTACATATCGCACGCACTGCAGGGTCTCGGAATAGGAGGCTCAGCTATGAAGCACGCAGAACTCGTGTCCGCTAGCGAACCCCTGAATGTGCGCTACTTGCTTCTCGACACGCTGTGCGAAGAGGATCAGTTGCACGAGGAATTAGCGGTGGCGTATTTCGGACAAGTCCCAAAGGTTCGCTCCTGGTTGCCTGAATCCGAACTGTTTGTGCCCGCTGACTGACGCGCCACTTCCAGTTCTCCAATGAGAGCTGGTACACGAAAAAGGGGTACCGTTCTATTGGCCTCCTGGCGAATATTTACAACGTACCGGATATAAATGGGAAAATGTGGCCATTGCGGACGACAGTCATGAGAAAGGACCTCTGTCCGCGAGATTGACATGATCGTCGACGCACCGAGACTGCTATCAGATCCCCATCAATGACCAAGGCGAGACATTTTCTTTCCGCAGACGGCATCTTCAACACTGCTAGGCCTTACAATTGAAACTAGTTGTATAAATTACCGCAAGTCAAATCGCTAATTCTTGCAATCGCCAGTCACCATGCTCATTACTCTTCCTTTCCCACCACATCCTCGTTCTCGTCTTCCACACTCCAATCCCTCCATGTCTGGCCGCGCACAAAGCTCAAGCCCTTGCGCCACTGCGCCTCGCGGATTGCCTTGGCATCCCGCTCATACACGACACCCGTGACCATGAGTGCCAGCACAAATACCCAGACGTCGCCTCCGCGCATGGCTTTCCACCAGCGACGCTTCACGCCCACCTTCCAGAGACTGTCGACGCTCATTCGCGCCGTGTAGAGGAACGCGCTTCGACCGTGGCGGCGCTCGACCCATGCCCAGAGACCAGCGAAGAAACCGCCGAGAAAGAAACGTTGGGTGGACAGCACGTGGCGCGGGAGGAAGTTCTGGAAGAAGCAGATGGAAGCCCAGGCGGTAGACATGGCACCCGTCAGGAATGTGGACATTCGAAGTGATGTCGAGATGACCGTGTGAAGGGTGGCCAGAGGCGAGTGGTAGAAGCTCTTCAGACGAGGTAACACCTTGAGAGCCGAAAAGGCGACGAGGAACAGTCGAGTCAATGGAGGAAACGAGTTGATCCAGAATGTAAGGTAAGTCCGGGCGCAAGACGGGTCGGTGGGATGCAGAGTTGCGCAGGAGAGAGATGAGATCAGTGGATGAGCTCGCGATGTCAGAGGTGAAAGTCCCGTCAATGTCGGTGGCAGGACATCGATCTTGTTAGGGAACAGGGTCGGAGAGATGTAAGCGCTGCCGATGGTCAGTTTTGTACAAAATTTGGGAAGATGGGGCACATACGGCCAGTTAAGCTTCGCCATCTCAGCGATGTTCTCAAATACCTGAGTGGTGCTGGGCCATTTGAGATGAGCCGGCCAGTCAATGGGCCGACTGTGCAGGTACGCTGTGGTGTTGTTGTACAGGAAGTTCTTGAACATCTACGTCTGTCAGTATTGGGGACGACACGCTTGACAAGCATACTCACCGCCGGCACACATTCAGGGTCAAAAACTGTAGCATGGAACAGCTGGCCGAAAGCCAAAGGCTGTAACATCCAGCTGCCAAACCACCAAGGCCGCTCCCTCAACCGACCACCCTTCACTCCCCATACGAGCCCTTCGCCCTCGCACATGTTCCAGCCAAACTCCAGGGCACGAAACATGGCAAGAATTGCCACGGAAACGCGCAGCTGAGCCGAGGGGTAGACACCCAATGCCAGACCTGCCAGCGAAGCGCCCACCGCCGGCGCGTATGGCGAGGTAAGCGTAGCTGTTGCCCGTGGGTTTCGTCGTCGAAAAGGCTCGACCTGGGCGGTTAAAAGGTGGCTCCGCAGGCGATTCAGGAAGCGGAACAAGATCCTGTAAAGAAACAGGATCGAGGAGAGCGAGAGGGACAGCCTCAAAGCTGGCGACTTGTAGAAAGGGGTTTTGCCTTTTGGGGGTTTCCTAACCTTGTCAGTCCTGCTCGAGGCCCAGGTAGCGGACTCGGAACTTACTCTTTAGAGTCCTGGAATCTCTTTGAGACAGCATCCCAGCCTTTCATCCCCAGCCAGGTCACAACAAAGACCCGCAGTGCATCCCTCACGGCACGAACGTTGTAGTCATCCTTGCCTTTCTTTGGTCGCAATGCTTTCTCGACACTGGTCGGGCTGGGTGTTGCCCGACGCAGAGCTCGCGATCGCGAGATGATGTATTTGTGAAGCGCGGCGTATTCATCGGCCGACACCGTGTAGCGAAGGGTGTTGCGAAGGATCGGGTCGGTTGTCGATGGTCGTGACGCAGACTGACTGCGCGACTCTTGCACGGCGCCTTTGGCTGCTGCGGACGCCATGATGGGCTCTCTTTCCAAGAAGCAGCGTTACAAGGCGTTTTGTGTCGAAATAGACGTCGTGGGTGGCCTGGGCCTCAATGCTCAAGCTCAGCGTGCGATGACGCGCAACTGGAATGGAGCTTCCAAAACATCCACAGGAGTCGCGTCTTCGCGTGCTGTCGTCCAAGTTGAATGTCGCGCCGATCGCAGGCGAGTCAATCTTTCTATGCACAATCAAGTTGTGGGAGATGGATCTCAATGAGGGGATAGCATTGATGATGGGAGATTGGGCTCGTGGAGTCCTAACCAGCACTGAAGGAAGGCAACCTCGGCATCCGCGCATATGCAGGCTCTTGCTCTTGGCCGTCGGTCCACTGGGCTCTGGGGAAGGTACACTCAGTGGGGAAGCTGCTGGTCAGGGGTACCCCACCTTTCATGACGCTGTGACGGAAGGAAACGCAGGGCTAGAAGAGATCTAGCAGAGTCCTCCACGAATTTGTGTGGCGAGTGCACTTGAATATAGCTTCTTGTCTTATTAAATATGGCGCTCGTGGGCCTTACAGACGATTATCCGATCGAATAATCCTCACTGTCATGAGTTGGGTGTTGGGCAGACCTAAGTTAATCTCCGGAGACGCATGAGTTTGCCGAAGTCCAAATTTCCACCAAGCATTGATAAAAGCCATTCCCTGCATCAGAAGATATCAGAAGTCACTCATACATGTGTAGCCGTGAATAGGTCGTGGAATTCCACAATTCTACGCTCATCCACGTACACGCCGAGACGCGCAGCTTAGATCGACATGACATGTTGCATCACTCCATAGGCGAGTCAGTAGTCACAAATCCGTGATATATTCGCGAGCTTCCATTGTATAGCTCAGAGATCCTGGTGATCTCACTATGCGATTAGTAGGTGCATCATTTATCGCCGCCCCCTTGACTCCTGAAAATCACGAACCACTTTTCGCCGAGTCAATAGACTTTCTGAGGGTATCCTTTCCCTGTCTTCCCAGACCCATCCAATTCCAAAAGCTTCGTTAACATACATGCAGGCTAGCCGAGTGAAACCTCGGGCCTCTCCAACGCAAGGCGGCTCCCTCGCGCATGCCCTTTCAGACCCGGCAGACACAATCGGCATCATCCCTATCCTGTAGAGCAACCGTATTCCATAAGGCGTCCGCGTGTAAAGCATCTCTTGCTAAAATGCCGGCGCAGTCGGTCAGAGGACCACATAGTGCACATGGATTCCCAAGTTCCAAAATCTTGTAGCAGCCTCCAGCCTCAGGCCGCGTTCAGGGATAGGCGGCAACTGAGGTGCGGCGCTCATCTCGGATAGGCGTCCACTGGCGGGTGAGGGTCGGTCCGCTGGCGCTGTTGGGGAAGGTGATCTCTTCCTTCCAGCCGAGGATACCCCACGGAGCCGAGTGCGACGGCTCGATGCTTCGCAGCACAGCCTGGATAGGAATAGAGTCGGGTACACGCCCAGCCAACACAGCATCCACCGCGCGCAGGCGGCGGGCTTCACGCTCCGCTACAACAGACTGGACAACCTGGTATCTCGTTTCGCCACTGGCCCAGGCATTGTGGTGTCCGGGCACAGCCTCGAGGAACATCTTGAGGTAACCAAAGGGCATGTTGATGAGAAGGCGAGAGAAAGCGGTGCGGAGAGAAGCGGCGGCCTGCTGACCAAGCTTGGGCGTGGCCTGCGCAGCATCGTCACCATCGTTGGCGATGGTCAGATCACCAAACTGTATCTGGCGACTCTGAGACATGGAGCCAGATGCTCGGTGGCCCTTAACAACCACAGGCGAGGATGAATCCTCAGCAGCGCGCTTGCTCGGGGAAGGCGTGTCGTATGGCAGACGGACGAATACGGGTCTGTTGGCCATGGTGGTGTCGAGATTGAAGTCCCTGGGGAGCTCACGAAGCATAAAGTCAACCACGGAGCTCAGCAAGATGCGCGAGCCTTCGAAGAACCGGAAGTTTTCGTAGGAGCCCTTGTCCTCGTAGTTGGCCAGGGCAAGCTCGAAAGCTTTCTCAAACGTTTGGGCATTAACAAGTCGGGCCGCCAGTTCGCAGCCGCGATAGGCAACGGGACCCAGCCTGAGACTTTCTCCAGCAGCAGCATATGAAAATGCATAGTTGAATTGCTGCATGGGGGTGCCGAATGCTGTGCAGTTTTCCCCAGGTGGAGGCATCGACTCGAGTAGGGGGTGCCCGTACAGGGAGTGGATGGCCAGGTAAAAGCTATCGAGCTGGATCATGGGGTTATTTATGTAGTAAGTCAGGGACTGAGGGAGGGACTGGGTATTCTGCTTCTGCATCACCTCGCACAGAGAGCTGCTGCGCGAAAATATGAGGCGATGGCCATGAATCGTGTACTTCTTAGGCTCTTGTCCAGCCGCGCTTGGAAATATCAAATTGAGCGTGCAGTCGGAGAAGGTGGGATCGCCGAAATGTCTCGCAACGTGGTGAGCCAGGCCACGAGAGTCATTGTCAGGACGCGTCATGGGAGTCGGGCTTGTTTGAGTGCCTGGGAACGCGGGCCCTCGTCCCTGTGCGTCTGCGCCAAAGCCAGGTGGCTGACGAGGACCGGCATGGGCGAATCGCACATATGGGCCAACATCTTCCGGGATCGACGAAGACTGAGAGTCGTGGTAGCTGTGGGGCGTAGGTGGAAATGCGCCCCCAGGGTAATAGGGCTCCGCGGGTGGGAATGGCATGTTGGATCCGCCAAATGCGCCCATCTCATTGCCAGGAAGCACAGGGAGGCCAGGCGGGGGAGGCCCGCCATGCGCAAACCCGCCTGAGGCATGGGGCACGAACGGTGGTCGACCTGCGTGGAGTGGCATACCCTGAGGCGGCACAAGGCCGGCAGACAGCGGATCGGGCGAAGGGTCCCTAGCATCGCGGAGAGCACCAAACTGTAGGGAGGGGTGGGGTCTGTGGGTGAAGACAGGTCCGTTGGGGGTGAACTGGGAGCCTGGGGGGCCGTCTGCATGCGCTGGCACATGGTGAGCGACAGGGACCGACATTCCGTCGCCGGCGGGGTGCTGTGCGTGGATGTTCTCGTTGGCAATGGAGGACGCTGGTCGAGTAAGCATCGGAGCTGGTAGGCTGGACCGCATGGACTTACCAGGACGCGGCTTGAACTCCTCGACATGTCCGTTCAGCGCCTGGTTGCTCTCCTGGTGCTTGTGGCCATTGGCCTGGGCTTGCGGCTTGGTCTCTTCGGGGCCGGTTGTAGGAGAAGCATTGAAAGGCTGCGCGGCATCCGGCGTGGAGGATTCATCATTCGCATCTGGAGATAAGTTAGCGCATGGCCAGGGTCAGCATCAGAAGAGGGCACTTACTTTCAGCGACGGTGGGACCATCGGTAGACGCTGTGGGAGGCGGAGATGGATTGCCGTGAACCTTGAGACTTTCCGCATTGACCTTTGTCGTGTTTGTGGCCGGACTCGCGGGCGAGGAAGAGCCAAGCTCGGATTTGGCCGCATCACTACCTTTGGTCTCCGAAGCCGGAGTAATGGGGCGCTGGCGAGCAGCTGCGGCAGCAGCTTGTCGTTTGAGATGCGGCAGTGGAATGGCTGGTTTGATTTGCATGGGCCTGCGGGCGACGCGAGGCGCCTCAACGGACGTGGTGACCATGATGGCGAGTGATGTGTGGTCGTCGGAGGTATCGATGCGGTTTGGGTCGAGGGGATGATGGCGAGTCTGATCAAGATCCGGGTGTTGGTTGGCGAGACGGGATGGGGTTTGAAAAGAAGCCCTGGTTCCGGATCTTGATTTGAGTGACTCTTCAGGTACGGAATTCGTGAGGCATGGATGCCTTTGTCTAAAAGAGCTCGAGGTGAGCGATGCTTTTATAGTGCATGCGATTTCGCTTAAGGTTCGTGGATTGAGTTCGGTGCGTTTGCGAGGCAACACAAGGTGCGGGCGGTTGGCTTAGCTTGCTGACCATGGAGAGTAAGTAGGTAAGGAACGGGACAATGGTAACCAAGGAAGTGAAGACTGATGATGCTGGGAGGACCACCTGGCTGGTGACCTTCCGTGATGCGATGCAGTCAACAGGAGGGTCTGAAGGTCGAAAGAATGATCTCAGCCAGCGGAGAGGATGATGGGCGAGGGAAAAATTGGGTCTGTCGTCACATTTTTATTTTCTACCCACCTCCAGCCCGTCCGCCATTATTACCTGCTGAAGAGCCTCAGCGCAGGCGCAAAGCTAGCTGAGTTAGCGGCGACCCTGAGGCGCCTAACAAAGGCTCTTCTGTTGCCAGGGTCCAGAAATCAACTCTAAAGAAGAAAGGGAAAAAAAAATTAACTTCATGACATTTTCTGAATTTGCCCATGCTGTGTGCGTAGACTGCGAGAAGACGGACCAACTGTCCGCTCTTTTCTGTCGATTCGCTGCCCCCCGCAAACTGTGCCTGAAGCTTCCATGCCAAGGGCGGAACTGGGCTAGCGGCGGCTTAATCTCGGAAGGCCTTTGTGGAAGTCGCGACTCCATCGAAGTCGGTCCCGAAGCTCACGACATCTAATCGTGTGCCTCACATCAAAGACACGCCTGCACCAAATTGATTCCTGACAACATGAACGCCTCATGCATTACTGATCTTTTGCAGTACATCCTATTCCTCCAGCTCTTCAACAATCTTGGGCAAGATTACATCGTCAAACTGCCACAACAATGTCTGGAAGCCAGGGGCCCAGGCACCTCCCGTCCACCATGTGCTCTGACGACCCTGCAGCGCGTAGAGGTCCTGGATGAAGCCAGCCCTGACATCCTCAGCCGACGCGCGCGCGTGCATTGGTCCATGCGTGTTGAAGTCGACATATGACACCTTCTCGTCAGCTTCACTGTCAATCACACCAGCCTTAATGAGCGTAGAAAAGTCGGCTTGCAGCATGTCCTTGGCACCCTGAGCGGACAGGCCCTCCTCTCCCACCAGCGTGATGCGGAACTTGTGTCCCGGACCCAACCAGTCGATTCTAGGCGTGTTGGGCGCCTCGGGCAGGATGAGAGAGTGGTCGGGCGCAGCAGCAGACGGCATGTTGAAGTACGACCTCCCCTCTTCGAGGCCGGCATTGTCAACGATACCCGTGTAGACAGCGGAGAAGTGGAACTTTGACAGCACCTCGCGCGCGGTTTCGTCGATACCGAAAGGCGCCAAGTTGTTCTTGGAGGGCTCAATAGCAATAAGGAGCTTCTTGGCCAAGACCTTGGTGATCTTGCCTGTCTCGAGGTCCTTGACTTTGACCTCAACACCCTTCTCTGTGTGCTTGGAGGAGGCGACATTGCTGCCGTACAGGACGCTGTTGCCGAGTACCTCGCCAACGGCATCATATAGATCCTGGACGCGGCCTGAAGCCAAGGAGAAAAATGGCTGACGCCCGACAACACCACGCGCATTGGCTCCGCCAAAGGCCTGGAGAGCGAACAGAGTCACTTCGTTGGTCACGTTTCCGAGACCAAGGGCTGTGTTGCTGTAGATGAGAGGCATGGCATCCTCAGCATCATACTTGGTCAGGAACTCTCCAAAGGGCAGCAGGAGATCCTCAGGGATATCCTCCGGCGCAGGGAAGTTGAAGAATCCAGGGCCCTGGAAGAGTGGCTCGTACTTCTCCACGGGCACAAGGAACCTCTCAATCGCAGCGACCATGGAAGTCAACGACGCGGGAGTGTAGTCCACTTCCTCGCCCGTCTTGAAGTCATAGTAGGTGGTCGCGACCGCTGGCTGCCCGCGAGGCCCGCGCTCGATGCCTAGGCGATCAAAGAAATCTGCCGCATTGCCAATATCGGCAAACGCCACGACGCCCGACTCATAGTTTTCGCCAGTCGCGGGATCTCTGTATGAGTTCACGTGGCCACCCTAGACATGTTAGCGTTCTGCGCGCTTTGGCTATGGGCTTTGGACGGCCTCTACATACCAAGCGTTGCTCTCTTTCGATCAAAGCGATGCTCTTGCCATAGTCTTCCTGGAGACGGAAGGCTGCGTACGCACCAGAGGCGCCGCCACCGACGACAGCAACGTCAACCTCCTTCACCTCTGTGGCGGCTGCGAGTGTCGCCAAGGCCAGCAGGCCGGCCGTAGCAGTGAAGCGTGGCATCTTTGAACAGGCAAGATTGCGAGAATGCGTGAACAAGACCTGTCTCGAGCGCTGAATGCTGTCGGCGCGCAAGCACGCTCTTATAAACGACAAGTACCCTTCAGAGGCGAGGCCTTGGCCTGTGGGCGGTGAGGTAGGATCCTGCAAGACTCTGCAACGATTGCGCTTATTGTGGCGACTTGCAAGTTGATATCAATCTATCACTTGCAGAAGCCAAACGCTGTTGGTCCGTTACCTGCTTCAGACCTCAGGTCCCAGTCCACAGTTGGCCGCTCATGCATGACCGGGTCTTGTGCTTGTTCTAGGCGCCGCCCATCTGAGTCTAATTCTAGGTTCTAACCGAGCCTCGAGGATCTGTACCTGGACCGTGCGGTGGGCCGGGCCGCAGGACAACAAATCCTTGTTTGGACCGTGGCCTTGGCTTGAGGATTCGAGGGATTCCAATGCTTGTCCCAACGACCAGTCTATCTCCTGGGCAGTTGAACTTTCGCGGGCAGTGACCAGTCTAATTAGGCCAGCATCCTTGACCATGGAGATTGCTCAACCTCTCCCTTGACGATCACAGATGGCAAGCTTCGCTATCTGGATCTGAACGCCAAGATCGAAGCCGTGAAACAAACGTTTGGTGGCCAGCCGCTAGGCAATCAAGGTACGATGGACCTGGATGAGACCCTTGTCGCTGGTTTCCTTCGGCCGAAAGACTCGATCTTGGCATTGAAGTCTAGACGCATGTATGTTTTCGGGTTTAGGCGACTAACGGCATTACACCTCACACACTTTGATCAGCGAATGGAATAACGACTATGTGGTGGAATCCGACTTCAGTGTGGAAGGCTGTGCTTTTTCAACGCTGCCTTGTTCAAGTACGAGACTCATCGACACCTGGCTTGTCACCGGGCCAATTTCTCCCGTCAAGAGACTGAAATACATATACATTCATTTTCCGCTTCCAAAACACCTATACCAAGTGAGACTTGATCTCCAGCCCCTTGGCGCCCTGCCAATGGGTCACGACGCCGGACCAGCTCTCCTCGCTATATCCCTCCTGCACCTTCTTGCACGTCCTCAGCCCCCACTCGCTAACGCCCATCATCAGGCAACTCTCAAACATGAACGCACAGCTCCCCTCGCCGACCTTTTGCGGCTTGAGCTCCGCCCCCCGCGCGCCCTCGTGACTCGCGGCATCGGGTCCGTGGCCGCTCATGACATTGTGCAGCGACGCGCCGCCGGGCACGAAACCACCCGAGCCGCCGCGCTTAGCGTCGTACCCGCCAGTGATCAGGCCCATGAACTCGGACATGGTGTTGCGGTGGTAGTACGGCGGGCGGAAGGTGTCCTCGCCCACGAGCCAGCGCGGAGGGAAGATGACAAAGTCGGCCACGGCCGTGCCGGGGAGAGGGGAGGGCGCGGAGAGCACGGTGAAGATGGACGGGTCCGGGTGGTCAAAGGAGATGGTGCCAATGGTGTTGAACCGGCCCAGGTCGTACTTGTAGGGGTAGTAGTTGCCGTGCCAGGCGACGACGTCAAAGGGGGTGTGCGGCTGGGTCGTCGCAAAGAGGGCATTGTTGAACTTGACGGTGACAGTGTGCTTGCGGCCGCCCTCGGACGCGGTCCTGCCCACGTCCTCTGTGAAGCAGGCGACGGGGACCTGGAAGTCGCGCGCGTTGGCGAGGCCGTTGGAGCCAATGGGGCCCAGCTCGGGCAGCTTGAAGTGGCCCTGGTATAGCTCGAGGGCATAGCCGCGCGCGGGGCCCGAGGGGAGGAAGACCTGGTACTTGACGCCGCGCGGGATGACGGCGATCTCCATGGGGCGGACGAGTAGCCAGCCAAACTCGGTGCGGATGTCGAGGTCGCCCTCCTGCGCGACGATGAGCAGGTCGCCGTCCGCCGAGTAGAAGGCTGACGTCTCGTCCATGCTCTTGCCTGCGGCGTAGATGAACATGCCCAGACCTTGCTTCTGAACGGGATCCCCTGCGCCGGCGACGAGCTTCAGCCCGGAGACAAAGTCAAGGTCCTTCGACTCGTCATGGTCAAAGGGATCCCAGCGGAGCTGGTTGGGTATGTACTTGAGCTCCTCCCCCTTGGCCCATTGTTCCGTCGTCGCCTCGGGCGTGGGCGCGTAGGGTGGGTGCGCGCAGGACGGGAGGATGCGGTAGAGCCAGGTCTGCTTGTTCTCGTGGCGCGGCGCGGTGAAGGCGGTTCCGGAGAGCTTCTCGGCGTAGAGCCCAAGCGCGGGCTTTTGCGGCGAGTTCTGGCCTACGGGGAGGGCACCGTCAATGGCGGATGACCTGGAAGGCGGATTAGTCTCGGCACCGCTCCCGCTTCCGTCAACGCGGCGTACTCTAGGTGGCTGTCGAAGCCATTTTGGTACCTGTACTTCTCGGCGGTGCTGAAGGTTGTGAAAGGCATGGTGGTGCACTGGTGACAGGTCGACGCGTACAAGAGGTGTGTGTAACCGTGTGGTCAATCACCAGTCAACGACGGGCGATACTGTCCCATCTTTTAAGTGTTCCATGCGGCCTGACGTTGCGCGTGTCTAGAAGACGATCTTCCCACATCGTTGGTCCATGGGACATGCGAAAGAGAGGAGACGCGGGAGGAGACGGCTATCCTCGGCGCTGAGGCCGCCCGGACGCATTCCGCGGCGGATGTAATTGCGCACTAACAGCTCGGCTGCTGCGCAACTAGCCGCGCTGTTAGTACACCATCACTTACACCACACGGATCGCTTCTTTCCTCCGCGCACCGGACTCCGAGAACGAATCTCATCCCCGGAGAGGCAAGACGATGACTCTATCATGTCAGGTACATTACCGACGTGACATTTGTCAAGTGGGCAATGCAAGGAACGCTCTACCCATCACCGGCTCATGGCATGACATCTGGAAGCAACATGGCCGCGAGGACCGTTGATTGCAATACGACAAGACCTGCAACTAATACATCAAAACGGCCCAACGCGTCTTGACACGGGCCGCTCAATGCCCCGACCGAGAATATCTAATCACAATATCCCGCTCGCGCCAGGCTCAAAACTCTCCGTACCCGCTGAGCCATAACTAGAACAAATGTTGAAAAGGGAAGACTATTGGATACAGACAGACATCAGGTGGGTGTTGGGGCGGGTGGGAGAGTCATTACTCGTCCCCCTCGGTCTTGCCCTTCTTCTTCTTCTTGCTGCTGGCGTTGCCGCCTTTCGGCATGGAGCTCGTGGGCTGCTTCTGCAGATGGACGACCAGCCGGGTCCAGGACTCTTCCTTGTCCCACTCGAAGCCTGCGAGGTAGGGGTTGTCGAGCTCGTCGTCGGACTGCGGCCAGGTCAGTACAAGGTCTTGTTAGACGAATAAATGAGTGAACGCACCCTCTTGCGGAAGGCCTTGTAGATGACGTCAAGGGCGTCCTTGATGGTGACGCCCCTCATGTTCCGCGCGGTCACCTCCATGCCCAGCGGGAAGTGAAGATCAATGCGCTTCACGGGCGGTTTTGTCAGGTGCAGCTTGAGGATGTCGGGGTCCTCCACGGTGGACGGGCTCTTGTTGATTTTCCTGCGAGTTGTCAGATACATGCACGCCTCTGGCAAGCTCCTAGAGGCAGGTACTTACCACCCAGTCATCTGAGTCTCAACGGCGAGCTCAAGCTCCGTCCCGTCCTCCTCTGCTCGTGGTTAGACTGACATTTCACACGCGCGCTCTGCCAATCTCACTCACCCAGGTCAAGGATGTTGTACACGCCAGGCACACTAGAGCTTTTCCGGCGGGTTGTCTTTTCCTCGGTAGGTGATGACGAGAGGCCTTGAACGGCGGAGTCGACCTTGGTGAGCGGTTCTGTCATGGTGGTGGTTTGCTGTTGTGCTTAGGGTGGTAGTGAGGTGGAAAGCTAAGCACCGAGTCCCAAGTCAGCGGTGCTCGTCACAAAGGTTTGATCAATTGCCCGCCAGCGCTGCAGCTGTACAATGCGTTTAAGGCATGCTGTGGGTTACCGACCTTTCGATAGATACAATGGACTGAATCACAAGCAATGGGTGATGCGAGGATGAAAGAGAAGAGAAGGGAGCTGATGATGTGAAGGAGGGGAAAGCTTGCTTTAAGAAGAGGGGAAGGCGGGCTATGAAGGGACCGAAATCCGGAGACGAGAGTGACTTGCCCTCTGTTCGGGGTGTACATGAGGCATCGCGCCTGCCCCCGGTGTGGCCAGTGTGACCGACCAGCCCGTCAGAGGTACCTCACCATACCAGCCCGTGAGCATGTACGCTGCCGTGCCCCTGAGGTCGGCTGCAAAGCTTCGTCAGACCGAGCGGGGTAAGATTGGATTGCTACAATCTGCGTTTTTGGGGTGAGCCAGTTCGATCGCGTGACTACGTATTGGAGAATGGGCTAGGCGTGTAGCTGTGCTCGAAGGGTCCAGGCATTGGAAGGTCTGGTCATGCTCACACTGCCGGCTGCATCGGGCCTAGCGCCGTGCTGCTGCAAGCAGGACAGTGGACAGTCCGGGGTAGAGCGCTCGGAATCCGGGGAAGCTGGTCAGACCCACTGGCCTACAGGCTTAGACTGGGTAGCCAAGCAGGTAGTTCATCAGGCAAGGGCTGAGGATAGCTCTCATTGTTATCAATTGCATCAGATTGGGCGATACAGTTCGACGGAGAATCGTTTGGAGAGAAGGGGTGCCTGGGCCACAGTGTGCAGGAGGTGCTGAGGGACAGCGCGTGATGAGGGGTGCCAGCAGTGTGAGTTCGATGCCCTCCCCGTTGATGACGCGAGATCGACCGTCTATCACAGTGCCACTCAATTGGCGCGCAGTGACCCCTCTCGGAGACATCGGCTGCGCTCTACCTACCTGCGCCAGGCCGCGACGGGCTGTGGAATGGAGTTGATGTAGGAACCCAGCCAGTCGACAAATGGCGCCAGGACTCGCATCTGCTATCTGTTATGGCGGCGTGCATGCATCGGTGAAACCTTGATAGCGTAGGCGTCCTCTTTTGCGGGGACATGTCTACCTCGCTGAGTTAACGAGGGCGGGAAGGAGTGGCGCAGTCTCCAATAGAGGAATGATAAAGAAGCCCCGAGACCTATGATGCTGCGGCTGAGAGAAGTCGTCCGTCTCGCGCATCAACAAATTCCTCCATCGAAGTTGAAGGATGTGTATCGGAGTGTCACCGGATGAGTGCAGCGGGACACTCCAATGCATGCGGTCCAGTCCTTGCCAAATGCGCCGCGTCAGCATCGCAGTTCCATTTCACCACAGCGTCCTCCTGCAGATCAAGCAAGATTGTCACTGTCATTCACAGCACGACAAGTACGGTTTCCTGAACGGCAGGGGGTTCGCCAATGGACGATATTCGTCAACGCAGTCTTGCTCAGCATGTCCGACGACCTACCCTATAGCGAACGTGAAAGGAAACTTGCCATAGCCGCAGGTAGAACAACGCAGACGTGGGCTGGGGACGAATTTCATCTTTTGAGCTGAATAGCTGATACTCGTGTTCAGCGACGTCTAGAACATGTCTTGGCGCTCCAACTTAGCCGGCAGCCTTGCATTCGACATCAAACACTGTGGTGGAGTTGGACATGTGTGTGAACTGACGCATCAACCTTGGCAGTATCACTGGTGCGCAGGTGCTCTGCCGACAGCGACTGGACTCGAGTTGCTTGGATTTCGTCCACTGCACCATCTACGCCTCAGCGAGTCAGCGCCGTGCAAAACTTTGTCAGGACTCAGGTCAGCTATCGACAATCCCATGGCTAATGGGACGTTGTGGGGTGCTGCGATATACTTACCCGAAAGTGCGTTCAAATGAATGCTCAGGGTTCAGCGACGACGGACGAAGAACGATGAATTCATGTTTTCACTGCATAGATATCTAATCGTTGCAGCAGCGCTCGAGTGCCTCTCATCAGAGAAAGCGACTCGGGGTGAACGGCCCGAGTGATGGCGTTGTTTGAAGTCCTCGTGGGAAGGCTGCTGCCACGATTGTCGTTCTCCGCTCTACTCGTACCCATCGTCCTGAACCGAAAACCCCCTTTCTTCGATACTGAAATCTGCATCGATCGCCATGGGATTCGTCAGTCGTGGCAAGATGAAAGATTGTCTTGAACCAGGCCCACTGCCGAGCTGGAACAGGCGCACAGCCACGCTGCCCACAGGGCTCGAGTCGTCAGTCGAACGACTGGATTGTGGGCGGAGTGCGCCAATCTTCCCCAGTCAGGATCACGGCCAAAGCCCAAAGGCCAGAAGTCGCAAATGTCTTTACGGAGTATGCCCGGGAGTTATAGAAAATCCATGCCTTGATCTGCTGGCCGTGTCGTGCAGTTGCGCGGCCTTTTGACGCCACAAACCCGCTTCGGCATGTGGCGCGTGCTGCAAAACCTTGGACACATGCTTAACGTGCGCACGCGCGAGTGGGGGACGCGCAACCTTCCCCTGGGTGCCAACGTCACCCTTTTCGTTGGCGCACGACAAGTCGTCGTCGCAAGACCACACTGACGGACGGTCAGACAGACTTTTCCCTAGGCATGAACCAATTCGTCAGCCTCTGAGTAAGGCCGCGACTCACCATCACCCTCCGAAACCCTAACTATCACTTCTTCTTTTTTCTCTTCCTGCTCCAATATCCCCCTCGGCAAGTGATGGGCAATCGGTGGACATCTTGGTGCCATGTACAGGTCTCATTTTTCCCTCATTCGATCATGAGATATGCCACCCGAAGACTACCCTGAGTCCGTCGACAGACCTGGGACCACCGTTACCACGCACCCACCACGCCAAGCGGATGAAGCAGCAGCAGCCAGAGACGTCGCAAAGCCGCCGCTGCCCAGCCTCTCCTTCTGCCGCCGCCGCGAAGAGAGCATCGCCATCCAGCTCCCCCACGTCATTGCAGGATGTCTCGTCGGCGCCTTTGCGACCACCATTGCGGACCGGCTCGGCAATGCGCTGCTCACGCACTACTACATTGACGACCAAAAGGTGCCGGTCAACCTCGACAGGGTCTTTGACCGTCTCATGACCGAGTTCACCGGCCAGATCTGGGATGAGCTCTGGGATTTCTACTACGCATCCAACGCGCAACATGGGCGCCAGCTCTCGCTCCTCTTCGAGGGGCCTATCTGCCAGATGGTCCTCGTCCTCAACGGACCCGAGCTGTCCCGCTGCGTCCTGGACAAGATAGCACCCGGCCTGTCGCATAGACCGACCTCGTGGACCGAGGCCGCCAACGGGATCGACATCCACCTCGCCCTGCAGGTCGTCTGTCGATGGTGGGACACGGAGAAGAAGGCGCGCTCGCCGGGCGGCAATCCGGACGACATTGCCCGCACCATTGGCTCCCACCTGCTCAACGGCAAGGCGCTCGCCCACTTTGTGCGTCGCATCCGCACGGTGCTGTACTCGCCGCACCACGTGCAGATGCACCTCATGGAGTCGGCGGCGTGGGATATCTTACTCAAGAGGCGCATGCCCCCGCCAGCCGACGGCTACCACGTCCTGCAGTTCCGGTTCGAGTGTGACCCGCGCCAGCGCATCATGGAGCAGGGCCACCTGGACGTGGAGGCCTTTCCCGCCGTCACCGGCACGGCGGGGGAATGCGTCGCGACGACCGTTGGCGACTATGCGACGAAGCAGTGGCCGCGATGTGGTCGCGTGGTGGTCGGTGCGGTTCGGGATGCCCTCCGCGCGGCCGCGCAGTCGTCGCAGCAGGGCCAGGGCTTCGCGGGCATGTCATTCTGGGACGATAGCGATCCGGACGCCGTCCTTTCGCCGGGCCTTCGCCTGCTGCACGTCGAGATTGAGGAGGGCATGATCCGGCTCAGTACCTCGGCGTGGCTGTTGGCGTTCACCTCCGTCACGCAGCTCATGGCATGGCTCTGCGCGACCCTGAGCTCGTCCCCGTTTCCCGAGGCGGTCTCCGAGTGTTGTTTGCAGATCACGCACTGGGAGCACACGCGCGAATCCACATTTATCAGCTGCAGCCTGGCGCATCGAGCGGTGCCGGCTGGCGAGGGCGTTCCGTGGTTGCATCAGCGGCGTGGTGTTGTTGTAGTTCCTGGGTTTCCTATAGAAGAGCATATAGCGGGGAGTATAATGTAATGGAAATTTTGGATATGGGTTTTTCTCTTCTTGCTATCGACGTTCTCTATGCACTGTTCTTTTTTAGTTAGGCGGACTTGGCATCACGCTCATGGCTCACGCAGACCCCGGGCGAGGGGACCGGAGAGCAGCTCCGCCTCACCATCCTCCGTCACGAGGTAGATGTCCTCGTGCCTCACGCCAAACTTGCCCTCCAGGTAGATGCCCGGCTCGTCGGTAAAGGTCATGCCCGCCTGCAGGAGGACGTCCTTGTTCCACTTGTTGAGGTAGGGCGACTCGTGGGCTTTGATGCCGATGCCGTGACCCAGGCGATGGGTGAACCCGTACCCGTAGCCGGCGTCCTCAATGACCGTCCTGGCGGCAATGTCAATGGATGCAGCTGAGGCATTGGGCTTGAATGCGGCGGCGGCCGCCGCCTGGGCCTCGAGCACAATGTGCCACACATCGTCCTTCTCCTGGGCCAGGGGATCCTTCGTCTTGTAGTGGTCGCACGGCGGGTCGATAAGGAAGCTGCGGCAGATGTCGGACGAGTAGCCCATGTAGTGCGCACCGACGTCAATAACAACCATGGTGTCGTAGGTCAGCTTGGCGCCGCCGGTGACGAAGCCACCGTGGGGCAGAGCACCGTGCTCCTCAAAGAGAACAATGTTGAAGAAGAGGCTGAAGCCGATGGACAGCATGGAGTTGTCCAGGATGGCGGTGACCTCGTCCTCCGTCAGCCCCGGGACGAGGCAGGGACGCATGGCACGGACAGCCTGGACGGTGCCCGTGTTGACGGCGCGCAGGAGCTCGACCTCGGCGCGGCTCTTGGTCTGGCGGACAAGCTCGGCCTCTGGTGTCAGACCGACTGTCGTGAAGCCAAATTTGCCCAGACCGCGGACGATGTAGTCCCGGATCTCCTCATCCGCCATGAGCACAGGCTCCTCCATGTCCTTGAAGAGGTGCGACTCGCGCAAGGTGGTGTACGGGTTCCAGTGCTCCTCCCAGGCGACAATGTCGAGCTCCTCCTCGCGGGAGGGGATGCCTAGCATGCGGACACGTCCGGCCTCGAAAGCAGGCGACAGGAAAGCCGTCTTGGCGGTGACCTCGCCCTCATCCGAGGTCTGGGGCATGATGAGCATCAAAAAGGGCCGCTCCTCGGGCTCCCACGGCTCCCAGTCCACCTGAGAGATGTTGCCGTAGTACTGGAAGGTGTAGCCGGGCTCAAGGACGAAGGCGTCCACGCCATTCTTGTCCAGAGCCTTGGCGAGGCGGTCGCGCCGCTCGAGGAATTCCTCAGGCTTGATGGGGACGGCATTGTCAAGGAACCACGTGTCGGACTTGAGGTTGTCAATGGAGCACTGCTGGACCCTGTCAAAGTCTGGGTGCCCTTGAGCGCTCAGGGGACGATGGCTGGTGTCGAGCTGATCGAGCAAGAGGCTCTGGTAGAAGAAGACGACGGCGAGAAGCGCAGTGAGCGTGAAGAGAGCTATGTGGCTACGTCGCGAGGTTGTCGAGAGACGAGGGGCCGGGCCTTGGGCCTCGAGGCTCACTGATTTCTCCATGATTGACTGACTGTGGGAAGACAATCATGGCAGAGGAGAGGAGACGGGAGAGCTGGCTATGTATCCGATCCCGTACTGCATCGTTGCGTCGGGCGAGGGCCGATGACGGGGGACGTCAACGGTCAATGGCCGGATCTCTCCACTCCGAGAGGGCGCGATGTGGGATGCTGTGGATATCCCAGCATGGGAGCGTGGAGATGAGTGCGAGAGTAAGCAGGCGTTCCTTGTTAGGTACGAGTCGCACTGCTGATGGACGCTTGTGCAGACGGCGAGCCACGTTTGCTCCCTAGATGGATGCCACGAGGGCGCTGCCAGGGATGAATCGCTTCAGCTTGGCAAGGTGGATTGTTCCAAGAAGAGACTGGAGTCTGAGGGTGAAGAAAAAAGGCTTCGTCAGCGTGCGCCCCCTGACACGAGCCGAGCCACATGGGCGCAAGACACTGCTGCTATCCGTACTGAGGCAGGAACGACTGCCACCGTGACACCGTCCAAAACGCTCCACTCCCACTGCACCCGCAAAGGCAAGACATGAATCTTCAACCCCCTCGGACCATCGGTATCTTGGCTCTCCAGTCCTCCCAAGAAAGCTCAGCGCCGACGAACCGGCTGCCATGGTCAATATAATAGACCGTCCGGTAATTCCCAAGGTATGCACGGAAACATGGCCAAGCGCGTCTTCGCCACCTTATCGAGGCGCTAGCCTCTCCGTGGAGGGTGGAATGCCCGCGCGCTATTTGCTGCCATGGCTTGCTCTGGAGATTATTGATTGACTTTGCGCGTTCCTGACCAATTCGACCTCCTATTCCATGCTTCTCTAATTATTTCCTCCTTTTGCCCTCTTCTTGCTCGATGACCTGCTTCCTTTTGCAGGTGGTCGCTACACGCCGACATGCACTCGCCAGATTGACAGCGTCATACCGAACAGCAGCACCATGATCGACCTGTGCGCCGCGCGCTCTGTGCGGATAGCGGCTCTAACGATCCTGATCTTCCTCACCACGGGCTACCTGCTCTCTGCCTCTACACTGGCCTTTGGATGGCGCAACACCTTTGCGCCGGCGAGAATCGAATCCTGGCCCTACATTGAGGTTGTGGTACCCGAGGGGAAGAAATGGCCCTATCGCAAGTTCAAATCCTCGGCGTGGATGCCCCCCAACATGACGATTACGCGGAACGAAGGGGCGCTGGCCAAGGGCTACTACATCTTCACGGCAAAGAACAGGGGTCCTTCGGGTGGTCTCGTACAGAGTGCCCCGGTCATCATGACGGACGACAACGAGCTGGTGTATGCGCACGACGGGCCTTATGGCGCCAACAACTTTCGCGTCCAGGAGGTCAACGGCAAGCCCCACCTCACTGTCTGGCTCGGCGAGAGTGTCACCGGTCACGGATACGGCCAATTCCACACCATTGACGAATCGTATCAAGTCCAAACGAGTCTCTTTTCCGGCAACATTGCACCGCAGTCGCTGGCGGCAGGGAAAAAGGCACCAGGGCTATCGGACTTTCACGAGCAAGAGATGACGGAGCGAGGCACGGTCTACATGGTCGCGTACAACAACACGCAGGTGAACTTGACCTCCATTGGCGGGAAGGAGGACGGTTGGCTCTCCGACAGCCTGATCTACGAGGTCAACATGACGACCGGCGAGACGCTCTTCACGTGGAGCGCCAAAGACCACATCCCCTTGGAGGCGTCGAAACTGCCCATCAAGTCGTACATGGGGGATGGCTCAAAGGGGCACCCTTGGGATCACTTCCATATCAACTCGGTGCAGGAGATTGGGGAGAACCTGCTGATTAACAGTCGGCACACCTTTGCCATGTACCTCTTGAGCCGGAAAACGGGCGAGGTGCTCTGGGAGCTGAGCGGGCGCGGCGAAGGGGGCGACTTTGGCCCCCTGGCCGAGGCGGATCGGTTCAAATGGCACCACCAGGCGCGAGCGCACAACGTCACCGAGGACGGGATGACGATCAGTATCTTTGACAACCACAACATGCAGCAGGACAACGGGACAGCGCCGACGAGAGGTCTGGTACTGAGAGTCGACCTGCCGCCCGACGCCTCCAAGCCGCCGACCGTGCTGCGCAGTGTACGCGGGGACAAGCCCTTTTACGTGGGCAGCCAGGGTAGTTACGATCCCGCACTGGAGAACGGGAACCAGCTCATGTGCTACGGACCGGTCCCCATGATCCAAGAGTTTGGGTCGGATGGCAAGGTGCGGTGGGAAGGCCGATTTGGGCGCGATGAGACGGTGCAGAGCTATCGTGCGTTCAAGAGCGAGTGGCATGCCACTCCCACGGACTGGGACCCGCGCCTCCACGTGGAGAAGATCCACGACGATACTCTGAAAGACGAACAACAAGTGGAGGGCTATGTGTCCTGGAATGGCGCGACGGATGTGACCGGGTGGAATATCCATGTACGGCGCGGGGGCGTGTGGTCCAAAATGGGGCGAGCCGACAGGAAAGGGTTTGAGACGGTGTTCAGGGTCGCTGCGCCCGAGGGCTGCGTTGTTGTCGGCGCGGTCATGGACGGTGTAGAGGTCAGGCGGTCGAATGAGGTCTGTCTGTGAGGGAGAATGGGAGGGTCTGATTCTTCGTCCTTCAAAATCGTCTTTACATGATATCTTATCTCTGTCATATCACCCTCGCTTTCCAGTGTCCACACACTCGTACCCATCCAACATCCATGGCCACCGATGACCCGCCCGACGTTCCAGCGCGTGAGACAGCCACGTACGCCACCATTCCTCTCGGCGATGCGCTCCGCAGCCTCTGGTCTGGTTTTGTGACGGACCCCTTGACGGACACGTGGAAGATCAAGGGTGTCAAGAGCATGGCGCTGTCTGGATTTTGTGGCGTGGGCGTTCTTGAATGAATGCCCTCATGCTTCCGCTGTGTCGGTGATGGGCGAGGAAAGAGGAGGCGCTCGCTGTGGCGCTTGTTGTAGATTAGAGGTTGCGAAGAGACCGCAAATGCATTGGGTAGATGCAGATGTCCCTTGCATCACACACTCTTCACTCCGCGTGGGTGGTGTACCCTTGCTCATGCAGGTCATCGACAGCCATACGCGTAGATCTTCAGGTAGTGCATCCTGTCCAACGTCACCTCCCCCTCGGCGTCGAGTCCATTTCGTACGCGTCCACCGGGCCCGACTGCCAGCCCATGCTGCCCGCCGCCTTTCTAGTCGACGCACTCGGTGTCAACGGCGAGACGTCGCGGCCCCCCTCCTGCAGAGGCCAGCCACCACCGCTACTCGGACTCTCCAGCTCATGCGAGGCAAAGTGCTGCGTACGCGCCGCGCTCTCCTGGGCCGGGAGCTCGTTGGAGCGTGTCTGCGGCGGGAGCTCGCTGATGCCCGAGTCGGCGAGCTCCTTGCGGTTCGCCATGTCCGTCTGCGAGTTCGCGCCGTGGAGCTCTGAATGTTGTTGCTGGTCTTGTCCGCCGTGGTAGGAGGGTGGTGCGGAGGGCACTTGTTCCTGTGCGCTGGCGCGCATCTTGCGACGGCGGATGAACCAGATGAGTGCGACGATGGCGGCGATGAGGACGACGGCACCGACGACGCTCCCTGCGATGACGGCCGTCTTGCTTGTGCCGCCGCCGCCGTTGCTGCTGCTGCCGCCGTTGCTGCTGCTGCTGCTGCTGCTGCTGCTGTTATCGTTGCTGCTCTTGTCGTCGCTGATAGTGCCCGTTTCTCCTGGCGGCGTACTGCTCGTGGTCCCCGATTCCGCGGTCGGATAAGCGCTCTCGCTCACCGACTCTGTGACCTGGGCGGTGACCTCGTCGCGCGCGGCACTACAGTAAAAGTCAAGGACGTCCAGCGCGGAGGAGACGTCGGCCGTCGCAGTGACATCGCAGTAGTACCGGACGTCGCTCGTCAGCGTGCTGCTGATAAGCCGGGACACGCCGTCCTTGATGCAGACGCAGCTCGCGAGGGCCTGCACGCCCTCGGGGCACTGCCAGTTCGTCTGCCCTAGGATGGCGTGGGAGACGGCGGACTGCGCGCAGGTGTTGAGCGACGTGTACTGCGGCAGGGCGGTGACGTGGTAGGACATGTCGCCCGGGGGCCCGGTGGGCGTGGGGAACGAGGTGGTGCCTTGGTTCATGTCGCAGTAGTGCGCGAAGAAGTCGTAGGCGAGGGTGACGTCCTCGTCGTTGGAGCAGGATGTGCTGACGGTCTTGGAGATGGTCTTGGAGACCATGTCGGCGACGCCATCCTTGGAGCAGACGCAGGGGGCGTAGAGGCTGGGTTCGGCGGGACACTTGGACAGCGGCTCGGCCATGACGGCGTAGCTCAAGCCCGTAAAGGCGCAGGGGGCGAGGTAGCGCATCTGGCTGAGGTCGGTGATGTAGGCGCTGACAATGTTCTTGGAGGGCGTGCTGAAGGCGACGGTCTTGTCCGGGTCGCAGTACTGGTCCCAGACGGCCTTGACGCTCGACTGGTCGCCCGAGGCGGTGCTGCCGCACGAGTCGGACACATCGTCGCGGATGGAGGAGAGGACCTCAGCGGAGAGTATCGCGTTCTGGCAGATGCAGGACTGCAGACCGGGGCGGTCGTCGGCGCAGGAGCCGACAAATGTTTGCGCCTGGATGGGGTACGAGATGGCATCGGAGGCGCACTGGGCCTGGAGATGGTCATGAGTACGGGAGCATCGTGGGAGGGGGAGAGTGAGTACATACCAGGAGTGAGTAGGCGGGCAGGTCCGTCACGTACTCGACCGACGCAGCAGCGTGAGCCGTAGCTGCGACGGCAGCGACAGCCAGACGGATGGCGGACACTGACAGTCTCATGGTGTCTGTCTGGTCTGGACTCGGGGGGGCTCGCTTGGGAGAAAGGGTCGCGCGTGAAGGTTGAGGAGAAGTTTGGATGGGAATTCACGACGCGATGGACGGCTGAGCTGTGGAGCCTTGGATAAAGTGCCTCGCTCCAGTCGTGAGCCGTGAGTCGTGAGGCCATTCGCGAACCCCTGGGGCTATTACTATTAGAGCCTGTCAGCTGAAAAGCCACATACATGCAGGTCCGGATCGGCAGTGGGACGGGACACCGGCTCAGCTCAGCTCCTCCTCGACTCTTGAGTCATCTCGTTGGACGTTGTTGGGGTCCATTTCTTTGTTCTGCCGTGTCTCGATGCCATGTGCACGGAGTAATTAAGTTAAGTGATGCACATTGGGCTGGATCTCAGTCTCACTCTTATCAAGGTTAATTTTGTCTCAAGACCCTGAAGTGACGAACATCCCGATCGGGAAGGGCACGCGCAGCCTGATTGGGCAGCGATCACCCGCTAATCATCTTTAGGCTTTAGCAGCCCCGTATTATAGGGCTCAGTCGCTGTCAGCGCGGAAGCCATCCCGCCATGATCGTGCTTGGTTTGACGATTGCTCTCCTCGCAAAGAAACTCTACTAATTATCGTTTATTAGAGAATTCATGCATCCAGCTCTTTTTATCCGTTGCTTCACCACTCATTGCGTGTGTTGACATGCTGCGAGTATCCTACATGTATCGTGTACCTCTCGTCCGTAGTGGCCAGTCTCACTTCCACGCAACCGTCACCCCCTTCTCGTGAGACTCCCTCGCCAGCTCGATAATCCTCAGCACATCCCGCGCCTCGCTCGCCTTGACCTGGAGCTCGCCCTTGCCCAGGATCGCATCCGCCAGACTCTCGTACAGCCCGACCCAGTGGCCCGGCAGGCTGGGCGCCTGACCGCTGTACTTGTTCGTCTCGGGCTGGTACGTCTGGAACGACGCGTCAAATTCCTTGTACGTCGTCAGCGTGCCCTCCAGACCAGGCGGCTCCTTGCCAAAGGCTGGGTCGAGCGGCTTGACGCCCTGCGCGATCTGCTCTTCTTGCGTGCATGTGCTGCGTTGCTGCCACTGCGTCTGTCAGCGACGGGACACCAATCTCAGTCCTCAAAGTACGGCACGTACCTTGATCCACGATCCCTCCGTGCCCCGGATGAGCTGCTTCAGCTGCTTCTCCATGCACGACACGACGCACGTCTTGACCGTCACCAGCTTCTCGTCCGCATACTGCAGGATGATTGTAAAGCTGTCCTCTACCTCGCTGTCGATCCCCCGCTGACTGCGGAAAAAGGCCGTCACCGACTTGGGCCGCCCAAAGAGGACGTAGGCCTGGTCAATGTTATGCGTGCCCAGACCGAATGCGTGCCCTGCGCCGGGCGTGTACTCCTTCGCCGTCATGTGCTTGAGCCACGGGGCCGCTTCAAAGTCATAGTGCAGCTCCGCCTCCATGATTTTGCCCAAGGCGTTCTTGGCGAGGAGAGACTGCAGCGTCCTAAAGTCACTGTCCTACCGCAGGTCAGCGACAGCGTTAACTTGGGGAGGAAAGACAAGAGCTGCTCACCCATCGGCGGTTCTGAAAGACCGTCAGGATGAGTCCCTTCTCATCCGCCAACTTGATCACCCTGTCCGCGTCGGCAGACGACTGCGCAAAGGGTTTGTCGACAATGGCTTCCCCTCAACGTCAGCATCACACAACACCAAGATGGGTCGAGCCATGTCCTCACCATGTTTTCCGGCCAGGAGCGCCTTCTCCGCAAACTCAATGTGCGTGTCGTTCCGCGTCGCGACGACCACCAGGTCAATGTCCTTGTCGGCAAAGAACGCCTCCGCCGTGCGGTGGTGCCGCACACCGGGCAGGTCGACCGTGCAGTGCGACCCGGGCGACTTCTCGACGGGGGCCTCGGCGCGCTGGAGGACGGCGGTGATGGTGTACGCCGGCACTGCCTGGACAAAGGGGATGTGGAACGACTTGGCGGCGTTGCCGTAGCCCACGACGCCCACTTGGATGGTCATGATGCTGGGGTCTGCAGTCAGGTCTTCAGATTGAAATGTACAACACTGGAGATGGCATACCAGCACTCGGCTGTGATATAACGACTACAGACACCGGCAATATATACGCGCGATGTCCATCATGATGCTGCCCCGCACGGCGGCTGAATTGCAAATGGGCGGATGAAGTCTGGCTGCACTCTCTCGGAGTATATGGACCGGGTCAATTGGGAGTGATCGCATCGTCATGCATTCCAAGATGTATAATGGCCGTCACAAACCACATTAATGCAGGGTTCGACATCAAAGGTCGAGAAGGATGGAGCCGATGGACCAAGGTCGCCTTTAACTTACCCGGTAGCATGGAGATCGCAGTCATCGCACGCCGGAGCCTTGAGAAGCTACGTTACATGTACGGACGTCGACAACACCGTGCTCACGTAGACGTCTGTCAGCCGTATCGTAAAACAAGGGCAGATCAACAGGGCCGAAGTCGGCTGGCCTACCGTTTCGCAAAGAAACTCTTGGGCCAAATCGCAAAGGTCCCCGTTCCATCGGCCATCTTCCGTTCGTCGGTCATCCAAGTTTCCGACGGCAATCGGCAGACAGATGCGCCTGTCGGCAAACCGTTCGTCCCAAAGAGGCAATTCCTGGGTTGATAGCACGGCGACGTGCCGACTGCTTGGAGACAACGTGAACTGAGAGGCTAACGATCAAGGAACAGAGTGAACAAAAACGCGCAACAAAGTCCATAGTACCCTTGCACTGACATTCCTTTGCCCATACAGAGAGCGCCCTCGTCCCCTTGAACCCTGATTACTGGGGCGTGCCAATGGAGCTACTGCCGAACCGGCGGAAATCGTAGCCACATGGCCAAGCTTTGCTTGAACAAAAACGCGCGTGTTGAAGAATTGCAAAGCTCGCGATAGGCGCAGCCCTGCGGACACCAATCCTATCTGTCAGACGCTATCTAGGGTCCGTCTCCAATTCTGTGGGTGAGGGTGAGGGTCGCCCAGTGCACGGTTGGGGCCCCCTGTTCAAACTTGCAGTTATGAGTCCACCTCATAAGAGGCGAGCGACCCCGACAATGGTGCCTCTAAGGCTTGTTAAACGTACGACCGTTCCTGACTCCTGACCACTACCTAGAGAAGCCTTTGTTTGGTGCTGTCTCGTTGATTCCCTCGTGCATGAGACGTCTGCTCTGCCATCCCTCGTTGAACGTGAACCGGATCGTGCGTGTCTGAGTGAATGCACTGCGTGAATCAAGAACCAAGATGAGCGCCACCAACGAGTCCGAGATCCAGGCCACGGCCCCCCACGGGCCCGTCGAGGTCAAGAAGCCCGCGTCCGACAAGGACGAGGCCAACGTCGAGACGGGCAGCATCGACGAGCCCGAGAAGGGCAGCTACAGCAAACTCTCCGTCTGGCTCATGGTCCTGTTTTCAGGCCTGGCCATTGGAAGTGATGGATAGTGAGCAGTACCAACATCTTGCTCTCTTCTTGTGCTCACACATCCCCCCAACAGCAATGCCGCCGTCATTGGCAACCTGCAGCTCATGCTCAAGGTCCTCTACCCGGACGCCCTCACGAGTGACATGTCCTCGCGCCTCAGCAACTCCTTCCTCATCGGCATGATCATCGGCATGCTCTTCTTCGGTGTCATCGTCGACCAGCTCGGGCGCAAGACTGGCGCCGTCGCCACCACCGTCCTCCTCGTCCTTGGTATCGCCCTCTCCGCCGCCGCCAATGGCACCTCCCCCCAGGGCCTGATCTGGATGCTCGTCATCGCCCGCGGCGTCGCCGGCGTCGGCGCGGGAGGCGAGTACCCCGTCTCGGGCGCTGGTGCCGCCGAGGCCACCGACGAGTCTGGCGCCTACCGCAAGCACCGTGGCTTCATGTTCGCCATGCTCGCCACCCTGTCCGCCTCGCTGGGCTACGTCTGGGCCGCCCTCGTCCCGCTTCTGCTGCTCCTGTGCGTGAGCCGTGAGGAGGGCAAGTACGAGATCGTCTGGCGCACCGCCTTTGCCCTCGGTGCCATCCCCCCGCTCGGCATCTTCTGGTTCCGCATCCGCATGGCTGTGGCCACCGCCTACCGCAACTCCTCCATGCGCAAGCAAAAGGTACCCTACCTGCTCGCCCTGAAGCGCTACTATCGTCCTTTGATTGGTGTTGCCTCGTGCTGGTTCCTCTACAACTGGATCTCCATCCCCTTTGGTATTTTCAGCTCCACCATTATCGCCCGCTCCAACGCCGGCAACAGCCTCGTCAAGAACCTCGGGTGGGGCTGTCTGATCAACTGCTTCTACCTGCCAGGTCCCTTTATCGGTGGTGTGCTGTCTGACAAGATTGGTCGCCGCAAGACCATGGCTCTTGGATTCATGATGCAGGCCGTCCTCGGTTTCGTGCTCGGTGGTGCCATGAAGCAGATTCAGTCCATCTTTCCCCTGTTCATCGTGCTGTACGGCATCTTCTTGACGCTCGGTGAGGTTGGCCCTGGAAGGTAAGGCTTGCTGCTCTTGACTGAACATTGAACTGTCAACTGACCATCCTCAGTACCGTTGTGCTCACGGCCTCCGAGTGTTTCCCGACCTCGATCCGTGGCCAGATGATGGGCTTCATCTCGGCCTGCTCCAAGGCTGGTGCGGCCGTTGGCACCCAGGTCTTCACCGCCCTGCTCAACAACTACGCCTCGACCCCTGAAAAGGGCGACCAGGTCGCGTTCCTGGTCGGCTCGGCCTTTGCCGTCCTCGGTGCTCTAGTGGCCTTCTTCGTGATTCCCGATGTCTCCCGCAATCTTGACGACGACGACGCCGCGTGGAAGGTGTACCTGGCTGATAATGGCTGGGATGCGCATTGGGGTGACACGGAGACCAAGGACCCGGCTGGTGTGATGATGAACCGTGCGCGTGATTAGGCGTGCCGATGTTGTTCCTGTATGTGCGGCCGTGTGGAATGCATGTTTGGTTTGGTGAAGTGCTCTGTGTGTGTGATGAGCAGGTTACTAGCTGAAGACATATGCAATGAAAGGAGGGCTCTTATAACAGCCCATCTCTGGTGGGCAAAGAAATCAAATGTCGATCGGAAGAGGCATCTACCATGTAGCCTTCAATGAATGTACCCAGGCGATGGCAGCAGGATGGACACTGAGCCTAGTGTCTGAATTGAGCTAATAGGTGTCTGACTTGACCCATCACGTTTGTATGACAAGCCGCTTCCCACTCCGTTGAACACAAGTTGTGATTCAACAGGGGACCTTTCGGAGCGATGGGTCTTACGCTCCTGAATGCCGATGGGTACACCTCTCTCGATCCAAGAGAAAGGGGACCCTATGCCGAGCTCGCAGCCCAATTTGGACGATGCAACTAAGCTGACTGTGGCTTGACGGAGTATTTTGTCTTGAATCTCGACGGGAAGAGTGTTGATGGTGAGCGGTTTGCGCTCAATTGCCGATATAGTGAGGATCATGCTTATAGCAGCATCGGTTGCAGGGCTGTCATGAAACAGCTTCTCGGGTCTCGTCCACGATAGGCACTTTCCAGATGCTTTGCAAAGGACGACTTGTCGAAGCGTCAGAACCGCGTACTTGATCGACTCTGTTGTGGACCGTCCGTGCAAAGCCTGTCTTGCGGCATGGCCTCGCACCAGCTCAAGTCCTTTGTAGATGTCTTGCGTCAGAACAAACCAAGACGACCCAGCTGGAACAAGATTGGCGTCAGGTGTGTCCCAGCTCGGCAGGTCTATGACTTTGACATACGGTCCTCCTTGAGATATATGCTCAAAGCCCACGCGCTCCAAGAGAGTGAACTCCATTTTCGAAATCCAGATAATGGCATACGCCAGTTTCATGAAGGTCGTGGTGTTTATCTCTCGACAAAGAACATGTCGCCAAGTATGACCAAAGTCACGGATAATTCGTCCAAGGAATGAGATTTCCCGGGGCATATAATCAAATTCAGGCTCCCAATATAGCCCGGGAATATCCTGATCTGCCTGGAGCGGTTGCCGCACAATGTCCACGGGCACAAAGTCGTCGAGCGTGAGTAGTCGTTCGCGAGCCAGACCAAGTGACGCAGAGCTGTGTTGGTCATTCTTGGTCAGAAAAACCAGGCCTTTGTCAAGGTCGAACGTCCAGACACTTTCGAATGCATTGCCTCGACGGTCTCCGTAAGGATTCACCACATCATACACGTCCTCCCATGCCACATTGATGCCTTGCTCCAGAGCTGCAAGAAGCTGGTCTGGCATTCAATTAGTGACTGCCAGGACTAACTCTTCACAGCGCCGCGTTTCTAGGACGTACGAGGACATCCATCTCGGCCTACGAGGATCCGGGAGAACAACTCAAGATATATCGCGTCATCTGGTGGTTTTCTCATTTCGTAGCCCCTACGTAAAGAAGTCCCTGGGATTGTCAGAATGTCGATGTCCATGTGCGTGATAGCTCAGAGCCAGGCATTACCATGCACAATGTACAATAGCACTGATAGAAACGACATTGCGGTCAATGGGACGGTGGACGGCGACAAGGGGAAGGAATGGCCAGGTACCGACCTGGGCGATGATGCAGTTGCCCAGGTCCATTGACTTGGCTCGAACCAACACTTCCTGCCGCTGTGAATGCAGGCGGGTAGGATCAAGTCTGCTCCCGCGGACGAAGAAAGCACAAAGTTGAGTGTTTTGGGTTCGATGGTGGTTTCCTGAGTGTCAACGACTCAACCCCGCCCAGCGCCTGCAGTGGCTGCACATCTTGTTGTCCGCCAAGCGGGAGACCCTGAAAATCACATGGTTTGTAAACAAGTGGCGTCGAGGCCCAACAAGGGTCCCCTTCAGATCGAAAACCAAGGCTGAGAACGCCATAGACGGCCCTAAAGATTTTGGAAATATTCACATGCCGAGCAGCCAGCTTTTTTTCAACAAGATTCGCCACATGTTGAGGAGAGACTCTGCTCGTCACCCAATTCTAGCCGGAGCTTCTGTACCGGCCTACCTGGGGTCAAGGTGGCTAAGCCACTGAAGAGCGAGCTAGCACCGCCACAACTCCAATGAAAACACACGCGATGACGTCGCACCTGCCCCGCACAAGCTCCCTCTTTCGAGGTCGGCAGTAGTCATCGTCAAGTGATTCTGTTTAGCTGATGTCGTCGTCATTTACATAAGTACAGGTAGTCGCGGTTCTCCCTGATCCAAACTCATTCTTGTCATCATCCTTTCATCTCCAGATTCTCAGAACAACAACGTTCTTTTCATACAAACCCCAAGCTTCATCACCGTGTTATCAACTTGCCCTACAAAACCATCACAATGGCCAACGCTACAGTCCACGTCACCAATATCGCTCCTGCCACCAGTGACAGCGAGATCAAGGACTTCTTCAGCTTCTGCGGTAAGATCGCCGACATCAAGGTCACTCAAGAGGGCGAGACCAAGACTGCCTCCGTCACCTTTGAGAAGGAGACTGCCTCCAAGACTGCCCTTCTCCTGAACAACACCCAGCTTGGCGCCAACCAGATCGCCGTCACCAGCACCTCGGGCGACAACACGGACGATAGCGCGGACTTCACTAAGAACGCCGACCGCGACACAGACGAGATCACCCAGGAGGAGAAGCCTCGCGCCCGCATCCTGGCCGAGTACCTGTCCCAGGGATACGTTGTTGGCGACGCTGCCATCCAGCGTGCGATCGAGCTCGACTCTACACATGGCGTGTCCTCGCGCTTCTTGAACACTCTTCAGGGCTTGGACTCCAAGTACCATGCCACCGACCGCGCCAAGGCCACCGACCAGAGCTATGGCCTCAGCGAGCGTACAAATTCGCTCCTGACCGGCATCGGCTCGTACTTTGAGAAGGCCGCTAACACCCCGACCGGCCAGAAGATTGTTCAGTTCTACACCCAGGGCCAGAAGCAGGTTCAGGAGGTGCATGCTGAGGCCAGGCGCCTGGCTGAGCTGAAGAAGGAGGAGCATGGCGGCAGTGCATACAAGGCTTCTGGACTGGAGAAGGTGTTTGGTCATGGCCATGCTTGCACACACAACCACGCTCAGGCCGGCCAGGCCGCTGAGGGTACCGGTGAGAAGCAGCCATTCGAGACAGCAGCAGCCGCTGAGGCCAGCATCGATGCCGGCGACCGCGTCGGCCTCATGACGCCCTCCAACCCTGCCCCCTCAGACCCCGTCCCCGGAGTCAAGTCCCAGTCGCTGGACAAGTAAGCTGGAGTGCGTCAAAAGGAATGAAGGGAGCTATAAGTTGGAATGGGAGAAAATGGCGTTTGCTCACGACCTATGACCGTTACGCAATTCATGTTCAGAACAGTGTTTCACTATCCGTAGACCTAATTTGAGAAATTCTCTTGTCACACCATGATGCTTGTGAGCTTTCGCAGACCTCGGGGTGAAGGTGTACCACCATGGAATCTGGCCTGTTTGTAGCCACCATAGACAGCATGGACGTGAGTGCTGAAGGTTTGTTTTCATCCGGCAAGGAGGCATAGCAGAGGATCAAAGGGCATGATGTGTCAAGTGTTGTATTAATGGCAGCTTTTCTCCTGGCTGCGATCCTGCCGTGATCATCATTACATCGTGACATTATCCGTGCGTGACCATTCTACTTGGTCTTGTCCTTCAGAGCATCCTCCATGGCCCCCTTGGGGTTCGACGAGAGGTGCTGTCCATTGTCAGTTTGGATCGAATCAGATTGGGGGTTTTCGAGACTTCTCACCTCGAGCTGGTCCTTGTTGGTCTGGTCCTTGCCCTGAGCGTTGTCGGTGCCCTGGCCTGAGCCGGGGGGAGCCTGCTGCTGCTTGCCGGACTGGACTTCGGGGGGAGGGGACTGGCGACCTTCGGGCATGTTGGCGTTTTTGGTTGAGGGTTGATTTGTTGGTAGGAGTGGTGTATGGTTTTGGGGTTTGTTTGAAGGAGAGAAAGTAGTCTCGCGTCTGTAATGTGTGTTTAAGAACGACGTGGGGGGTTGGACAGAGGTTCGGTGGTGGATGAAGTCATAGGTCAGGATTACATCATTGTCTGTGATCGCGATGGGAGTGCGGGTTTTCCAGCAGAAAGGGTGGTTGATTGGCGAGATGAGGGGCGTTTCTTTTTTTTTTTTTTGATGGTTGAGTGCAGTTCTTCTCCTTATTTTCTGTTTGAAGATACTGCCTAATTAGATGTTTCCCGGATGAGTGCCGATGGTGATGCACGAGGGGGGCTGGACCCGGGCTGCATCTTGGAGCCAAGAGAACCCAATCATGGTCTTAGCGGAGCCAAATTTGAACATTTGAAGTATGACACAGTGTGAAAGTGGGAGCAGGTCTTTTTCGATGATCTTCTATTGTTCGTTCAAGCGAGCCATGTGTCGGGTGGATATCGTCGTAGTTGTGAGCGATTGGGGAAATGCCATCAATGTCACCCTAGCTACTAATTCCATCAGTTTGATTTAATCCACGTTTCACTTTCCTTTCCTAGGAAATATTTCACGAAGCTTTCAGTGCTCTTTCGAGGCAAGTGGCCTGGGTCAACCTGCGCTGACTTGTGGCACTGGTGATTGCGGTGCAGGGGGGTAAGCCTTACAAGCTGCGCCCACGATAGAGAGGTCTGAGGGATATCAGTCAGCATGATTACCCCGTGTCCAGCGAAGAGCCATCATTCTTTTCTTCAGCTGCGCGACTATGCGATTACGGGAGACGGCTTCTGGGTGGAGAAGGTTCGACAAAACTGAGCGTGGATCGTTGGACACACATTAGCGGGTGATCCTTTAGGCAAGATCGATTGTGACTGCCTTGAGCGCGTAACGTTTGTAAATTCATTTGACAGTCGCTTGGAGTTGAGTCGCCTTAGGGGATTGTTTGATCAATGTTCTTGTTAGGGATGTAGCCAATGTCGAGTATAGGTACCTTAGTAGCCATTGGCCGGTCAGCACTACAGTCCACAAGGCCCAAAGACTTTAGAGTCATAGAAAGGTTTGCACAGCTGTTCATGCATGGTACTAAACCATGAGTGGCCAACTTCCGCTCACAGCGCCAGCGACTTTGTCGAGGGAATACGTCCGCTATCCGTACTCCAGCCACACGTGGACGTTTCCTCACATAACGTTAAGTAGTCTAGGACTCTAGGCCCTAGGGCCCCATCAGCTTCCACATCAACGCCATCGTGGCGGTGAGGAACGTTGAAAGCTCCCTTGAATTTCCCAAGCTAACCTTTCCACCGTCCAGTCCACAAGCCTTCTTTGAAATGGCGGGAAACGGAATAAACTCCACACCGGTTAGGAAGCTTATCCTGATCCAGGGATGAGAAAACAAGGACTGCACGGGAAGAGAAATGAGAGAACAACGCTAAGCTAGCAAAGAGCTAAACGAGCCCTGGTGTAAGTCGTCTCGGCGAGTCAGAATCGGCTGCTAGAGGCCAACATGATTTCCTGCACTTGCCAATTGCGGTATCCAGTCTCACATCATCATCATCATCATGCATCTGCAAGAGCCGATTCCATCTCCTACCCGCGGGGCGGCGCCGAAGCCACATGCACGTCTTTGATCGTTTCAGAAGATTCCGGCAGCATAGCATACTCGCTTGAATTTGTTCGTCATGTGGTGCGTGTATCTGCTTCCGTCTTCACCGCGGGCTCAGCGCTGTTCCGAATTTCGTGCATTGCTTCTGCAAAGCGCTGTGTCTCCTCCTGCATTCTCCTACGATCACCACTGTTAGCGGATGAACCGAGGAGCATCCAATCGGAACGAATTTTCCCGGGATATGGTAAGAGACTGACCGCATCTTGTCTAGCAGCACCATCCTGCGGAGGGCTGTTTCGGTATCCTCCCCTCTGTCACGACCGGCTTTGGCGTCTTGTATGGCTTCTGGGATGGTTTTGCCGTGCGTCAGATGTGTGACGAGTCCGTCCCATTGAGTCGCCAGCGATGCAACATATTCCTCGAATTGGTCCATGTGCGCAAGTAGAGCGGCTCTGTCGTCGCTCAAATTGCTAGGACTGTTGGTAAGCCCTGGTTTAGATGTTTCGCCAGTCATGGTGAGTAGGTATAAGCTGGTAGGGTAGGGTGAAATGGTGTTTCAGATATGCGCTGATTTGAATGAGGGGAGCAAAATCAAGAGGATTTAGAATTCATCATCGGAAGATGGCCCCTTCTTGATATCGATGTTGGATGCGTGGCGACCGGTGAGCAATGGACACTCGTGACTGGACGTTGCATGTACAAACATAGTCTTTCAACAAAAGGCGCAGCGTGCTGGGGGGGAAAAAGGCATTTAAGCTTGCAGGATCCACCGGGAGGAAGCAAACGCCATGTTGTCCCTGCGCGGAGATAGCTGTGAGAGAAGAGACGACAACTCGGTTCCAGGTAGGTGGGTATGGATTCACTATTAGTTTCCGCACGGCGGACTGACTGCTTGAACATCCAGACCTTCCCAATGCAGCAAGTACTTGACATCTGGAGTCACGGCCATCGGACCGACGCCGCTGCGAGGCCTATGGAAGTTGAACTACTGCTTGGGTCTACGGAGAATCAAGTTTCCACTCCGAATGGCAACGCTGTCGTTTGAACGAGCGTGCCGCTTGCATGCGGCGAGTCGAACCAACTCTAGCCGCCAGAAATGGCCGTGAAAATAAGCGAACTTGATGGTACCTTAGGAAGCGGACTGTCCGGCTGAAGATCTAGTGACCAGGTTGTTGCTATATGGGGGCCTGAGGTCCCAGGGGGCTCGCTCGACTACTTGTTGGATGGCCTGATGGTCATGCATATTTTATTATATATAACCTTATAATAATATATATGTTATACTTTTTTTTCAAATAAATATTTTTTTTTTTTTAATTTATATTTAATGTAATCAGTTTGGCTCTACTCGACGGCTTCATTTTTACCTGATTTGCGAGAGCCTCCCAAATCTTCAGCAGAATCTTACTGATCGAGTCCTCTATAGGATTTACGCCATCGACCCTCTCAGCTGTCTGGAGAGTTCTCTGCTTGTCTTCACGACGTGGAAAAAAATATCAACTGCATGGATGATGAACTCGATGTGCTTGATCCGCCTCCCACTCAAAATTCCGGTGATGAACTTCCAGTGTACCAGAAAGGCATGGGAGTTACTACAGCTACCGGTACTCAACCCAGTGGGCACCTCCTCTTGCCGTGTGTGCCGATACAGAGGAAAGCCACTATCTAAAGACGCTAAAACTCAAAGAAGAGTGGTATAGTTAGAGGAACACATGTATCCGTACTTTTGTCGTCTTTGTGGTTGCTAGGGACTTACTGCTTCATGTTGGAGCTCCGGAGTCCGGACAAGGGCTACCAAGAAGGCCGGGTCCTGAAAGAGGGTGATTAAAGGGCCAAGGGCTGTTTTCTCGGTGCTGCTACTGCTTTCAGCTTCTTGACTCCTGCTTTATCCTTAATTTGACTCGCATCCTTGCTCATGTGTCTGGCTTCGTGCTTCAGGCTTGTACAAAACGCATTAGCATTGCATTCAAGATTCACATTCGTGGTGTCAGATTTCAATGTCGTTTGCCCAACCATTATCCAAGACAGTAGAGTCTTGCGCGTGATACCCTTCATCAACCGCGATCAGCAGCAGTCCGAGGTGTTGAGGACCTGTCGGATTCAGCGGTTGTCGGGGGTGTACGTTCCCCACCGTCACTGCCGTTGGAGCTGGCTGCTGGACTCCAGCGACTCCAGTCACCTCCCGCTGACTTCCAGGCTCCAGCCGTCCATGTTCCCATGTGAACCACAACACATTGCTGCCGCGCTCGATCACCGTCTTTCCGCGAATCTCTTTCCTTTAGACTTTCACACCCAAGCAACTCAAGATGCCGGACCTCAACACGGTACCGGCCTCGCCGAGACCTGATCGCCAGTCTCCAGCGCCCCAGGTCCAAACACCGTCCGTGCCAGCGTCGCCCACGCTGAACATTCTGCCTTCGAACCAGAGCGCCGTGAATGCCTCTTTGTCAACTGCCCAGTCGCAGCCCTTGGCGCCCTACGAAACCGAAGCTGGGCCTGGACCTCTTCGACATCCCCGCCCACTCACGGCTGCTGAGCTCCATATAGAGTTGGAGAAGGAGCAAGAGGCGGTGGTACGTTGACATGCCGTCGCTACTCACACTCGCCGCCAGGTACTAACTGACAACGTGTAGGTCAACCGTCTCACGCGTGAGCTGTCCCTGCTACGCGCTGCGCAGAACGAATCCGTAGCGTCGAACCACTCATCTACGTCCAATGCCGCCTCGACGCACGACCAGCCAGCCGAGCCTTCCCTGTTGACGGGCTCGGGCTTCACGATTCCGACTACGAGACGACACCGGCGAACCTCCTCCTCTGCATCGCAGCAGCTCTCCTCATCCTACAACGGTCGAAATGCCATGGCCATGGCGCGGCAAGACAGCAACGCATCGCGCCGGAGCCGTGGCCCATCGCCCGCCCCGCCCATGAGCAGCAGCCTCGATCCGTCCAGCTACTTTCAACAGCAACGCATGCCGCCGCCGTCCGCCATTCCCATGACGGGCGGGAGCGCCACACCAATGACAGCGAGTGAATCACAGCTAAGTCCGGGCATGGTGCCAGCGACGGCGCGCTACGAGGAGACGCAGTATCACAAGAACGAGCTCGAGGCCGCCAAGAGGGAGAACGAGAGCCTCAAGCGGAAGATCAGGGAGCTGGAGAGGACGCTGCAGGAGAGGGCGCGGGCCGAGCGCGGATCTGGTCACACGAGGAGCGATAGCGAGAGCACGACGAGGAGCATGAGTGTGGGCGTGGATCCGGGCGGTGCCGCCTATGTCGCGGGGCCGCGTGACCGGGGTAGGAACAATACGCTGCAGAGTGTCACGAGCGTTGGCGTTGGCGTGCCGGAGGATGAGGTCAGGGTTGGGGAGAGCGCCTCTAGTGCTGGCGTAGGCAATGCCAGGGCCAACCCGCGGTGAGGGGGTGCACGGGGCTGTTCATAGACGAGAAGCAGGCGGGGTTGGGATTCCTTTTCTTATTCTTTTTGGCGTCGGATATGGATTTATTATGGCAGGCGTTTTTGGGTGGTTGGGGATAACCAGCCAAGGAGCGTATTACACAGTCCCTTTGCAGATTGCTGATAGAGAAGAGGCCGCCCAGACGGCACTACTAATAACTCTTTACTCAAGCATGGATATCGACGTACTGCCGCTGCGTCTCTTGACCGCGACTCTGATCAAGCGAAACCCAACTTGGCCCCACGCACGATTGTGGAGTGACAGAGCGCAATGTCTGCGCGCCAATGCCGGCCCCCCTGCCCAAGACCTCACGGCGCCTCGCTATCTATCATGCGGATGGGCTGGAGGCCTATCATCATGGAAACTGTGTCGTACCACACGACAATGCCGACCCAAGGCCAAGGCTGAGACATGTCTGTCCTCTGACATCGTCACGCATGAAGCTACCCCAGATTACAGAGACCCTCCCAATCCGCAACGAGAAAGGCGTCCGCACGATTGATGAAACGGACATGTCGAAAAGCGGAGATGCGCAGAGCAAGGATTCGGCTCGAGACCCAGTTATGAACCCCTGGTTCATGCCACGTCTGCAGACTGCACGCGGTGAGTGAGATGCAGACAGAGAGAGGGAGAAGAAAAAAAATCCAGCGCTTGTTCTTTCTCGGCATTGCCACACCGCACGTCTGTGAGGAGGCCTTTTTCATACTAAAGTAAGAAGCCATGGACGCCCTGCTCGCCCACGAACCGACACCTGAGCAACGACTGCTTATTCTCGGTGCCTTTGTTGCCGTTGGCTTGCTGCTCTCCCTCCAGCTCTCGCAGACAGCCAGTCCACAACCTCTCCGCTGGACGCTTCTGACGGACGAGACAAGGTGGGTTTCCTTTTCTTTTCTGCTCTGCTCTGTAGCAAGCAGCGTGGCTGACGACCGCGCCAGACCGTACTGGTACACCATCTACGTCCTGGAAGCCTTCCTCGCCATGCAGAACACGTACCCCCTCCTCCTGGAGAAGATGCGGAGCCTCCACCTGGGCAACGAGGAGGAGATCCTCAACACCGTCTGGGTTGGCCTCTTGGGCCTCGAGGTCCTCATGGTGCTCGGTGTCTTTGTGCAGGGTGTCGCCAAGAGACTTGGCTATGGGACTGCTGCTGCGCGCAAGGTCAAGGCCAGCTGAGGCGTAAAGGGGAATGGAATGGCTAGACTGTCGCGTCGGGTCAGCAACGCAGCATCTGTCTGCAGAGGCAAACGGCCACATCTTGAGATGTGAGGGCTTGTCTTTCGAACCAGCCTGGAGCTCGCAGCCGTGGACATGGGACACCATCGATGGAACGACAACCACGAGCCGATAAGCTGCTGCCAACGGAGCATCAGGCATGAGCACCGAAGCAGCGATGTAGGACACACCTTTACATGATCGCCGCCATCACCGCGCCGTGGTAGCAGCATGAGAGTCGACACGCAGATCACACACCGGATGGTGTACAAACGTTGACGGCGTTGGCAAACTCGGGAAGAGGCGTTCAGGTCGATTATAGGGCACGTTTCGTTTGGCGCTTGGAGTTCACCAATATGATAGACAGATTCAGACATGATTACGGCCTCATACATAGCTTCATTCATTACAGTCGTTTGACCAAAATCGCTAGCCCTTCCATTGACTTTTGTGTCCATACCTAGACTCTAGTACAGAGGCATGCTGCCCTCCGTCTCCCGCAACGCCTGCTCGAACATGCCCAGCCCCTCCCGCAGCTGGTCCTCCGTAATTGTGATAGGGGGCGCGATCCTAAACACGCCGCCAAAGCTCGGGTGACTGCTCAGGTTAGCCCAGACGCCGAGCTCGTACGCCCGCTCGCCGATCCGCCTGGCCACATCGAGCGCGGGCGTCTTGGCCTCCCTGTCCGAGACAATCTCCACGCCCGCGAGCAGACCGCGTCCACGGACATCACCGATGCAGCCGTAGCGGCGCATGAGCCCGCGCAGACCCTGCTGGAGGAGGGCGCCGGACCGGCGGGCCTGGGCGATGAGGTCGTCGCGGAGGAGGATCTCGAGGACCTTGTCGCCCACGGCGGCGGGGAGGGGATCGTTGAGATGAGTCGTGTAGAAGAAGAAGTCGCGCGCCTTGCAAACCTCCTCGATGGCGGCGCTCGTGACCACGGCGCTCAGGGGCAGACCATTACCAAGTGTCTTGGACAGGGTGAGAATGTCCGGCACGACGCCCTCGTGGTTGACGCAGACCATCTCGCCACAGCGGCCGATGCCGGTCTGCGCCTCGTCGACAATGAGGAGCATGCCGCGCTTCTCACACTCGCGCTTGACGGCGGTTAGGTAGCCGTCGGGCAGGACGAGCATGCCGCCCGAGCTCTGGATGCACTCGACGATGCAGGCGGCGAGGGAGCCGACGGAGGCCATGTCGATCATGCGCCAGCCGTACGCCATCTCCGCCTCCCAGTCGTAGGAGCCGTCCGGGCGGCGGAAGACGGAGCGGTACGCGTTGGGCGAGGGGAGCATGTGCATGCCCGGCACCATGGGGCCGTGACCCTTGCGGCCAAAGTGGTACTGGGCGCCGATGGCGTTGCCGGTCATGCCATGCCACGAGGCGCCGAGGCCGACGATTTCAAACTTGCCTGTGTAAGCCTTGGCGAGCTTGATGGCGGCCTCATTGCTCTCGCCGCCGGTGGAGAGAAAAAAGGCCTTGTCGAGGCCGTCGGGCAGGTTCGAGCACAGCCGCTCGCTGAGCGCGATGACGGGGGGCGAGAGCATGCCGGAGAAGAGGTGGTCGAGGTGCATGGCGTGCTTGGTGATCACGTCGACAATCTCTGGGTGGCCGTGGCCGAGCAGACAGGACATTTGGCCGGATGTCCAGTCGAGGATGCGGTGGCCGGATGCTGTGTGGAGGTAGATGCCCTCGCAGGCGGTGATGACATCGGGGTGGAATTGGGAGCCGCAGTACAGGAGATGCTTGTCTGCCTTGCGCTTCAGCTCGGCCTCGTCGTGCTTGTCGAGAATGGGCAGAAGGGTCTTGCGGGGCGGCACAATGATAGCTTCATGGCCAGTATCTTCGATGGCGCTGGGGGCCATTGCGTGTGCTGAAGGGAAGGGAAAAGAGGATGAAAGGTAGCTGGATAGGCTTGTAGATGATTCGTATCCAAGTCGTAACTTGGCCAGCAGCCCCTTTATACATATCCATCCGTCTCCACTCTTATCTCTGGGCTCCGAGCCCGGCCGTCCATCACACAGATGGCGTCCCAAGCGTCCACACCTTGGCCATAGCCCGGCGGTGAGTGCGTGTGCATGCCCAAGTTTCCCGCGGAAAGTCTCGATAAGGGGGGAGCGCCCAGACATCCCCACCAGCTCGCAGGCGGATAGATTACAAAACAGAAACAGCTGCCTCTACCATGCATTCTGCAGAGGGTCCCAGAGACTAGGCAGGAACTGGTCGATAATCGACACGTCCGGCAGCACAAAGTCCTGCGGCTCAAACAAGCCGCTGGTCTCGTGCGACTCGTGCGCCGACGTGCCCGCGAGGATCTTGTCGACAATGTCAGAATGCTGCGCCAGGCACACGGCCCCCAGATCCCAGGCGTGCTGTGCCTGGTGCGTCCGCAGCGCGTTGAGCAGCTCGTGGGCGATGCGGAACGACGCGCTCTGCACCAGCTCGGCCGGGGAGCTGGCCGTCTCGAGACCGCAGCGCAGCAGGAAACTCACCGTGGCCGGGTACGAGAAGGCGTGGGTCGAGAGCCAAAAGTCGCCGAGTTGTGCGGGCTTCAGGTCCTGGGTGAAGAGCAAGACCTCCTCTGCTGTCCGCCGCGCCTGGATGTAGCGGTTTGAAAGGCGCTGGTCGTGGGCTTCGTAGGTCTGCTTGTCCGCTTCTAGTTCGATCCTCTGCAGGAGAAGCCTCGTGGTGAGGTAGCTCAGACGGAGGTTGGACGCCCCTGGGGTGTCTAGATTTGATCCGCGGAGGATGATGAGACGGACAGTCCCAGACAGTGACTCGACCCAGGTGTTGAGCGCTAGTTCGAGCTCCGTCGTGTCTCGCGCGGTGGACTTGTCGACGCTGTAGATGTACTGCAGGTGCTTGTCGAGAACATCTGTGAGGCTGACGAGGGCAATGAAGACAGGGGCAGCTTGATTCTGCCCCAGATACGTGGCCGAGTCGCCAATGTACTCCAGCGTGGGCGGCGGCACATCATACTGTGCTCTGGATATGTGTGGCGGTGTGCCGTGCGCAAGACTTGTCCTGCCAGCGGGTCAGCTGATTGTGCTTCGCTCAAGGTCTGGAAACGTACCATCTGTCATGGACAAGGAGAGCCCACCAGATCTTCATCCGCAGACACTTTTCTACCTGGGGAATCTCCCACGGCAGTGGATTGTGGTTCAGGCCTAGCGAAAGTGCCATGGACACGGCCGATCCTAGGAGAACCCCGTTGCCGATCAGGGACGTGGTGGGCAGGCCGCCAATGTTCAGAATAATGGCTTTGATGATGGACATGCCCGGGGAAAGGTGTAGCTCCGAGTACACCGCATCATTGGCGAGGTTCCAGATGAAACGGCTGTCAGGCAAACGATGCTGGCCTTCTGGCTTGGAGTGTCTCCAGTACACGAGGATGTGGGCGAACAGGGTGGCAATGAGTGCTGGTGATATCCGATCCTTGTTCGCCTGGTACTGACGCCTGAACAAGACCTCATCCAGAATGGGAAAGCAAGAATTGACCTTGGCAAAGTATCTACTCCCAGTTAGCCAAGGAAATATGTCACTTATTGCTTGTGGACGTCGACCTCACAGCGAAATCATGTCTGCGGCGTCAGCGCCCACGAGGTTCTCGATGATCTCCAATTTCTCAGCGGACGGACTCCGATTCAGGGACACGCCCACTGGTCTCTTCTGGACGCGGGTGAAGAGGACTGGTCGTGAGCGGTTTGCCGGTACGGGCACAATCATCTGGGTCCCCCTGGTGGCCCCGGGGATGGCAGACAAATAGTCGGACAGGACCTGGCTGTCCTTGGTCACGGCCGGGCCGACAATGTGCAGATTCTGGGCCTGGTCATCCGCGGATGAGTCGAATGGGTCTTCATCGTATAGATTGTGGTTTGCTCGCCCGGCGATGGACGTGGTATCTGCTGCTACTGCTGCTGCTGCTGCTGCTGCTGGGGGCTGGGCGTGAGTGATGGGTGGCAGTGGCGACAGCAGGTTGGGCAGTCTGGTCCGCTCCATGGTCGGGGACACGGTGGTCGGGGGTAGGCGAGGCGGCAGTTCTGTGCGTGAAGTCCTCGTCGCTGAGATGGGCGCCTTGGGTAGGCCGCTGCTCCGACGTCGACGCTTGGCTGGTGTCGTCGTGGGTGCCTTCACGTTGCCCGGGGCTGCTGCCCTCTGGTCGTCGACCTTCAAGCTTGCATCGCCCGGGTAGACGCAGTCGGTGCCGTGGGCCCGACACATGAGACACGCAGTGGCATTGGGCTCCGTCTGGCATCGTGACTTGCGTCGACGACAGGGCAGGCATGCCGGCTGCAGATGTGATCTGTATGGTCGTTCGCCGGAGCTGCCGTTCATGATGGGGGACAGTCCGACACTGGACAGTCACCAGCGACTCTCAAGTTGGATGGATTTGTCCGCGAACAGAGCCTGAGAAGTCTTTCCTCGGGCCACTCAACAGCGCTTGATTTCGAGTTGTCCTCATAATCACGCAATTTTCAATGTTGGCTGCGATGGTGGTGGTGGAAGTTTGCCGCGGGGAACGTGAAGGCGGGAACGTCGCTCGGTGGTTGACGGTTGACGGTTGACCCACCGAAGCGTCGTCTCGGATGACAGCCTTGACAAATGTGATAAGACCTCCCTGTCCCTGTTGGTCCCTGCATATTCTCTATCTTGTGTACAACATGCTATCTGGCGAGGACTCGTTCTTTCTTATCTCATAATCATCAGTGACCACGCCCTTTACTGGGTTGGCCTGCCCTGTAAAGTCGAGGCTATCTCGACTCGAGACATGGACAATCTCGTGCGACGAGTCTCGTAGGCAACTTGATAAAGCTCCTCGCGATGCAATATAGCCTCGTATGGCAGACCGCATCTTCAGTCCCAGGTTCTCTCATCCTTATCAGTCACCGCGTGCGTTGACCGAGATAGTACCTCTTATTTCCAAAGTGTCCCGTGGTTTGCCGCGGAAGATCCACCACCGCGGAAAGCCAAATGCTCTGGTACTTGTCCTCGATTCAATCTCTGCAGACCAGGGCTTCTAGACCCGAACATCCGGGTGTTGTGACAGAACGTCTCCATCTTTGTGGGTTTATCTTCGAGGTCTGCCCGACTCATCCAGGCTGCAATGTGTGGAGGGAGACAGAATTGATGCTGGCGCTACTACAAACGTATTGTATCGACCAGACCGCAACAACCACAATTGACAACGGTAGTGCATCCCGATCATGCACTGGTCAACCTTCACAAAATCTCCTTTCTTCAGCATCATTCATCGTGCTGGCTTCAACCCGCCAAGCTCCGGACTCAGCTCAGGACCGTGAGTCTTATCTACCCTAGAGCTTTCCGCCGAGCCAAGTTAAACCCTGGTGCTGCCATCGTCACATACCAACCAACATGGACATGGAGTTTTATTTGAAAGCGATGGATGAGTTAAGTGAACAGTCTTGTTTATCTTAGCACAGAAGATGCAACGTCCTTCATCTACCAGAGGCAGTTTGTCTACAGACCGAGAGCGACGATCGTGTCTCTGCAGCTCTACTGTTGGAGACGAATTGCCAACTCCACGCCCGACTACCCCAAGCCACTCGGATCAGATTAACTTGGGGTACGTGGAACATCGTCAAATCACCGTACAGTGATCCAACATGAATGGAGAAAGTCTCCAACGTGGTGAGGTCATGTTTCAACCACCTTGCCGACGACAATCCGGCCCTCCTCACGGAGTTGCGGGCTCAGTTCCAGTATATAGTCATCACTCCTTGGCTGTATGAATTGATTTCTGGCTCTCCATTGCCTCTCTCAAACTCCTACCTGCAAGTTCTGGTCTAGTCGCATCGTGAACCACCACTTGCCCAGCATGCAGCCCCTCGTCCTCCACGCCCACTCCTCGGGCCCCAACCCCATCAAGATCGCCATCGCCCTCGAGGCCCTCCAGGTGCCCTACACGGTCCAGCAGTGGCAGTTTGGCGACGACCCCACCAACGGCGTCAAGGGCGAGGCCTTTCTCAAGATCAACGAGAATGGACGCGTGCCCGCCATGGAGGACCCCAACACGGGCGTCGTGTCCTGGGAGTCGGGCGCCATCATGAACTACGTCCGCCGCGTCTACGACAAGGCTAACAAGCTTGGTCCCGTCGGCGAGTCGGAGCAGGACAAGGTCGACTTTGACAAGTGGGAGTACTTTCTGCTCACGACCCTGGGGCCCATGTCGGGGCAGACCAACTGGTTCCGGTATGTCCTAGTCTAGGAGTTGTTTTGATGGTTTTTTCCCCCCCCCTTTTGAGGCGCATGTACTGACGGCACAGCCACTACAACGCCACCAAGAACGAGGACGCGCTCAAGAGATACTCGGAGCAGACCGATCGTTGCTACGGCGTGCTCGAGGGCCAGCTGAAAAAGTCGGGCGGCCGCAGCGTGCTGCCTGGTCGCGTCACGGCGGTCGACTACCACTTTGAGCCGTGGGTGCGCCAGTTTGCGTTTGCGGGCTTGTCGCTCGACAAGTATCCGCTCATCAAGGCGTGGCTGAACGAGATGGCCGCGCGGGACGAGGTCAAGCAGGCCTACAACAAGGTCAAGGGCGAAGCGCCGTCCGCTATTGAGTGATGGCCCTCATGAGCGGCACGGGGATGAGACATGATCATTTAAATGGCTGCGAGACACTGTCGATGCCTGACTCGGACCCTGCATGAATACATATATGGTCAACCAACTGCGTCTGAAGTTTGAACCCGGGCTCAGAAGCACAATGATGAATTGTTACTTTCTGAAACGAGTGGCTTTTGCGACTGGACTTGTCTCTGTTTGAACAGTCGAGATCTGTGCGCAGCGGGTTTGCCTCTTCTCTCCTGTGACCACAATCTGCAGCCAGTGGGACGTAGTGTTATCGACTGCATAGAAGACTTGCGTGGACAAGTCCATGAACTCAGGTTTACAGTCTGCTTGAGCTGGCGACCCGGAATCAATCACCAATGCATTAGCAAGCCACGGTGCTGGCTCATTTATCCTAGCGAGGCGCCGATCCCTCTCGAGTCTCGGCTCTCGCGACCGGTTGGGAAATCATCAATACTCATCCAAGCGGCTGAGCCAACTGGTCCACATGGTCCGGGTCATCACGCCTCAGACAACATGAAGTGTCTACGTGTGGTCAATCATCCTCGTTCCCCATCCTCAAACGCCGACCCGACTCCCGAAGACAAGGCAGAGGGGATCGATCGGAGCTGAAGAAACGTGACGCACCCGAGATGCTGGCGCGCCCCCTTGATTCATGTTCCTTCGTCTCCTTTCTCCCGTGCCATTTCCACACCCTCCATCACGCAGGCGGCAGACCCCTGCTGTCCATCCCCGACGGCCCATTTCCCCCGGATTCGCATTCCCAAGTTGCCCAACCAATGAGTAGCGGGCCCTAATTCCAGCTGAAAATCTGGGGGGGCGCTGATCCGGCGTCTCCATTGATCGCGCTGCAGCGCGCCAGTGCGCCCGGGGAGCGATATCCGGAACCAGAGCCTGGTCGTCTGGCTATTTTGCGAAATCAGCTCGAGTCCTTGAGGCTTGACAGGCTCTGCCCCTGTTTCCGCGGCCGCCTTTATTGGCGCTTCCCTCCCAGAGAGCATTCCGTGGCGTGACGCTAGACGAGTCAGTACTTAGAGTCCGCGATGGATTGGGAATGGGACCTGGGGCTTGGATTCCGTCCGACCCTCCCCTATTATCATTATAATTGAAGCACCTGCCCTTGCGTGCGCTCTCTCCTCAGCTGCGAGAGTGTCCAGTCAATCCAACTGCGGCTGTCATGTGTTGTCTCGCGTCGACCCGCCCTGATTGAGAGACACACGCTGTCCACCGCGAAACCCATCAAATGGCCGCCGATCTGGTCCACGGCGTCCTCGCCGCCGCCTCGTCGACCATCCTGCTGACGACGCTGCTGGTCGCGGCGCGCCTGTGGATCCGCTCGCGCATGGGGAATCTGGGGAAAGACGATGGTGGGTTCTCCAGCTCCTAGTTTACTAACGTCAAGTCTTGGACATGGACCCAGCGGGTCTTGTCTTGTCTTGGGGCGAACACGCTGACACGCGAGGACAGTCACCATCAAGATTTCCTATGTCATGCTACTGACCATGGCGGGCCTCATGATAGCCGGTACGTTGTCGTCACTCAACTTCATAGCAGACCCTTGATGGACGCTAAACCCTGATCCTACACAGGCGTCATAGATGGAGGGCTTGGTCGCCTTCGCGACACTGTCAACGACCAGGACTACGAAGCTACTCTGCGAGTGAGTGATGTGTTCTTCTTGCGCAGCCCAAAAGAGGCCTGCTAACACCTGCAGTACTCCGCCGGCATCTCGTCTACATTCAGCTGGGGCGTCGCGACGGCCAAGATCACTTTTGCCATTCTGTACATCCGCGTCTTGCCGCAGCGTTTTCTTCAGCTGCTCAACAAATTCCTCATCGCCTTTCTCATCGCCCAGGCAACCGAAGAGTCGCTGATTGCCATCTTGCATTGTCGACCCATTGAGGCTGCGTTCAAGCTCGGCGTCCACGGCAAGTGTCTGAACATGAACGTGCTGTGGTGGAGCACAGTGAGTGCATCAACTATCGCCTCGTGATGTTGGCTGACCGGACAGTTTGTCTTCAACATGTGCACCGATCTCATCCTCTTCGTCCAGCCGATCCCCACGGTATGGAGGCTGCAGATGGCCAGGACGAAGCGAGTCGGACTCGTCGTGATGATGTCGCTGGGACTACTGTACGTGAGCGCCTCGTCTCAGCATGAGCCAACTAACACTATCGTCACAGCGTCTGCGTTATATCCATCATCCGCATCGTATACGCCAGCCGCATCCAAGAGGATCTCACATGTTCGTTCCCCCCCTCCATATTCATCCTGCCCATGTTCCCCCTTGACGCTGATCAAACTAGACCGCATAGCCGAGGCCATGATCTGGTCCGTCGTGGAGCTCGCGGCACTCATCACATGCTCATGCATCCCCTGCCTTCGCCAGGTCATTCAGCAGATTCCCTTTCTCAACCACGCCCTCGGTTTGTCAAGCAACAAGACACCTCACGGGATATACGAGCACTCTGGCCAGCCTCGCCATGGGTCCACCCCTTTCCGCACCCACAAGCTCGATTACCTGCCCTCGCGGTCCAAGGCGTATGCCCACGGCACGAGTGGTCACTTTGGCACAATGAGCCACGCGGCGGCCGGGGCCACCGGCAGTCCAAACGATAGCCAGGAGGAGATATTCCCACATAAGAAGGATGGTAACGGGCGAATCGTGGTGACCAAGGAGGTCACACACAATGTGGAGTATGATCGCACGCAGACCGAGTCCTCGCCCTCCGAATCACTCAGAGACGAGGAAACGCCGTACCCGGTGCGGGCGAGCAAGGACTGATTTAGGTAATTTGGAAAACATAAAGTCACATGCAATCGCATCGTTCCCGTGAGCAGTGTTACGTGAGGGGAATGGGCGGCAAGGTTCGATTTAAAGCTAACCAAGTCTATCCTCCCAATCCTGATTTATGTGCAGTGCACATACCAGGCGCAGCCCTCGCACGACTGGTCAGCGTAGCAGGGCGCGCCCTCCTCGCTGCACGTCGTGTCGCCATCGCAGTTGAAGATGGCCGCGAGCTGGCCCCAGATGCACTTGAGGCTCTCGTCTTCGGGAGTGTACGGGTTCTTGGCGCAGCGGCCCTCGCCCGAGGGGAGCATGGCCAGCGCCAGGGGCGCGGTGGCGAGGAGGGTGAGTGCGGAGGTGACGCGCATCTTGATGGTGTCTGGACTGGGTCAGCGATGCGTGGGGTGAGGCTCACGGCAGCGTTGTCACGTACGCTTTGTGTCTTGTGAATGGTGTTTCTGATAGAGGATGGTCGCTGCTCTCCGGAGAAGGGAACGCTGTCACTCTTATAGCCGTTCAGCAGCATCGTATCCATTGGATTCCCCTCTGCGTTTTTCTCCACGTTACATGGCGCGGGGACTTTTTGTATGCAGGGACAACACAGCTGTCAGACGGTATGTCCGATCCGGAGCCGGGCGTCGAAGAGAGATCATACATCAGATTGTTGATCTGGATGTGTTGCCCATCCCTTTGGGCCCAGACCCTGCGCGGCCTCCCTAGGTTTGTGGCAGGACATTTGTTTATAAAGACGACAAGATGAAGTAGTCTATGGCCATGACTACGTGTGACGTGAAGCATGTCCAAATCCCTTTTCACTCCTTCTATTGAAGGCGCTGACCGCCAACTCGAACCGCCAAGGAAGCAAGATCCGATTATCCACAGGCCTGCATGCATCCGTGGACAAGTGCTGACGCCTTCACCGATGGTTGTCCGTCGCTGAGGGACAAATAGCGCCTTGGCTGTCGACAAGGTGAGCTCCGTGAACCAAGACCCCATTGATGAGCATCGAGACTCCAGTCGTAGACGGTCAGAGTTGGACCGCCAACACCACCTCGAGTCTCGATCATCAATGCAACCGTCGACGCGGTCAAATGTTGACAACAAGGTGCTTGTATCCAATTGCAGCCAGTCAATCAGCCTTGCATTTTCTCTTCCCCATGGCCGACACGCTTGCACCGCCGGCCTCAGCGAACGCCATGGCTCGGTGTCGGGGCAGGACTGACTGTTCAAGTACTTTGATGGAAGGATGCGCGAGGTCAGGTACATATAGATCAGAGACAAGGAGGAGGAAACGTACGGACCCACGTCAATTTTCACAGTCGATGAATCACTACTCGTGCGACCGTGGAACAAGGATTCGCATCCCACTTTCCACAGGTAGAGAAATGTGATGCAAGCCAAGCAAAGCAGACCCCTGACTATTTATAGTACATAGTCATCATCTATCGGCTCCTGACTCCAGTCGACGCCAGAAACTCAGGGGCCTCTCGCCAAGAAACTGAGAGCCGGGACCTGGGGCCCCAATGTCACATGTGACATAGACGACAGCACTCGGTCGAATACTTTCCCCTTTGGTGCGAACTGTCCTGGAAGGATTCCCAGGACCAAATCCCACTCGCTTCTGGTCTTGGCGTCGCTCCCACAACAAGGCATCAGGATCAATGCATGACGTTTCCATCGAGCCCTGCAGGAGGAGTGCCGATGCGAGGAGTAGCACTGCCAAACTGCCGCCCGCGAGGCCTTGATGCGTTGAATCTCGTCCTCGGAATGCCCGTTGCTCCTAGTGGAGAGCAGGCTGTCAACATATTCGGCTACATGTACCAGGACCTCTTCATATCGTACCTTGCGTGTCGAGAACAGCATATACCATCTGCTGAATCGCGGGCCCTTTGGCTCGGAAAGCGCCGTCGGTATTTCTTCAACTGCCGCTTCTTGGAGCCAATAGTGGTTATGGGTCGACGATCAGGTCATGGAGATGGACATTCCATGTACTACTCCCCTGCCCTGTACCCCGGACTACACCAAAGGGAACTTAGCTTGGATTCAGGACCCTGCAGGATTCATGCACCAAGGGGCTCCTGCTAGGCTTCAGCGTTGAATTTGGAAGACTTCACGGCGCGATAGAGGCCCAAGCGAAGGAATGATTCATCCCCACCGATACTGGTAGGCGTCTGTTCACACCAGGCAGATGGGGATCCTCATCCTAGACTCGGCAGGTGTCGCAGCGAGCACTGTTGCCCCAAAACGCCAAACGACATAGCTGTTCATGACGTTGTCGTATCTCGACTGATATCACTGCTAAGCGTGAAATAACGTTAGACGTTCCATATCCTATACGTCTATAAAACAAGAGTATCTCGTCGCTAGAAACAACCCATCTTTTCCCTATTCATCCAGCCAGCCAGCCAACTACCACTCCAACAGCACAGACTCCCCACCCGCCCATCTTATTACCAGACACCCACCACACACAAATCCAACAATGAAGTCCTCCACTGCCCTCGCTCTCCTCTCCACCGGCGCCGCCCGTGTCTTGGCCGCCCCCTTCCTGGAGGCGCGACAGGACAGCAACGAGTTCATCTGGGAGAACGAGGACGGCGTCGGCAATGCCCAGGCCAGCATCGGCGACGGGTTGATGAGCTTTGGCAACATTGTGCCCTCGACCACCCTCCAGCAGATCGACGAGCACTGCACCTTGACGGGCTGCACGCCCGGCGAGGAGCTCTCCGTGCCAGCCGTGGTCGTCAACTCCAACTACGGCAACGACGTCGAGATCAAGATGACGGTCGAGGGCTCCTTCAACGCCGCCGGCGACCGCGGCAGCAAGGCCCAGCTGCTCGACCTCGCCAAGAAGGCCATGGAGGAGCTGTTCAACAAGGGCATAGCCACATGGGAGCAGGACGTCAAGTACCTGGAAGACCGCTGCCCGGGTTTCCAGACCAATTGCAACCGTAAGTTCAGTTTGGGGATGATCTCTACATACGAAGAATGAAGTTGTTGGCTAACACTGCTCTCTCCTGCAGCCGATGGTGCCAAGTACGCTGATCAGTGGAAGAGCACCAACCACGTCAGCGTCCGCGTCAACAACGACGATGACGGTGGTCTCGCTGGGTTCCTCAACGTCGGATTTAGCTACGGTGACGCGGAGGGTGGCGTCTGCGGCGCGCTCACCGCGGCCGGTGTGGGACTTGGCCTTGCCAACGCCTTCTCCGGCGCTGGCCTCGTCCTTTTGGGTGTTGCCTGTGCCGAGATCTGATCGAGTGCCAGAGTCGACCTCTCTGGAAGAGCTTGGTAGACCTTGTAGCCGCGGGCGGCTTTGTACATTTGCCCTGATGTGTCTGCGACGGAGTCACATTGTCACATTATCACGTAGTTCATCGAGCGTCAATCTCATTGTCCTTATTCACTGCCCTGCAGTCTATCCTGGTGACAGTACCTTATGTATTGAAAATCATTGTAGCTGCTCTATGTACCTCCACCCAAAGAAGCGATGCAATCTATTCGCACTATCCCTCGCAGACAATAGCCAACGCCGACTTGACCAGATGGTCCCACTCGTCTTCCTGCTCGACAACATCGTGTACTCGTGAAACTCCCATAAACGGGGTCCGAACGGATGCACTGCTCATCAAGAAGTTTCCATGTACAGCTTGCTCGAGAGCCGCCTGGACGCCTTGGCTGTCCAGATCATACATGCGCTCCATGATTTCGGCTCGCACAGTCATAAAGGGGCAGTCGACGGTCGAGTGCGTGTTCACGCACCCTTCGCACTCACGACAAATGGTGTCCAAATCCGCAAAGAGCGTTTTGCACCACGTGATCTTCTGCTGCAGCGAGTACAATTCACGGCCATAGTGAAGGTACAAATCGTAGGCTTCGTGGAAAGGCTCATCTTCGCTCACAATGGGCCCAGCCGTGGATGACACAGGAAAGCCCCAGATCTCCAGGTTCATTACCAAATCTGAGTCGTCAGATCGATCCCACTGCTGCTGTGACAGGAACGGACCGTCAAAGGCGTCGTGCTGCGTCCAGAGCGTGGCAGGCGTAGGCTGGCGCTGCTCGTACAAGTAGCAGTCCCAAAACTCGCAAGCTTCGGGGTTATTGCAATATATTGTCTTTTGTGTCAGCATGCAGCATCCGTGCTCAGGGCACCTGAGTGCGTTGGGGATGTCGGTGTCCTGATCGCAGTCGCAGGGGGGCGGGGTGCTGTGAGTGTCAACAATGGGTTTCTCGCCGTTGCTGAAAAGGGGACGAACATCGCAGCGGAGCGAATGTGTCTCCACAATATAGCACATGATGGCTTTCGTGCGGGTAGAGGTGTACTGTGTGTAGTAATAGTGTTGTTGATTTTACGACGGGCGACGGTGACTTTAAGTCTGTGAATATTGCGCTTGAGTCGTAATTCTGAATGTGATAAAGGAATCCACTAAAAGTCAGGTCTATGGCTACTTTTATATCTTGAGATTGCGTTTCTGGCCCCAGATTGCGCTGGAGAGGAGTGTTCCTGTGTTCACGGTCAGCACACTGACGAGTCGGTGACACTTGGCGTTCGCGATAAAACAAAACGAGCCTTGCACTGTTCGAGCATGAGAACTTTGCCGAGCTGCCTGCTTTGTATGTATTTTGGCATCCTTTTTCTCTGTTCTTCCTGTTCGAGCGGTGTTTGCGGACAGCAAGTCCCTTTGTTAGGCACGTGCAGCCTATAGACAACAGAGGGACAAGGACAAAGAGTTGCGAACGGCGCTTCTGTCAGTGAACAATTGAAAGGTAATGCAATTGAAAGACACCCCATTTTGAACTCGCGTCTTGGCTCTCGCCCACCGCCAGCCGGCGAGTGTTACGTTGTGAGTGTACCTTGATCTAGGAACATCTGACATGAGTCGCCTTGACGTCCGGTCAAGGGCCCCCTTTTAGACCGTCGACCATGTCGAAAATCACCACTTTATTGCGTCCCGTGTGGCACGTAAATATGCGTTGTTTCTAAAGAACTTGTAGTCTTTCCGACCATGGTGGTATATCGAAGCTCTGATTAGGCTCATTCTCATCAATGGAGTTATTGACGATGCCGAGATTTTCCACGCTCTCGCCTCAGGCTACACTTGTGTCTCTGAGCAGAATATAGGATCTTGCTGGCCATTTTGAAATGCTAAGAGAAACCGATCACGAGACACGACTGTCAAGTCACGATGGAGTGGAAACCCATGAGGAATTGCGCTCAAGTTGATAGACTGAATTACAAAATTCCTCTGCAACACCAATTATAGGGCGTGTGGTCTAGGGGTATGATCCTCGCTTCGCAAGGCCTTCTCGGCATATCTTGTGTTCTGCGAGTGGTCCAGGGTTCAATTCCCTGTTCGTCCAAATCTTTTTGCTCTCATTTTGATTCCATTTCGACTTCATTTGAATGCCTGGTGAATATTTTGGCGTTCAATCACCCGCTCGCTATTGGAATACGAACTAGATGCGAATGCGAAATTACTTGTAGCCATGTGATTCTGGGCTCCGTGCCCGGATCGGGACTTTCCCCACTGCGGCGTGTCCCCGCTCCGCCCCTACTTTAAGATTTCGCACCAGTGGTCGCAGTGCCGACGTCTCATCGCATCTACTTGTACATCTCGGCGCGCAGCATCCATCGTGCGTCAATTGAGACTCGGAGTGAATTTGCACGGTAATTAGTAGAGTGAACTACATTCTTTGAAGCGACAGAGAGGAGCTCCCTGGATTTTGAAACGGACCCGTCAACTCTCCATGCGTGTTCGTCAACCCAGGCCCCAGAAACAGTCTGTTTCGACCTGGGCCTCAAAAGAGCGTCCTGAAACGCATCGGCAATGGGGCCAATGGGTGCCGAGACGTCTGCGTGCCGAACAAGCGGATACGTACTCGCAAGGGTCACACGCCTTTGCCTGCAGGTCATTATTTATGCGCGCTACTCACGTCTTGTCCCGACGACAGACAGCTCCACGCGTTTGATGTTTCAGTGACCCAGCGGAAAGACGAACGAGAACAAATTGGCTGGGTAAATGGAAGTACCATGGCCGGGGCTCGCCCGTGGCATGTAGATTGTTTCCATCCGGCGTTCATTACGTAGTCTTTAGGCATTATAACGCTCGTAGGCTGCAATTGCTACTCGATATTGGCACCACTCTTGACAGGGATATTGCTCGCTAGGACAGACCAGCGTTAGTGACTTTGTCGAGTGAGTACGGTATATAAGTGCGTGTGAAGTCCCTTGTCTTGTGCTGCTCTTCCATCCCAACAACAACAGCAGCACACAATTTCCCGGTGAAATCTTCCCTTCTCGACCATCATGCGTCTCACCACCCTCTCTTCGGCCGTGCTGGCATTAGCCCACGCCGTGGCGGCCGCCACTGGCAAGGCGGAGGGCTTCGCGGCCAGCGTCACGGGAGGCGGCAACGGCAGGACCGTGTACCCTTCAAGCAACTCGGAGCTGGTCAGCTACCTGGGCAGCAGCGAGGCGCTGAACATTGTCCTGACCAAGACGTTTGACTTTACCGGCTCCGAGGGCAAGGCCACCGAGCAGGGCTGCATGCCCTGGGGCACCGGCTCGACGTGCCAAAAGGCCATCAACAAGGACAACTGGTGCGGCAACTACCAGCCCAACGCGCCCAAGACGACCATCACCTACGACAAGGCCGGCATGCTCGGCATCACCGTCGGCTCCAACAAGTCCCTCGTCGGCCAGGGCAGCCAGGGCGTCATCAAGGGCAAGGGCCTGCGCATGGTCAGCAATGTCAAGAACATCATCATCCAGAACATCAAAATCACCGAGCTCAACCCCGAGTTCGTCTGGGGCGGCGACGCCCTCACCATTGACGGCGCCGATCTCGTCTGGATCGACCACGTCACCACCTCCCGCATCGGCCGCCAGCACTTTGTCTTTGGCAACAATGCCTCGGGCCGCGTGACCGTCTCCAACTGCGACATTGATGGCCGCTCCAGCTGGTCCGCCGATACGGGCTGCACCGGCCACCACTACTGGGGCCTCTACTTCACCGGCTCCCAGGACACCATCACCTTCAAGAACAACTACGTCCACCACACCAGCGGCCGCTCCCCCAAGGTCCAGGGCAACACCCTCCTCCACGCCGTCAACAACTACTTCTACTCCAACCCGGGCCACGCCTTTGAGACCGCCTCGGGCGCCATGGTCCTCGCCGAGGGCAACGTCTTCCAGAACGTCAACGCCGCCATTGAGAACGGCGGCGGCCAGGTGTTTGCCTCCCCGGACAGCGGCACCAACGCCCAGTGCCAGTCCTACCTCGGACGGTCCTGCCAGCTCAACGCCTACGGCAGCTCGGGCACGCTCAGCGGCACCGCCACGGGCTTCCTCGCCAATTTCCAGGGCAAGACAATTGCCTCGGCCAGCACGGCCGAGGTTGCCAAGGGCGTGGTCAACACGGCTGGTTTTGGCCGGGTCTAAATAGTCGGTTTGACAATGTCCCTTCTTCTTCTTCTTCTTCACAGTTCTCTTCTTCCTCTTCATAGCTGTATATAAAGAAGTACTCCTTCTGAATTCAATGAAAATGTATATTGCCTGCCTGCTTGCCTGCCTCCCTTTAGACCGCTCTCGATGCTCTGGCCTTGTTCTCCCGGTGTCTCCTCTCCTTGGCCGCTGTCTTGCGCCTATTCATCCAACTGCGGTTGAGATCGCGCCTGTTGTCCCAGAACCACGACTGAAAGTCGCTGGTCGCATCCTTGGGCTTGGCCGCGTCTTCCTCGTCTTCATCCTCCTCATCCTCCTCTTCAGCCTCGTCCTCATCTTGATTGTCGGCCCAGAAGTTTTGCATCCGTGAAGGGTGAGCCGTGTCGGGCGTCGGTGCGGCGCTCCGCAGGTTGCGCCACTCAAAGTCCTGGCGGGTGTATGGTGTCATGGGCACGGCTGGGGCCACGTCGTCGTCTGCTTCGTCACCGTCATCCTGGGTGGCATCGCCGTTGCCGAAGAAGCTAAAGGATTGCGTAGCGGGCGCCTCTTCTTGGCCCGCATCCTTTTGACGCTTGTAAAGGGCTTCCAGAGGATGGACTGTGCCGGCGGGCGTGGCTGGTGGTGGAGGGATGTCGATCTTGAGGCTGGAGGACGAAGTTGGACGATGCGCGGTTGTGGATTTGGGTGTAGCGACTGTCTTGGCGGAAGGGGCATCGCCGTCTTCACTGTCGGAGCCAGAAGAGCTTGTATCGTCCGAGTCGGAGGCTGGAGCAGGTTTCGGCTCAGTCTGCGTTGCAGCAGCTTCCACCATGGTCTCGTCCTCAGACTCACTCGAGGATGTATCGCTCGAGACATCGTCGGCGACACCTTTAGCAGGATGCTTGGGCTTTGGCTCTTCTTCCTCGTCCTCCTCTTCCTCTTCAGACGAAGATCCGCTGCTGCTCGTGTCGCTGTCCTCCTCCACGACAACCTGCTTCTTGGCCTTTTTGCTCTTCTTCTCCGGGAAATTGACCTCCTTCTCCTTGACCGCCTCCACGACGTTGCCTTCTGCGTCCACCCATCCCTTGCCCTCCACATACTCCTCAGCGCCAGCGCGCCCCTTGACGCCCTCGTCTTTCAGGAAGCTGGGAAACTTGGTCGTCTTCTCAAACTCGTGCACCGTGACCTCCCGGCTACTACTATTCTTCTTGCGCTTCTTCTTCTCGTGCTTGTCTTCCTCGGGTAGATTCCTCGTCGCATTGGGCGGCACCGTGGTCTTGAGCAGGCACTCTTCGCCGTCTGTGTATTTCGACTTTGTCCGCTTTTTCTCCTGCTTCTCCTTCTTTCTGTCCTCCTTCTTCTCAGCTTTGTCTGCTTTCGAAGCAGAGCGGTCCTTCTTCTTGCGTTTGGACGATTCCGCAGGTGACTCTGTCCAGCCACGCTTGACCTTGCGATTCGACAGCGCCACACCGTCTACGACATTCTCCTCACGCTTCCGCTTCTTCGAAGACCCATCCTTCTTCACCCTCTTCTCTTCTTTCGTGGACGAGCCCATGTCGACTGGCGGCTTGGCCTTTTCGATCCGGACCTTGCTACCCTTGAGCACGGCGCCGTTGAGCTTCTTCTTCAATTTGTCTGCCTCAGCGACGGGCAGTTCGACGTAGCCGTAGCGCTTCTCGGGGAACGTCTCAATGGTGTGGAAGGAGACGTTGCGCGCCGACGTGGAGGTGGGCAGGTAGGTCTTGAGGAGGCCGCTATCGAGGGGCGTGATGTGCAGTCGGACGTACTCGGGTTCGATGGTCATTGCTTACAGGGCGGGAGCCCGGTCAGAGCGCGAGAGTAGCGGTGCGTAATAAATAGGACAGACAAAGGATGATCAGGAAGGGATTGATGAAGCTTGTCCTGTCCGTGCGTTTCGCAAAGTCGGCGGGCTGAGAAAAATAACAGTGGGGCCATTATCATGTGGGGCGCCACGATTTCAGGGACTCGAGGAGGCAGAGTTCACATGATCTTTCAGTTTACGTACGTATACAACAAGTTCAATCATGTCTTATCATATTTACTTTACAACATCAGAGCTGAGCATTAGTATTACAATCCCCAACGCCAGTATACAGATATGCAGTCGTGAGTGGTGTACAAAAGAGGCCCCCAACGCGCCTTGCCTCAGTCTTTCCCCGGCAGGGACAGGATACTCCGCGGATTCCTCTCCCTCTCGTCGCCCCCAATCGCCTTCCACCAGACATCGCTGCTCCACCGGATGATGCGCTCAGCCGAGCCCTGCAATGTGGCCGCGGGCCTCACGTCAAGGAAGAAGACGGGCTCGCCCTCGGGGTCGTCCTCGCCAGCGTAGTAGTCGATGATGTATCGAATCTCCTTGCGCTCGCCGTTCTGCTCGCGCGCCACGTACCAGTCGTGCCGGTCAAACGGGGGCTCCGTGCCAAACTTGGAAGGGTACATCCAGCCCATGACCTGGAGCATGGTCGCCTTGGGCGTCAGCTCCTTGGGGCGGCCCTGGAAACGGACGAGAGACGGCTCGAGGTCGGTGCCGTCCCAGTGCCGGTCGAGCTCCTCCTCGTAGTGCTCCTCGCCGCGCTTGCAGATCTGCCACCCCTTGTAGAGACCCCGGGCGAATCGGTTCTCCCAGCCCAGAATCTCCTTCCACGCGCCCTCGTTCAGAAAGTTGTGCACGGACACCATGGACTCGACGGCCGTAATGTCCGTGTCCTCGTAGCCTTTTCGTAGCAGCGCATTGTACATTTGCTGCGGGGAGGGGTATTCCCAGTTGCCGTCACCCGAGCCCCTGGGGATGGTGCTCGGTTCACGCGAGGTCGGGAGGGCGTACGTCTGGTCCTTGGCGCGCTCCTGCGAGAGATCGGGGAACATGTAGTTCAGAGGGTTCAGTTGTGACAGTATCGACTTGGACTCCTTCTCTTTCGATGCGTGGGGTACGGGACACCCGCCAGACGACGCTGGCGCTGCTCCTGATCGCTGGTCGTGCGGGACGGGGCATCCTGATGTCGATGGTGGCGCAACGGGCTTGGAAGGTGTCAAGGCGTCGGCAGACTTCTGATGCATCGGGCAGCCGGGCTTGAAGGCGTCAGCGAGGAGATCAATGACGGTGGTGGCAGCATAGGGGACTCACTGGTGGCTCGCGACCTGCAGTGACAGGCGCATGGCCGGCAGGAGTCTGCACGGCAGCGACGGGTGTGTCAGCCCAGAACCAGCCCATTTCGGGAGAGGAAATAGGAATTATAATAGAGACAAGGTGGAAGCAAAAGGCGTTTGTACAGCAAGATCGTGGATAGAAAATCAGGATGACAGTCGCTGGCTGGATGGGGGCAAATGATGGATGGACAAATTTTTGGCGTCCAGGCGTCGGAGCAATTCGCGATGGGCTCCCCGACCAGACAGACGCGCATCCATGACGCCCGACACATGCCATTGTGACTGATTGATTATTACCCGATTTATCCCCGTCGGCACCACCGACGTCACTCACGCTACGGCATCGATTTCAGGGCAGATCTCGAGATCAATATCCTTGGACGTGCCGGATACAATCATCAGTGGCCTCCTTTTCTTTTCTCTTCATCATCCCCGCTGCGACATGTTATAGACTGCCATGATGAGGACTTGGCTCCTCCTTGGCCGCCTCGGCGCGCGGTCAGGGATCCGCGATGCGCCACAGCGATGCGCCCATGCGCCAGCATCCATCCGGAACCTCACAACACAGTCAAAACCTTTCTTTCGTCTACCGCCTCCGCCACGGGGTGCTGGAAAGGGCAGGATAGCCTTGCGCGCATCGGCTGGCGCGGCCGCCCTGGGGGCAGGTGTGTTCGTCACAGCTTCGCAGCAGGAAAATGGCAACAACCAGGACACTGGTGAGAGGCGCATGCTCGAAATGTCCCGGGAGGAGATCAAAAAGGGAGTGTCAGACCACGAGCGTGGGATCCAAAGGATGATGCACAAATTCGTCCTCTTTTTAGACATGTACATCTGGGAGCCCATCTGCACCGGCTTGCGCTTCCTCCAGCTGGTCGTCATCTTCGTCCCCGTCATCGTCACGGTCCCGGCGATATGGGTCGGCAGCCGCCAGCCAAAGCGCGACAACGAGCGCTCCGGCACGCTGTGGTGGTACGGCTTCCTCGTCAACGCCATGGAGCTGGCTGGCCCGGCCTTCATCAAGCTGGGCCAGTGGGCTGCCTCGCGGTCCGACATCTTCCCCAACGAGATGTGTGAGATCATGTCCAAGCTGCACTCCAACTCGCAGGCGCATTCCATGCACGCCACCAGAAAGACGCTTGAACGGGCGTTTGGGGGGAAGGCCTTTGAGGACATCTTTGAGGAGTTCAACGAGACACCGCTCGGTGTCGGTGCCATTGCACAAGTCTACAAGGCCAAACTGAAGCCGGCCCTCGTCGCACCGGCCGACTCGGACCTCGTGCGCGACGAGAACTTGCTGCGGGACAATGTCCGACGGAATGTCGAGCCCGTCCTCAAGAGCTCGCCCAAGCGCGTGCCGTCCAGCTACGTCGCCGTCAAGGTCCTGCACCCCAACACGGAGCGCACCGTCCGGCGTGATCTGCGGATCATGCACTTCTTCGCCTCGGTCCTCAACGCCATCCCGACCATAGAGTGGCTGTCCCTCCCCGACGAGGTCGCCCAGTTCGGCCAGATGATGAAGCTGCAGCTCGACCTGCGCATCGAGGCCGCCAACCTAACCACATTTCGCCAAAACTTCCGCGACCGGTCGACAGCCTGGTTCCCCTACCCCTACACCGACTTCACCACGCGCAACGTCCTCATCGAGGAGTTTGCCCAGGGCATCCCCATTGCCGACTTTATGGACTACGGAGGCGGCACCTTCCAACACGACATTGCCGACGAGGGCCTCGATGCCTTCTTGAGGATGCTGCTGCTCGATAACTTTGTCCATGCCGATCTGCATCCCGGCAACATCATGGTCCGCTTCTACCAAGCGGCGCAGCCCGACCTCAAGCTGCGCCAGCCACCACCACCCGCGCACCCGGGGCCAGGCCCACAGGCCGATGTCACAGAGCAGGTCCTGGAGCGCCTCCGTCCCTTCAAGCACGCCCGCGACAAGGCCGGCTGGGAGGCCGAGCTGAACAAGCTCGACCACGAGGGCTACAGGCCGCAACTCGTCTTTATCGACACGGGTCTCGTCACGGAGCTCAACGCCACCAACAGGACGAATTTCCTCGATCTCTTCCGGGCCGTGGCCGAGTTTGACGGGTACAAGGCCGGCCACCTCATGTGCGAGCGCTGCCGCCAGCCCGACGCCGTCCTGGACAAGGAGGTCTTTGCCCTCAAGATGCAGCACCTCGTCCTCAACGTAAAGTCCCACACCCTAGCGCTGGGCAACGTCAAGATCGGGGATATTCTGCAGCAGGTGCTCAGCATGGTCCGCAACCACCACGTCCGCCTCGAGGGCGACTTTGTCAACGTCGTCATCTCTATCCTGCTGCTCGAGGGCATTGGCCGAAACCTGAATCCAGACGTCGACCTCCTGAGCAGTAGTGTGCCCATCCTGCGCCAGCTTGGCGCCCAGAGCGGCAGTGAGATGATCCGCGGCGGCGACTTTTCCATGATGTTCGTCTGGATGGGCCTTGAGGCGAGGAAATTCATGCAGGCCAGTATAGAAGATGTGAGTACCTCCCTACTATCGCAGTCGCGACGTGTACTGACCGGCGCAGGTGGAACGATGTGTCAAGTACGACTTATTGTCGCCCAATGTATAAACCACATAGAGCACGTGCACCTCATAGAGTTAATAGTATCAATTCTGTACAGACGGCGTGTGTCCACCGCGTTGCTAATCACCACTCCCGACCAACTCGGCACTCTTCTCCCATAGACCCCGCAGTGCGGCTGTTGTCCCGTCATCGCCCTCCACAGCACTTGAGCCACTGAGCCTCTCCTCGCCAAAGCTACTGCCGACCGTTGTCTTTGTCGTTCTAATCGACGCGGTCGGCGTGGCTGGGGGTGCGCCGCCGACAACAGGCATGCTCACGTTACGCGAATGGCGGTGCGGTAGTTGCAGCTCCATCGGTCGCTGTTTTCCATTGGGGCCCGCGGCCGTGTTTGGTCTCGTCGGTATCCTCTTTGCCCTGTCGAGTTGTGAAAGGCGCGCCAGGGAGCGCGCAATGGGGTTCTGATACCGGCGTACCACAAGATACTCCATCCCCGTCTTCTCCAGTAGCTTTCCCATGCGGATGTCTCGACTCCTCGGGTCCGTGATGATAGGTGTGCCTGCTGATGCTGTGGTATGTTGCACGCCAGGCTCAATGGCCGTGCTTGCGCGTTGGAGGTTCAGCTTCTGCTGGATACGCGAGGTTTCGGCGGGAAGCGCAGAGCGCCTGGCTGGCTTGGGAACCAGGGCGCTGTCGCTACCTCTGTCCACTTGCCCGTTCTCCTCGGCCGAACGCGACAGATTTGCCATTGACTTGGGGCGTCCTGGTAAAGCATCATGCTGGCGCTCCTGACTGTGGTAGAATGATCCTTGTGTCGTCATCCCCGGCGTGCTTGGATCGTCGACAAAGCGAGATGTCAGACCTTCCTTACCGCTCCCTACTATTGTCCCCATTGACTCTGGATCCTGGGGGGATATACTCGGCGCTGCACCCGCATTGTCGTTCGTCATCATGGGCGGTGCTCCCGTGGAGGGTGTCCGTTGTAACAACCTCGACGTGAGATATTGCTGATGTTGCTGCACCGCCGCATTCGGTGCTCTCTCTGCGTTCTGCGGGCGCGACGCCAACGGCGATGACTCGCTCGGGGTCTGCGGTCTCGAGTTGCCCGGTCGTACGGACGATTGCGCACTGGAATTGAGTGATCCCTTCCTCGACATGTGCGGTGAGTTGGAGCCACTGGCGTCGACCCACTCCTCCTCCCCTGCGCCGCTGTCGTCCTCGTCGTCGCTTCCGAGATCGAAATGCACCGTCGACTTGCTCGACTTGTGCCTATGCTGCTGCTCCTCTTGCTGGGTCTGGGCGCCTGCGCTGCCACTGGACAGCCGCTTCAGCTTGTCCGACGACTTGTTTCGGGTGTGCTTGACGTCGCCGTGTGAGCGATTTCGCTTCAGACTCGATTGAGATACATTCTTGACCAGATTGGCGGAGGAATTGTTGCGCGATGACGTGAGCTTGACCTCGCTCGCGGCTCTCCGGTGGGTCGTCGGTCGTTGCGGCGCGCCTTCGTTGTGCGGTCGTGTTCTTGCGTGGAGCGCCTTGGAGGAGGCGACGCGAGCGTGCGGCCGACCGGTCACTTTGTGCTGCTTGTGAACGTGGTGCGGCTGGTGGTGATGATGCTTGTGACGCTGATGCGAGTCGTTTGTTGAGTCGCTCTCCTGCCGCGGGAGAGGGGGACGTTGCTGCTGCTGGGCAGAGGACGATCTTGATTGGGCGCTGGCGGAGGATGCGCCAGCGTCGTGGTGGGAATCGCGCGCCATAACAGACGTACTATGCTGCAGGACGGTATATGTTGGGTTGGGGGTGGAAGTTCAATAGCAGAGGAGCGAGCCAAGGAAAAGTTGCGGCTGGGCAGGACGTGGGAGATCTATCGTCTGACAATGCCTACTCTGGCATGAATAGGAGGCTGATGTACGTCCGTAGCACGAAAACGGCAGGAATCGGGGCCAATTGATGGCGGTGTGAGCAATTGTGTACTGGATGCACACTCGGATGGGAGCCCGGCAGGTCGGGAGCAGGGAAGCTGGTGGTTGGAGGGTGTGATGGTCGCAACGGGTTGGTGTTTTAGTGGGGCTCCATGCCTCTCAGCGTGTAAGTCCAACCATATCGGAACATACACTCCGGTTACCCTAGACACAGTTATCTGTTCTTAACAAGAGTTTCCCGTCGACACAGTGAGGATGGGAAGCTGAACTTTATCCCTAGAAAGGAAGGAATACATTCCATTGAGAAAACGACACTCAAGATAGCAACCGCGTGTTGCGTTGGGATGGTACAGAAAGTGCTCGATGCGGTGATCAATGAGCCCTGACAGGACACGTCGACAGTGGACGACTTCGATAACGGCACAACGCCCACACCGAGCAAAGAAGTGCTAGGAGCCATGTCATGTGCGACGCACCCAATACGTATAGCTCGTCATCAGCGAGTTGAGTAACATAAGTCGGTTGTAGTCACGGCCAGCACAGCGATGGTCATCCAAGGACTCACGTGACGCATCGTCTCCAGCGACCCCACGCCTGACCTCATGGGCGGGTCCGAGTCAGCAGGCGTCTCGGACAGGACCCTTCATCCCCAGAGACCATCAACCAGAAACTCGAAACCAGCATTCCCACCACACAACGAAATTGTCAACCTCTTTCACCCAACATGTCACTAGCAGAGCTGCAAGCGGAGCGACAGCAATACCAGGAACAGGTCAGCTTTTATGTCCAATTCCCGATTGCCGCCCTCACTAACGTCCCTCAGCTGGACATTGTCGCAGGCCAAATCAAAGACGATCCCGATAACAAGGAGCTCGCGAGTCTCAAAGAGGAGTTAGATCAATTCGTTGCGCTTCTCAACGACAGCATTGCTGAGTTACAGCCCAAGCAGGCACCGACGCCAGCGGCGCCCAACGCATCCACGCCACAGCCCGCTGAATCCGAGAAATGGTCGCGAGAGAATCACCCAGCCTTTAGTAAAGCTGCGCCCTATGCCGAGGAGAAGGACGAGAGCCCAGTCAGTTACCAGGTGAACGATACCGTGTTGGCGAAATGGCTGTCAGGCGACAAGGCATTCTATCCGGCCAAAATCACATCGATCACCGGCTCGTCCGCAGCGCCTATATACGTCGTCAAGTTCAAGAGTTACGACAACGTCGAAACTCTGCGAAGCAAGGATATACGGCCCGTCTCTAACAAACGAAAGGCCGAGGGTCCTCCGGCGCCGGTGGCGCGGCCAGCACCGGGCGTCGTATCCTCGGCTGGTGCCAAGTCATATCCAGACGCGAAGAAGGCCGCGGAGAGGGACGACGTGCCCCAACCACCCAAGCCGAAGAAGATCAAGGCCAAGAAGGAGCTCGAGACCAACAAGAACAAGTGGCAAGAGTTCAATGCCAAGTCCAAGTTCGGCAAGACGCAGAAGAAGGACAGCATGTTCCGCACCCCAGAAGGCGTCCACGGCAGAGGTCAGTCAGCTTGGTTCACCCCGAGCCACCAACACTTACTAACGACTCGCAGTTGGTTTCACTGGCTCAGGCCAGTCGATGCGCAAAGATCCGTCGAGGAGTCGACACGTGTACCAAGTCAACGAGGATCTGGACTAACTCTGTGTGAGATGCAGATCAAACACTCCGCGAGTCACGGTTCGCGTCTACCAGCGGAGATTGCGGAACCAGGGCAACAAACGTCCCAGTGGGTATCCACGGCAGCAGCGCTCATCTTTGCAAATTCGGAGTCATGGAGGTCCAGGCTGTGAGTTATACACCAAGTAGTTTTACAGTAACAGTAGTTTACAGGGCAATCAAGCTCATGCGCCTACCCAGTTTTCAAGCCGACTTTGGTCATGAGATCCCCCGCAATGTTCAGGAACGCTGACGCTCGCTCGCTTGTAGGCTCCGCAACCACCGTTGGCTTGCCTCTCTCGCCATCATCGCCAATGTTGGGATGTAGCGGGATGTCACCCAAAAAGTCAATGTGGTGGTCGCTGCACATTCGCTCCACCCTTTCGTTCGAGCCGAACACGTGCGTCTCGCCGTTGCAGTGCGGGCACTTGAACAGCGCCATGTTGTGAACCAGTCCCAGAATGTCGACGTCCACCGTCTTGAACATGTTGATGCCCTTGACGGCGTCCTTGGTCGCCAGCGTATGCGGCGTGGTAACTATGACAGCGCCATCTAGGATGACTTGCTGTGTGATGGTGAGCTGTGTGTCGCCAGTCCCCGGAGGAAGATCCAGAACAAGCATGTCCAGACCTCCCCAGTCAACTTCATGCAAGAGTTGCTGTACAGCTTTCATGACCATTGGCCCACGCCAGACCACTGGGGCATTCTCTCCAACAAGGTACCCCATGGACATGGTCTTTACGCCATAGTTGGTCAAGGGCACGAGCTGGTTGTCTGGAGTCGTAAGCCTCTATCCGGGGATGATGGGCCTGTTAGACTTACTACTTGACAAACGCGGTTCTCCTGAGAGATCAAACAAGGTCGGTATCGAGGGTCCAAAGATGTCGACATCTAGGATTCCCGCACGTAGACCTTTTCGCGCGAATGCTAACGATAAGTTTGCTTTTCGAATTGTAAGCTCTGTGCGAGTCTCACCATTCGAGGCGTCACTGACCAGCGATTGTGCTCTTGCCGACTCCGCCTTTAGCCGAGGACACTGCGATGACCTTGTCAACGCCGGCGATCTTTCGCTTCTGTGGTCGTTTCCCCCATGTGGGCGGTGTTCCTGATCGCGGAAGACCCTAGACAGTCAATCACTGTAATGGTGTCGCCACTCATGTTCACTTACCAAGGGGTTCTCGTGAAGCAAACCGCGTGTGAGCTGTAGGAAGCGAGCGGACGTTGGCCTAAAAGCCATGGCATCTGGTTTGGGGCGAGAGATGTACGATTTCTATGTTAAGACAGATTGGAATTCAAACATGTAAATGTATCTGTCTGCACTGGCATTATTATTGTGAGCTCGATGCTCTGAAGTATCTCCCAGTCGCATCGATCATGATAGCGAGCAAGTGGGTCCTGCATGACGGTTCCCGACGACCAGATTCTGCCACGCCTGACCGCCTAAAAGTTCCAGTCCCGCCAAAGACCTAAAAATTCCATGTCGCGGGGCCTTTCTTCACATGCGATTGTCTCGAACAAGTCAACATGGCAAAGGGCAAAGGTCGCGCGCATCTCTTTGAGGAGCCCGAGAAGGCTGCCAAGGGTGAGTTGGACCGCCAGCTTGCGCACCGGCGTCACTAACAAGCCTGCAGACTACGATCCGGAAGCCGACGTCGATGTCGACTCCAACAGCGGCAGCGACGCAAGTGAAGATGCCAATGCAGGGACGGAAGACTACGAAACGGTGGGAAAAAGCAAGCTGAGGCAGAAAGAGAACGTGTCACTGGGCCCAGCGTATCGAGGATCGAAAGTGTCTCGAGCCGCCTTGGACCAGGAGAGCGACGAGGACGACGAGGACGAGGACGATGAAGAAGACGAAGAAGACTACGCCGATCCGGATCTGATCGACCTCGAGGCGGATGAAGCAGAGGCAAGCGACTCGGAGATTGACAGCGACAACGCGCTTGGCGAGTCGGATGCCGAGCATTTTGAGGGATACACTTTCCGCGGAAGCTCAAAACCAGCCAAGGCCAAGGCGAAGCGTGCGACGGCCGCAGACTTCCTGTCATCCTCGTCGGACGAAGAAGGCGAGCCCAATGGCGCTGACGCGAGCGACGATGAGGACGAGGACGAGGACGAGGACATGGACGATGGCTTGGAAGAGCTTGTCAATGGAGGTGGCACGTCTGACGAGGACGAGGACGAGGACGCGGAAGGCAGCGACGAAGAGGAGAGCGACTCGGACGATGAAGCTCCCAAAAAGGCTGCTGGACCTAAACTGCAAACCATGTCCGGCCACTCTAACCCCGATGTGCAGAAGGGCTTGGCGATTCAGCAGCAACGCAAGGTCTACGATGGTCTGCTGAACCTGCGAATCCGACTCCAGAAGGCACTTGTGGCATCCAACACATTCCCTACGGTGGAAGATGCCTCGGAAGCTGAATCGGAACCCTACGAAGCGGCCGAGGAGGCAGCCGTGAAGCTTCTCAACACCATCAGCTCGCTCAAGGGGACATTTGGCCCGGCTGGCGGGGCTGGCGGGGCTGGCAGCAAGCGCAAGAGGGACGTTGAGAAATCCATGACGGCTGCACAGATGTGGGAATGCCTCCAGGAAGAGGACAAGAGACCGTCGAAAGCCCGCAAGGCGAATCTGGAGAAATGGTCGCAAAAGGTCCGCGCCGTGAACGATGCCTCCAGCAAGAAGAGCCTGGTGAGCAGTCTCGAGCAGCAGATTGACGACACCGAGTACCGCCTCGTCAAGCGGACCAAGGTGCCTCGATCGTGCGCGCCTGCCCAGGCCGCTAAGAGGGTGACCGAGGACGCGGACATTTTCGACGATGCCGACTTTTACCAGCAGCTGCTCAAGGAGCTCGTGGACCAGCGCACGGTGGACTCGTCCATTGACCAGGCCAGCACGGTGCCATCGGTCATGCTCACGGCGGCGCGTGACGTGAAGACGCGCAAGGTTGTCGATCGCAAGGCCAGCAAGGGACGCAAGATGCGTTTTACAGTTCACGAGAAGCTTCAGAATTTCATGGCACCCGAGGACAGGCGGGTATGGGAGCAGGGCGCCATTGACCGCTTCTTCGGCACGCTCTTTGGGCAGCGGCTGGAGCTTAACGAGGAGGACGTGCAGAGTGACGAGGACGAGGATCTTGGAGGTCTCACCGCCGAAGCAGAGGGTCTCCGCCTCTTCAAATAGACAGACACATTGTATTGTATATACTCAAAACGACATGTTTCTTTTGACTGGGCCAAGGGGAAATTGCGCATCGAAGAGCTCCCCCGCATTCAGTATGACCGCAAAGACGCTAATTGTCCACCAGCTAGGCCGCTAATCCAGTGTTGAGGAACAGGGCCATTAACAAAATGTGTACGGCCAGGTGAATCCACGGGCCGCCTAACGTCTTGCCTAGCTCGCCCGTCGTATTCAAGCCGCGCTGCAACCTTGCAATGGCACGGTAGCTCGGCCAAGCGTGCCAAAACGCAAAGGCAAAAGCGACCAGCCTTGTTGTCTCGTCGACGTCGGGCCGCACGAGGAAGATGAGGCTGATGAGGTTGGTGAAGAGGAGACAGCCGCCGTAGCAGTGCAGAATGAGTTTGGCCGACTCGGACAAGGGCGCGAGCTGCTTGTGCGGGCGCAGAATAAACGTCAGTCCGGCGAATGACGCGATAATGTCGTGGAGGAGAAAGGGGAGCTTGGCGAGGGAGATGAGCGATGCCATTGTGAATTTGATTGGATTGGGCTTTGGGCGCCGCAATGGTCTATAGGTTGTAACAAGGTGCTGAAAATTTAGAATAGCGGGCGAAATGGGGTGATGGGCGTTGAGGCTACGTCTCAATTTTTCTGCATTGAGGCCAGCAAGTCGCGTTTGGTGGTGTTGTCAGGTATCAATCAGTAATTACAGCACTTGCGCCGACATTTTACTCGCTTACCTTATGGTCGATCATGAAGATGACGTCATTCTCTGCCTATTCAACAGACATGGCGAGACCCGAGTCCTCGACACGCAGTCTAACATATTAACGTTAGGTAGCAGAATGTCTTGATTCTACAAACTCGAAAGTCGAACTCGAGATTTCCCGAATTGGACCCAGCCCTCGGGATCCTCGGGAAAATGCTACGACATGGAGCCCAGAGCTCATATTGCCCCCTTCTAGTTGCTTTCTATCCGTTTTCTATCCGCTTTCCTTCGGCCACTACTCCGTACCAATGATTGGCTTTTCTCCAAATCCATGGCATATACTACTTACGTACTACCTTGGTTGTCCTTCTCACTACTTGACTCCAATTGGGATGGCATGGACCATGGCCTGGACTTCTCCCTCTGGATACACTTAAGACACCAAGCAGTCCATCACTAAATATATCACGCACGTTCATGCATGCGCGCATCTGCTCATCAATAATTTTGACCTTGTCTTTCCCACCTCCAGTGACCATTAAAATCCTCTGCTAGACCAAGAGTTCCCTAGTTCTCCCCAGCATGTACGGACTTCATGTTTGAAGGCCAGATCCAACGCGGCTCGACTTGATGTCTGATATGTTTTCACAACGTCAACCTTGTATCTGCGGTGCTAATAAAGCCATATGTGCCCGACTTGGATAGATATTGAGGCAACTGTCCAAAATCTCGAACAGTCGCCAGTAATTTAATTTGTCTTCTCACGGCGTAAAGGCTGGTTACGAGCAGATGTCCACATGGCGCCAGGATGAAGGCTTTTGCGGTCTGAACCCACCGCCGATTTGAAGTTTAGATGTTCTCCTCGTACCTTCCACTGAAATCAAATGGATCAATACCTTGATCATTGCCGTCAGATAAACCACCCCGACAGGTCTCGCAGAAACGGAAGCTTCAGTCCAGCACGCTTTATTCCGCGACTGTTGGGGTTTTCGATGGATGTGACCATCTTTAGTTCTTGTCTCTGGTGTATATAAAGGCTTCCTGCTTTCACCACAACCACAATCTTCCGATTTCCATCACCTTCGTACAACCTACACACTCTCAAGAATCCTTCAACTTCACCAAACTCCTTCACTACTTTCAAGACTTCACCATAAAACCTGTGTTCCGTGACAATGGTCCCCTCTCCTCGCCAATTTCTGGCCGCCCTGCTCGCGGGCGGCGCCGTTGCCAACCACAACCACCCACCACCCTACCATCTCCTGCCCGAGATGCCAGTCCAAGACTACCAATACCCGCGCTTCAGTCGCTCAGCTGAGCAGTGTGACATTTCCAGTCCCTGCTCGCCAGCCCAGCTTCTTCCCATGGGCTCCCACAGCGAGGGCTGGGCTTTCTGCGGCGCCGCGTTCAAGGAGGGCATCCTGCCCAAGTCTCTGGAGCTCGAGGGCCATCATGCCATCGAGGCAATCACCGTCTCCTACACCGACGGTACAAAGTCCCGCTTCGGTCGGGGATTCGACCATGAGGGCATGCTCGAGAAACCCACCACCGCGACTCTGGACCTGGATCCACTGAAGGATCGCATTGAGTACGTGGCCTGGTACCCCCACAAGGACGGTGGCATTGGCGGTCTCGAGATCTACGTTTCGGGAGGAAAGATGCTTGGTGCGTAACCTGTCACACAAAGTCCATCCCGCACTGAGCTAACCTTGTTGTGTAGTCTGGGGCCCAAAGTACATCAAGTACAGGCAGCCCGCCATGGCGTACAAGCCTTCGGGCGGCATGCTGCTCGGCATCCAGGGCACCGCCGGCAATGATCTCCACAGCTTTGATCTCATCACGACCAAGTCCAAGATCACGGCCCTGCGTGTCGAGAACATCACCGTCACCCCCAATGCGGGGGAGCTGAATGCGCTCCACGACAAGGGTCTCCAGGAGGAGCACAAGGCCGTCAGCCGCCACACCCAGGAGGAATTTGGCGCGCCTGCCAAGGACTCCGTCTCCATGAGTGTCAGCTTTTCTGTTTCCGACTCGACGAGTCTGCAGAAGACGAGCTCGGATGCCTTTTCGACTACCGAGGTGAGACCAACCCATACTGATCATGCAGAGAGCTTGTCGCTAACAAGAGTGCCAGTCAATGTCAGAGACGCTCTCATTCACCGCAGGGTTTTCCACCATGATACCTACCATTGGCACTCCCTCTGTTGGCGTGACCTATGCCGCAACTCATGGGCAAAGTGTCACATGGTCGAATACGAAAACCTCTTCGATTACCTTCGGCACGGCCAAGACCGTGAGCGTGACGTACTCGTTCTCCGCGGAGGCGGTCCCCAACACGGAGGTACAGTGCGATGTATGGCACTGGAAGCCAGCGGCCAGCACCGAGATCAAGTGGTACGGCGACGTGAGTGACTCCCCTCCGGACTATCATTGTCGAGGAATACTGACCAGTTTTAGTCCGTCGTCCATTTCGAGGACAAGCATCTCTGCTGGAGCTGGCTGTCGCAGGGTATTTACCACCCTGCCGACGACAATGCCTTCAAGTCGCGCTGCCGCCGCCGCTGGCTCAACGAGACCTCGCACGAGGGGAAGCCAAAGGCCGGCAAGGAGGAGGACATTGAGGTCGACGTTTCCTCCAGTATTTATGGACGCGACCTCAAGATTGGTGACTGGTTTGAGATTGACGAGTATTCCGTCACCCAGGAGTTCGACTACGACCTTTGAGAGGTCAATGGCACTGCGCCGGGCAGGTAATGGGAAAGGGGAAGATGGAAATGGGCTCCGTCCGGGGCATCATGGGACTCAGCAATCATGGGCCAGGAACGGCATAGCGCCCGGGCCCACTGGGGCCGCGTCTCGGAGCCGGTGTCAGACGGAGGGGTCCACGTTATTGGGTGCGATGGGTGGTAATCGTAATGGACTGGAGTTTGGCGTTACGTGGTCTTTGCATTATCATCCTGAATAATTGAGATAGAAAAAAAAAGAAGAAGAAAAGGAACTACTTCGGCATGTCGTGGTGTGCGTGGTTTCTCCAGTCACAGACCTTCAGTTTGTCATTCCTCAATCTACTGTACGGATACGGATACACGTGCTGGCAACTGGGCGGCCGCAGCTTGATTAGGCATTGAACGCGATCGGATGGGTGGACTCCAGTCGCCTGCCCCAGTCCATGTCGATCCCGATGCAGGCCCCAGTGGGCGTGACGGACGAAGCAAAGACTGAGATGCAGTAAGAGGGGCGTCCGACCACGTCTCTGCCCTGAAAGGCAACTATTCCTTCTTGGCTTCAGGATGTGAGACAGTGCGGTTACGACGACTGTCTGGCAGTGCAGTCCCAGATTTACATGGCGTTTCACCGATCAATGTGCGTGTCAGAGCTGGGTCGCTCGCTGCATTGTGGCTGTTCAATGTTGGGTCGCTAGGCCGATAGGCGCAGTGGGAAACGGCACACGGCAAGTCGTTTCCCGACTTTAGCATCCCCTTGACAGGATATTTTGATTGCAATTCCACGTAGATACAGGTATTCAACGTATTAATTACCTGTTGGTGACGTTGAGAACGTGCCTTATCACCAACAACCGCCAGCTGCCAACAAATCGGACTAACGTAACGGCACGTTTAACAAATGACGTATGCCTCTGAAACGCCGGGTTGCAGCAGGTCAGGCTGCGAAGGACTGGACTGGACGTGAGGTGGCTTCTTCAATGGTGGTCGCTCAACCTCAGTTACTAACATAAGCCTCCACCAACAATTAAATCCTTCGTATTCTTGTGCGTACTCGTTACGCGGTCCTGCGAAGTCTGAAATCAGAAATATCCAGTCCCCCAAAAGATCGTCGCGGACCCCAGCGGACATCCCCCTTGGCAACTTACTGCGTGCAGCGTCATTGCCCCCACAAGGCGCAGGGGTGTCCAGTCCCGTCTCTTGAAGTTTGAACCACCAGCCTCCAAGTCCAGGCACGCTGCGCACGGAGGCACGGAGGCACGGAGCACTATTAGACTAGCGACTGGAGCAGCTTGGGCTGCCGCGGCCGACTGGGCTTTCCTTTACAAGTATTGACCCAAGCCCCATGTCAAACTTCTAGATCTACAAAGCCTCTTTTCCCCCGTTGTCAACAATTCCCATCATTCTTGCTCATCGCCTTTTGCACGTAGGATACCTTGCCCGCTACTCTTCCCAGCGCCACCCATCCACTGCTACATAGCATCACGACATTACGATACGACACGACCCGACACGATATAGGCGCAACTCATCACATCATCTTGACGTCTGACGAGTCTCACAAACATCTCATCTATACCGTCCCATTATCTCGAGAGCCAGACTCACCGCTCTGCAAGCAAACACCTTCCTGACTCTCCCCACCTCCCACACATTGGCCGCCCGTCATGGCGTCATCGACTTCGTTCAGCGACATGAATTTGTCCATTGTTGGCCTTGGCACAGAGTATCCACCCTACGAGCTCAAGGCCGATGCTCTCAGCACGCTGAGCGACAGGTTCTACCCAGAGTCGGCGAGCATGAAGAAGGTTCTCGGCGTCAACCGGTTTACAGGCATCGACACACGGTCTTCTGTCGGGGACCCCGACCACCCAGCCGTGAACAAGGAAAAGGCTCCCTCAATAAAGGAACTCCACGACATCTTCATGAACGATGGCGTGCCTCTCGCCATCCGGGCTGCTGGCAAAGCACTCAAGGAGTCTGCCATCGACGCCTCTCAAATCACACACATTGTCGCCACGACCTGCACTGACTCTGCCAACCCCGGTTTTGACCACTACGTCGCCAAGGAGCTCGGGGTCTCCGACAAGGTGGAAAAGGTCTTGCTCCATGGTGTAGGCTGCAGCGGTGGCCTTGCGACTCTGAGGACAGGTGCCAACCTGGCCCTGGGCCATGCTGCTCGCGGCAAGCCTGCGCGCGTCCTGTGCGTGGCGCTCGAGGTCAGCACCACACTGGTACGCAGTGAGCTGGACAGCATCAACGAGCTGCAGGAGACCAGGATAGGCGCGTGCCTGTTTTCAGATTGCGCCAGTGCGGTTGTGCTGAGCAACGGCATCGGCGAACAGGCTACACCCATCTACGACTTGCTCGGCTGGGATCACCGCACCCTGCGTGACACGGAGGTCGACCTGGGCTTTGACGTTGATCCACTAGGTATGTCGATCTTGCAATCTCAAGACATGAACACACCAACTAACCGAGACAACAGGCTGGAAGGTCGTTTTGACCCCCCGGGTGCCCAAACTCACGGGTGCCTCTATCAAGCCCGCTTTCGAGGATCTCATGTCGCAACTGCCAGATCTCCCCGCCAACTACCGCGCGCCGTCCGACTTTGACTGGGCCATGCACCCTGGCGGTGCCACTATCCTGACTGGCGCGGAGCGGGCCATGGACATCACCCCAGAGCATATGCGCGCGAGCTACGACACGTACATCAACCACGGCAACTCGTCATCGGCCACCATCTTCAGCGTCATGAACCGCTTGCGAAGCAAGGAGATGGATGAGCTGGCCCCTGGCGGTAACGTCAAGGACTACGTTGTCGGCTGTGCCTTTGGTCCTGGCATCACCGTCGAGATGTGCATGCTGAAGCGACACCAGCCTCGTGCGGATGCTTCGCGCGTCGTGCATGGCCTCCAGACGCCGCCCATGACGGACTCGGACGCGGCTAGTGACAATGTGTCCGATGGCGAGTGGTCGACGAGTGAGTCGGTAGAGGAGAGGTTACCCGAGGCCGATAGACAATTTGTTGCGCAGGCGTTGGAGAAATTAGACTTGGACTGAAGCTAGATAAGACGAGGGCGTCGCATTATTCACCATACACGCATGAGTGAGGTCGCGTGGGGGGTTCTATCATTTTGGTCTTTACATAGCGATAGGTCTGGCCATGGGTGGGTTGCTTCGGAAGACGAGTATAATTGGTTGTTTTCGGACAGCTTTTCTTTTCATGAACTCATGTATTCCCAGTGTGCTCATCTCATTCCAGGCTCACAGCGTCACCTCAGATGCGGGATTCGCGTGAAACTACTGAAAATGGCGAATCGTGTATTTGGCAAAAGTTTGCGCGATCGAAATAGCATCCTCGCCAGACAACAATCGCGCGGGTCCTTGACTCCTCGTGCGAACCATCCGCTCGACTCACTCTCAGGTGAGGCGGCAAGTGATCCTTGGCAGAACGGTGGACAGCGAGCTAAATGACCACGCGAACCCACCTCATGGGCTGATTGTGGATGTCGGACCGCTCGCGTGCGCCGCCGATCTGCGCTCCCAGCGTGTTGACTGTGCGGTGCTCGACGGACGGTGGGATCGATATACTTGCGTGCATCACCTCGGAGAATTTGAGGTGCTCACAGAAGGGGCAAGTCTGCCTCGGGCACGCCAATGGGGCGCCACGATGACGATCGTGGGAGTGGGCTACAGAATAGCTTAATGCGGAGAGAGAAGCATTTGATCAGGGTCCTGGAACCATCACATTTCGTTCACGCTGTCCTCGCGTATTATCATCTGTCAAAGTGTCAATTGCAAAAATTGCCGGCACTGCAGTGGCTGCCATCGGCTCTATGGCGGACGAAGGCCGCTTACCGTGGAACCCGGGGAGGGTCACGTGGCCCAGCCCGGCCCAGCACCAGCACTCTCTGGAGGAAGCCGCGGAACAGGAGCTGAGTGAGCAACGACTGCCATTGCGACGACAGCAGCAGTTGCCCTTTGCGCACGAATACCACGGGCAGGCGCTCTCCGACCCCTTCGCCGGCATGGAGCAGATTGAGAGTCAGGCTTTCGACCTGCATCAGCTCACGCAGGCGTCCGTCCCCGTGCCTCTGAGCGACGCGACGCAGCGTCCCAGCCCAGGCGGTCCTGGTCCCGCGCTCGCGGCGGACCATTCCGCACCGCACAGCGTCCACGACGGTGCGAGCGCCAACATCGCCAACAACAACAAGAGAAAATCGCTGGACGACGGGAGTGCGACGGGCGGTCAGGCTGGCAAGAACACGCGCAGCAAGAGGAATAGGGTGATTATGACCTGATCTTTACATTGACCAATACGTGAAATGCTGACTTGGTTCCTTGCGGCAGTACATCTCGATCGCATGGTATGTATAGGAGCGGCGTGCGCGCGGGCATCACTAACGTCCAGCTAGCAATGAGTGCAAGCGCCGCAAGATCAAGTGCAACGGCGAGACGCCATGCCAGCGATGCGGCAACCTGAACCTCGCCTGCCTCTACGCGCCCAATTGCTGCTCCACCAACTTCAAAGACTCGGAGGATTTCAAAATAGTGTCGAGTCAGGTCGATCGACTGCAGGAGCAGGTGGAATGGCTGAACCACACCATCAAGGCGCTCCAGGCTGATTCGACACGACTTGCGCCCATACAAGACCGACCGTTGCCGGCCATCTCTCCATCACCCTCGTACCAGTCGAACACGACCAGCCAGCCACCACAGCCGCAGTCGCAGCGACTGGATCCGCCGCCCTTTGTACGCTATGGATCGTTCCGGGGCCCGACGAGCATGGCGTACAGCCTGGATGTCGCGAACAACACCATTGCCAACATGGGGTACAAGGGGATAGAGGAGGGCGAGGACCAGAGCGCCCCATCGACCTTTGACGAAGTGCACGTCACGACAGGCGACGCCGGGCGAACAGACCCACTTCTGGACTACACGAAAGAGGAAATGATACGGCTGTGCAGGCTTCACGAAGAGGAAATTGGGATCATGTACCCGGTGCTGGACGTCCAAGATGTGATTGCTCATGCGAGTAGCTTGCACGCCTTTATCGACCTGCACCGTCACCAGCGCAGTCCGCTCTCCTTCAACGACGACAAGTCTCTAGAGTTGAAGATGGTCATGGCCTCGGCCCTGCTGGTGGAGGAGCACGGACAGAGCGACAAAGCCGTCCGGCTGTACGAAAGTGCGGAAAACGTGCTGAACCGCAAGCTCGTTTCCGAGCCAAGCAAGATATCGACCCTCCCACTGCTGGCGCTGATGGCAGGCTATCGGTTCCTCTCCAACGACGACGTGCTTGGGTGGAGGGTCATGGGGCAGGTCACCCGGCTGTGCTTCGAGCTTGGCATCCACCGATATGCTGGACTCATGAAGATTGGCGATGAACAGGAGCGAAAGAATGCGCTCAACAGTTTCTGGTCTGCGTATGTACTGGACAGACGGTGGGCTTTTGCCACGGGCCTGCCATATGTGGTCCAGGACGACGAGATTGATCCTCAATTGCCGATGCCCGTGAGTCTTTTGGATGATGCGCATGCTTCGCATACTGATTACTGCGTACAGGAGGACCACCCATTTCTCGTTGCCATGATCTCATATTCCAGGCTCTGCGCCAAGGTATGGCGCCAGGTCACCCACTTTGAACCTGTCCTCGCGCGTGAGCTACGGCAAGAGGAGCTGGAACGGCTGGACTCGGAGGTGCTGCAATGGTACGAGACGGTGCCGGAAGAAGTCAGGGTGCGGAATTGGATGGCGGAACGGCGGCATCTTACATCGACGACGCCTTCGTATAATTTGCAGCGCTTGCGGATCTGGACATACCTACGGCTCAACCAGGTGAGTTCTTTTGAGATCGCAATGTCATTATCACAGTACTGACGCACCAAGCTTCGCATCTGGCTGTATACCCCTGTCCTTTACAGCGCCACCAGTATCATGACGAATCCGTTGCAAGCCCAGCGTGTTGTCGACCTGGCACGAGACACAATACAATATTTGCACCACCTGAACAGCACCACAGACCTGTACCGCAAGGTGCAAGTCTTCTATCATCAATTCATCACGTCAGCCATTTCAGCTGTCTTCCTGGCCTCTGTGCACGCACCCGTTCGGTTTAGTGCCGTGTGCCGCGAGGAGTTCTATCTGGCACTCGAGCTAGTCAAGCACCTGTCCGCCAAGAGCTGGGTATCGCAGCGGTTATGGCGGACAATCCGATCCCTCAAAGATGTTGCGCCGCGATTCGGCCTGAACCCGGATGACGATGCGCACTCGACGGCGGCCCTTGGTATGATCGGCCTCGCGCGAGGCCACATGGACGGCAGCTCCGCCAGCCAGTCCCCCTATCAACGGGCTCCGCCTCAGGTCCCAGCTCGCCCGCAGCAGCCGCCTCAGGCGGGCGACAATGGGTCCATGCTGCAAAGCGAAATGTCGAGGATGTTTGAGGGATACGTCGGGCTCAACGGTGTGCAGCAGCAACAGTCGGTGAATGACGAGCAAGGGGGCTCGGCGAGGCCAGGTTCGGAGATGCAGAGCCCTGGGTCGGGGACTGTATATGGATCTGACGGGACTGTGTTCCCTCAGCTGAGGGAGATGTTCTGATGGCGCGTGTCACTGGGCCAGATAGGAAACGGTGTACATAGTCGCGAGAGGAAGAATGTATATGCCTTGGATCTGTCCAAAGAAAACCCAAAAGTGCTTGCTTGTAAGTCTTCAAAAAAGAAAGTCGAATGATTCTTTACTTGGTTAGGAAAAGCAAAAAAGGTAACATGTGCCCAAACCCAGACTCGAACTGGGGTTTCCACGGTTCTGATGTGTAACCACAACGTGGTGCCCTAACCACCTAGACTATTTGAGCTAAGCGACTAGCGAGAGCCGATGTCAAAGTGTGGGTAATTACAGTATATATCGTTAAAACAAAACATTTTTTAGACGCAAATGTCTCCCTTTCCCACACAATTAATCCAAAGCCTGGTAGAATATCTCTTAAGACTTCTCTTCTTAGGCTCTACCAAGTTAAGTCTATGCAGCTAATTGCAGAAGGTCCAATCCTTTGCGAATCTAGACTGTCTTGCTCTTTTGGTCACTCTAGCTCCGCCCCTCAGAGTCACAGCTGCCTTACGTATCACGAAACTCAGGGCAGAACCAGTATTGCCCCCAGGCAGGAATGTATGTAGCTTGACAACACAAGTACGCACAGCTGTAACCCAAGCCGCACAATCCGCTGCGAAGCCGGAGACACGACGGTGGGGTAATGAAGGAGGCATCTCACTTGGAAGCATTGCATGACATCAAGAACCCGCCATTACCCCAATGGTGGGCGGACTCTCAACTCCGCTTATCACGCTCCACGACATGCATCACACTCGGCAACTCTCACTTTGCCGAGTCCATGGGGGTATATGTAATCCTCACATGAGGGTCCCATCACGTCTTGCTTTCTTGTCGTGAGCATCTTCCTTTTCATTCTCTAGTCATTTGTTTCCTCGCCAGATCCAGCCACCATGGCCTCCCCAACAGACAAGAGCCGTGGCATCCGCATCGCCATTGACCGTGGCGGTACCTTTACCGACTGCGTAGGCGAGCTGAACGGCAAAGAGATCATCATCAAGCTCCTCTCCGAGGACCCCGCCAACTATGCCGATGCACCGCTCGAGGGCATCCGGCGCATCATGAGCCACTTTCTCGGGCGGGAGATCCCGCGTGGCGAGGCCCTCGACACGACCCAGATTGACTCCATCCGCATGGGCACGACGGTGGCGACGAATGCGCTTCTGGAGCGGAAAGGCGAGAAGATTGCGCTCGTCGTGACCCAAGGCTTCAAGGATTGCCTGACGATTGGCAACCAGAGTCGACCCAAGATTTTTGACCTGGCCATACGGAAGCCGGATGTCCTGTACGAGCAGGTTGTCGAGATTGAGGAGCGCGTCACGCTGGAGGACTATGCGGAAGACCCGGAACGGACTGTCACCAAGGCGGGTGCGCAAGCAGGGACGGAGGACGCCCAGAGTCATGAGCTTGTCAAGGGCTTGTCGGGCGAGACGGTGCGGATACTGAAGAGAGCGAAGGAGGAGGACGTGAGGCAGAAGCTGCAGGGCATCTACGACACAGGGATACGGAGTATTGCCGTCTGTCTGCTGCACGGATACACATTCCCGGACCACGAGGCTCTCGTCGGTCGGATAGCCAGGGAGGTTGGCTTCGAGCACATTTCGCTCAGCCACCAACTCATGCCCATGATCAAACTCGTGTCGCGCGCCACGTCCGTCTGTGCGGACGCGTACCTCACACCGGCCATCAAGAAGTACATTGATGGCTTCTCGGCGGGCTTTGAGGGGGGCCTGGGAACGCGCAGCGTGCAGCAGGAGTCTGGAGCCAAGGGTGCGCGGTGCGAGTTCATGCAGAGCGACGGCGGTCTCGTCGACGTCGAGAAGTTCACCGGTCTCAAAGCCATTCTGTCAGGACCCGCGGGTGGTGTCGTGGGCTACGCCATGACCTCGTATGACTCGAACACAAAGACGCCTGTCATTGGGTTTGATATGGGCGGCACATCCACAGATGTCTCGCGTTATGGTGAGGGACGGTACGAGCACGTGTTTGAGACGACGACGGCTGGTGTCACCATCCAGTCGCCGCAGCTGGACATCAACACGGTGGCTGCTGGCGGTGGCTCGCGCCTCTTCTTCCGCAATGGTCTGTTTGTGGTTGGGCCTGAGTCTGCGGGTGCCCATCCTGGCCCTGCGTGCTACCGCAAGGGAGGCCCCGCGACGGTCACTGATGCCAACCTGTACCTGGGTCGCCTGCTGCCCGAGTTCTTCCCCAAGATCTTTGGCAAGAATGAGGACGAAGGCTTGGATCCCGAGGCGAGTCGAAAGGTGCTGCAAGAACTGGCTGACCAAATCAACGCGGAGACGGGCAAGAATATGACCGCGGACGAGGTTGCGTATGGTTTCCTCACGGTAGCCAACGAGGCCATGACGCGCCCTATCCGGTCGATCACCGAGGCCAAGGGCCACGACACCGCGAAGCACCGCCTGGCGACGTTTGGTGGTGCCGGTGGACAGCATGCCGTCGCCATTGCCGACTCCCTGGGCGTGAGCCAGATCCTCGTGCACCGATACTCCTCGGTTCTCTCGGCCTACGGCATGGCCCTGGCGGACGTTGTTGACGAGAGACAGGAGCCCGAGTCCAAAGTCTGGGAAGACGGTGGCCGCGTCATCCAGGAGCTGCAGACCAAGATGGACAAGCTCAAGGACAAGTCGCGAACTACTCTGCATGAGCAAGGGTTTGACGACAAGGAAATTGAATTTGAGGAGTATCTCAACATGCGCTACCGCGGTACCGAGTCCGCGCTGATGATCATCAAACCCTCCGAGGAGGAGGCTCGGGAGAGCTTCGACGGAAAGGACTGGGAGTTTGGCAAGGCCTTTGTGAAACAGCACCGCTATGAGTTTGGCTTCACGCTGGATGACAGGGACGTTATCGTCGACGACGTCCGTGTCCGCGGTATCGGCAAGAGTTTCCGGCACAATGAGCGCACCGTGGATCAACAGCTCCAGGAGATCAAGCGTCAAGATGTGGGTGTTGAGCAGAAGCACGGCGAGCAAGAGGTCTACTTTGACGGTGGACGGCTGAGCACACCCATCTACAAGCTCGAGAGTCTCAGCGTTGGCCATGTCATCCCTGGGCCAGCCATGCTGGCAGACGGCACACAGACGATCGTCGTGACGCCCAACGCCAAGGCATTGGTTACCGAGTCTCATGTCATCATCGACCTTGAGACCGCTTCGAAGCGCGAGGCGTCCAGCACCGACAATGCGACCCGCGAGGTCGACCCCATCATGCTCAGCATCTTCGGGCACCGGTTCATGGCCATTGCCGAGCAAATGGGGCGCGCGCTCCAGAAGACGAGCGTCAGCACAAACGTCAAGGAGCGTCTAGACTTTTCCTGTGCCATCTTCGACGCGACGGGTGGCCTGGTCGCCAACGCGCCCCATTTGCCCGTGCATCTGGGCTCCATGTCGACCTGTGTTCGACGACAGGCGGAGATCTGGAGGGGGAAGCTGCACAAGGGCGATGTCATTATCTCCAACCACCCTTCGTACGGAGGGACTCACCTGCCGGACATTACCCTGCTCATGCCCGCCTTTGACGCCAAGGGCGAGAATATCCTGTTCTACGCCGCGTCGAGGGCGCACCATGCCGACATTGGCGGTATCAGCGCCGGCAGCATGCCCCCTCACTCCAGGGAGCTCTTCCAAGAGGGCGCCGCTATCCGCAGCGAGAAGCTTGTGAGTCAGGGCAAGTTTGACGAGAAGCGTGTCACGGAGCTTCTCTATGACGAGCCAGCGCAGTATCCCGGGTGCAGCGGCACGCGGTGTCTCGCGGACAACATTAACGATCTCCGGGCGCAGGTGTCCGCCAACCAAAAGGGCATCTCTCTGATCGAGACCCTGATCGAGGAGTACGGCGAGGAGACGGTGCAGTTCTACATGGTCAACATCCAGAAGAATGCCGAGGACTGCGTGCGCGGCCTGCTCAAGAGTGTGTGCAAGCGCTTCGAGGGCAAGGCGCTCTCCGCCGTCGACTACATGGACGACGGAAGCCCGATCCAGCTCCAGGTCAAGATCGACCCGGACAAGGGGGAGGCCGAGTTTGACTTTGCCGGCACCGGGCCCGAGGTCTACGGCAACGTCAACGCGCCGCAGGCCATCACGTTCAGCGCCATCATCTACTGTCTCCGCTGCCTCATCTCCGAGGATATCCCCCTCAACCAAGGCTGCCTGAAGCCCATCCACGTCAAGATCCCGCCCAAGTCCATCCTCTCGCCCTCGCCTGGGGCTGCTGTCGTCGGCGGCAACGTCCTCACCAGCCAGCGCATCACGGACGTCATCTTCAAGGCCTTTGAGGCCTGTGCCGCCAGCCAGGGTTGCTGCAATAACCTTACCTTTGGTTTTGGCGGCAACCAGTCCGGGCAGGACGCCGTCAAGGGCTTTGGCTACTACGAGACGATTGCGGGTGGCAGCGGTGCCGGCGCCGACTGGGCTGGCACGAGCGGTGTGCACTGCCACATGACCAACACGCGCATCACGGACAGCGAGATCTTTGAGCGGCGCTACCCCGTCATCCTACGTGAGTTCTCGCTGCGCGGGGGCTCGGGGGGTGAAGGGCAGCATAGGGGCGGTGATGGTGTGATCAGGGACATTGAGTTCCGCATCCCGCTGCAGGTGTCCATCCTGAGCGAGAGACGCGTGTATCACCCGTACGGTCTGAACGGGGGCGGGGACGGTGCCTGCGGTCTGAATCTCTGGGTGCGTCGGGTGGAAAAGTCCAACTGGGAGCAGTCGATCAAGGCCATCCACGGCAGCGACGGGCCCCATGAGACCGAGTACGAGGAGCGGCATATTAACCTGGGAGCCAAGAACAGCGCGGCCATGAAGGCGGGTGATCGGATCATTATATGTACACCGGGTGGTGGTGGTTGGGGCAAGGCAGGCGAGGGGAGCGTGGCGAAGCGCCGGGTGGATGTCACTGAGAGCTGGCGGAAGGGAAGTGGTGCGGCGCGCGAGGAGGCAGCACTGCAGGCGTGAGGAATTGGTGAGGGAATAAGTTAGGATGCATAGTATAAGAGATAGATGAATGCATGATGTCACAATGGCTCGCTGTGCTTGGTGGGCTCCTCTTGTTCAAGTCCGCTGTACCCCTTTTTTTTAAAATCCCGAATGTTGAACTGCACATCTACAACGACCCTCCACCTCAGGCTGGCCCAGCTTCCGCGGTAGATGAACCCTCCGCTGTCGGCTCAGCCGTTTCCGCGTCAGGGTCATACTCTTCCCCAAACTCCTCGACGATCCACAGGCAATACTTCTCCCACTCAATCTGCCACGCGCGGATACGGTCCGCCTTGACGCCCTGCCCGACGCTCGCCTCCCGGATCCCCTTGACCCACTGCTCCTGGGTCTGCTCCTCGAATGCAGCCCACCGGATGCTGTTCTCGGCGAGACTGCCCAGGCCGGCCAGACCGAGGTTGTCCCACCCCTGGAGAGCCTGCCAGTAGTCATGCGACATGCCCGTGGTGTCCTGCCCGAGCATGGCCGGGTCGTCGTTGCAGAGGGAGCATGCCACGCCGCGCGCGAGGAGGGCCGGGAGGGGATGCGCGCCGACGGACGAGCAGAGCCGGAGGACCTCGTTCGAGATGGGGCACGACTCGACGAGGATGCGCTTCTCCTTGACCATGTCGATGAGCAGAGGGTGCTTGTACAGGCTGTAGGCGTGTCCGATGCGGCGCGTGCCGAGCAGGATGGCGTCGTACAGGTTCTGGTCCGTGTCGGAGCCGTCGCCGAGGGTCTCGCCCGCGTGGAAGAAGAAGGGCAGGTTGACCTTTTCCATGGCGCACTGCTTCTTGAACCACATGAGCTCCGGCAGGAGATCCTTGAGCGGACGACCAAAGTCCTCGGGCCCCACGAGGTCGTAGCCGGCGATGAGGTGGGGGAAGGCCATCTTGGTGGTGATGCAGTTGTCCATGTTCTCGATGATGGACCGCGTCGGCTGGCTGCGGAGACTGGTCCAGATGGTGATGAGGCCCCAGAAGCCCTTGCCTTCGGGTGACGCTTTGAAGCGGTCCATCTCTTCCTGGAGGACGTCGAACATGTGCATGTAGTCCTGCTCTGGCTCTTCCTGTTTGGCGCGACAGTAGTCGAGGGGCCACGTGAAGCTGCAGTCGTCAGTCAACCAGTATCCTGAGAAGAGGTAGCGCATCTGGGCTCCTTACCGTAGCTCGGCCCATGTGACACCATCCTTCATCAACATGGACATGAGCCGTCGCAAAAAGAGCCGCCACATGGGCTCGTAGTGAAGAATCGTCGCCACGACGATGAAGCACTTGCCAAACTTGCGCCAGATGGCGTCGATGCCATGATGCTGCTCCGTGCTGTCCTCGAGGTGCAGCGTGCATCGACTCTTGAGCCACTTGGCGTAGCCCGCCCGCCCGCCCTCGGGGTACTGGTCCGCCACCTGCGACAAGAGTAGGAAGCTTCCCTTCTCGTAGCTATCGTCCCACATGTTGCCCTCCGTCCTCGCCTTGGTCTTGTACCGGAACTGAATGTCGGCATCCTCCTTGGCCTGGGGCGACGTCAGCGGGCGGTCGCTGGCCATGTGCATCCCCTCCAGTTTGAGGAGCTCGTCGATCAGGTAGTCAAAGTCCACCATGGCATCCATGTGCGCGTGCAGCAGGGCGCCCTTGGGCATTCGGCGCACAATGTTCCAGAGCTTGGTGCCCTCCATCCGCTCCTTGGCCAACATGAACATCATCCCAGGGAACACGGTGCGATCAGTCCCCTGTGCCAGACTCTCCTCGAAATTGGGTGTCCATATCGTCTGCTTCTCCTCGAGCTTGATGCGCTCGACAATAGTGCACGCGCGACGGGCAATGGGCGAGAGGTTGGCGCGGAACGACGCGTCGGATCGGGTCTTTTGCTCGGTGTGGATGAGGTTGGTGCGGCCGGCAAAATACTGCTGAAGGAAAGGGTCCGTGGGTTTGGGGATGTCCTTGGACCACTCGGCCCAGAGATCGTCGGACATGATTTGAACTGGCTGGAGGAATGGGGAGGTGAAGGTGATGGTTCACGCTTCGGCGATTGTGACCGTGAGTCCGTGACGTCGCGATGGTGGGGTCTCAGATGGGCCATGCCTCAAGGGGCGTCGCGGGGTACGTGGGGTCGACATCGTCGGAATGCGCCGGCTTCCCAGTTCTTAATTGTGAAGACGGACAATAATGTGTATCCGTAGGGCTTGGCTGCGTTTTGTGACATGTCTCTTGGAAATCTCATTTTCAGGAAGCTTGGCTGTGCCAGTCGTTTCCCTCCTGCACGACGCTGGAATAGCACGTGACCACCCTCCAGTCGACAGTGCCTTCTCATCGCCTTCTATTCATGTTCATGAATTAAGGAATGTCTAGACTAGATCACATTCTAAACATAGGTTCCGAATCTCACTCCCCTTCCCATGCCCATTGCCTGTTGCCTGGGCCCCTTAATTAGCCCTACGGTCCCTACCCCTGACACACTCCCCCAAAACACCCCCCCATGGCTCCTTCGTTTGTCCAGCCATATGCCAAAGCACCTTGTGTCCCTAGCCTGTGCCTCACACATGCGGCTGACCTCGAACAAATGACCAGATTTAATGTACGAGATGGTGGACAGTGTTAGTGGGCGAGTGTGCCTTGGTGGCGAGATGTGGTGGCGATCTATACTCAGTACGACACGGCCAATGACATGTAAGGAACATACCCAAGACGACCTCAATGGCCAGTGACCCGTGACATGCGAGCGAGAAATTGTGCTTGGTGAATAAGAGACGCCCAGGGGGTCGTGAACATATTCTCAAGAGGGTAAGTGACTGAAAGGGGGGGGGGGTTGGCGATGGCCGTTCAGGGGGTTGAAGGCATGGCCCCCTGGGCTGGTTAGCGTGACAATAAGACGGACTGAACAGCCAAACAGCACACAGCATTAACAGACGACTGAGAAGATCGACCCAAGCAAATTAAAGAATTTCGAAATGTCCCAATCGCTTGCTAAATCAAGAGAAGAGAACCTCTCGCACAGCGAATGGAATCCGTCCGCTATGTAGACATACCATGTGTAAAGCACAAGGCCAATTCGTACATCCCATCGCCCAAACACTCTCCCACCTGGCCGAGTGAAGTGAATTTTTCCAACTCACCGTCATAGTGAGCCTCTTCCATGGGACGTCTACCACACGCTGGCCAGCCACTGCGCGAATGTTGCAGGGTACACACTAACAGACGAGCTGCGACTCACAATCGCATTGAGCGAAGCCTGTGAGAAGTCGTATCGTGCCTCTGCCGTGGCAAGCAGGCGCTGGTAGTATCCCGCCCTCTCGTAGTCGCCCTCCTCCGCATAATGGGCCTGGTACAGCGGCAGGTCAGAGTACTCCAGGGGATGGTACGTAAAGGCCGCTAGATACTAGTCAGCCCATGGTCTCCAGTCAGGTGGCACACGAGATTCTCTCGATTCCTACCGTTGCGGACACTGCTGCATGTCATGATCACATCCTGCACCGAAAGACGATCGCCCCGCATGGTGAACTCCCGGGGCCACGTTCTCGGACCCAGATCCATGGCAGCAATGACGAAGCAGACAAGGTCATGCACCGACGTCAGACAGAGGCGAACCGTGCGACCCCTCTGGGTACTCACGGGGTACTCAGCTGTCATGTTGGTCATGTCGCACAGATAACTGCCAGCACCAGCAACGCCCTCGCCGTACCCAATGTTGAGCGTGGCAAGACCATGCGGCAGGAACCGTTCCATAAAGACACCGCACGAGAAGACGGTGTAATCCAGACGCTTCTTGCTGTGCAGATGCTGCAGCATGGCGAGAGCCTGGGCGGAGCCGCGATCCATGGCATCCTGTGTCGGTCGCTGTGCGAGGGGCCCCTCGAACTCGGAGGGAATAAAGTGCCGCACCTCGCCCTCGCCGGCGGCCATGATCAGATTGATCTGCTCCGGTCCGGAGATTGTCGAAATGACCAGGTCGACGCCCCGCAGCGCGTAGCTGAGGCTCTCGTGGCTGTAGTAGTTGACGGGGTGCACCTGAATGTCGTGCGCCACGTACTCGGTCCGTTGCTTGATTGGCGTTGGTCAGGGGCGTTTCAAAGCAAACAAGCGGTTGCGGGGGGGTCTGAAACGTACCGTTCTGGAAAGGACAATGACATTGTATGCATTGTCCGCTTGCGAGATGCCGGTAGCTAGCAAGTACCCCAGTCCTCCGCCCCCCGCAACAGCCACACGCATCATCTTGATAGACTAGATATGAAAGGATGTTGGAAAGAAGACAGAAGCACTTGGAGTTTGGTCTCTTGCAATGGCGTTTCTCTCGTGCAACTAGAGAAGACAGTGTTTCTTATATGGCAACGTCCCAGGCGTAGGGCGACCAGAGCCCGGCCGATTTCTCCTTTGGTTGAGGCCCCTGGGTATGCGGAATCCGTACGTGATGTGGCACAGAGACGGTCAGTTACTACTGGAGCGAGGCTGATTGGGAGATATCTCGAAATAACATCAAGCTCTGCCACGCAAAAGATAAATCGGGGTGGCCTATCGCGGACGTGTCCGAGCATGAGGGCTACCGGCAGGCTTCGATGAAGGAAGGGCTGAACCGACGATCCCCGAGGACCCTTGGCTTGGCCATCAAGGCTGTACCGTGGGGGAGAAGGTGTAGGATTCCTCCTAAACGGGGCCGGGGTCCAGACATTTGATGACAATGAAGATCAAAACGCCTCGGAGCAATGATTAGTCTGGATGCATGCGGCGTGCCCCTCGTTCGTTCCTGTCAGGGCATATGGCCCAGTCTCTTGGCTTGGACAGCTGAGAGGTAAGGCTGTCCAGTCGGCGGGCCAGGCTGGGCTGTAAGTCGGCATGCGAGGTCATCTACAGGCAGCCCTCCCGCCACGTTGTTGCATGCACACCTCCGGGGAGACGTCGAATCAGTGTTTGAGCCTTGGTATTCGCCGCGACAGTAGGGTGATGCCGGGCGAAGCGCGCAACGCCCTCGTGCGAGTTTCCTGATCAGTTGCGCCATGTCGTTGGCAGGATCGTACTATGTGGCCGCGGGGCCTCTGTTGGAGGTTCCAGAATCTCGAATCGGCTCTCATGGCGAATATGGTCCGTGGAATGCCTTGCCCGCAGCGCGCTCATGCATGTCGCGGTTAAAAGCACGCGCACTGCCATCGCGCGAAGATCGCCACTGGACGGGACCTGACTGGCCCGCGTTCTTCTGGCTTAGCTGAGGAACTCCACGTTTGCTGTACGAGCAGGCGAGTAAAGCGGCGCTGGCATTGTTGTGCCTTGGGCGGAGCTTTCGTTAGACGTTGTGATGTGGTTGAAATAGAGACACCAAGTCGGGCACTTTCTCCGCCACATTGTCCGCGGTATGCCTACCTACCCTGCGCGCAGCCTGCCCCCAGAAGGATGGAAGCTCCCTTAGCGTGCCCGGCTACTGCCTGAATAGGGTAGCCACGCCGCGCTGGGTGGTCCTCCGGTCCGTCTCCGAACTGCATGCCTCGTCCCTACTACCCTGCAGAGTGAGAAAACTACTATTCTTGTCTACGTTTGATTTTAATAGCCCCAACAAACCACGATAGTTAAAAGTTGTCCCAAATGGCCACATCGCCGTCCTGTGGGCGCCGGACAATTGACCTCCAGCCCACATGGCGGGACGAGCCAGATGTAAGCCTAGGTCGATCAGGCTTATTAGCCTACCCTAGATTCATCGATGCCTTCCATGGCGTAGTCTCAAACAGCGGATGCGGATGTGTCTCGTGTCACTGGTATCTTGGGACTTCTTTGCTTTGTCCTTCATTCTTTTTTAAGAATAATTCTATGACCTGCGCCGATCTCACCATTCCGTCAGCCGTTGCTGATGGATAACCTCCTTCAGGAAATCCCCGACTCCGAACCGGTTGGCTCAAGAGCTTTGCTGGCACTGTGGCTCTTTGAACATCACCGTCACGCTGCGCCCAACCAGTCTTTACTTCAAGAAATGCGCCGTGTTGAACGACTGGCAAGAGGTAGGCCCAGTGTCAAGTGGTCGACTGCACAGAATACTGATCGTCTGAGCCAGTAGAACAAAACAATCAAGCCCACGGCTTAAGGAAAGCAGCTGCGTGGTAGATATAGCAGCTCGTACATATGCATTGACTATAGTGTAGTCTCTCGAGCCCAACAGCTGCAAATGTCACTTCTGGGCCACTTGCACACTTACACGGACACCGTGTGACCATACTTCACCCACCCTGCACTTGAGATGTCACTAGTCCTGGCGAAACAGGAACATGCTTTCTCGGCCGATCGTGTTGAACAGGCATCCACCGACTCGTCGCACACAGGGCATGAGGCGTTTCGTCAAACCCTCCTCCGAGCTGAGCATGTTCCTCACGCTGGACACAGGCCGCCCGGTTCATGAGCAGTGCTTCTGAAGGGCGTATCAGCTTTGCAAACCCTATCGAACTTCCCGTTGCTATCCTCTTGAATCAGGAATGACGTCAAGTGTGACAAGAATGGCACGCGACGCGCTCCCTGGATGTCGTGAAGACAAGCTGAGCTGTCAATGTAGGGACGGCGTCTGGGCGCGACGCGTGGCCACTGGCCAGTGCCGGCCCACGGCAAATCGTTCTTGGCCTGGCGCAGTGCCGAGCAAACAGGGGGCACCCCAGAGTCGTGCGAATCCGGTCTACAATGTTAATAAATGACTGGGCGTCTGGCCATGGTGAGACATGGCGCAGTTTCCCTGGTTTATGCATGGTCGGTGTGGTGTCGACGTGGCACATGACCTCACCTTGACCAGTAGGCGCCTGACCCAAGCCATCAGTTGTTCAGCGCCCATCAGGTCTTGGCCGCTCAATGAGAGAAGGTGAAAAAAAGCAAGCTGGGTACGTATGCTGGAACCGCAATGATGTCGTGCGGTGAATCGTTGGGCAGGGAAGTAGGTATTAATGTCGGTTACCTATAATAGTCGGCCCTGCTCACATGCGTGATCACGGTCGTCTACACTCCCAAAGACTCTCTCCTTTTTTCCCTCACGTCGCATAGCCAGTGTCCAACAAGACTTCCAAGTGCTGCGAGACTTGTCATATTGTCCAAACACAACAACAAGCATCATGGCTCTCGATCGCATCGTCAGCCTCGTCCTACGCGCCGCCGAGCTGGCCTTTGCTGCCATCGTGGCCGGCATCAATGGGCACTTCCTCCACCAGTCCAGCGGCAGCTCGTGGGCGCTCGGTCGGTACATCTACACCGAGGTCATCTCTGGGCTGTCGATATTCCTGGCGCTGATATGGCTGGTCCCATTCTCGTACACGTTCACACACTGGCCTATTGATATCATCATCAGTCTGTGCTGGTGGGCCGCCTTTGGTCTCCTCGTCGATGTGAGTCGAACTCTCCTCTCGCGACAAGGGATAGGTAAAGACTAATCATGCTTCCTAGGAACTGAACAGCTCCGTCTGCGGAGGTGCCTTCTACTGGGGCAACATCACCTTCCGAGACGACCCTTGCGGTCGATTCAAGGCCATCATCGCCTTCGCCTTCCTCTCCGCGCTCCTGTGGCTCGTGTCGGCACTCATTGGTTTGTTCTGGGTCCGCAACCGTGAGGCGCGCGCCGCGCGGGTTGATGGCACCAGGCGCCGCCGCTGGGGACGTCGCAGTCACGTCTAGAGCCCGTGCCGGAGGTCACGAGAACGCAAGCAGGCGCGGAAGACTGTGGTAATGATGATGGACGATGAAGGGAATGCAGTCGTGGTGCCCGACACGGGTCGATGCGTTTGTCTTTGATGGGGTTTGAGGAGCGGTGTATGGGCATTGTGAGCTTGGCGCAAGAATGGTCGTGTTTGTTGCTGGGAACAGATCGAGATACCCCTACCAAGCCTTGGTTCTGCATTCAGTGTGTGCACTTGTTGGTCCATTTGTCCCAAAGTGCATGCTTCCCACTCGCACTTCTCGATGCAGACGTCCAGCCAATTCTCCTCGGCATCGCTGGCATGCTTGCTTTCGGAGCCTGCGACTCGCGAGGCCCGATCAACGAAGAGTCCAGAAGCTTGTCGGAGCTCGCGTCTTAGCTCTCCAAGCTGGACATTTTCCCTGCCATCGCCACTTGAGACGCGGCAGAAGTTGGCAGATCGAGATCGCGGGAATGACTGGTAGTAATTTCTGTCGAGTGTGAAGGACGCGCAAGCGCGTAGGGGCGGCGTCGTGCTCAAAGGGGAAAAAAAGTTGGCAACTTGGCAACAGTACAAGCTTCGCGAGGTAGGGGACCCCGCCTCAGGTGCCGATCCACCGTCATCGTGGCTTGCCGCAAGAATGTGGGTAAGGCGACCGGATAGTCGACGGGATCTCCAACGTTGACGTGTCTTAGCCTGCGCAGCCAAGAGACCAAGACAACAGGGAGTGGTGCTGTCAAAGGCAGCCATTCGCTCCAAGAAAGCTTGAATGTCTGTAAGTCCGTGTCTTGAGCAGAGAGGTGCTTAGTTTGGTAGCTGTACGTAGTAGTCGTAGCCATATGCTTCATTCAGCCGCATTCTTTCCCCAACGCTATCTTTCTGGACAGCCCCGCTAGACTCATGTCACTTGACTGTCTCGATCTGGATACGATGACTGTCACCGTCTTATTTCACCTAGTTTGAGATTGACCAGAGGCGAGCACCGTGGGCTCAGCCACTCGGTGAGGGGCAGCAGGACCCCCGCCAGCCACACGCAGAGGGGACGCCGCCCGATCAGGCAATGAGCTTGCCTGCCTGCCCCAATGGCATCATAATGAAGGAAGACGCCCCTTCCACACTGTGGCTGATGCCAGGGTCGCTTCAAGATATCGTCATGGCTGCTATTTTTGCTTGGTCTTTCCGATGCGGCTCCAATTCCCGGCAGTGAAGGCTGATCTTGCCCCCCATCGCAATTCTTCCTCAAACATGCTAAGGGTCCAGCGCGCTTCTAAAACAAGGCTCAAGCACGCCTCTCAAGCGGGCCAGGGACGTCACCGCTCCACGCAGACGGTCAGCCGCTTTGCTATTTGGCCAAGCTTTGAGATTGGGGTAAAACTGGGACCCATTGAATACGCGGCGAGAGGCAATCAGGGGTGGGAATACTGGGCGAGTGCCGCTTGATTATTGACGATGACGATTCTGGCACAATTATGGCTTGCTACGGGAAGCTCTGGCTCCATGCCGGGGAAGCTACGATCGGTGCAGGCGCCACAGAACAGCTTGCTCGCTTGCTCACCTGCCAGCTGGCTGGTCCTTCCTGCCCTGCTGCTGTACCTACCTCGGCGGGAAGAACAAGGTCCGTCCTTGCCGCTTGACGCTGCTTTGGATCGTGATGATGTAAATGTTGCTGCTTTGGGTTGTGTCCCGTGAACTGGATCTGCCGGCAATCTGGCTTTGCTCTTGGGAGTTGGGTCAGGCTCGCCAGATCCATCTACTATATAATCCCATCTCCCCCTCAGCTTCTTCAGCCTCTCTTCTCGCAGAACATCAACAACTACTTCTACAAACTCTCACCCTCACAGAGCTTCATCAGCAAAACGCAAAACCAACTCCCACTTTACCTCAACTTGACTCACTCAGCAAACAATCACCATGTCTGGTCTCGCCAACAAGGTCAAGGACTCTCTGAGCTCCGATAAGCACAACTCTGGTGCCCCTGAGGGTACCTACGGCACTCACAACTCGCGCGCTGCCAACGCTGCCGACCCTCGCTTCGACTCTGACATGGACAACCGTGCTGCCCCTGGCACCACCACCGGCACTGGTCTTCACTCCACCACTGGCCACACCGGCACCACTGGCACCTCTGGTCTTCACTCCACCACTGGCACCACTGGCACCACTGGCACCACTGGCACCTCCGGCCTCCACAGCTCTGTTGGCGGACCTGCGCCCAACACCGACGGCCCTCACAAGTCCGACATGATGAACAAGGCCGACCCTCGCGTCGACTCGGACCGCGACTACAGCAAGAACGTGGGCTTGAACTCGGACCGCTCGGCCGACCCCAGCAAGGGTCCTTCCGCCCCTGGTGCCTACCGTGGTGAGAACATGGGCACTTCTGGCCTCCACTCCACCACCGGCACTCACGGTACCACTGCTGGCCACACCGGCATGGGCTCCGAGAACATTCCCGGAACCACCTCTACACACACCGGCACCCACGAGGGTAACTTCGGCCCTCACTCCAGCCGTACTGCCAACGCTGCCGACCCCCGCATCGACTCTGACCTCGATGGCTCTCGCAATGTTGGCGCGAACCGCACTGGCGGTCTTGGTAGCACTACCGGCACCACTGGTACTACTGGCCACCACACTACCGGAACCACTGGCACTACTGGTCACCACACCACTGGTACCACTGGCACCACTGGCACCCACCACTCCTCTGGACTGGGCGCCACTGGCCCTTCCAGCAAGACCACCGGCCCTGCTCCCAACACTGCCGGCCCTCACAAGTCGGACATGTTGAACAAGCTCGATCCCCGTGTCGACTCCAACCTTGACGGCTCCAAGACCGTGGGCGGTGACAAGACCCACGCTGCCGACAACACCTTGTAAATTATGATGGAAGATGGATGATACCCAAAGGTTTCTAGCGACGGATGATATGAATGACGGCCCTTTGATACGTTAGTATTAGTTCTTAATGAATAGCATTGGTCTGAAAAGTGTTTGGTGAATTATAATGTGTGATGTGATGGATGGGAGTGTCAGAAGTTCAAGGGTCAGGAGTGAGGACGTTGTGAATCACGTGGTCGCGTCATTTTTTGGTGAATAATCCTTGTTTCTCGTCAGCCTACCCGATACACACTAGACTAAGCTGTCACTGCTGGTTGCAACAATAGCCGAGATCAACTGCAAGGCATATTAAATCACAAACTCTACTGCATTCGCTGCGTAATAATACCTACCATTCTTCACTACGAAGGGTCTGTCTTTCAAGCATTCGGTCTTGTTTGAATTACCGGTTTACAGCTTGCATTATCCAGCATTTGTCGCAACGCCAACTTTACAAGTTCACACACCAGCCACAGTCTTGCCAATACCCAAATAGACATATATTTGCCATCCCGTTACTCTTATCAATCCACACAATGCGACAATGACATCTCCGTCACTCTCTGCTGCGCTTTGGCGGTCGACGGTCCCCGTCCACATCACCCACCCCAACCACCCCAACACGCCATTCATCACCTCCCTCCCACGCTTCTCCTACCTCGCACTCCTCCTGCCGCGCCTGTCGACCTTTTTCGGCGTGTCCATCTCCAGCTTCCACTATGAGGACGTGCAGCTGCGCAACCTGGCCGTCGGCGTGCTCGTCGACCTCTATGACCCCGTGTTGCCGTGGCGCGTGACGGTCGGCGAGGGCGGGGGCTGGGACATTGGCGACACGTTCCTCAACAGCGCCAAGGAGGCCGACTTTGTGCGCAACGGCAACGCGAACCAGATTATGAAAATGTCAAAGGACGACACCACGGCCCTCTGGAACGCCGTCGTCGACAATGACCACGCCACCTTTCACAGGATCAACGCGCGGCTGCTGAACACGCCCAGTCCGCTCAAGCACGTCCCGCTCCGCGTGTACATCCCCGAGTCGGATCCGCAGGTCAGGGAGGGCGCTGGGTCGTTCCGGATCGTGCAGAGACTGGTGCCGGCTGTCGGTCAGGACCGTAGACCGCAGACGCTGGGGGTGGTGCTGCGGAACATGATGCCAGAGCTGTTCCCGAGCGTGAGGGACCCGGTACGGGTGGGCGCGGTCATGCACGGGGCCAGTGTACCCTTTTCAGCGCCGGTGGGAGAGCTCATGCGTGAGGCAGCGTATCCCGATGGATGGCTGTGTCTAGTCATTAGGGTATAGACGGTTGGCATTTAGATGTTTTCTACGTGAAGCGGATATTCTTGCCCATGAGGGTCTTGTACGCATCATCAATGGCCTTTCTCTTCCGTTTCTTGCCCTCGTCCTCCTCATCTCTCGGGTCCTCGCCCCCCTCATCATCCGGCCCTGGGATCTGGGGCATCCAGGCCCGGATCTGCCCGTCCAGATGGGCGCTGTACAGAGCGCCGACACTGTTCCCTCCGCCTGGCACTGGGCCTACCGAGGCCCCTCCACCACCGGCACTGCGCCATGCGAGTGCGGAGATGCGGTTGCGACCCATCTCGCTGCCCCGTGGACCGACTGGATTGACGGCACCTGGGCTTCGGAGACGAGTGATGAGCTTGCCGTCATGCAGGTCCAGCGCCAAGATTTCCTGGTCATTCGCCCAGAACAGCACGTCCTTATTTTCAGACAGTCGGGGCGGCGTGGTGACGATGCTTGTCGTCTTGGCATGGCGGTTCTGCACCAGAGCCCCAAAGCTCGTGAGAGTGTTGGCGCCGGTGGCTGCGTCCCAGACACGAATGCGATTGTCCATGCCAGCCGAGATGATGTACTTGCCATCACTAGTCCAATGTAGCCCATTTACGGCATCATCGTGCGCCTGTGCTGCCTCTCTGTACGGCCTAACCTGGGCAGGGTCCATCCCCGCTGCCACAGCGTGCTTGTGACGATGCACCAGTCCGAGTGAGTCCTCCTGGTCCAGCAAGGACAGAACGCCGCCGGCGCGACGAATATCCCAGACCCGGATCTTGCCGTCAGCATGTCCGCTCATGACAATATGCCCTTGCGTAGGGCTCCACTGCGTCGCAAGTACAGGACCACCGTGCGCGATCAAGGCCTGCACAGCCGACCCGGATCGTAGATCCACGAGACGGACATGGGCGTGCTGTGTCGCGCAAGCCACAACGAGATGGTCGGCGATGGGGCTCGTGCTGTGCGAGTATATCCTCGCATTGAGATCAAAGCTCCCCGACAGCGTCGAGCGCGCCGTCGACCAGAGCTTGAGCGTCTTGTCAAACGCGCTGGACAAGAACGCATCGGGATCAAAGGGGAAGAAATCGAGATGCGTGATGCCGTGCGAGTGACCATTGCCGTCGGTGGAGCGGCGGATCGTGCTCACCGGGCGAAACGTATGTGTGCCCTCGTACGCGCTCCCGCACTGTTCGAGATCCCAGATCTTGATGGCGCCCTCGGCGCCTCCCGAGATCAGCAGGCGTCCGTCGAATTTCTCGACCGCGAGGCTGGCGACGCCTGCACCGTGCGCGCGGATATTGTGTGGTCGTTCATCGAGGAGCGGATCGTGCGTGCGCTCGCCGTTGAAGCGATGCTGTGGCGCGGCAGCGAAGGAGCGGAGGAGGGGGGAGGTGAAGGCCGAGGAGAAGGCATGGGGCGAGAGGTCACCAAGCTCGCGGGCGAAGAGGGAGGATTGCATTCATTTGGTTGCTGCGTGGTTGTTGGATGAGTGGTAGGGACAAAGATTCACGACGGACTCTGGAGGATGACGTCTGCTCGTCGTTGGCGGTAGAGGTGTGTAGGGTACGCATATTCACTTGCTATTTCGGTCCACATCATTTTGAGCCTCACTTCATGGCTCCTTGATTATCCATCATTCGGGGTACAGAATATTCTTCCACCATCTCAGTCATGAGATAGCAATCGGGGCATTGATCTGTCTCTAAGACAAATCTCATCGCATCACCATGGACAACGCTCAATCGCAGGGCCCCAGTGTCCTCGACGACACAGACTCTGGCGTCTCGGAGAGCTCAAATCCAAACGCAAACCCCAGCAATCGACTCCCTGCCCGCCACTACCACACCCTCTACGATGCCGTGGCCGGCAGAGCGCGTGCTCCGGATTCCGAACAAGAGCCAACTATGATCAAGCACTCCCTCGCAGACAACCCAGTGTCCCCAGCCGAACTCCTCTTTCGCCGCCTCAATGCGCCCATCCGGTATGCAGAGTATGACATCTACGCATCGCATACACGGGACTTCCCAGACTATGGCAATGCAGCGCTACCCGATAGTGATCTTCTCAAGGCCATTCACGCATATGCGAGTGGGTACTACGCGCGGAACGCGGGGCCAGAGGAGGCAAGAATCTGGGGCGAGAGGAGCATGGACGAGACTGCGCTGTTGGCTTTTGGCATCCTGATGGAAGAGGCGTCACGAGAGACACTTGGTCGGAGGGGAGACTTGGTATTCACCGAAGCGGAGAAGGACGAAGAGGACCAAGATGAGGTTCGCGCTGATGGCGCGGGCGACGAACCACATGCGAAAAAGAAGAGAAAGACGAGCGACAGCAACACCACCGAGATGGTGGATCGGACCAGGGATGATTGAAGCCATGGGGTCACGAATCGCCGACAGAGTCACGATGGGCGCGCGTAAATTGATCACAGACCTACCGTACATTCCCAGCCGCCTATCACCAGTATCACCGCCAGATAGCCGTTGGCATCAGTCTTGCCGGTCCTGGAACGCAACCCCTCCATACCGCATAAAACTCGACTGCGTCCCGCTTTGGGGCCGCCGAGATACCGGCCGCGAAGCCTGCTGGTGGTGATCCACAGAACTCTCCTGTGCCGCGTTGATACCTCGGCTCCAATCTGCATCCCACAACGTCCCTTGCCAGAATGCACCTTCGTCCGCCATGTTTTCCCCGGAGCCAGCGCCAAATGGCAGAAACATATCGCTCCCCTGCAGACCTTGGCCTGTCGGGGCACCTGATCCCCCACTGACGCTCAGCATGTCAAGATGTGACCACTGCGTCGTCATGTTGGCCAGGGGTGGCGTCACAATGGGCGACCCGATCATGTTGCGCAGCCTCATGATGAACTCTGGCGTCTCGACGATCTGCCCTGTTCTCCCAAGGGCGCGCTCACGCTGCGCGTAGGCCTTGAGGGCAAACTGCGCCTGCGTGGCGGGCGCCTTGAGCTTCAGGTTGTAAAGAAGCGAGTGTCGCGCATACATGGACTCGAGTACAGCCCATCCACGGTCGGCCATGCTATCCGTTGGACGCTGGTAGAGGAACGTCGACAGAGAGGTCAGATGCTCAAAGTTAAAGTGCAGCCGGGCGAACCAGGCAAAGGCCCATCGATCCATAGGATCGAACGCGTCGTTGGCGTTCTCACACAACGTGAGGACCAGCTTAAACAGGTTGTCCCGCGGCGAGAAGATGTCAATGCCCCAGTCCGTCGACTCCTGCATGGGGCGCATCATGTCGTACAGCCGTGCGATGAGATGTGGGCGTATACCAAGAGCAGCGGCGTGGGCGTTGCTCACCACAGGGTTCAGGAACCGCCTCTCAATGTCGATCAAATCCATCTCGAGACCCCGCACGAGGACGCGATTGCGTTCCATGCTGGCCGCGTTGATCTCTGGACCATCTGGTCCACCGTGACCGAGAGTGCTGGCCTCCACGACTTGCCTCGCCTCTTCGTCTAGCAGATACGCCGCAACACGATGCATGACCAAGACAAAGGCCATTTCTGTCGGTCCTTCACGGTGCACCAGGTCACGCGTAGCCTCGGTGAACAAGTCGGCATCGTTCAAATTGAGTGGCTGCTTCGTGTCGAAATCCGTGGGCAGGCAGTTGTGCTTGAAACCACAGTCGAGACTGAGCTTGGTGTCGTACGTGAGGATCTGCCACCAGATCCGCCGCCGCATCTCCGTCTCAAAGGGCGCCAGGCCAAGCTGCGTGCCGTCGCGATGGTAGCCCATGCTGACGGCGATCCTGATGAGCGAACCACAGAGCACCCACGAGCCATGTTTATTGCACTGGCCCATGAGGATGATGAGCGTGTGCACGAGGGCCTGCAGGACGACCATGTTGTATCGCCTCAGAAAGTCAAACTTGACGAGGGTCATGCTCACGCCGCGCAAGAACCCTTGCAGCACCTGCTCCTTTGTCTGGTCGTCGCCGAGGATACCCACCATCTCGTCCTTTTTCAACGACATGACCGCCAGTGCAAACATGCTGTACAGCAAGGCCTGTTGATCTAGCGATACGCTGGTGATGTCCGCAGAGGCGGCCACTATGATGGGCTGCACGGTGGGCGCGTGGATAATCTTGATCAGGGGGTTGACGCGCTCGAGGAAGATCTGCCACAACTTGAACGTCTGCACGGGGTCCAGCTCAGGTCGTTCGCTTGGCGTGGGAGACGGAACGCCAGAGATGCTGGCCGAGTTTGACGGCTGCTCTTCCTGGGGGAAAACGCCGTCTGGTTCATCGTGCTCGATAATATCCTTCATGTTTTGGATCTGAGCAGTCAGTAAGAGGGCGCACTGTACGTCTCGCGAAACCTCACCTCTTCGTTTAGCGCCACCCATATATGGGCATCAACAAACCGTCCGACCCTCTCATCATCTGCATCGCGAACGATGCGTCCAGCGCTGCTCTGGCTGGATGGTGTGGTGTTGTACTCCCTGGCCGACCCGCCCGAACCAGTCGCCGAGGTCGTCTGGGCGGGATCCTCAACGAATTGGCGAAGTAGGGATTCGCAGCGCGCCAGTCTGTCCTGGAGATCCTGCGTCGTCTGCGGTTTGATCTTGGGTCGAGGGGGCGCTGGCTTGGAGGGCAGGCAGGGGATGCGCATCTGTCTTGTCGTTAGCCCAACACAGATGAACTGGATTCTGAAGACCGCTCACGTACCTTGACGCAGTTTGCGCATGGAACCACCTTGTTGCAGCGAATCTTCCTCCTCTGGCAGTTCTTACATGATAGTATCCTTCCGGACAGCTTGCGTGGCGTAGGGGAGTGGTCCTCTGTGCTCCCACCGCCGCCGGCCTCAGGACCAGGTCCCTCTTCTGCGGTGGTGAAACTAGTCATTCTACCAAATTGTGTTTATGATAATTGAAACACTTTGTCTCTCTCGATCAATGCGCGCTCCCGTAAAGGGGTTCGAACAGAGTGACATTCAACAGACTCCAAGTAGCGATGAGCACAGCAGAGCCCGCGGCTCTTTATCTTTGTGGGCAAAAGACAGGGGGCCTGCCCCTATTTATTTCATTTCAAATCATATTTTCCTACCATCCCGTGTCCCTCCAGATGAGGCTCTGAGAGAAAAGGCGGATTTGCAATATCGTGCCCATATTGACTCAGCCTTCCATCGCAGCGTTCCCCTTGCGCGCGAGGCCCCCAATTGCTGAATAACCTGGAGGACTAGTAAGTTATAAGTAAGCAGTGTGGGGATTAGGGATCTCCGACAGGGTAACTGTAGGACAGCCAGACAGATAACCTGCCCGTCGTGACGTACGACCTGCATGATGACTCGCGCGCTGTAAATCAAGGCAACACCACGCACAGTATACTTATGTACCACATATGGCATGCCATCGAAACTTCTATCATTGATTTTTGCAGAATCTCTTCGTTGTGATTTCTTCGCCAACGCCGAATCTCCAACGGCATCACCGGTGTGATGCCTCGCGCCGCCTGTATGTACACGCAATGCCGCCTATTCAAACTCCGTACCGTGCTCTGCTTTGTTCTGTTCTGTTCCGTTCCGGAGGACTGACAAATGGAACCCTCAGGTTGTACCTTGCGTCCAGTCCATGTTACTAATCTACAATTCCCGCGCACGACGAGCAACAATCGTCGCGGCTTTAGTCTTCGCCCTCGCTGAGCGTCCCGTAGCCCGTGTCCCCGTCATCCATCCCCACGAGGCTCTTTGTGATGCCAAGGCAGCGATCAGCAACACCGTGGCGGATTGTTGGGCCAAGACCGCACGCATCACCTTCGGCACTGCCGATCCAGAGACGCAGACCACCTGCTAGGCGCTCGAGCGTTGATGCATACGTCTCGGCCGCATGCTTGTGCTCAAGCGTCTTCTCGACCATGTCCATGACGGCCGTGAAGCCCAGAAGCGACATGCCCTCCTTCGGTATGTTGATCGACTCGATGATACCGAGCGCCTGCAGGTCAGAATCCCGTGTCTCGCAGCGGCGGAGGTGAGCGACGGCTGTGGCACAGCGAAGTGCGAGGCGGATGTCAGCACTGGTCGCAGATGGGTTGGCATCCACAATGGTGCGTTGCGTGGGCAGGCCCTGCATGCTGTTCTTCTCGATCCCGACAGTCTGAATCGCCAGGGCAATGTTGGAACCGCGGTGCTGGTCTGACAGAGCCGCGCGGGCCACAATGGCGCGCGCTTGCGCTACTGAACCGACGGGAGCCGTATACACAGCCAGTTCCATCTTCGCATCGCGTGCGCAAGGCCCGTCCTCGTCCCGCTCCAGAGTGGCGGCCAGGGCCTCGTGTAGGACCTGGATCGAGAACCAAGCCGAGACGGCATCCATCGGCGAGCCAATGGCGGTGTCGCCCACGACGCAGTCCATCCCATCAATGGGATTCTCGACGCCATGCTTGGTCTCTTTGTTAAAGGCCAAGTTGTGCGCACGCTGGATCAGCTCGTGGTTCAGCACCTCGTCGCACTCTTGCTCGACCAGACACGCTAGATGGCTAGGCAGCTCATCGTCATGCTGGACAGCGCTGTCTTGGCGAGCCTGAATGAGAACTTGATTCAAGTGGCGCGCCTCGTTCCATCTCGACCTCGCCAGGCCAGCCGCAATTGCGTTGCTCGCGCCCAGTCTCCACTTGTGCTGGCTAAAGTCCCAAAGGAGCACGCGTATGTGCAGTGCCTTCAACATGAGCCGAGCTGGCGTGTCGGGCAGGGTGCCGGAGGCGAGCAGGGTGATCAGCAGCCGGCTCTTGTTGATCTCCACATCGCCACCGACCAACTGCGCATCTAGGGCAATCGACCATGCTTTGGCGCGAGCTGCCTCTTGATCGCGCGTCGTCCCGCTGAGAAGCTGGTATCCGGAGGAGCCGATGACGTTCAACACACTGAGCTTGGCTGCTTTCAGTAGCAGCGCCAAAGCCTCAAGCAAGACGTTGTGTCGGGGGATCCAGACGGACTGCACGGCAGTGAGCCACGCTTGCCGACGGACGTGGATCGACGAGGCGAGCGATGGAGATGCCTGTAGACTCGAGAACTGGGGCTTCTTGGGCTTCTCCTCGGTCGGGGCAAACAGTGTGGGGATAAACACCCACATGACCGTGCCAAACAAGAGGAGAAGCTTAAGCGAAGTGTGAAAGTGGTAGCCCATAATGTTGAAGTCAAAGCTTGACAAGAGGCGGCCGACCAGATGCAGGGGCAGAGCGAATAGTCCTCGCCCTTCGGGGCTCTCGTTGCTCGTCTCCCCCTCCCTCACAGCCTCCATGATCATCAGACCCGCCAACGAGCCAACCATGAGCTTTCCAAAGTACGGGGCCGGGTTACCCCAGCCCTGCTCTTGTTGCTGTTGTTGTTGCTGCTGCAGCTGCTGTTGGGAGACGACCGTCGGGCCGCGAAACTGCTGTTCGTTAATGGGGTACGCTTGTCCCGAGCCCATCTGCGTGGCGATGATGCGCTTCATGTCTTCTGGGACCTGGATCATGCCCGCTGGCGGACCGTTGCTGCCTGGGCTGCCATTAGGCGCTGACTCTAGAAAGTCTGCGGGCATCTCGCATTGTGCGTACTGCATCGGTGTTGGCGGTTGCTCAAAGGATGCGATGGACCCATTCATCGCTCCCGCCATGAATAGCTTCTCAAACGCTGCTATCCTCGCTCGCATTGTGCTGTTCTCTTCTTGCAGTCGGCTATGGCGCTTCTCAAGGTGCCGTATGTACTCGGTCGCCTTGCTCAGAACCTGCTTGTGTCAGCAACTGTGCCAGGAGCACTGCCCGGTAATGTGTGGACCTACTGTTGCTTTGTTCAGCTTGTGTGCCGGTGTCAACCCATGCAGTTCCTGTCTATCCTCTGTGGTGTCCTCGCCTCGCGCGCTCTTGCTCATGATTCTCAGACTCGGGACTGCGTCCCTCAGTGCGGCGATCTTGTCGTTCAAGTTGTTTCGATAACGCTTCTCAATCATGTTATGAGATGTCTTCTTAACGGGCTTCCCCTCGTCGTCCTCGAGGAGGTCGTCGTCGTCGTCTTCAGGCTCGGACACCTTGCGCTTCTTGGCACTGGGCTTGCCCGGCTTGCCTCTCCCCAGGGAAGACTTGTCCAGTGACTCGGGACTCGAGGTGCTGCCCGGGGAGTTGTACTGCAAGTGAGGCGGCATGGCGATGTTGCGTAGCTGCTCCTGCGCGGCGGCCGTGAGCATTGGGAACTGCTGTTGTGGCCGGCCATTAGCTCCGAGGAAGGCGTTTGTCTGTGAGGGTTTCGCTTTGGTCGGTCGTTGCGCCTGCTGGCTCTGGAGTATGGGGCCCCCAAACAGATAGCCCGCGCTGGGATTGCGCGATGATGGAGCATTGGCTGTCGGTGACAAGTCGTCGAACCCGAGTGAGGGCGACGTCTGCATACCGAAGGGCGGCGAGTCCCAGACCGAGGTGGAATAGCTGGTTGCTACCGGTGGCGCTGTGCTGGTGGCATCGAATGTGAAGGGGATCTGGTCGGAAAAGCCCCAGCCTGTCGAGTCGAATTGGCCATCGTCAGGCGTGGTGGAGGAGGGGTCGGTCTTGATGTCGCCCGAGGTAGAGTCATCGTCGAGTAGGCCGAGGTTGGGATCTTCCAGCCCAAAGAGGTTGGACGTCTCGTCGTCGGTCATTCTGATGGTCGGTGGGTGATGATGGAGGGTGGTGAATGATGAGAAGGAGGAGGAGGGATCAGATCACCACGCCGGAAAGTAGAAAGGCGTGCCGCGTATATGGGCGAGAGCTACCTTTCTGCGATCGGCAAATTTCGATGTGGAATAAATCGGCGACCTCCGCCTGTAGGAGGCTGAATCTAGTTACGGTTACTCCAGGAGGTGAGCGGGAAAAGGGTCTCGCATCCAGACCCTCGCGCGAAGCCGGGTTGGATGGGTGCCTGAAGTGTGCATGAGGATGGACGGTGGTGGTGTGACAGTCGGGGACCTCGTACTGGGCCCGCTGTGAGCAGCGTCATAATATCGTACGATTTCTCGAGCCTGGCAGCTGAATCACCCGGAACCAGCCACAGAGCGTCCGCTGCCGCGACTGGACTTCATCGCCTCAGTCTAGGCCCGTCGCTCATCACGATCCGATTTCTTCCTACGCTACGGAGTACTTAGCCCAGAAATTCCCAGATCGTGCAATTTTGCAGATGCGCATCGGGATCCCGACCACCCGGCTGGAATGACACGGAGGTTTCCGTAGGGGTCCTACAGTAGCGGCGGGCGGATTGACTTTGGTGTTTAAAGTGGATCAAGTCACGGCTGTCATCGATCATTATTCATGTCCTCTAACTTATCCGTAAGGTACCTATGTATCGAATGAAAGATATCGAATGAAAGCCCACGGCGACATGAGGGAACGGCGTCGAGGCGCCAAATATCTAAACCAAATAATATGCACATCAAGAACAAATAAGGAGGACCCCTTGTCCCCCACCCCCAATCACCACACGTCGTCTGGGTTCTGCACCAGCTCCATCGTCGGCGTCTTGGGCACCATCTTCTTCATCTTCTTCCTCTCCTCCTTGGTCACCAGCGACGGCGTCATGGGCATGCATGGCGTGAAGGGCTGGTAGGGCGAGTACGGCATGCTCGTCCCTGGTGTACGGCCGCCCATGGGCGACAGAGGACCCTTGCGCTCAAACACAGTCTGCTTGGTCGTCTGAGGCACGGCGGACGGGGAGGTGAGGGCTGGCTCGTAGGCACGCAAGGGAAGAGAGCCACCAGTGCGCACAGCGCTAGGCGCATTAGGTCGCGAGAAAGACGCGCCGGGCTTGGGGGACGACGGCAGGGTAGAGTTCCCAAACGTGGCGTGCGGTTTGGGCGAGCGTGGAAGACCGACGAGGGGCACTTGGGAGTGCTCTGACGTGGCCGACTCCGGGTCCGGCTCCTGCGCGACGTGATGGGAGACCACTCTGCCCTGGCCGTAGTCTCGACGAAAGTCTAGTTGTGCACCGATGCGCTCGTCAATAGACTGAACGCTTTCGGGCGACTGATCGGGCGTGATGTTGGCAATGCTGCCTCGCGTCCTGGCCATGCCGATGGCGACGTGGTCCGAGTGAGGCACAGGGGGAGGCGGAGGCAGGTTGGCGTACTGGCGCGGGGGGATGGCGCCCATGGACGAGACGTCCGAGTGGCGCGGAAAGGTGGCCGACTGGGGGGTGAGTATGGGCGACGAGATGTTGACGCCCTTGACCGACTTCTTCTTGGGCGACCGCAGCGCCGACAGCAGCGACGACGTCTTGGACCCCGTGCTGCGGTCCTCCTTGGCGCTGCTGAGGTTCAGGCTCGCCGGCTTGGACCTCTCCTTCTTGGACAGGGTCGCCGGCGCTGGCCTCTCGATGCTCGCGGCCCTCGAGTCTGCAGGATACGACAGCGCATCTCGCTGAATGCCCCTCTCCTTGGCGTCCTCGTGCTCCATGACATGTCTATACATGTCCTCCAGCTGTGATTGCGCCATGATCTTGTCGGCTGCTACGATGCGTGGGTCCACAAAGGGGCTGACGCCTGGTACGCCAACGGAGGAGACAGGTGAAGGGTAGCGCACCGGCTCGATATCAAAGTACTCGACCCTTGGTGACGGGTACGAAAAGTTGGGGACGTCGTCTAGAACTTGCTCCGAGGGCGGGACAATGTGTAGCGCGAAGAGCTCCTTGTCTTCGCCAAAGTCGCCGACGTCGTGGCCCGAGTGGATGTGCTCTCGCCTCTTTTTTGCGAGCGATAGCAGTGTAATGGCGACCAGCACCAGGGATAGAGCGTAGGCGCCGACGATGCCTCCAATCTGCGCGGGCAGGTAGCTCGTGTCGCGGAGTGCGCTGGCTGATATCGGGGGCCCGTCCTCGGGCGAAGGCGTGTCAACGTCGAGGGGATTGAATCGCCTAGCGATCAGTGTCGATGGTGCTACCTGAGCGTGGGTTGTGAAAGCGAGTGAAGTAAGAAGCAGGGAGAGCAAGTGAAGCCTCGCGCCCATATTTGCATTTCGAGGATTCAGACGACCTTATACGGTGCGGTGGAGGGATCGTCGCGTGATGAAACCTCCTGCGTAGTCTGCACAGCGAAACACGGAGCAGAGGAGCTTCTTTAGAAACACGGATTTGACGGCAGCGTCGAATGGTATATAGGAGCAGATCAACTCAGGGCGGCTGATGAAGCTCGACGGCAGTGAACAAGAGCTTAGCGCCGAGCAGGCGGCGACGAATTGGCAGGGTCCTCATCGTGGGGGCTGGTCGATCTGCATGCTGAGTGGGTGGCACATGCATGAGGACTGATGATAGTCTGCTGGTTCTGGAGGTGGGAGAGAGACGAAGGTCGAGGTGGTTGGCTGGTGTTCGTGATGTTAAGCGCCGACATTGCGTCTGCTCGCCTGTGATTGGCCGATATTCATGCGCTCGCGCAGTGACCGCCCCGCTCTCCTTCTTGGACTCGGGCTTCAATCCTCGATCACACCTCGCCCTCAACGACTCCAAAGTCCAAGCAAGCTCATGTGTCTCGACTCGAGCCTATTTTCGGGCCTGTCACTTTGTGCGTAGCAGGTGAGCCGAATTGCTGGGGCCTCGCTGCAGCCGGTACTTGGCCACCATGTGGCAGTACAGCCTAGGCGTGTTGCACAAAACCTGGACGGACGACGATCACGTTCACCGACCTATTTAGCGGTGACATCCAGGCCTCAATCGAACAGAATTCCAATGGGGATGGCCATCACACGCGACTCATGCTCGGTTCTTTGAGCCACTGACTAAAAATGCAGCCATCACCGTCACATCGGTTCGGTGCCCATAGACATGGATGAACACAAGTCACAAGCTCTTCTCTCGACGTGAGAGGCTGTCGGCAGATGTGATATCACCTCTAGTGTCTGTGACATCGGGATCTTCTTCCACATACTATGGAGCACACATCACATGAGAAGAGGCTGTTTACGGAAAGAAACCGTTTCATGCAAAGAACGCTCGACATTGCACCCATCCACGCTAACCCTCAATAGTCCAAGCTGGTCTTTATGCTATCAAAGATTCCTGGAAACGTCAGCAAAGCTTCACCTCAGCAGCAGTTGCGGCTGGCACTTACTAGTAATGTCCGGGATAGAGTACTTCTCGTACAGCAAGCCATGGTTGATGCTCCAGCTCGCGACTCTCGACACGGGGGCCTCCAACCGCACAAACGTCTCGGGGTCCTCCTGGATGGCTGCTGCTACCTCCGCGCCGACGCCCGCGTTCACCATGCTCTCGTGCACGACAATGACGCGCCCTGTCTTGCGCACGCTGTTAAAGACTGTCTCCTTGTCCCAAGGGTACACCGTCCGCAGGTCGATCAGCTCGGCAGAGATGCCCAGCTCCTTCTCGGCGTGCCGGATCGCGGCTTCGCAGTTGTACATGGGCTGTCCGTAAGAGATGACCGTGACGTCTTTGCCCTCCTTGACGACCTCGGCCTTGGAGAGGGGCAGTTCGTACGCACCCACGGGGACTTGCTCCACCGCAGCGCGGTACAGGATCTTGGGCTCCAGGAAGATGACGGGATCGTTGCACCGGATGGATGCTAGCAAGAGACCCTTGGCCTGAGACGGGGATCGTGGGACGACGACTCGAAGGCCTGGGACGTGGGTGAACAAAGACTCGGGCGATTGGGAGTGGTACAGGCCTCCGTGCCCGACGCCGCCGCATGGCATGCGGATCGTGAGACCGCCGACATGCCGTCCGTTATCTCCATCACGGTATCTGTATTTCGCCGCCTCGTTGACAATTTGGTCAAACGCAGGGAAGACATAGTCCGCAAACTGGATCTCCGCCACGGGTCTCATCCCCGCTGCCGCCAAGCCCACGCCAAACCCAACAATCGCACCCTCGTTCAGGGTCGAATTGAAGACGCGCTCGCCACCAAAGGTCTCTGCTAGTTTCATCGTGCATCGAAAGACGCCACCAAAGGCAACGTCCTCGCCGAACACCAAAACCGAGTCATCTTCTGCCAGTGCCGTGTGCATTGCGTCTCCAACAGCCTGAAAGAGGTTCATCTTCTTGGTAGGGCCGTTGCGGATGTCTTCGGGTAGCTCAGTGCTCGTGAGCGCAGCTTTCGTGGTTTGTGCCAGCATAGACGTGCTGGCGTAGTCGATAGGGAGGTTGTACTTGGCGTTGGGCGGATGGGACGAGTAGCTGCGTGACGCTGCCGGGACTGCTGCCATGCGGCAGGGCAGCCGTATTGACTGACGCATTTGGCGTAGACTTTGTGAACGCATCTTGACTATCGGGCTCTTTCAAATGAATGGCTGAGGAACTATTAAGGAAAAAGAACAGAAGTAAATCGAGAAATCAGGAAGAGGTGATGCCTTCCCCAGCCGAAGGCGCACCTGCCCGTGGACAGAGTTCGGCTTGCTGCGGCCCATCGCGGGGTACGAAGGCTGCCGGTGGAGCCCCAGCATCGACAGGCGGCCCATCACTTCGGCTCACTGATAAGAATCGCGATAAGCCGGTTTCCCTGCCAACGCTTGCATGATGCCAAGCCACGTATGCAAACAGGTAGAGGCCTCCTTCCCAGTCAAGACAATGATTGCACTGACGTCGGCATTGGGGGGCGGTGCATGCTTGTTACCTAGCTTCCCGTCTACATTTTGTTAAGACATTCTTGCCGCTATTTGCATTCCTAGCATCGTTCATGACTTTATGACTAGGACAACCAGCTATATGTAGGCGACATGCCACGCCGCGAGTCTTCATCACGACCTCGTCGAGACTCGTCCGCGCGACCCGAAGGCCACGGCCGCCGCCACGAGTCCACCAATCGAGACCGGCAACGCAAGAAACGATCACGGGACCCACGACCAGAAACATCATCCGGAGAAAGCAGAGGCTCTGGACCATTATCAGCAGAGGCGCTGGCCCGGCTGGAACGACAGAATGCGCGCGAAAAGAGAAGGGAAGGACGGACACGAAAGGCGGATCGTGTCGACTACCACGAAGTAGAGCAGGAACCCCGCAGGGAGCGTGCGCACCGACGAGAACGCTCAGAAAGACCAAAGGAACGCACACGAGATCGCAGCAGAAATCATGGCTACGACGAAGAGCGGGAGCGGGAGCTTGAAAGACCCAAGGCAAAGAAGGGCAAGAAAAAACGAGTCGTGAGCGGCGCCATCATGGAAGAGGGCAAGGCGCGACCTGCGCTTCGAGGAGGCCGTAACGAAGAGTGGCGTTCGAGTGAGCAAAGCTTTGAAAAGCAGGACTATTACCATCGACCGTCAAAGAAGAAGAAGAAGAAGAAGCTCAAGAAGAAATGGTGTAAGTACGCTCCCTCACAAACAGTTGGCATGTTACTCATCAGACATGCAAAACAGGGATCATCGGTGGTATCAGTCTGGTTCTGCTCATCATCATCATCGTGGCCGCCGTGGTTGTGAGCCAGAAGAAGAAAGGCGGCAGCAGCGAGAGTGACAATGGCGATTCAAGCAGCTCGGGCGGCGACAAATCCAACCTCGACGGCATAGACCGCGACTCAATACCAGAGAAGTGGAGGAACACATATCTCGATCCTTGGTCGTGGGAAACGACGAGCGGTTTCAACGTCACGTTCACGGACGAGATGGTGGGCGACTTGCCCATCATGGGCCTCGACAGTGAATGGGACGACTCGAAGCGCGCGAACGACAATGTCCCCCCCCTTAACAAGGCATGGGGTTCCTACGTGAAGAAACCGGCACGTGGCGTGAACCTGGGCGGATGGTTCACCATTGAACCATTCATCACGCCGTCACTCTTCCAGTATCCTTCCGACAAGGGCGTGATAGACGAGTACACCCTGAGCAAGCAGCTCGGCGCTTCCAAGTCGGAGGTCATCGAGAAGCACTATGCGACATTTATCACAGAAAAGGACTTTCAGGAGATCGCCGAAGCAGGTCTCGACCACGTGCGTATTCCCTACTCCTACTGGGCTGTTGAGATCTACGACAGCGACCCTTATCTGTACCGTACGTCGTGGCGCTACCTCCTCCGGGCGATTGAGTGGGCGCGCAAGTACGGGTTGCGCGTCAATCTGGACTTGCACAGCGCACCTGGTGGACAGAATGGCTGGAATCACAGTGGAAGGGAAGGGCCAATTGGATGGTTAAAGGGCGATGATGGCCAGTTAAACGGCCAGCGGTCCCTCGATATCCACGACCGGTTGTCCAAATTCTTTGCCCAGGATCGGTACAAGAACATCATCACCCACTACGGCCTCGTCAACGAGCCCAAGATGACGTCGCTCGACACGGACGACGTCATTCAGTGGACGGAGAAGGCCTATAAGATGGTCCGCGACAATGGCGTCGACGCGTTCGTCATATTCGGTGACGGCTTCATGGGCCTGGATAACTGGCAGGGTCTCATGACCGGCTATGATGACCTAGTGCTGGACGTGCACCAATATGTCATCTTCAACCTGGATCTGCTGGCCTTTACGCATCAAAAGAAGATACAATATGCGTGCAAAGGCTGGACCGACCAGGCGGAGCTCAGCATGGATCCCACGCAGGGCTACGGGCCGACCCTGTTCGCGGAGTGGTCGCAGGCCGACACGGACTGCCAGCCGCTCCTCAACGGCGGTGTCAAGGGGTCCCGGTGGGACGGCACGTCCAAGTCGGTGGACGGACCGAGCTGTCCCACCAAGGACGACTCGTGCTCCTGCTCCACGCCCCTGGAGGATCCGAGCAAGTGGGATGACACGTACAAGAAGTTCCTGCAGATGTTTGCCGAGGCGCAGATGCACAGCTTCGAGAAGGGTTGGGGCTGGTGGTACTGGACGTGGAAGACGGAGGACGCGCCGCAGTGGAGCTACCAGCTGGGCTTGAAGGCGGGTATCCTGCCCGAGAAGGCGTGGGACAGGAGCTTCAACTGCGACTCGTCCGTGCCCGACTTTTCCGAGCAAGGACTGTCGGAGAGCTATTGATGATTTTGATGTTGTTTTGGGGGTTGATTTGCCCTGGCGAGGGGCTGCATGTTCATGGCGTTTTGGTAGAGCTATGGGTCACTCTATTGATATGGTTGGGAAGCATTGGGTGCGCAACGTGTTTGAACATAGATGACATTTATGTATATTTAGTCAGATAGACTCACAAGCATATCTAGTCGCATCCAGCTCTGGTTCTGTGAGATGTGAATGGAACAAAACTGGCTTGATAGAGCAAGGCCTGTTCGCCTCACAGGGTCGCACTCGTATATCGTCCATTGTATTAGCCAACCTTTGCTCGTGGTACTGGATTGAATATAAACAATAGTAAGCGACTACCCTTTATCCATGTCTTCTTCATGCTGAAACTGAAGACGCCATCAAGAGGGACATGCAATCTGCAGGCTGTCGGGTACATGCTAGCGAGTCTGCACTCCAACGTTGCTGGGGTCTTATCTGCATCCCCAAGATTCAAGAGTCAAAACTCGAGCGTCTCTGCTATTATGGCGCCAATAATTATCGGGTTTTGTACGGAAATGACCAATTAATAGCAGCAGCCTGCACAAAAGCTCGACTCGGATGCGGCCGTCCTACTCCACTATGACATGGTCAATTGGACATCATTAATCATTAATATTCCGTGGATATCCTACTCTTAGTCACGTACTTCATCACTCGAGGATGAGTAATTCGTTTCTACCTCGTCCTAACCTCTTCTCTCTGAGATTGATGTCATTTATACCAGGCTGTAGCGGCAGCTTCCTGCTATAAAGAACCTGTGGCCCCTTGACGGGCTCCTGGTCTAGACGTCACACGGCGCGCGGTTGTGAAAAAAACACGCCGATCCAGCAGGCAGGGAAACGGAGGGTCAAAGGACAAATGGCCGCCAACCCTGACATCGCGGCGAGACATTCGTCCAGCTCACCAGGCACGACGCAGGGCGAGACACCCGAGTATCAATTGGCACCCATCTGCACGGAACAGAAAGCGACGCGCCAGCAGACGCGAGGGAGCTCACGGCCTGCGACTCCATTGTCAAGAACTCGCTCGCAGAACGGCTATGGCTGCGATGACGAGGTAGATTACGATGCGTCTGCCGACGCCGGCGAACGCGATGGGGGAACGCCAGAGGAGGATCCGTTCGAGGTTGGGTGGAATGGTGGTGACAGCGATCCGTTGAACCCACGGAGTTACAGCACACCTCGGAAATGGATGATCACTTTGATCGTCGTCAGTGGCAGCTTCAGCGTGTAAGTTGATAGGATCGCCGCATGTCGTCCATACTTCAATTGGTGTACTGACGTCCCGCTTCAGCACCTGCACAAGTTCGATATACACGTCGACATATGCGCAGATGGAGGCAGAGTTTGGCATTTCGCGCATCGTCGCCACCCTGGGTCTGTCGACATTTGTCCTGGGCCTCGGATTTGGCCCCATGCTCTTCAGCCCCCTGAGCGAGTTCTACGGCCGCCGGCCCATCTACCTCGTGTCCTGGTCCATCTTCCTCATCTGGATCATCCCGTCTGCCGTGGCCCCCAACATCGCCACGATGATTGTGGCTCGCTTCTTCGACGGGTTCGCTGGCAGCACCTTTCTGGCCGTTTCAGGCGGAACTGTGGGTGACTTGTTCACCAAGGAAGACCTCCAGGTTCCCATGGCTATCTTCACCATCGCCCCTTTGGTCGGACCAACCGTTGGGCCTCTGCTCGGTGGCTTCATCAACTACAACGTCAATTGGCGATGGACATACTATGTCCTCCTCATTTGGGTTTCCGCAGTTCTCCTGTGCATCATCCTCCTGGTGCCCGAGACATATCATCCTGTCCTCTTGCGGAGGAAAGCAGCCAAGATCCGCAAAGAGACGGGAGACGATCGATGGGTCTCGGCCTCTGAAAAGGTACACAAATCGGTCATTGGGGCCATCGGCCACTCCTTGAAGAGGCCGTTTCTTCTTCTCTGGTTCGAGCCCATGTGTTTGAACCTGTGCATCTTCACCGCTCTGTTACTGGGCATCATGTACCTCTTCTTCGGGGCGTTCCCGTTGGTTTTTGGGACCAACCACGGCTTCAACCTGTGGCAGGTTGGACTGACGTTCTTGGGTCTCGGCGTCGGCTCCGTTGCCAGCCTCGCCACTGATCCTCTGTGGTACAGAGTGAGGGGCCGCCTGGTGGCCAAGCTCGAACAAGAGACTGGCGTCGCCGGTGCCAGTGAGCCTGAGTTCCGCCTGCTGCCTGCCCTGGCTGGCGGTGTGCTGGTACCTGTTGGCCTGTTCATCTTTGGCTGGTCGACGTTCCCCTGGGTTCATTGGATCGTGCCCATCATTGGGTCGACCTTGTTTGGCGCTGGGTAAGTGAACTTCTGTACCTACACTGCATTTGCCCGCCACTCCTGTGTTTCTTGAGCTGCGGCTACAACACACCTTGTCTTCAATATGATGTGACTCGACGCAAGCCTTATCAGTCCTTGCCTCAGAGCGAGCGGCCAATCAATGCCGATGGCTCGACGCCTTCAGCGAACTATGTCTTGCCAAAGGCGTTGGCCAGTCGAGACTCCACGATCAGCGTACACCAAAGCGCCTTGCAGAGAGAACTTTTGCTGACGTTTGTGGCAATACAATAGGACTATACTGGTCTTCACAGGTGTATTCACATTTCTGGTAAGTGAATGTCCTCGGCAACTTACCACACACAAAAGACTAACCATCGTGATCAGGTCGATGCCTATCCATTGTACGCCGCCAGTGCACTGGCTGCCAACTCATTTGTGCGTGGTACATTTGCCGGTACGTCTCCTCGCACATGCTCATTCCTTAGTGACAGCTGCTGACCTACCTTAGCCGCCACACCCTTGTTCGGCAATCAAATGTACAATGCTCTGGGCTATCAATGGGCAACATCGCTACTCGCCTTCCTCACTCTGGTGATGACGCCATTTCCGTTCATCTTCTTTTACTACGGCAAGAGGATCAGGCTCCGAAGTCGGTTCGCCAAGCGCTGAATACACACACAAGTATCGGCAGTTTTTTGGTGCAAAGAGGCCTTGTTCAAGGGGCTTGCATAGGATTGGACGTGACCAGACGCCACATGCCGGCTTAGGCACCATGTCTGGACGGAGCGCGGTAGGACAACTTGGAATACGAGGTTGCCTACGGATTTATATGATGTTCCCGGGCGCCTGGATCTGCATGGCTCTGTCCGTGTGTCTCGGGAGGTATATCAATCCATCGGTCCTAGGGAATAGCACTGATTTTGACGTCGATGAAGAGGGGCTATTTTCACACAGAGGACTTGAGCATTGCTTGTCTTTGTGGCCTAACTACACCGGTAAGGGGCAATCTTATGCACCATCGGGTTTCTGCTCTATATGCGCCGCCACGCCTTGGAACTGCAGATGACTTGTCCACGCATGGTCATGCTGCTGTAATATACATGTAACCTGATGTTGATCCATTTCATATGACGTTTTGAGAAACATCCACAGTGTTCAACGTGAGACTTCCATCAGTGAACAGTGTCATTCCAGTTTTCAGCACCTACGTAGTGACCACCAAGACAGCGCTCTTAGCGCACACCCTAAACGTCCAGTCATGCGAACAATTGAATTATTGATTCGGCTACCATAGCGTCTCATTGTTGTCGAGGGTTACGTAACGGGATTTCCTGAGCTTCTTCAGGATGCTGACGAGTCGCGCGCAGGAAATATGTGTAGGGTACGTAGTAGTGTTGACCGCCCCACGTAGTTGCAAGCTGAGATGAACAAGCATCAGTGACATGCATGTGTACCACGAGTTCAGCATTTCGACATACCCCCTAGTATACAACTACAAGTAGTAACAGACACTCACAGAAATATGCGACTTAAATCACGCAGCATGCATTTCAACGATGTTACGACCAGACCAGCATCGGCCTCGAAATTCCAACAGGTGAACGTGAAAGAGGCATCGCAGCAGGCCCGCAAGTGAAGCCCACCGAGGGTGGGTCACTGTTCGCTGCCATGACCGAGGTACTCGCGGCTGCAGTGTAAATTCTGCAGCGCAGAATGTATCTTCGGCCTAGCGGCCTTGGACAAGCAGCCAATTACAGCACCGACGTTTCCCCCAATGCGGTGGGAAACCCCGCAGTGACTGACTGCGCTGCAGCCGGGACAGAGGCCCCAGTCGTGCCTGCCTTCTGCTGCCAGGCTGCTGACGATCCACGGCTGAGAGCCCAACAGACCCGCAGCCGTCCACAAGCTTGTTGCGATTGCCTGCCTCAAGGTGGCCAAGTTCAGTCTGTTCCATCCAGACATCAACATTCAATTCCTTGCGCGAGCATTATTAAAAGTATCATTCCTGCAGCCTGGTCAGCTTGACGCAAGGCCCCGAAGCGACGACAGATCGCGTCCGACATCGACTGGCAAGTTCTTTCGACAACGCAGAGCAACCTCGACGACGCCTGCAAATCTCATCTCTGCACGACGCCAGCGACCTGCCCACGAGACGAACCTTGCGCCTCGAGCCCTGGGTACCCAATTTGGTCCTGGCCGGCTGGAACACCAACCCACATGCGCCACGGATAGCTGCGTCTGGATTCGAACCTAGTATTGCGACGCTGCGCGCATCACGTCCTACCGCACAAAGGTACTCTCCGCTTCGCTCGGCCGTGTAGCCGGTTCCCGGACAATACGAGTCAATTCCTCAAAGACTCTACTTTTGGAATCAGATCCTGGTTGAGCTCAACGGGAGGCGGCAGTAGCAACTCTGTTGGGTTGTCAGGCGTGTCCGTACAGCTCAGGCCGGTTTGCATTGGCCAGGGTCTTACGCAGCCACGCCGAGATTGCAAGTGCCCAAGGGCCAAGCAAGGACAGCCAATCCAGCCCTGCGGTGCCACGGAGGCGCCCGCGCGGTGCGGTGTCGCAAGAGTGTGTATGGAGTGAGGCGCCTTGAGCCTTGAGAGGCAGACGACTTGTGTGGCGTACTGCAGGGACTGTGCGGTCAGGCCCCGCGATTGACCAGACCGGCTATTGGCCCTGACCACACGTATAAAGCAAAGACAGTATGCCGGAAGACATCGAGGAACACGGCGCAGATGTGTCGGACGCTGCCCTGTCCGAGAATGAAGACGAGTCAGAGACCTATTCTAAAGAACACAACACGATGACAGACCAGAGCACTGGCGGCGGAGGGAGTGGCGAGCCCAAGAAGAAGTACGACCCCAAGGACCCCTCAAGGCCCAGGCGTAAAAAGGCGCGTAGAGCCTGCTTTGCCTGCCAGCGAGCGCATCTCACTTGTGGTAAGTGGCATATGGCACTTGTGCGTCGGTTATTACCGTGCATGAGCGCACCTGGTCGGTCTGGGCTTTTGGTTAACAACGTTGCGTAGGCGATGAAAGACCGTGTCAACGCTGCGTTAAGCGCGGATTAGCTGAGAACTGTCAAGACGGTGTTCGAAAGAAGGCTAAGTATCTTCACGATGCGCCGCCAGAGGCTCTGGGTCCGGTGCTCGGGCCCAACTTCAACAGCGGCGCTGGGAGTGCATCGCGGCCACAGGCGCAACGCCAAAACTCAAGCCCATCGGATGCCATGTCGACGACACCCAACAGCAACTTCTTCCCTCCAGGCAGTGGCTCGGGGTTCCCCTTGTACCAGGGCCAAGCTCAGTCAGCGGTGGCCTTACCAGACGGTCTCGGCTTCGGGGCTCAGCCTGCGAGCATGTCACCATCCTTCCAGAACCAAGCGACAAATGGCAACGCCCAAATGGACAGCATGCTGCCGGCGAATGATGCCTTCAACGCCATGTTCGATCCGAGCAACCCAGCGCTGTACAACTTTGACCTGGAGGGGCTCAACTTCGGGAGTCAGTACGCTGGTTGGGAGTTTGGCATCTTGAATAAGATGGGCCTGGGTGCTGAAACCCCGCCACGAGAGAACTCTATTTCTCAGACACCGACGAGCGAGTACGCGAATGTATTCGGCAACGGTGCTGGGTCTACATACGATGGCAGCAACATGCTTGCGAAAGACTACTCAAACCTGGACCCGCAGCCGCAGCAAGTTTATCACCAAGGCAACTTGCAGCATGGGTTACCTCATGCGTTCGCTATTGCAGCAGGGCCAACGAGTCTTGCTAGTCCCAGCACAGAGGCCACAGCCAGCCCCCAACCGGCAGCAATGGCGGATGGGTCGCCTGGAAACTTTGGCAGCAGCATTCCAGTAAACGTGCGGATCAAGTCAAAGCAGCTCAAGCCGAACCAGTCCATACTAGGAAAGCGACAGCGCGATGCCGCGTCGATATACGAGAGTGTCAAGAAGCCGTACCCCTACACAACCGGCTTCCATAATATGGTGTCCGTGCTCAGAAAGAGGCTACCGGGAGACAAGCTTCTCGCCATTGCTAAGGCCCTTGGTGAGATTCGACCATCATTCATTGCTTCGACCAAGGACCTCACAGAGGAGGACCTGGTATTCATGGAGAAGTGCTTCCAGCGTACGCTCGTCGAATTCGACGACTTCCTTCACCACAACCCCTCGCCGACGATTGTTTGCCGACGATCGGGGGAAGTCGCCGCTGTGAACAAGGAATTCATCAGCCTCACGGGCTGGACGAAGGACGTGCTCCTCGGAAAAGAACCAAATCGCCATGTGCATATTCGATCAAACTCGAACGGCTCCTCGCAAGAGGGCGCAGATCCTCGGCCCGAGGCGTCGGTCACCCCACGTGTCAAGAATGCGACCCTAGACACGGGTCGTCCTCAGCCAGTGTTCCTTGCCGAGCTGCTCGACGATGACAGCGTTGTCCGATTCTACAAGGACTTTTCACAACTGGCGTTTGAGGACTCTAGGGGCAAAGTCACGCGGACCTGCAAACTGGTCAAGTACCGCCCCGAGGAACCCGATGTGAAACCACACAAGGATCCAAGGACCAGCATGTTGAGCAGCCGCGTGACCATGATTGACGGAGAGCATGGCATTTCGCGGATTGAGCAGGACGGTAAGGTCAACTGCGCGTACTGCTGGACGATAAAGAGGGATGTGTTTGATATACCCATGATGATCATCATCAATGTGAGTAACTCCCGGCGCGCATTGGTGGCCCCACTAACGACAGCTAGTTTCTTCCTCGATACAGCCCCGATGAGGAGCATATGGCGGTTTAGGGACTGTCAAGGGGGATTCTATTAAAAAATTGAGGTCGAGTAAACAGCGGACGCCTCACAAAGCAGCTACGGGGCACTGCGGGCAGCAACCCTGACGCTGGAAGATAACAAATGTCTATTGCATTCTGTCGTCTATAACGGCTTAACGAGCCACGCAACGTCTAGATCCCCGTCAGCTCCCTTTCCATCCACAACCTCCACACCCTTTGGGCGCCAGCCCTGCCTATCCAGGGAGTTCTTCGTCACTGTGCAGTCAAAGTTGATGTCCTCGACCAAGGCCTCGAGGCTCTTGTAGTCCTTCTCCTCGCGAATGAAGCCCGTGATGAGCAAGCGCATATGCGCGTCGTAAAAGTCCTGTTCGAACGAGTGCAGGATGTGCACCTCGGCCGAGCGCACGGTGTTCTTGTAGAAGGGATTGTAGCCGATGGACATGACCATGGGGTAGACTTTAAAGTCGGTGGCCGCTGGGGTGAGCAGCGAGGCGTAGCCAAAGTAGACACCCGACTTGGCGTCTGCGATCCAGGGGGTGGCTTTCTCATCGACGGGCAGGTTGGCTGTCGGGATGCCAAGCTAGAGCGTGTCAGTATGTGAGGGTTCCTGTAGAGTGAGAGAGAAAGTTGTTGATGATGAGTCATGAGGATGGGCTGTATGAGGCGATTTTAGGGATCAAGGGTATGGAGCTTCAGAGCCTGTGCGACCGGAAATTGAGTCTTCTGAAGGATAGGATGGCATACGTACCTCTTTTGATCCACGGCCAAAGCCAGATATAACTTTGCCCTCCATGGTCAAGGGGTATGGTGCCTCGGGGCCTGTATTCTGGCCCACGATGGAGGGGCGGCCGTTTGGACCAGACATGGTATGCTCTGACGGACGGGGTGTGCTTTGGTCAGGGGAGGAATGAGCGTGTGTTGGAGGAGGGAGAAGAATCAATGAGGGAAAGAGGATGACTTGACAAGGCTGACGGCCGAAAAGTGAGGGTGTGTGTGTACAGAACGGAGCAGGCCTGGCTTGGGCTTGGCTTGGGTGGGGGTCGAGGGGCTCGGGAGGGGCCGGTGTATGCGACATGGCGGCATCATGCATGGTGTATTTGTAAGTGACCGCTTTTACGGGCTAATTAGTAGTATACAACTTCTTGCCCTAGGATCAATGATGCAATGGAGACTCGTTTGTGCTCTCTGAGACCTCGTGATCATGAGGCAGCGTTACTCAATGTTAAAACTGACTTGAATCATTGAACACAACTGACTATCCCAAACTCCCGACAGCTAAGTTACATTGAGTGGAGGGTCTTGTCCTCTTCCATACGCGATGAACAAAACACACGATAAAGACCTTGTCTTCCAAAACACAGATATGAACGCGCCACGTCCTCCGGCCTTGTGTCCTAGACGCTGTCAGATCTCCCGCGGCAAAGAATCCGCCTCTCAAGATCTCCACGCTTCGATCAAATTCCCCAGACTCATTGCTTCACATTTTCTGCAGGCTTCGCGGCAGGATCCTGCTTGCCCAAGCGGAGGATCTCGTTCGAGTCTACCACCCAGAACTTCTCCTTGGCCTCGCCCCGGACGGCCGCCTCGGTCGCACGAATCGTCGCGCGGGCAATAACCTCCGCATCCTGGCCCAGGGCATTCTTCGCCCCGGGGGCCACATGTCCCAGCCCGCCCAGGAGCTTCTGCCACATACCTTCCGCCGCGCGCGTGTGCTCGCGCGGACCCAGGATCGTGCCGGGCTTCATGATGACGGCGTGCTCAAAGTCAAGCTCCTTGATGGCGTCTTCGACGCCGTTCTTCATCTGGCAGTACGGCATGTACGTGTGGCCCGGACCGCGCGTGCCCGCAGAGCTCATAAAGACAAACGTCTTGGCGCCGGCCTCCTTGGCCTTGCGGGCGATCTCAATGTTGAGATCATGGTCAATCTTCCACTGGTTCTTCACACCGCCCGCGGCGGCGCGCGTGGTGCCCAGGGCGCTGATGACGACCTCGGGGGAGCTGGAAGCGGCCAGAGGCGCCCACTTTGATGTATCCTCCTCGACGGTGGCTGTGAGCGCGTCGTTGGTGGATTTGGGCGCGCGACGGGTGATGGTTGTCACGGGATGAAGGGGAGACGTTGGGGCGGCCAGGATCTGGCTCAGAATGTGCGAGCCTGTGAGGCCCGTGGCTCCAAAGATGGTTGTGGACGGCATGCTGGATGTATTCTGTAGATTTTACGTATTAAATAGCTATCGTCTCTGAGTGAGAGATGGGATTGATGAGGCGATGGGAGGCGTACCTATTTATGATGGCATGCTTGCGTCGGAGTTTCGGTGCTTCAGCATCCTTGGATTCCTCCCAAAAATTAAAGTGGAGGAAGAGCATGTTCTGTTCAGGTGGCATGTGAGTGTAGGCTGAACCCCCGCGACGCGGACTGGAGCTCGTTGGAGATTGTCTCGAGCTTGCGACAACGCTGCCTGCCTGCACAGCATTGCACTCGCCGTCCCATTCTCCAATCTTCTCGAACCTCTACTCTCCTATTTGCGCCAGCCGGAAAGACAATCTGCGTTAGGCACAGGACCTCCTCGCCTGCCATCATGGCCACCCAATACGAAAGTAAGCTCTGCCAGATCTCCTCGCCATCTCCCAGCTGACCCAGAACCAAGTCGAGCACAATGTGCAGTTCGCCGAGCCTCGTCGTGGCCGACGGGTCGACATGTCCTCCTTCTTCGCCCTCCTCAACACACTCTCCGATTCCGACCAGAGCCACCACCGACCTCACGCGACGCCCACGCCCGTCGATCACGCGCATCTCTTCCGCCTGCTGCAAGACCAACTCCTCACACTGCAGACCACCAGCCCCGACGAGGGCAACCGGGACTTTCTGGAGCAGTTGATCGCCGGCTTGGAGGGAGACATCAATGATCCGCCCAGGGAGATCCAGGGCGTGAGCCAGGAGTTCATTGATACCCTCGACCGCGTGACGAAACGACGGCTCAAGCCAGAAGACGACTGTGCCATCTGCAAGATTCCATACCTCGAGGACGAGTATCCCCTGGTGGTGCAACTACCCTGTGCGGGCAAGCATCGCTACGATCTCGAGTGCGTGGGCCCCTGGCTCAGGAGCAAAGGCACCTGTCCCATGTGCAGAGAGCAACTCGGCAAGAGGAAACAGGTCATCGTTGAGGATGATGAGGAGGATGAGAATCCAGATATGCTGTATTCGTAACGTGTCATGAGTGAGAATGAACGAACGATTGGGTTTGGCAGGCAATGGGAAGCGAGGCGTTGACATGACCAAGAATGCATCATTTGGTGTTCCATCATCGATTACTATCCCATCTCACAGAGTCTTCATAGTCTCGACGGTCTTGTCCGTTTTGCTCTTGACGTCGCTGTCCGCAGCACCAGACAACGTCTCGATGCGCTGCCGCCAAAAGTCCCACCTCTTCTGTGTCAAACCGGGTTCGCCGGCCTCAAAAAGCTGTCCGGCCTTGAACATGCGCTTCTCCTCCTCGTCCAGCTCTCGGGTGCTGTTCACCCTGTCCTTCAGATCCTTCCCGGCGTAGGCCACCCACGCGTGCGCGATGAGAAGCGAGGCATCACGCTCCCTGTCATTCTGAGGCTCCCGCTCAAGGGCAGAACGGAGAGCCCAGAGAGCAAAGTTGTCCCAGGTGACGAGGTGGGTGGCCAGGAGGCGCGCGGCGAAGGCATTCACATTGATCCACGCCGTGACGGTTTCATTGTCCTCTTTGGTCTCGTTGTACCTCGGTGACTCTGTGAACATTCGTTAACGCTTGTCCTTCATACCGTGGTTGTGCTGTGAGCCAACAACGTACCGTTCCATGCGTCTCTCATGCAGGGGGCCAGCATGGGCAGCTCGGTCCAGACCCTGGTCTTTTGATTCCACATGGTCACCTCGTCGTCTCTTTTCGCAGCCAGTTCTTTGACAATCTGCACGAGGGTGTCCTGGCGCGGATCGTCCGCGGAGACAATCTTGCCTACTTGGATGTACAGTGACCACAGCGTCCAAAGGAAGTCCTCGGCACCCTTGTCAGACGCAGCGGCGGCCTCGTACAAGCTGTCAATTGAAGAGGAGGCTTCCGAAGAGGAGTTATTGGAGAGTGCCGTCTGGAAGATGGAGGCGAGCTTGGATGAGGTATCATCCGCCTCGCCTGGCAGGAGGCCCTTGACATTGAGATCAGACATGATGGTGGCTCGTCGTCGTTGTCCTGGGATGGAATAGAATCTTGGGAGAAGGAAATTCGAACGCAGGATGTGAGTTGAAGCTGCAGAAAGTAGAACGCTTGCTCTCAGACAGGACATGTGTTCATGTCAAGGTACCAGGCAGCATTTGTTTCCCGTGATTATAACAGACAAGCTTCTGTAACAAGCCATGCTGATCGCCCACAATAATGCGTCACTGGCGGGCCAGCGACGTTGCAGGGCGCGGGGTCATCGCTGCCCCTCGCCAATCGTTGCGCCACATGTGCCTGGCTGCGCCTCAGGAAGACAAGAAAGGGGTCCCTTTGCAATTGGGTTACATTCACATGCCTCTTTGGTACTCTCGCTCTATTAATTACTGTCAACTCTCAGGCAATGGACATTTTCATGCCGCCGTTGGCACAGATGACACTGCCCGTCGTCCACCCAGACTCCTCGGAGCACAGCATGTCAATCGTGCCCGCAATCTCCTTGGTGAAGCCGGGCCTCCTGCCGCCCATGCCTTCCCTGACAATTTTGTCAAACCTCTCCTGCTCCGCGTGACCGTTGAGCTGGGCCAGCACATACTCCTCGCCATCATACTCGGCCAGAGGCGCCGCGTCGACGTATGGCTGGTTGATCTTCCAGAACGTCTCGCCCGCCTCGGCGTACATGTCGCCCCAGGCGGGCCCCGGGTTCACGCAGTTGACCGTGGCGCGTGTCGCGAGCTCGCGCGACCAGGTGCGCGTCATGGCCTCGACGGCGGCCTTGCTGCCCGCGTAGACCGACTGGCCTTGGTACCCGATGGAGCTCGACACGCTGCTCACGCTGACGATGCGACCACTCCTGTCCTTGGGCAGGAACGGGGCGACAGCCTGCGTCAGGAGGAGAGGGGCCAGCACGTTGACGGCGTAGACCCGCTCAAACTCCTCTGCTTGGATCTCGCCCTTTTGAGGGTCGTTCATGGTCTGGTTGCTGGACACGCCGGCATTGTTGATGAGGATATCCACGCGGAACGGGCTCGAGGCATTGTAGCTCGCGTAAAAGTCCTTGGCAGCCTGCAGGATGGTCGCGCTGGCCGCGGCGGGGGAGGCGAGGTCGGCCTGGACGAGAGTCGCTTGGATCTGGTATGTCGACGTCAATTCTGAGATGAGAGCTTGTGTTGGCTGTTCCGACGAGGACGAGGTGTAGGCAATGAGAAGATTGCAGCCCTTGGCCGCCAAACGTCTGACAACGGCGGCACCGATACCTGGGCCAGTCAACTTGTGCCTCTTAATTAACACAGGGTAAGATGGGAAAAGATACCCCGCGAGCCACCAGTGACGATGCCAAGCTTGCCGTCGTAAGGTCGAGCAGACATTTTCGCGTATTGTTGTAAAAGAAACGAATTGACAAGAACACAGTGAATCGCGGGAATGGGGCAGACCAGTATATAAAGATCGTAACCCTCTTCGTGATGAACATCTCCGGTGACTACTGGCGCGCTTCAATATGGCGGGGCATAATTGGAGGCGGGCGCCCAGCGGACCGCGACTCGAGGCCAGTCGAGCGCGGGGTCCCGGACGTGGGGCATCATCATCACCACCCCGCCAACAAAGGTTTCCCTTTCCTTCGAGTACTTTGTCTCCTATATCGGCGCTATGTGTCTCCTTGGGCTTATGCTTTGATCTTGCACAGTGGAAGCTCCCGTCCCTTGACCCCAACGTGACACTTGAACACCATGCCAGACCACTTTGCAGACTCGGGATACTGGTCTGGCTCAGGCTCCTTCTCACTGGTGATGTAGATATCTTCGCCACAAAACGCGACAGCCTGGATCTGTTAGCCTCTCCTGGGCAGAGTGAACAAGGTCGGCAAAGACTTACTGTTGGAGTTCGGACCGGCACCTTGACCTCCGCAGTGACCTCACCTTGAGGGTTGATTCTCACAACCTTCCCAGTCCCCCACAGTGCTGCCCAGATGTTGCCCTCTTTATCTAGGGCGTGCCCGTCAGCGCCCATTGCTCCCTCGTGTTTGATGTCGTAGAGAGTGCTCTTGTTGCTCAGTGAGCCGGATGTCTGGTCAAAGTCGTACTTGTGGATGGCCTTGGTGGGTGTGTCCGTGAAGTACATGTGCTTGCCATCCTTTGACCAGCTCATGCCGTTGGGACAGGTGAGCCCACTGGGGATACGGTTCAGTTTGCCATCGAGGTCGACCCTGAAAAGAGCGCCTGTTCCGTTTAGTTAGGTAGGCCCATCCTCGCATCGAGCAAGCAACATACCCATCGCCTTCACCTCTGTCACCGCGGGATCACACATGGTGCCCACCCAGAACCGGCCCTAGTCGTCGACGCCACCATCGTTGGCCCTCATTCTCTCATTCTTGCCATCAATCTTCTCCTCATCACTCCAAAAGTCGGTGATCATGCGGGAATCGCTACTGTCCTTTTTCGCGATGCCCACACCGGTCTTTCCGCCAAAGATGAAGGAGTCGGGTTGTCCCTCGATGTCGGCTGTGACTCTGCGCTTTCTATGAGCCACCGGGCATACTGAAATGACGGAGAGACCAACGTTACAATCTGGTCGTATTTGAACTTGCGTAGCGAGGAAGGCCCCTCGGAAAGGTTCACGCGGTACACATCTCCCGAAACAATGTCCACAAAGCGGAGGATATTCGCTTCACGCTCCCAGTACGGTCCCTCGGAGAGACCGCATTGGACGTCGATGAAGGGCTGCCATTGTCAGTCCGAGCCCACATGCCGTCATTATGTGCATACCGTACCTCTGTAACTTCAAACGTCTTCATGTTGGCTACGCGGAGGGTGAGGTGAGGAAGTGGGTTGTGAAGACGTGGACTTTGGTTTTCTATCTGGCGTCTCCTAAAGGTGATATCATCGTATGCGCATGCACACGTGATGATGAATCTCAACAGTGGATCAGCACCGCATCGTCAGTTCAGCTGCGAGGCAAAGCTAGCACTCCAATTGCTGCAGATGTTGCCATGTAAGAACTGATGAACGGTGTATCTTCTGTCGACATGAAGGGCCGGAAATCCGAAAACCCCGTCCCAACTCACCACCCAAAATAGCTCATCAGCACAAGTGACACATAATCTCTCCGTATATCGATGCATTGATAGAAATACAAGCTATAATTGTATAAGGCCGCTCATGCTCCTCTCAGTTTCCCAGGTCACCTTTCTTAGGCGGGCTGGCGCCTCCACTCGTACCTCCCTTCCTCACCTCCTTGCCCAGCCCTCGGTCATGCGGGCTCTTCTCGTCTCCCCTGGGCTTGTTGAAGGACTGGTTCGCACCACTGTTCTCCAGGGGGCTCGCGTCATCGCCGCGACCCTCCTCGGCGGCCTTCATCTCTGTCTCGGGACGGGTCTTGCGTGGGTTGAATGCCGCGTCCGGGTTGTTGGCCACATCATCGTCTGATGTCGAGCGCGAGCCTTCCTGCGCACGAGGGCGGAGGGACTCGCGATCTTGCGAGTCTTTGTAGGGGAAGCGCGAGATGGATGTGGTGGAAAAGGGACGAGCGAAAGCGACAGTCCGGGGCGATGTCCGGGCTAGGAAGCGAAGAGGCGCCATTGTCGGTGCTTTGCTGGTGTAGCGGATGGGAGTCTATATTCGGCAATTGGTTGTCTTGAGGAACAAAGGAAGGGATTTGGAGGTGAAGAAGGAGACTGGAACACTGTGATCGATCACTTTCGATGAGGTTGGTCTTTAGTTGCTTGACGTCATACCATCCTCATCTTCTGGATCATGATAAGTGGCCATCATCGGCACTTGTTCTGGATATCTGTCAGCTATTCAATTGACCTTGGCGGACTTTACTCTCCGGTGACCTGTTCTCGTCGCCATTGCTCTCAATACTCCATGAGAACATGCCCCTTGGTCGACAGTACAGTACTAGTAATCATCTGGCTGTTGCGGCTGCTGCTATTGTGAAATGATAACGTTCGGCCTAAAACCCCTAGGGCGATGTCCTCAGACAGAGGGCTCGATATTGTCGAGAGAAAAAGAACCGAGTATGACTGCACGCGAGCTCAATGGCGAAACAAGACAATTCGACTCCTACCTTCAATATGATTTTCTCTATCGCGCAGAATCCAGTCTCGGTCTAACGAAGTAGGTAGCGTGGCGTGCGCCAACTGTGCCACGTTCCGACAGCTTGGTTTCTAGAATCGTTCATCCCTGAAAGACGCGATGGCCGTGATATGCGCTTCGGCGCCGCGCGTTCGTTGTTGAGGCTTGGAATCTTATCCTACCTATCCAGGACCATCACCCTGAAATGGCCGTTTCCTGCACCCTCTGCAGCGGGCTCGCCCAAGCTTGCCCCTGATCCCACTGCAAGAGAGGGAGGGGCGTACGTACCCCAAATTGAGTTAGAGACGACATGTGGTACGTAGGTATCGTCGAAGGGCTGACTTTGTTGATGCAAGACGCACCGCTTTGGGAGACCCCTGAGATACGCGACCCTCGAAACGGTATGGGGTATGGTGGGCAGTGGATATCGAAGATGTTTCAGATACGATGATCTATGATTGTTCATTAGATTGCAGATTAACTCAGATTGACTGGATCAATGTCTCCTGAGCCGGCACCATGTGTAACATGTCAGTGTCCGTCCAAAAAGTAGTAATTCTGCGAGGGCGCAATTCTGCGGCAATTGGCATGCTGCACATGCGATTCTAACCCCTGCTTCAAGCTTGGCATTACATTGAACGATTCACCGCGCCTGGTCCAAAGGGGTGCTGAATATCATTCATTGGCTCCGCCAATCACTCCAAGCCTTGCAGGGGTACCGCGTGACCGCTTCTCACGGACGACTGGACCCTCCATCTCAGAATTCGTGTGCTTGCTAAGAGAAGCAAAGTTTCCATGTGGCAATGATAGCGCCGTACGGTCCGTAGTACACGACGCCGTGTGCCCTGTTCCAATTGATGGTTTGTCTAGCCACGTGGAGGAGAAGGGGGCCAGAGCCTAGAGGCTGGCTGTCTGCAGCCGTAACATAATTACCAGTCCACGTACCAGACTAGCAGGAATGGGACGGAAAAAGCGTGCTGATGCCGTGCGGAGGGGTCCTCACTAGTCTAGCCGCGGCGCACTGATAGAACAGATGATGAGCAAGAGTTTGCGTCGTTCCGGGCAAGCTTCATGACTCGACGCCATTGGCCTCCAGCGCTTTGCCCGCGCTACTTGAATCTTCCGAAAGTTTCTTGCCGGCACCCGTCCACTGACCATCACCAGAGCGAGGACTGGACAGGCAATCGAGGAGGACGATGCGTTCGGTTCGGTTGGATCGGACAACAGCATGACTGCGTGGCGAAGCTGTGTCGTGAGCTAAACGTATCAGTTGTTGGTGACGGAGTGGAGCCCACGCCTCCTAACGGCATCGGATCCGCGTGCATGATGGCCATGTGAACGAACCTCTCACGTTTGGCTTGTGTCAATTTCTCAGGTGGAAGCACGACAGGCAAACAATGGCGTATCACAATGGATAACATTGGAGTTGCTGGCTTTCTTCATGTACGTACATACCTAGGCCTGGAGACATGGACTGGCTGGCTGCATGCCAATCTGCTAGGCACTGCATGTACGTTTCGTCCAGGTTCAGTGGCCTCAACATTCAGGGCTGATGGCAGACTGCACGATAATGATTTGGCCGATCCAGACTGGACTCATTAGGGGTCCGCAGGTCGGCCCAGTGCTGCACTAATACGGATAGTATCCGTAGTGCCTGGTTAACAGGCAGGTCCAGTCCCAGATTCTATTCCGGCTGCCATTGAAGCCTACTGGATCTCCTACACCAGACGAGCTTCGTCAATGAGGACGGACGGTACCTGGTTCATCAATCAGTCGACTGGATGCAAGGTGACTTCATTCCCAGGTGGTGTTAGCGGTCGGCCAAGTCCAGGGCTGCCATGGGGCCCTGTTTGGCGGATTGAAAGGCCCCCATCTCTCCATGTCGCCTCCATGTCCACTGTGCCGGGCCGCCTGCCAGTAAACTGCGTCTGTACGCAGTGCCGTAGCAGCTGCCACACGCTTAACCCCCCCGTTCCCCCCAATTTCCAACAGGCATATCTCCCATTCATTCCTCGTCGACCACTCTGACTGGCGCATTAAACGATCTCTTGCCTCTCCAACCGAGTGAGGCTCACACAATTCGCTCCCCCTCAGAACGACTGGCCTTCCAAAAGCGTTTCTGGACGTCCAAATAAATACCTGCAGCCGTGGGCGAAACATTCGAAATTCAAAGAGGTTGCCATCAGTGGCGCAAGCGCTGAACCTTCAGCGTCGTGGTCCCCATCCTGTCCAACGGCCACTATACGCCAGGGACAAATTCGAATCGCCAGCGATCGCTTTCGACTTGACTGCCACCGACATCGCTTGTTGCCCCAGCGGCTCGACAACACATTCGGGCATTGCACGGAGCGGCATACTGCCGAATCTTTGGCCGCAATACATATCCACGGTCGATAAAGACGACACGGATCGCCACTTCAAGCAATAGCTGAATCGGCAGGCTACACACTCCTTTAGCACTTGGCCGAGGGAAGGGTTGAATATCCAGCATTGCCGCGACCGCCATGCTGCTCTGGCTCTCTCATTAATCTTCACGATACTTGACGACTCTGATCTGCCAACATGGGCAACGGTCAAGGCAAACCGATCGATTTCAACGGCGATGGTGAGTCCACTTACCTTACGGGCTGCAACTGGGCGAACTCGCTTCCCCTCGCGGCGCATGCTATGGCGCCGCAGTTGCCGGCAACCGCAATGCAGATGGTATGGGTGAGAGAATATGACGTTAACCTAGTCTAGTGAACCTCAATCACTTTCGTCTGTTGCGAGTCGTTGGCCGCGGTGCATTTGGCAAAGTACGAATCGTTGAACGCAAAGACACCGGGCTGTCGTTTGCGCTCAAGTACATCCGCAAAGACGAAGTTGTTCGATCCGAGAGCGTCAGAAATATTATACGAGAGCGTCGCATGCTGGAACATGTCAACCACCCATTCATTTGCAATTTGCGGTACAGCTTCCAGGACATCGAGTACATGTACCTCGTCGTCGATTTGATGACGGGTGGCGATCTCCGATTCCACATTTCACGGAAAACATTCACAGAGGAGGCGGTTCGATTCTGGGTGGCCGAGTTGGGTTGTGCGTTGCAATATGTCCACAGCCAAAACATCATCCACAGGGATGTCAAGCCAGACAATGTCCTCCTTGATGCTGACGGCCATGTCCATTTGACAGACTTTGTAAGTTGAGTGGGCCCCTGTAGCGTACATGAGCTAACGAGCAATAGAACGTTGCGTCCGACATCGTTCCCGGGAAAGTCTTGTCCAGCAAATCCGGAACATTGGCTTACCTAGCGCCCGAAGTCTATGCTGGGAACGGATACGATGTGAGGGCGGACTGGTGGTCCTTGGGCGTCCTGTTCTACGAATGCATATACAACAAACGCCCATTTGAGGGCAACTCGGAAAAGTCACTCAGCGAGACGATCCAAGCCGCGAACCCCAAATACCCAATCACCCAGCCACCTGTGTCCCTCAGCTGTCTGTACGCCATTGGGGCCGCCCTCGAGCCGAACCCCGATAAGCGGTTAGGCCGCGACTGGAAGAGCTTTGTGGAACACGACTTTTTCAAGGTTTTCGACTTCAACATGCTCGAACGCAAGCAGATTGAGCCAGTGTTCGTACCCAGCTCCGACAAGACCAACTTCGACGCCACCTACGATCTGGAGGAGCTGCTACTGGAGGAGGCGCCATTGGAAGCCCGTGCTCGTCGCCAGAAGCCACGCGAGAAGTTGAAGGATGATGCTACGGAGAAGGAGATCCGTGAGGACAACCTCTACAAATCGATCGAGACGGATTTCCGTCCGTTTGACTACACGCTAGCGGCGTACAAGAAGTAAGTTCTAGATGCCCCAAGGATGTTGAACGCAGGAACTGACAAACGCAGGATCACGGCTGGTGAGGGCACTTCGGACGAGGATGGTCCCCGTGCGTTGACGACGGATGAAGTGACACCTGCAGCGTCACCTTACCTCGTGACCCAAGACCCTATGACGTCCACAGGGCAACATTCGGGAGTTGACGGCAAGCCTGTACGCCCTCAGAGGACCGCGCCGCCTCTGCCTACCGCCTACCAGACAGACTTCACCCGCAAGTCGCGCTCATCAACGAACCGCATAGCCTCCTCCACGGGCGGCGTGCAGATGACGCTGGACGGAAGTGGCAGCTGGTCAGAATTAGCTCGCCAGGACGCCACTCTTCCAACAGACGCCAACGCCGCCGCAGATGGCAAGGGTGAAGGCTCGGGCGGTATGTTCGGCTTCTTGAAATCGAAGAAGGGGCGCAACCACAGCCCACGGCCCAAAGAGAGGGGTGTGTTAGGGAAGGAGGGTGCTCGCGTAGTGATCGGCTAGTTTCGCGGACAACTACAGACTTTACCAGGCGGGGGCAGCTCCATGTCGAAAGTAACACCGCCGGGCTGAGGTGATTCGAGGAGGACGACAGGCCAAGTGCCGTGGCAACAGGCCGTTCAAAGCGCCCATATCATTTAGACAGGTGCCGTACGCACGGGAGCAAACCTGCAGCACGAGTTGCACGACGAGCGTGATGATCACACGATGATACTTCTTTTACAATCATATGCATCGGAATCTCTGGGGCTTGGGATGGGATCACATCACCTACCAGGAACACCCCCACCTGCTTGGACACTGGCAGGCAGAGGAAGGCCCCTGGCATGAGCGACGCATGTCTAAATATCGGAGCGATCAACGACTGGTGCGGCTGGCAGGTTGTGTCTTCTTCTTCAGACAGTTAGAACATGCATCGAGCGGATTAGACGCGGAGATAATGTTGGTGCTGGTGGAGTCATTTTTTGGTTATTATCTTGGGTCATGAAAGAATATCAATAAATACCCCCAATTATCTAAAACAACCTGGGTCCAGCGGAGGAGTCACTATAACCGTGTGCGCACATGTCCAGACGCCAGCGTTGAACGCGGAAAGTCAAGTAGGAGTAGTAGGTATGTAATTATATCATAGCCAGTTGCTAGTGTAGCGCCGAATCAACAAGATCAGTCCCAGATCCACTTCATTCATCGTGATATTCGTCTCAGCCACGACACGGCAGCGTCCGTTCTACAAAGTAGAGACGATCCGTCCCGTATGCCCATGCGTGTCAAGTGCCCTCGGTATCTCGATTCGTCCACTCCCCAAATGCCGACCAATTGTTCCAGTCGAAAGCTGTCCGCCGTGCTCAGTGCCCGGGGCCACCCCGGGCCTACAGTACAAAATCAAAGAAAAAATGCGCCCTCTATGCAAAACCGTGGTCCAAATGCAAGCCCAGGAAGTGTGTCGCTCTCAAAGGAGGCCAACGCCGTTGGACTTGGTGCTGCGGTCGACCTCAATGCCGAGCGAGTTGGCGACGCACTTGGAATCGTAGTTGCCCATGTACTTATTCAGGATGGAGTCAAAGTCTTTCTCCCCGACAACAGGCCCGGTGCCGGAGCACTTGGCCTTTTTGGTGAGCTCGGAGCAGAGACCGTCCAGGTCAAACTCGCCGCTCTGGGCCTTGGGACAATTTTGCAACTTTTCCCTGCGATGGGTTAGTGAAGAGTTGACGGGCGCTGATGGTGGGGCGGACACGTACCAGATCTGGTTGCAGTTCATGGGTTCCTTGGCTGGCTTGAGACTATCGTCGTAGTCCTCCTTTTGTGCATCAATGGCATCGATGAGATTGGCCTTGGGTGCCGAGCTCGTGTGCGTATTGTCGACCTTGCCAAGTGATGATTCGGGTGGGATGTTGAAGGGCGTGAAGAAGTCCGCGTTGAGTGCGTCGTTGAAGAAGTCATCGTAGGAAGGATCCGACAGAATATTCTCCTGAGGCTCGCGGAAGTCGCCGAACAACTGAGGCTCAAAGCTTCCACCATTCTGGTTCGCCAGCCAGTCAAAGTTGGTGCTGTTGTTGAAGTCAATGTTCGCAAACTGGGCAAACGGCTCCGATGATGTGTTGGATTGCTCCTCGCCAATGGTTGTCATGGTCTCAATCGGCTTGGAACCAAGAGGCGACTGTGTAAATGGTTCCGGAGATGTTCCACACGACGAACTCGGCCCGGCATTCGAGTTGGAGGACGCCGAGGGAGAGCTTGTTGCGCCGCCGTGTGAATACTGCGCAGAGTCCATGCTCCCTCTCGACCCGCTGCCAGCAGAACTCGTCACGGACGGCGTAAAAATGCCAGAGAACTTGGCCAGGTCGTCCTTGAATTGGGTATCAGAAAAGGTGGACGGTGATTTGTTATCGAGTGTGCGACTCTTGGCCGGTTGGCTGACGACGCTGTTTTGCGGGCTGATGGGCTGTGAGGCTGAGCGATGCTGCTTGTTGGCCGTAGAGCCAGGCAGGCTGCCGCCAAACTTGGGAAAGTTGAACTGGAAGTTCACGTCGGCGAGATTGCCGACAGCAGAGCTGCCGAAAGTGTGGTCCTTCCTGGCGACTGGCTTCGTGGGGTTGGACATCAAGGACAGCCTCTGTTTGTACTGCTTGAGTTCGGTGGTCATTTGGTCGACCTGAGCCCGCAGCTTCGAGTTCTCGTGGTTGGCTTGCTCGGATGCTTGTGTAAGTTCTTCGACTTTGGTCTCGAGATCCTTCAGGTGCTGCTCCTTGCGCTCACGGAATGCCCTCTGGGCCGCTCGATTTTGAGCCTTGCGCTTCTCGAGGGACGTTAGCACGCATTGCTTGCATGTGAGGAATCAAGGATGGACCTACCGAGGTTGGTTCATTTGTGAGTGGCTTGCGTCCCGGCTTCTTGGGGACCTTCTCGGTGCTCTCCCTTCGCTTGGGGTCCTGCGAATCATCCTCGTCGTCATCCGGGTGGCTCCTCTTCTCGTGCTGGTCTGTGTCCGATGGTTCCGATTTGACTGTCTGGGGGAGTTCACCAATCATGCGCGGTTGCTGATCGTCAGCGAATGAAAAGTCGAAACTCGAGTCTCCAAGATCCTCATTAAGAGTGTCAAGGAAGGGGCTCTCGTTGAAGGCCTGATTGTTGTGCTGGTGGTTGTCGTGGCGGCTCTGTATCGGCGACGTCTCGAATGAGTTGGGCGAAAGAGTCAGTCCCCCGCCATTTGGCTGTGGCTTGTTCGAATTGAGGGCCGCGAAGAGCAAGTTCTGCTGCTGCGGGGTTAAGAAGAAGTTGGGCGGCAAAGAGCCGCCAGAGCCAGCGTCGGCTGAGGCCATTTTTGATGTCGTGGATAATGTGTTCGTATGGAGATGGATGATGAGCGTTTCCAGTTGATGCAAGATGAGGGACGCCCTGGCCGTGAAGCTGATTCGATCGGTCAGGACTGGACGAGGGCTGGATGCTGACGCCCTGCGGACGATTACCGGATGTTCGGATTTAGTGAGGGTGGCGGGTCAGCTTTGGCACCGCACCGCTCTGAACGAGCCAGCCACCCAGGCAGAAATGGCTGGATCTTCGGCGTTTGGATGGCACTGATTGATTATGACGAGGCACAGCAGCCCTTTTGCACCCGATGTCGGGCGGGGACAAAGTTCTGTGCTGGTGTTGCGCCGTGTCGCTCGCAAGCCTCGAGGCGGGCAACAAATGGCCGTATCAATCAGCGGAATGAAGCACTTGGGCGGCGGGTGGTCTGCGCAAGTTAAGGGTGCTGTACGGATAGTGCTCTCGCTGATTCTGCGCCTGATCAAACTCCGCAGACGGAGACTTTTCTGGCAGAGATCTGTTGTGTGGAGGACTTGTACGGGCTCGAATTGAAGAGATAGTCTGGTACTCTCGTAATGCTCCTCGTTGAGCACGAAGGAAGAAACTGAATTAGTTCCTGGACCAGGGGACTGATGGGCCGATTCTCAATGATTCCAGCGCATGGACGATTTATAAGCGAGGACGATCCGGATTCAGAATCTGGCATCGGCCCTCCGACATGCGGGGCCACCCACGTTCGCACCTGTTGCGAGAACGGCGAACTTTGATTGGCTCCAGTCCCTTGGCCTCCACCAATACAGTGTCGCTAGTGTTGAAGACTAGGAGCTTAGACGCAAATTCGCACATGGGGTGAGTGCGCAGCAGCGCTCCGAGGGCCTCTTTCACGCGCCATGTTCACTGCCGCACAGTGTAAATAACTGATGCGCCGTCAGCAAGCGTACTGCGTACAAGGGACGTTAGTTGAGTCACCCGGCTATCGCTGGTCATTTTGGTGTGAACATCTCAACAATTATGATGCAGGTCCCAATCCGATCAAATCCCATATGACTTGGCATTGCGCAAGAAACCCAGGCTGGTTGTTGGTGGGCACTCACTTGTCAGTTGTAAGTAACAAGGCACGTTAGCATCAATTAGACGCAGCAGCACAAGAAACCTTGCCAGACTTGAGGGTGAGTTTCCAACGTCAGTACCAGAGACTTGAGGGCGATTTTACAACATTAGTACCAGACTCATGGGTGAATTGCCAACGTCGGTACTAGAATACTAGTACTTTGACCCAGAGTGTTTGTGAGTGCATAAAGGTCCGTCGTACGAATGACCTACGTACATGAGATTGGAGCAAAAGGCGAAAAGGAGCACTATCACAGCAGATTGAGCACTTTCATGGAGCAGGCTCATGCCAAAACGTGGGTTTATTAATTCATTGAGAACTTCTCATAATCTCGTAAGCTTATCCCATCTGCCAAAACGTTCCAACGCCGTCGCTCGAGCATCGAATGTCGATTTGCTTAGTTCTTGGCAATCTCCTTGTGGGCGCTGGCCTTGGCATCGTGGCTAGACTCGTCGCTCTTGTCACCAAGAGCATCCTTGGCGGCGCTCATGCTATGTTCGCATTAGTATCGAGGTCGTCACACTTCAATGGGTTGACGATGAACTCACCGCGTGCCGATGGGAGCGTTGGAGTCCTTGGCGACCTCCTTGTTGGCCTCCTTGGAAGCACCAGAGACAGCACCCTGGACGGTCTCAGCGACGTAGTTGGCACCCTGCTTGATGGACTCCATGATGAGAGATTGAGGTTGTTGTGTTGGTTGGTGGTTGAAGTTGTGTGTTTGAGGTTTGTAGTTTGGATGAGGTGATGAAAGGATGCAGACTTTGGAGGGGCAGAAGCGAGGGGTTATATACTTACTCGTGAGCCGGATAGGGACAAAAGAGACCACGATCAACTTGTTGAGCTCATCAAGTCACGCGTGACGCGTTACGGGCAGTTGCGGGCATTTACGATCCGGATCGACTGCAGCTTGGTGAACCTGACCTGACGTCATGAAGCCTACGTCATGGGCCCCTGCCGCGATCTTCACCCCGCAACGATGGCGAAACTGAACCCTATGCGCATTCTTGGAAAATCGATCTGGGCACTCGGTAGTATTTGCGAATGGGATTTGGTGCCCTGATGCCATCCTCCCAAACATGCCAACACGGTGATCTAGTTCTTCACCTCGCCTGCTTCTCATTCTGCTCATTCCGAGTCCAGCCACGAGCAAGTGCTACTTGGCTCTGGTCACCACGCTAATTTTACTGAACAATGATGCCTCGATCGCGGCTACCCAGGAATGGCAACCGCAAGGACGATTTCGGTTTGGGGCTTAGCTCGAGGCCGAGGCAGCGTCCATTCCATTGGTTTATCTTGACGAAAGCGATGATCAGGTGCTCTGGACGACGGTCTGTGGAGATCATTTAGATCTCGGCGAGAATGGACTGCCGATAGTTGTTACTAGCCTCAGGGACTCGGATCGTCATGTGGCTCGTCTTACATGGCAAGACCATTTGGGGCCAGGGTCTTTTGCACTTCATCGTGGCGCAGACATTGCTAGATCTTGGTCGGGTGGATCATTGCGAGCCAAGTGCTGCAAGGGCAGATTCGAGACCAGAGAGGGTGGCTGTCCTGGCCTGACGACTATTCCTGAACGGACGTTTATTAGATGCAGTGGCGCTTCAAGATCCTGCAATTTTTCCGAAGGTGTGGTCATGCACAAAGACGGATGTTCATCATGTTTGGAGACGGACAGTCGCAGTCATGCCCGCAAGCGGCCACCCTACCCTGGAAGCGGGTGTACCACTCCGCAATGCTTGCCGCTGCATTGAGCTGGCCCTCATGAGGTCCATGTGAGGCTGGTATGCTCGCTCCTCTCTAAGCTGCTTTTACTAAGAAGAAAACAAGCGGTCACGATTGCTGTTATTTCCCAATAGCGTCATTTAAGATGTCTCGAGTAACGTGGTAAGCTTCGACGGCAGCTTCAGGAATAACCACCTAAATTCGAATTCAACAAGTTTAGGCCAGAGACGTCTTTCGACGCAATTGTCATAGCTATGGACGGCCAATGTCCTGTCGGTGGATGGATGCTTCAAGACCTTGAATACTGCTTATGCTTACAGTTTAATTACCTTAGTATCAGGACTACCTTGTAGTCACAGTACATTAAGTGACCTGAGGTTCCCCAGGCCCAATGTGATCCGCGCCAAGCTCTCGACCCCACTCACTAAGGTACCAGGGACCACTAGCGACAGTCCGAAGTTGGACTTGAACCGACTGGAACCCAGGCCCTACCAACACGCCTCTCCCGATCCCACTGGACAATTACCACGAGCAGCCCAACGTCATGGACCTCGCGTACGATCACCTGCAAGAGCGAGGGTACGCGCGGAAGGAAGGCGAAGGCGAGGTCGGGCCGAGCGACGACGCGCACCCGACGCAGACGCAGCAGAACCTCAATACCGAGATTCAGGATGCGTACAAGGCATTCACAAACAGCCCATGGGGCTCCAGGATCGGAGGCTTCTTCGGAACCGTCGTGAAGCAGGTGCGAGGTGATCGAAATCAAGTGCGAAGCAGGGCGCTGACTGTCAACAGGGCGAATCGGTCTACACACAGGCCAGCAAAGAGCTTGCCGAGGTACGCGAAGAGGCCGGGAAAGGAATCAGCGATCTTCGACAGAACATCACCCAACAGACACGGGGCCTCACGCTGCACGACGTGCTGGAGGTTTCGAAGCAGGAACCGAGCGATGAAGCCGAGAGCAGCCGGGCGCGTGACCCTGAGAAAGCAACTGGAGAGGCGTCCAACGCAGGGCAGCCTTCCGAGAGCATGCTCGAACGACTGCGATCCGAAGCTGCGAAGCGCCTGAGGGACCTGCAAAAGGCCGAGGATGCCGCGGACGAGGCCTTGCTCCGTTTTGGAGGCAATGTACGCGACTTCCTGCGCGATGCGGTGAGCATCGCTCCGACAGACGCCAGCAGCCAAGACACTACGGTTCTCTTTGAGAGCAAAGACGCCAAAGGCAAGAGGGTGATTCACACCTCGCGCTTTGATGCGCAACTTCACGTCATCCATACTTCGACAGAAGGGTTCACCAAGGCCCCCGCTGGGCCCGAGTACGAGGAATGGGCCAAGGCCTTCGACGTGGAGAAGAAGACAGCAGACATTGCCAGTGATTTGGACAAATACCCCGACTTGAGGTCGACAATGGAGAGACTGGTACCCGACCAGATCCCGTATGCCGACTTCTGGCAGCGCTACTACTTTATGAGGCACGGGATCGAGACTGCGGAGACGAGGCGACGAGATCTACTGAAAGGTGGGTGACTCCCATGATCCCAGTCTAGTAGCTACTGACGATGCACAGCTGCCGCGGAGGAGGACGAGGTTGGTTGGGGTGATGATTCGGACGACGACGATGACGAAGAAGAAGACAAGACAGCCAACAAGAAGCCCGCTTCCGTCCGATCCTCCTCCACCATCCAGCCGCCCGCGCAGCCCGCGCAGGGCACTCTCAAGCCCACCGAATCCCGCAAGTCGAACGACGAGAAATCCCAAGCCGACAGCGAGGCGAGCTACGATGTGGTTGGCGCAGCCTCCGGGAAGACCAGCCGAGCGCCCAACAGCCCCAAGGACACGGCGGCCAAGAAGGCGGATGAGAGCGACGATGATGATTGGGAGTAGTTTTGGTACGTATACCATTGTCAATGATTCCTTCTCGTTAGGCGTTTGTGGTCTCGGTCCAGTCTGTTCGCTGGCAAAACAATGTCATTACATATGTCGTGAATAGCTCCCTCTCTACCTCTTCTTGGTGACCGTTGTGAAACCATCTTCGTCGACCTCGGGCACAGGCTTCTCCCTGGGCGGTTTCGGTGCAGCAGGCGCCTCGCTCATCTCGACATCTGCGTCATCGTCGTCGTCGCCCGAGTCATCAGACTCCCAGTCGGTGTCCTGATCCTTGTCCTCGACCTTTTTGAAGAGCTGATCCACCTTCTTGCCGTTGCGGTTGTTGAAGCGCTCCTGAAGCTTCTTGGCCTCGTCGTATTGGCCCTGTGCGCATTGGGTACGGGCGGCGACGATTTGCGTGGCCACCTCGTAGGCCGAGTCGTCGTCCACGTTGACATCGAACTCGTCCACCATGACCTGGAGCAGGACCTCCTCTACATCCTGCAAATCGTGCTCCTCCACCGCCTTGGCGCCGGGGGCAGCAGGTGTGTCGGTGTATTCGGGAAAGAGGTCGACGATGACGCCGGCGAACCAGTCTCGCTTGTCTGATGAGTCCTCACCTCCCCAATTGTTCGCTACGGAGAGGGTAAGGGCCGGCCAGAGATGGAGGGCGTGGGCGACAGCTTGCTCGAAGGTTTGTTGGCGTTCAGCTGGTAAGAGTCAGTCTAGCCCTTGGAATAAAAGATCTGTAAACATACCCGCTGGCGGTAGCGTCGCTTGTGATGTGGTCGCCATGTTGATGTCGTGGTGGGGTGGCGCTGTGCTGTTGTTGCGTTTGGAGGGGCATCGCCTGTACGAAGTCCGCATGCATAAAAATTTTGGTGAGAGTTGATCGTTTTGCCGGCGGTTCACGCACGGACCATCCATGCATGCATGCGCGCGGATTCGGGACCCCCACCGACGATTGGCCGGCTCCGGTACGGTAGTGACTGAAATAAGGGGTCTCACTCCATGGAGATGACATCATGAGGCTTGCGCTCGAGGAAATGAAATGGAATTGCGCTCCTGTCGTCGACGCAGACTGATTACCTGTAGACTAGCCTTTGGGAGGGACGAGGGACTTCCTCGCGCGTGGCACCAGCTTCGTCTCGATTTCAACATCTTCAGTCTCGTCCTGACGAGACACGAGAGAGCGAGCAACCATGCCAAAGCTCAACACAACATCTGTCTCATTGGCTGTGACGCCCACGGTCGTCTCGACGCTCTTCTCACACGTAAGTGGTGGATCGCACACAGTTCATGCAAATAGACCCAGTTCTTGCCGCTGACTCGAGACGCGCAACTGTAGTACCTCAACCGTGGACCACTCAAGGAGCGTCCGACAGCGCATCTGTCGTACGACGAGGGTCTTCACCTCGTCAAGTGCTTCCTCGAGTACGCCTCGCACCATACCGTGGAGGAGCTCCAAGCCTTCACGGCGCAATGGGTGCCCCATCCCCAATGGATCAAGGTCGAAGATGCGATCGTCTCCGAGGCCCACCTCAAGGAAGCGGCCCGTCTGCTCCAGGAGCAACTGGGCGAGGATGGCATTCGCCGTGTGGGCGGCCGCGAATGGTGGCAGTGGAGGAAAGACGACGCGCCCCTGGAGGCTGAGTGGATCGAGATGAAGTCCGACGCTGCGGAGCGCAAGGCCAACGGCGGGAAAACGAGCCGCGTGATGCTATATATACATGGTGGAGGCTACTTCTTCGGCAGCGTGGACGAGCATAGGTACCAGATGCAGCGCCATGCACGCAAGCTCAAGGCCCGCGTCTTCGCGCCGCGGTACAGACTTGCGCCGCAGTTCCCTTTTCCTTGCGGTCTGCTGGACACCGTGGCGGCGTACCTGCATCTGCTCACAGTACAAGATCCCAAAGAGATCGTGCTGGCTGGTGATTCGGCGGGGGGAGGCATGGTGATGGCGGCACTCTGTGTTCTCCGAGACCAGGGCATTCCCCTCCCCGCCGGAGCTATCCTCATCAGCCCCTGGGTTGACTTGACGCACTCGTTCCCGAGTGTGGGAAACCCGGCCCCTATGGATTACATCCCTCAGTACGGATTTCACCACAAGCCTTCACGATCATGGCCGCCACCTAATGAGGACGATGCCGCCATGCTGGCGACTGAGGCGGACAAGAAGAGACGCGGCAAAGCCGGAAAGCTGACCACAGGAGATTTGCAAAACAAACAGCAGGATCCTGTGGCAACATCCAGCAACGAGCGCGTCACAGCACAGGATGGCAAGACGACCAGTGCTGGCACTGTTCACGATCCACAACGATTCCTGTCTGTGGACATTGACGGGAAGACAGTCAGGTTGAAAGACCAGATCCAATTATACACGACAAACGAGCTTCTTGATCACCCGCTGGTCAGCCCAATCTTGCAGCCAACGCTTGGTGGCCTGCCGCCACTACTCATCATGGTGGGAGGCGCCGAGATCCTGCGCGATGAACAAATATACCTGGCGCACAAGTGCGCCAATCCATCCAAGTACGCGCCGCCACCAGAAAAGATGGACGAGCAGGGACGGGCCCAGCTCGCAAAGTACGAGCCAACGGACGTCCAGCTCCAGGTATGGGATGATCTGTGCCACGTGGCACCGACACTGAGCTTCACCCGTCCAGCCAAGTACATGTACCGTTCCGTGGCCCAGTTTGGCGCCTGGTGCCTGGCGAGAGCCCAGCGAGTTGGGATAGAGATCCCAGATGACGACGACATCTCCTTCATCACTACCTCGGGATCGGCTACGGGTGACGACGGTGAGACCACACAAGAGGATGGCCAGGAGAAGAAGAGAACGAAGCAGGATCACGTCGAGAAGAAGAAGCAGGAGGAGGAGCGCATTGCCTTGGAGCAAGAGAACAAGTCGGGCGCCGTGGGCAAGGCGGGCGATGCTCTCCCACCCTTTGTGAACCACATGGTGCGGCAGAGAGTCACCCGCCACGGCGTGACCCATCCCCTGCCGAAAGCTGAAGAGCTCGACGGCTGCAAGCTCAAGCCAGAGGAGGTTGGCGTCATCAAGGCTGGGCAGGTGAAGAAATGGCTCACGGCCAAGAACCTGTGGGATACCAAGTACGCTGCCACCAAGGCCAAGGTGTACAAGAGGATTATTGACGACATGGTGGCTGGCTATCACACGTTTCCGGGCGAGCAGCCGCCGCCCACTGCACTGGCAGGACGCCGCCGGATCGGGGAGAAATCGCAACACAAGAAACGCGTCAAGGGCCTGGGTCTGGCCGTGTGGTCACTCTGGGGATCCAAGCACGACGAGGCCACCGTTGCACGCGGACGTGAGCGCAAAGCTAGCCATGCCGAGCAGCCCATGGAGACCACGGCTGTGTCGCCCAACGATGGTGAAGGAGCGCGGCCATTTTCGGACATTGCGTCCCAAGCACCGTCTACCACTCCCCTGGAACCACCGCGAAGCCCATTCAGCAATGATATTGCGACCCCTGACTCGAGAGGCAGGAGTTTGTCCCGTAGCAGGATGGTGTACGACGAGAACCAGACTGGCGAGACGCCGATTGACGAGCACACGCCGATGGACAGCCTCATGGGTTATCGCAAGGAATCTGAGAAGACAGCGCAGAACCTCGCGGTGCCCGCTGTGGGCGCCACGGGCAAGCGGCCCTTTATCGATGGCATTGCCTTGCCCTTCTCTATCAACAAGGAAGCCGAGACCGCCAGCATGGTCACGCTGGACTCGGCCATGAGCCCTCCTGCGTCCAGACCGATCAGCCCGCCCGTTGATGCGCAGAGTGATGTCCAGAGACCAGGGATTGAGTCCTTTGTCACCGCCCAAGAGGAGCTCCCTAGGATGGGACATGGCCAGAACGGCAGCGCACCCGCTCAGGTTAGCGCCGAAATGCCGATCGCAACTTGATCACAACGCACTCACAGAGGAATAAAGGAGGAAGAAATCAATGCCAAAGAGAAGGAAGAAAAGACAGAAATTGCATTTTTGGCCCACACTCGCTACCAGGAGCGTTTTGCAGCAAGGAGTCTGCGCGCATATACCCTAACCCAGACAGACGCTTCTATTTGTTCGGTTTACAATTGATATACACAGAGTAATACAGTATCTTGGAGAAGCCTCCGCTTGTCCTCTCGTTCGTATTCGTGATGGGTCGTTTGGCCTTAGTCGACCTGGTTCTTGTCCTTCCAGTTCTCAATGTATAGATACGGGTCTCGCGGTCCGTTGGGTATCCCCTTGTAGGAGCTTTCCGGCTTTGTGATCTGCGCGCTCACGTAGGGCGTGAGCTGGAGGTTCTCCCGTTAGTCTTCTTTGCCGTGGACCGCTCTGCAGGTGCGCATATCTCTCACCTGGCAGCCGCTCAGATCCGGCACGACATATGTCCGCACTTTGTTCCAGTCGATCTGATACGTTCCGTACTTTGTGTGGCGGCCCATGGAACCGGTGCGGTTACCCTTGTAGAAGCCCCTGCCGACATCTTTGGTCGTGAGCCGGACGTGTCGATACTTTCCGGAGCCTGTGAGCAGGGACTGTGTCGGTCTAAACATGGCGGCGGATTGGTGTGTGTGAAGGTATCGTTGATATGCGGCGCGCAAGAGGTGGTCGTCGCGACTCTTGAATTTTTGGGCGAGGCGGAGAAACTTCGGGCGCCCTGGAAGTCACAGTCAAGATGCCAGGCACTCAGCAGGGATGGTGGAGGGGGTTGGCTCCACCGTGGAGCAGCTGCAGCAGGAGCAGCAGCAATTGCTTGGTCACTCTGTCAGGACTGGAACGACATGTGAGCTTGCTTGCTTGCTTGCATCATGGCCTCAATGTGGGCGCATGTGCTGATGCGGTCGGACAGCCTCCAGCGATCTTGATAGTCAAGACATCCTCTCGCCAGATTACTTCCTTGACAAGAATACGTCCATGCGCTGCTCATCCTCCCCACTCGCGAAGCCCCTCCTCCAGTCGCTGTCAAGCCCCTACCTCGGGCGCCTCGAGCCCAGCGCCTGACCATGGACGACTTTCCAGAAGGCAGCCTGGGACACAGCGTCCCATTCCTCGTCGTCTCTGGTCTCAATGGCGCCGAACCCGAACTCCCAATCGAAGGCGACCTGAAGGACCAGGGCATCCTGGTACAATCCGACCTTCCCCGGCTCGAGACGAGAGAGGCTACTGTGCTGGATGAGCTGTTCACAAAAGTCGACGCCGCAGGGCGATCCTGGCAGGGCGTGGATAGAGAGGAGAAATTCAGATTCCGCGTGAAAAGCACAGGCAGAGTAAAAGACCCGTGGTTCCCATGATTGAAGACTGCTTCTGACAGGGTCGCAGTCCGTCCTCCTACCGCCTCGAAAAGCGCAGCTACCAGACAGCGAGAAGGAAGAGTCCTCTTCGACCTCACTGCCTGTACTGCATTCGCCATTCTCGCCGCTCAGTACCTGTTCTCGACTTTATCCGGATGGCCTGATAGATGCGCAATGGATACAGAAACACCAGCACCTCGTACCGAGTATCATACTCAGCTTCTACACAATCACGACCGATCCGACGACTACAACACTACAAGACAATCGTCTGAAGAGCGACATTGCGGCGTTCAGGAGTGCACTGGTGGCATCAGGGTACAAGACCAAGTTGGCGGTGGTCTTGCTGGCAGACGACGACAGCACACCCGCGACGCAAGCCACCGGGCTACAGGAACGCCTCGAGAACATTCGTCGCGGATCAGGCCTTGATCCCAAATCGCTATTCTATATCCCGCCACAGGGGTCACCCGGCGAGCTGAAGAATGTGATGCTCAATATCCTGTCTGCCCTCTACGGGCCCGCCGTGGAATACTATCGGGACCTGGGACGCCACGCGCGGAAGAAGAGATCCCGGGGCATCGCGCCGCAACCGACAGTGCCGCCGACCTCGGGCACATCGCGGACGCTGGAATTGGCCGGTTGGAACTTCCGGTACGATTTCAAGTCGGCCGTTCTGGGCGAGTTCCGCCAGGAGTACGACGCTGCGATGAAATCATATGAGCAGGCGTACGAAGTGCTCCTCGGACCGGACGTCCTGGACACGATCCCGAGCTGGAGCCCCCGATGGAACGAGGCGCGTCTGCTGGCGGATATTATTGCCATCCGCTGCCTGCGGTTGCACTTCTGGCTACGGCAGACGAGCCTCGCTGTGAAGAGATGGCAGGCCCACCGCGACCGGTTGGCGGACTTTGTGGAGCGACGTGGACACGGCACCGACAACTACGGCTGGCAGGCCTGGGAGGCGAGGTGGGCTTTGGTCATGGCCGATCTCATGGACAAGGTCGAGCTCCAGGGGTTGGAGCCTGAATCGGGCGCCATGTTTCTGCCCCCGGATAAAGCCGTCCTTGGCGATCGACTGCAGCCATTTGAGCTCCTACACCACAAAGGATACTGGTATCGCACCGCAGCGAGAGCCCTCATGGCCCGACGGCGACTAGCTGCGCGTATTCGGGAGGAGGATAGATCACCACCTGACCAGAAGGGCAAGGTCTTCAGCTACGATACATATTTGTGCCCCATGCCCTACGAGGAGAATCCACTGGAGGGCCAAGGCACGAACCATGCGCAGCTCATTGTGGACTGTCTTCTCGAGGCGAAAGCACAATTCGAGGCGCGAAACCAGCTGAGGATTGCGTCAGAGTTATCGTTGGAATGTGCACGTGAGTTTTCTCGGATGAAGAAGTGGCAGGACGTCTTGTCCATTCTACGACCGCTCTGGGAAAGTCGAGTCTTCCGATCCGAGGGGTGGCATGGCGCTTCCGAGGATCTGTGCTGGTTAATAAGGAGAGCTGCGGCCGCCGAACGGAAAGCAGACCTGGTGGTTGCCGTGGACTGGGAGCTGATGAGCAAGCAGTTTGCTCAGAGACCGCAATGGTCCTATGACTTGTCCCGGTCCCTGGAGGGAATCGAGTTGACAGACAAGCCCACTGTCTCGCTGACAGACGACCAACATGAGTCCTTTGTGGATGCCTCCTTTGTGTTTCGCAACAAGGAGAGCAGAGCGGGTGACCATTGCAGCGCGCAGCTATCCTTAACCTCCAATGCTCTGGCTGGCGCAGCACCCTTGGCACTAAGCGAGATCAAGATCACCTTTGATGGGAGTCTCAAGCCCATCGTTCTCAGCCACAAGGCTGGCAGTGGGAGCGACGGGACGTTCCTCAAATCCGCAACGACCTTGTCGGAGCAATTTGACGAGAACTCGGAAGACGGGCTGCCGTCCCTGTTGAAGGGTGACGACGATCTCACCCTCGTGCCAGGAAGTACCCGGGTATACGAGCTGAGCATTCCACTGCGGGAGGCTGGAGAGATCTCTGCGGCATCTCTCGAGCTAACATACAGAGGCGAGCAGTTCGACATGACGTACGGCATGAAGCTTGGTCGAGCTAGTCAGCCGCGTGGATGGTACAGGGACGGCTTCAAAAGACCGTTCCATGCACGCGATGATGCACACACGCTGCAAGTGCAGCCTCGGCCGCCGAAGCTGGACATTCAAGTCCTTGAACCGCGCAACCAATACTACGCCAATGAGCCCATCAAACTCAAAGTCCAGCTGGACAACGCCGAGGCCGAGGTTGCTTCTGTCAAGGTGGATGTACACCTGTTTGGCCAGAAAGCGCCCATCTTCACGCTCTCTAGTAATGGGGAGGAGGAGGAGCAGACGGCCAGCGTGGCGGAAGCAGAGTCGAAGATCACCGGCTTCTCGCTGGGCAAGCTGGAGAGCGCGGCAACGTCGGACCTCAACTTGGCGATGGAGCCATTGGACGCCCCGACGACACTTGACCTGCATGTGCGCGCGACATATCACCTGGACTCAGACCCTGCCACGCCGATCATGCAGATGCTTCCGGTGCAGCTTGCTATCGTCAGCCCGTTTGAGGCCAACTACGACCTCGTGCCGCGATTGCACCACGATCCATGGCCTAACCTGTTTGACCACGAGAACATTGTCACCGGGGACGAGGCGTCAAAAGCGGCGACGGCTGCCAAGGGCATTGCGCAAGCGTGGTGCCTGATATGCCACTACGCCTCGTTTGCCGAGGAAGATCTCAGAGTTCTGGGCATGGAGATGAAAGTCGCCCCCAGCGCGGGCCATGCACGCTGTGACGTGGTCAAGCAGCACCCGATCCCCGCCGACGGTGTAGTGATGACACCCAAGACGATGGAGGAAGCTCGATTTGAGTTGACGGCCCAGAAGATGAGCCTGGACGACCGGCAGCCTGTCTCGGTGGACGTGTCCATCGTCATACAGTGGCAGCGGCAGGACGAGCAGGATCAGCCTGTCAACACGACGGTCATGGCAGCGGGCCAGTATCTGGTTCTGAGCACTGAGCCACGCGTGCTGGCCTCTGTGTTCGAGATGCCACCAGCGGCCGCCGCCGCCACTGCACCGGATGACAGCCTGATGCACCTCGACATTACCATTGAGAACCCATCGGCCCATTTCCTGACCTTTGGTCTGACCATGGAGCCGAGTGACGAGTTTGCCTTTTCGGGGGCCAAGCAGACGACAGTCCACCTGCTACCGATGAGCAGGCGGGCCGTGACATATCGCCTGCTGCCCTTGGTCCGGGGCACCTTTGTGCGGCCGGGTCTCGTGGTGAGAGACAAGTACTTTCAGAAGATGCTCCGCGTCATTCCGACGGAGGGTATGAAGATTGATAAGGATGGGTTGTTGGTGTGGGTTCCGCCGGGCGAGAACGAGGAGGAGGAAGAGGAGCCATGAGGTAGATGAATAGATGCTGCATTGAAGTGGCCACAGTCGTGTCACATTATGAGTATAGACGCTGGTGTAGGGTAGTTCGTCTTCATCGCTACGAGCTCATGATCCAAGGTATCTTCCAAGCATCCACTCTGTGAGAGGCTGAATAACGCAATCGACCCCTGGGGTCCAAGTGCTAGAGATGACCTCTGAGTCACACAATGCAACGAGAGCCGCGCTCGCGGACAAACAACTCGTCGCACATTGAAGGAGGCCGACCTCACTGCCTCAGCCCTACGGCCGTGCCAAGCCAGTACAGTAGCTCGGAATTGCGACCTGGCCTATGCGTCGGCACTCGGACAACTACCAAGTCCGCGCGCGCGCACGATGGGGGGCCCTCCTGGGTGACTAGCAGATCTCACGATGCCGGCAAACTCTTGCCGGCCGGTCTAGACTCGAGAGTGCGAACAGCCAATCCAGACACGCAGGATCATTGCTTCTGACGGACGGCCACTGCTAATAGTAGCTGGCTCTGATTACCCAGGTAGGGGTGGGATGAGTGATGACAGCTACATCTCGCGGACTTTGTCTCGTGAATCCGGCCGAGCTCAATCAATCGTCGTGATTGATCGCTGCAGTCAGAATGCCGAGCTGGTGACAGGAGATGAATTGGTTCCACATCCATTGGCGATAACTGTAATTGGATTAAGGTATATAGCAGACTTTGCGCTACCCGTTCTCATCTAACTCGCACCCTCAATCAGCTCCATCACCACAGCAAGCCTTCCACCAGCAAGGACACACATCACCATGTCGACGCACGACAAGGAGCCCGCGCCGACCCCCGTGGCCGAATCGGTGGCGGACGACAAGAGGACGAGCACGCCCGACGCGGCGGACGAGGCCGCGACCGTGTATCCCTCGGGCCTCAAGCTCACGCTCATCATCGTGTCGCTCTGCATGTGCGTGTTCCTAGTCGCGCTCGACCAGACCATCATCGCGCCGGCGCTGGGCGCCATCACCGCCGAGTACAAGAGCGTCAAGGACATTGTACGTTCGTCAGGAAGTGAGAGAGAGAACCAAATGCTAACGTGTCGCGCAGGGCTGGTATGGATCCGCCTACCTCCTAACCACCACGGCCCTGCAGCCCATGTACGGCGGCATCTACAAGCGCTTCAACGTCAAGCTCGTCTACCTGGGCGCCGTCTTCATGTTCGAGGTCGGCAGCCTCGTCTGCGGCGTGGCGCCCACATCTACCGCCTTCATCGTCGGCCGGGCCGTCGCCGGCATCGGTTCCGCCGGCCTCTTCTCCGGATCCATCGTCATCCTCTCGCTGTCCATGCCCCTGGCCAAGCGCCCGCTCGCCTTTGGCCTCATTGGCGGCATGTGGGGGATCGCCTCGGTGGCCGGGCCCCTGCTGGGCGGCGCCTTTACCGAGCACGCCACCTGGCGCTGGTGCTTCTACGTCAACCTGCCCATCGGCTTCCTCGCCATGCTCATCGTCTTCTTCTCCCTCCAGGTGAACCGCAACGACGCATCAGCCGCCAACCAAAAGCCCTTTGTCCGCCGCATCCTCGAGCTCGACCTGCCCGGCACCGCCATCTTCATCCCGGCCATCATCTGCCTGCTGCTCGCCCTGCAGTGGGGTGGCGCGGACTATGCGTGGAACAGCGCGACCATTATCGGGCTGTTCTGTGGGTTTGGCGCCATGATTGCCATCTTTGTCGGTATCCAGTTGTGGCAGGGCGACAAGGGCACCCTGCCCCCGAGGCTATTCGCCAACAGGGACGTCTTGTGCGCGATGCTCTTTGCCATGTTCTTTGGCGCGGGCTTCTTTCCGCTCATCTACTACCTCTGTGAGTGCACATATACCTGGACTTGACTTGAGATGAATGCTAACAGCCGTCAGCTCTGTACTTCCAGGCCATCAAAGGCGTCAGCGCCGTGCAGGCCGGCATCAAGATCCTCCCGCTTCTCCTGTCGACGGTGCTCATGTCCATCATGTCGGGCGTCATCATCACCATAACAGGCTTCTACAACGTCGTCATCATCCCCTGCATGGCGCTCTTCACCGTCGGCGCCGGCCTGATCACGACCTGGGACATTGACACGCCCCTGCGCGAGTGGTTCGGCTACCAGGTCATCGCGGGCCTGGGCATCGGCGCCGGCTTCCAGGTGGGCGTCCTGGTCGTGCAGACGGTGCTGCCGCAGGAGTGGGTGCCCGTCGGCACGGCCTGTGTGCAATTCTTCCAGGCGCTCGGCGGCGCCGTCTTCATCGCCGTCGCGCAGACGGTCTTCCAGAACGGCCTGATTGACAAGATCAACGCGGACGACATTGGCCTCGACCCCCGCATCTTCATCAACAGCGGCGCCTCGGAGATTAAGAGCGTGCTCGAGCGCATGGGCCGCGTCGACGCCCTCGACACCGTCCTGGAGGCGTACATGAGCGGGTTGCGGAACACCTTCTACATCAGCGTCGCCTGCGCGGGCATGGCCTTTCTTTGCGTGCTCGGGCTGCGGTGGAAGAGCGTCAAGAAGGGGCCCGGGGCCAAGAAGGAGGAGGTTGTCCCTGAGGGCGGTGCATGAGCCTCGTGTTCTGCTGGCGATGCAGTGGCCAGCACTGCCTCGTCTTTGTGTGTAATTTTGGTATATAGTTTAATATCGCCACACATCCACCATGACTACCATGGAGAATATACTTCGTCGTCCTCATTGAGTGTCGTCCGGCGGCTGGTCCCAGGACTTGCGTGCCCTTGTCGTCCTCCTCGTGGCAGGTCGATCGCCGCCCACAAAGTGAATGACCCAGTCCTTGACGCGCCTCGCCTTGTCCAGCTGGGGATCCAGGGCCTGTTTCCTGGACACCATGTCCCGTCGGGAGTAGAAGCCACCGCCGTTCTTTCGCCAAAGGAGGTTGACCTTTGTGAGGCCCTTTCGCAGGCTTTGCCCGTATACCTTGTCTCGGAAGACGTTGAGAGCCACGTTCCGGATCAGAACGACATCCTGCCGTCGCAGGTTAGCCAAGACGCTGGCGGGGATGGAGTCGCCGCCGAGCCAAAAGGTGATGCCAAAGCCAGACTTTGTTTCGTCGCCGACAAGGAGTTCCACCAGCGACAGTTGGCGTCCGTACCGGGTAGTCACGGTGCGCGGCTGGGCGATGGATATGATGCCTGCGATGAGGTTGACGGTGATGGTGGCCGGCACGAGGGAGAGGATGTTCTTTGGAGACGGTATGTCTTCTACATCGGATAGGTGACAGGGCGGTAAGGGTGTCTTGGGAAACGACGATGATGTGTGGTCCGACGTTGCAGTGAGGAAGGATGTCTCATCTAGAGAAGCGCTGGTGGTGGTATCCGCTGCCGATGGCTCGTGGTTCGCCAATGAGTGTTCACAGAATGAAGTGAGCACGTCTTCTTCGCCTGTCTGCAGGCTTGCGCTCTCATCAAAGGAGAGAGTCGCTGCTGTGAAGAAATCGTTGGGCTGCGTCCGGCTTGCCGGATGGTGCATCTGTGAAAAGGCGAGTCCAGTTCTTAGTGGTCTTGTTTCGAGACTGAGGGAGCGCCATGGTGCGTATGACTGCTTTGGGGAGGGCGGTTTTGTGATGGACGGGGTGTTGGGACCAAGGAATCTCAGGAGGTCGCTGTTGACGGTGCTGATGGTGCAGGTTGACTCGGTGACGGCGGAGGCTGTTGGGGCGCCGGCGAACAAGATGATCTTGGGCGGCATATTTATTGTCTGGCGGCCAGCCAAACCATTTCACCCCTGGGGGTGAAAGTGGTGAGTGAGGTGGTTTGGGTTTGGGTTAGGGGCAGGGCGGGATTCGGGACTTGTTTAGACTACCCGGTACAAGCGTGGAGACCCGGTCCAAAAGCCGAGGCATTGACACCAACTCCATCATCACCACCACCCACATCCATCCCCAGCCTCATGTTTCCGACGTGAGATATCAATCGTTCGGGGGCTCCCCAGCATCCACTAGACGTCCCATTCACGACATCATGCCTTCTATCTTCGAATCCAAAGAACATGTACTCCCAACCTCGCATCTCCGCGAGTTCGCGCGCGCGACATCTCACACACAGACAGACACCCTCGTACAACATGTGAAGCAGTACATCCCCCGGGACAATCCCTCGCCACAGAAGGGGGACATCACCATCATTGGCGCCCATGCAAACGGCTTCCCCAAGGTACACAATCACATCCCTCCTTGATCACGTCAGGAAGGCTGACCATGCATAGGAACTCTACGAACCCCTATGGGAGGACCTCCACCACGCGCTCAAGGCACAGGGCATCAACATCCGGAGCATCATCATCGCCGACGCAGCATGGCAGGGCCATTCCGGCGTCCTCAACGCCGCCAACCTCGGCAACGACCGTATGCCCACCCTCTAGGCTCACAGTCATCCCAGTCCACTGACAACCCACAGCCAGCTGGAATGACCTCGCCAACGACCTGCGCCATCTCATCAACACCCTCCGCCCGCCACCGCCCCTCTTCGCCATCGGCCACTCCCTCGGCGCCGCCGCCCTCACCACCCTCTCCCTCAACGGCGCCCCACGCCTCTTCGCCGGCATGATCCTCATGGAACCCGTCATCCAGCAGTACGCCTCCAGCCCCGGGCCCCAACAGCACTCCCCGGCCGCCATGTCCGCCAGGCGCCGCGACACCTGGCCCGACAGGCAGACCGCCCTGGCCGGCTTTCGCAAGTCCCCCTTTTACGCCGCCTGGGACGACCGCGTGCTCGATCGCTGGGTGCAGTTCGGCCTGCGCGACAGCGACGACGGCCAGCAGGTCGTCCTCACGACGACCAAGCATCAGGAGGTCTTTACGTTTCTACGGCCCGCCTGGCGCGCCTACGACGCCAGCGGCGACAAGATCCTCAAACCAGAGCTCGTCCCGGACATTGACCACCGCGTCGACCCGGACACGGGGTACAAATTCACTTATCCCCTCTACCGACCAGAACCACCAGCCGTCCTCGCGAGACTACCCCATCTCCGTCCACCCGTGCTCTACGTGTTTGGCCTCCAGAGTCCCATGTCGCCCGAGGTCCTGCGCGACGAGAAGATGCGTCTGACGGGAACAGGCATCGGGGGCAGTGGTGGGGAGCGCGCGGGCATGGTGAAGAAGGCGGAACGGGACAATGGTCACTTGATACCGCTCGAGGCACCCGGGTACTGTGCACAGGAGGCGTCCGCCTGGATCAGGGAGCAGATGCAGCGGTGGTGGGCGCAGGAGAGAGAGTACGAGGAATGGACGAGGCTTCCCCAGAAGGACAAGTCGACCTTGTCTGCTGAGCACCTCAAGATGCTGGGGGTGAAGGAGAAGGCCAAGATCTAATTCATCAATTTGGGAGGCTACAGAAACTAACTAGACCAAATATCACATCAAAAACCAAACTGATAAAGACCACACACGCTCGTATTCGCTCCGACTTCTTGCCGCTGGGCGGGGTTAAATATAATACATGGTATCGGTCAGATTGGCGTGGATCGCTGTGGCCTGCCCGCCGCTGCGCTGGGTGCTCTCGCTCGTCATGCTCGCCGAGTCGTCAAAGAACTCGGGGCGGTGCGCACGCGCGCGCTCGCAGACAATGTCCGCGTAGTATGCCGGTGGACAGATGCTGATCGCCTTTGTCGCGCGGCCAAACAGGTAGCACATTTCGTGCGTCAGCTTGATTAGCTCGTTGGCCGCCTCGGCCTTGTGCTTCGGGCGGAAGATCTCGTCGAGGAGAACCATGTAACGTCCTGGGCGGGCGGTGCCCTGCAGCGCCGCGTGGGGGACCAGGAAGAAGTCCCAGAAGCGCGCTTGCGTGACGCCACGGTCAACCATAGTGCCGCAGGCGACGTTGCCCGTCTTGGTCTGCTTGCCGTCCTCGGCCGGGTAGAAGCGCGTCTGGTGACGCTTGACAGAGACGACAATGGTCAGCTTGGGTATAGCCTTGCCGCAGACCTGCGTGCAGGCCTGACGGATCTTGGGCAGTTCCTTGTCGAGCACCTGCTGGTACTGTCCCTCGGACACACCGTCGCGGTAGATCACAATCTGCTTGGGCACCTTCTTGTTCGCCTTCTGCCACAACTTGAGGTGGTGCACAAAGGTTTGCGTGAGGCGATCGTCGAGCATCTCCTGGCGTGCTTGTTGCTCCCAGACGGTCGAGGGCCACTGTCCGAGCTCCTTGTCCACGCTGGAGACGACGCCCACCAGACTGGGAGGGCTGTCCTTGCCAGCCTTAGCCGCTGGCATGTTCGTCGGATGGGTCACATCATAGCCGATAATCATGGTCGCCTCCTCTGGCTTCAACGTCTTAATATCCTCCGCCAATTTGTGGTTGATGCCGCCAGCCTTGAGATTCCACTTCAGCGCGCAGTTGGCAAAGTAAGCCTCGGGCCGCCAGGACGCGTCCATGGCGCCGCCGCCCCTGGGCAGGAACTTGCTGGACACCATGCAGCTCGTGTGGATCCCGTACTTGCAATCGCCGTACACCTTGATGCGGTTGTACACGCCGGACTTGTCCTCCTTGGGGGAGAAGACAAAAAGAATGAACCCAATCTGCTGGCTCTGCACCCACTGGAACAGCCTGTCTAGCCCATCGCCGTGCAAGGCGGCATCCGTCTGCATGAAATGGGCTGGAGCGGAGGTTGGGGGGCCAATGTCGAGCCCCGTGGCCTCTGCTACCTGCGCGAATCGGTTGACTGCAGTCGGCATATCCGCCGTCGGTTGGCGAGGGCCAATTTCGCACCACGTCCACTTGTTCACTTTGCCGCCCTTGTGTACCTGGACACCTTGCATGTTCCAGCTGCCGTCCCGAGGGTTGATCTTGGTGTTGGCTCCCCCGCCGCGGTACTGGATCTTGGGAGCATTGAGGACCCGAGCGTCGATGGCCAAGAGGTTCTTGGCAACAGTGATGCCAAATTTGGCCAGGTAAGGGTCGTCCAGGCACAACACCTGACGGCTGGTGTCCTCCAGGATCCGTGCGTTCACCTGAGGCTTCTTGCAGGCATGAAGCAGCATCTTGGACGTCTCTGTGCCGTTCAGTTTGGCCTTGACGGGTTGTCCGGGCTCGATCTCGATAAGCTCCGCCGGGAAGAAGCTTGGCTTCTGAGCATTGCCTAGGTCGAGAAGGGGATAGTCGCCCAAGGTCATGTTGTACTTGGTCTTGAAGTGGTCAAAGACAGACACCCACTTACCCTGGCCATTCTCCTCCAACCAGAACTGGACCTGGCGGGGCCCAGCAAACTCCATGACTTTTGTGTCAACTCGTGGAGGGTGATCGCCCTGTTTCGACATTTTGAACTTCGATACCAGCGCGTTGATAGCCTTCATCTTGGGCACCTTCTTAAGGCTGCCAGCCTTCTTTCCCTGGACCATCATCGTCACCTTGACCCGTGTCTTGGGGAGGATCTTGGCCGCATTGCGAAGGAGGAGTTTCTGCTCCCAGGATAGCTTGGTAAAGTCCAAGCCACGGAGGCTCAGATTGTCGAATATCCTCGTCAAAGGGCCAGAGGCTTTGAAGACGCCGCAGGTGACGTTGGCGTTCAATAGCAGACGGCCCGTTCCGATGCGTGCGGACTGGAAGAATCCGCGAGAAGCAACGAGCGGTCGTGCATCCCGGAGTTCGTATGGGTTGCTGCTGAACAAGTCGACCTCGGACGCAAGGGGGTTGCCAGAACCGATGGGGAAGAAACGTGCGCTTCCCACAGCACTGATGCCACTCAGATTGGTCCGCGGGGTGTGACCCAAAATGACGTTGAGCACATCGATAGATTCGGGATATCGGGGAAACAGATGATCGTCAGAGCTGTGGTCCTGGGCGGTTAGGTAATTCGAAAGCTGCTCCATGTCGACCTCCGTCGGCCCGTTGATGGTAGCATGGTAGACATCAACGCCCTCGCCATCCTGCCAAGGCAGCTCAATGCGGACCGGGCCGGCCTTCAGATCCAGCTTCTTTGTCGAGACCAGTTGCGACTTGTATTCAGTCGCTGCGACGGATTTTGTACCCTCAAGTGTCTTGACAAGAGCATCCAGGACGAGATGAAGCTTGCGGCCTTTGACTTCCTTACCTCCTTTGGACCCTTCCTTGACCTCTGACACATCGACCGTGTATTTCCAGAATGTCGATTTGCCGACAGAGATTGGGAAATAATTCGCCCAGACGACCACCTTGGTCCCGTCGGTGCCAAAGGCAGGCCGCAACGGGAAGACGTCACTGCCAACACTCTTCTTGTCGAGACTGGTAGATGCCAACGCACGGGTTACGGCACCCACTCCGATCAGGTCATCTTCGAGAACAGCGATTTGCTGGTCCGGGACGGCAGAGCCGTGTGGGCTGTTATGGTTAGCAGGATGGCCAATGCCAATCGAAGGGTTTAAGAGAGGGAGGCTGACCTCTTGTAAGGTAGCAACTCCTCCGGGTTAGAAGCACCCCGACCGCCGCCTCGCCCTCCTCGGCCACCGCCTCCGCGACCACGACCGCCGTCAAAGCCGCCTCGTCCACGGCCACCGTCGAATCCACCACGGCCGCGACCGCGTCCGCCAGATGCATGGTCACCGCGTCCTCCACATCCGGCGTCTGGACCAACCCTGCCGCGACCTCCTCCGTCGAAGCCGCCGCGTCCGCCGCCGCGTCCGTCGCCGCGACCTCCACGTCCACGGCCTCCGCGATCAGCCATGTCAAAAGCGCGTGAAGCTAGTTCCTTTTTGTGTGTAGCGAGCAAGTCCCTGGTTAACTGTGCAGAACTGATGCAATGTAATATGCTTGTATGAAATGGAAGGTAAGAGTGAGTCGGTTGAAGAGTATCAGCCCTCTGTACTTAGGTGTGAGAGCGTCGTGAGCAAGGGGACCTTCGTCGCGCAGAACACGACAGCAAGCTGTGCGACAGAGCTGCTTCCAAGATTCTGCAAGGTGTCAGCGATCAAAGATGGGCAGAGAGGAGGCAAAAGAAGGGAAGAGAGAGACAGAGTCAAGTACCTTGGGTACGTGCGCTCCTTGACCGGCCTCCGGCAGGGTGCATACACTGTGTGACGCTAAATGTTAGCAGCGAAACGGGAGCTGGAAGCTAAGGTGTTGCTTGACGCGCGGATGATGTAGACTACGGAGTGCGGAAACTCAGGTAGAAATGCACTTTAAATCGTGAAGGGGGCGCCCACGCTGCAGTGAATTGGGCAGCTGGTCGTGGGTAGAAGCAAAGAAAGCCCAAGCTGAGACTGAGGTGAAGCTGATGGGTGCTCTGAGCTTCAGCCTTCACCGCCCACTGCATCTGTACAGCATAGGTAACCAGGGAAGGCACCCCTGCTGCAGCTGCTGCAGCCTGCTGCGCGCTGGCAGTTGCCCGTACCACCGGCTCGGGCTTGGCTGTGATTCGTGAATTGCGCCTATAGTGGGTTCCAACAGTACGTACATCTTCATTCGCCTGCAATTTGATTACCCGGTACGTATCTAATCATTTTAATTAAAGCTTCAGGTCCAACATTCTCTCACATATTCTATTGTATTAATATCATGGCAACGGACAGCATGCAATATCGACGAAGCAAGTGCCACAGAACGCGATCTGCGCAAATGCTACATCTCACGGAGCTGTCCAGCCTGCGTCTACCACACAATTCAAACACTGTCCTCCTTCAGAGCCACACAGCTTCAAGGGGGACCTAACCCCCTCAAAGACAAAGGTAAAATGCGACATTCATGTTCCATGTGACGGATGAATTGCAGCTTGACGAATATTAAATCTGTACGGCCAAAAGGGCGCTGTCAAGCGCTTGATCGGTGAACAAGGCAGGCCCCTTTCCGACGTTCAAAGGTGAATCAGCATTGTCTGCATCACAAGAAGCTACCCGCGCTACGTATGTCTCTTTTTCTTCTGAAAGCTTGCAATATGACTTTAACTTGATGCGCTCGACACGCTCGGTCGTACGACGTTTACTCTTACATATGCCACCAATCCATCACCTTCACGAGAAACAGAGGCCGTCGAACTCGCTTCGGAATCTCAAGCAGACCGCGACACCCTCAGAAGCCTGGACATGTGCATCGACAAGGCCATCTATCGCTTCTGCGCCTGCAGCCTCTTCCGCTGCCGCGTCAACATCCAGATGATCTTCACTGACCCCGATACAGGCATCACCATCCGAGGGCAGGGCAGACACAGCGTCTGACTACAGCTTGGTCGCAATGCAAAGCAGCAAAAGACATGTTCGGCCGCGATGAATACTCATGCCGCAGCATGTCCAATCTCAAATACGTTGTCAAGGCGGACAGTGACATTGCTTGGCTGTGTGGACCGTGTAGGGCCAACGGCCACGTCTCACGCTCCGATGCTGGGCAAAGGGTACGAGGCTGTGACGCACCAGCAGACCCTGAGTCAGGATACAGCTCTCCCAGAGGGGAACGCACAGACAATATAAGACTGGGCGGTTCGAGGCTTCAAGTGAATCAGTTGTCTTCGCCGGTTCTATCGCTGTCTCCGATAGACGAGAGCCTGATCAGCCCATGGATCATTCCGCTTGGGCCGGAAATGTCTGTGGGAAAAGGGTTCGAAGAGTATGTGCATTGTCCCACGCCGAGCTACGTGCTCTCAAAGCAGCATAGCCTCACTCTAGACCTCATACCTCAGATCAGCCTCGAAGGCTTGCTGGTTGAGCCCTTGCCAGAGCGATATATCTGTGCGCGCCAACGGTTGGTATGAACGTACTGTGAGCATACAACAATAATCACGTATCCTGTACGTTTAGCTCACGGCTAGAGAAACACATTCACATTGATAAAGTCTTCATATGAATCGCAATCCTCAGGTTCGAAAACTCCGTCAAGCCCTCCTCGCGCGGCACGCTCTGTTGCTTCACATACGAGACATGATCGCTCTCTGGGGGTCCGAGATACTTCATTTCTGTGCCGCCAAGGTCCAGGACAATCTTCTCCATGGCCACGTTCAAACTGCGGAAGCGGATTTCAAAAGTGTGGCTGCCGGGCTTCACCTTGCCGACATTATGTCTGTTCTTCCAGACGTAGTTTTGAGCTGCCGATGTCCAGCCGTTGGGATACGAGCCTGAGCCATCCTTGGTCATGCGGTGAGTCGATATATCGCCGCCATCCCAGCGAGTGTCGTACTGCATCTTACTGTTCGGGTCTGCCTCCAGCGTCATGTGGAAATGTACCTCAACACTCGCGTTGTCGCCCGTGGTGAACGTGTGCATATCGTACTTGAGGAAGGGGATGGCCTTTGGCTTACTAAAGTCATAGCTGTTGGGCAGCGTGACCGAGCCACCGTCCTGACGACCGAGGATGGGCAGTTGGATATAAGGCGCCGTAACCCACTTTCCAGGGTTGATGGACACGTAGCTGTCATTTTGGACGAAGCCAGTGAAGCCCTCAGGAGCCTGATACTTTCGCACTTGCATCCTGACCTTCTCGTATCCATCGACACTTCCGATGATTTCGATAAAGATCTTCTCGTCAAACTTGTCGGGCACATCCTTCCAGTCGACCGTGACGTGAATCCGTATGTCTTCGTCGTCAGGGTTCAGCGTGCCGCTGTACTGCGTTAGCTTAAGCCACCCGTATTGCGGCTTGGCCTCCCATGTGAACCCCTTGGTACCGCGATGGAAGATTTCAAAGTACTGATCCTGAGGTCCATAAGGGCTCATGGGCCGGAGAGTAACACCAGGTTCCAGCCACAGACGGGAAGGATGTGTGCGGTCAACGTCTTCGTTGATGATGCCGGGGTTGACGCCGGTGTGGCCCTCGACTGCCACGCCCATTTGACCAACACTGGGATTCGAGTCGACATTGGCTCTGACCCATGATAGCCCATCGATCATGTCCCGCGATGGACCAATGACATTGGAGCCATAGCCATAATGGGGCTGACGCAACATATGGTTCCATTTGCCATCCAGCAGGGAGTGATATTCACGAGTGAGGACATCGTCAGCGTCGAAGAGACGCAGGCACTCGTGTAAAAGGGGGTTCGTGGTATTGCGTCGTTGCTTCCCGTAGAGTCGATTCTTGGTCTGGGTCATGCGCAAGTTGTTGTAGATGTAGGAGGCCTTGATAGGGTGGACAACAAGCTGGAAGAAAGCTGGCTTCTGGACCGAAGAAATCTCAGCATAAATGGTTTCGGCTTCCTTGGTGAGTTCTGCCCACCGGCCGACGATGGTCTCAGCCTCACGATACTTGAGCACCGAGAATGTCTCGGCCTCAATCTGTTCGTGCTTTCGCAGTGCTATGAGCCGTTCGAAGCCATACCAAAGGTCCGCGATTCTCTGCGCATACTTGTCGCCAAATTCCCGCTCGGCAAGCTTTTTGAAAAACTTGGGGAACCCATCCGCAGGAATGGAGTCAATGTCCCAGGCAAAGTCAAATGCAAAGCTCAAGGGGAGCTCTTGAGGCTTCAGGTCTCCCACATTGAAGACCCAAATTTGAGTGGCACCCTGATCGTAGCCAAGTCGCAGTTGGTGCCACACTTTCCCCTGGACCGAGTCAGCGACGAGATTCAGTCATCCTACGGACTGTCTTACCAAAGTGTTGCTGTTCATCCAGCGATAGCTCCGAGGACCTCCAGTGTACTGGAAGTGGTAGTAATACTGTATGGTTAGCATCCACATTCCATAGTGTGCAGTGTTACACGTACTCCTAGGCCTCCTTTTCTCTTCCTCTCCTCCGCAGTCGGGAGCCTTCTGAGAGAACCATTGTTGTCATCAGCGAACAACAATGTCATGTCATCTGGAATCTCCAGGCCCTGCTCATAATAACGTTGAACCTCGTTGTAGAGCGCCATCAGCTGCATCTCGCCGTCTTTTTTGCCGTACTTGTCTTTGATAATGCCACGCTGGACCTTCAAGATGTCGGTCAGCGTGGCAATGGGATCATCGCTACTAAGTGCGCCGTCGCCCTCAGCTCTCATGCCCATTGTGATATAGGACTCATAAGGGACAGCTCGCTCTGCGCCAAACTCGAAATAGTCCGTGATCTTTTCGCGATTGGTATCCCAGCGCCACGTGCCACCAGGCTCGTTGGCCGACCACTCGTTCATGGCTCGCTGCATAGGCTCGTGATGTGAGGTCCCTACCACGATACCGTAGTCATCCGCGGTCTTCTGGTTCTCCGGGTCGTCGACAAAGAATGATCGTCCTGGCTGAGGGTACCCTCGCCACATGGCCGGCCACAAGAAGTTGGCTTTGAGACGGAGGAGGAGCTCGAAGATGTGCTTGTAGACCCTGGTATCGAACTGGTTGGACGGACCGAAGTACTCGGCAAACCACGTGTCCATGCCCGGAGCCTCATCGTTGATGAAGATGCCGCGATATTTCACACTGGGTTCTCCATTCTTTGTCGTCACTGGAAGGGCATATATCTCCCAGTGCTGCTTGGGCGGAACGTCAGCCCACCAATGCCAGCTGTGCGGGTTAGCACAGAAGAATTAGAGTGCCACTGCAACTCACGGAGAGATTCCAATTTGCTGCGAGAGTGAGTATGCACCAAATATTGCACCTCGCTTGTCACTACCAGCAATGACCAGGCCATAATCGTAGTCATCCAGTGGCTCATCGACGCATGAGGTGATCCACGATTCCCACTTCCCTTGGATGTCGGAGACATTGATCTTGCCCGCATCTGCCAAGGACTGGATCGTGGAGGATTTTTCCAGAGTTCCTACAATAATGCAAACTTTGGAGGACTTTCGTGCCGACCGGTCCACCTTCTGATGCCTTCCCTGGGCGGTCACCTTGTCGAAGTCTGCTGTCAACGCCTCGACAGCTATGTGCACGCCCTTGTAGTCCTCGTCATCAACAATAAGGTCAGCACCAACAAGGCTGAAGCCCTCGCCAGCTTCAAAGGCAACAATCTGTTCTTCGAACATGGTGCAAGGACGAAACCGTGTGTGGCTTAAATTGAAGTTGGTCAAGAATGGCTGCTATTCAGGAGTTGACAGCTGATACGCGGTACCCAGCTATTCTTATGCTGATTTAAAGGCCTTCGAACAAGCTGTCAAGAGTTTTTGGATGGCGCACGACTCGACTCACGGGTGTGACAGCGAACCCTTTGCGTATATGGTTGTTCCTGGGGTAGTGTGGTACCGAGGAGCTGGTGACCGCCACAGATGGAGTGTGGATGGACCCTCGTGATGGAAGACGGTGCTCGCTCGAGAGCACGAGAGGTACGAGGAGCGACGGTGATCATTGCCCCAAGTTCCCCGCACACCAGGCAGATGGTGACGCCACGGATCGCAACTTGGAAATAGCGTCCCGCAACATGCCCAAGTTCCTGCAAGCTGGAGTGCGTTTCACGCGTCCTTGATATGGCCGGCTGTGGCTACAGCTAGGATTTCATCTTCGAGGCCATCAACAAGGACGACCTGGATCCCCGCGTCTTCCAGCATTTTGCGCCCCGGGTTTTGCCCAACAAAGGTCTCGGGCTCCTGAACACCAACATAGACCGTCTTGATCCAGGAACTCTGTCGGATGACCCTCTCCACACAGGGGAGGTTGCCACTCAGGCGCTTGAAGCAAGGCTCCACGGTCGTATACAGGGCATGAGGCCCCGTGATGGCCTTGGCCAGGCCCTCTTCTGTGGTCGAATGCTGCTCTGCCAGTTTGATAAAACAGCATTGTTCCGCATGTGTATTTCCAGGAAGCTCAAGGGTGTATCCCTGCGCTATGGTGGACAGATCGCTCTCTCTGATGATCATAGCTCCTACCCTGAAGTTTGTCGGTTTGGGAGGTGACTTGCGAGCGAGCTCCAAGCATTTGGCCATGCAAGCTTTGTGTTGGCTTTCCACTTGCGCTTCCATGATGACTGCGTCCTGGTCTGTCAATGCGAGCTAGATCTAGCCTGAAGTAATTGGTGATTGGTGAGTGTTGAAGTTGCTACATAACACCGCATGACTTGACGCCGCACTGCACCCGTTCCGCATAGTGGCATGCCTTGCCCCGCCCTATTAAGACCCTGCTCCACCAAAACTCCAACGCGTTGCTTGACGCGTCTCCCAGGAATTGCTTGTGCCATCTCCCATCAACTTGACACCCCAAAGACTTACAATGTCAGACCATGAAGACCTGCTCGAGGGTCAGCCGCCCTCCATTGACCCGTATGAGGTTCTTGACCTCGAAAAGACAGCATCAGAGGACCAGATCAAAAGAGCGTACCGCAAGGCTGCGCTGAAGCACCATCCAGGTGAGCCCAGCACCTGACCTCTTCAAATGCAACGTTGTTGACAAAGTGTGCTCCAGACAAGGCGCCCGCAAACCATCCTAAGAAGCTCGCTGCTGCCAACAAGGCTTTCCAGGAAGTCGCCTTTGCCTATGCAATCCTGTCCGACCCCAAGCGCCGAAAGCGCTACGACGAGACCGGTTCAACTTCCGATTCCATTCTAGACTCCGAAGGCTTCAACTGGAGCGACTTTTATCGCAATGCCTTTGAAGACGCCGTCTCGGCCGACGCGATTGAAAAGTTCCGGGCAGAGTACAAAGGTTCAGAGGAGGAAAAGGATGATCTGCTTCACTACTTTGAGTTATGCGAGGGCGATATGCGTCATGTCTACGAACATGTCATGCTCAGCGACATGACTGAAGACGAGGACCGATTCAGGGTGATAATCGACGAAGCAATCGCGAAGAGAGAGGTCCCGGCTTTTGGGAGCTACCACAAGGAGAGCGAACGACAGCGCGCATCACGGATAAAGAGGGCACGCGCAGCCAAGGCGCAGGAGGGCAAGGAGGCGGAGGAATACGCCAAGGAAATCGGCGCTCACGACAAGTTGTTCGGGAAGAGCAACAACAAGGAGAGCGCTGAGGATGGCCTCAAGGCCCTCATTCAGGCCAGACAGTCGTCCAGGGCTGGCGCACAGGATAGCTTCCTGGACAACCTGGCCGAGAAATACAGGGGCACTGCCAAGAAACAGAAGAAGGGAAATAAGCGGGCGGTCATGGACGAGCCACCCGAGGAAGCGTTTGCGGCAACGGCTGCCAGGCAGACGTCAAGGTCTTCGAAGGGGGATCCCGAGACGCCTAAGAAGCAGACAGGCAAACGTGTTAAGAGGTAGGGTGGTTGTTACGGTCCGCTGACGCTGGCGCAATGTGGATGGGGCGAGATACAACCGGGAAAATGGCATGGTGCTGTTGGCATGAGCGCGGGCTTTGCAGATTATCCTGAGCTAATGAATATAATGACATGAATGATGATCGATGATTTCCTAGGATCGCGCGACTTGAAGGTTATGTGCCCAAGCACCTACGGATACTCTGGTGCTGAGCTCGGCCGGTTTGTTTGTGGGGCAAAACTAGCGCTCCTCGTCCACCTCAATTCACGGTCCCTGGATCACCTTCATGATCATACCCAAATTTGGCCAGGACCTTGGAATCATGTGGTCTCGCTGATCAATATGAATCGATGCTTGAGATGATCGCGCCGCGTATGTCATGAGTATTACAACACGTCACGCGATCTACCCGCGATGCTGCTTTCACCTCTCGCCAACGCACAACGTCTGGTGCTTCCTGCGCGCAGTTGACATTTGGCGCCTGGAGCAGCACGCCGGGTTTGAGGGTACGCATTTGTTCACTTGTGGTGCTATACTATATTGACAAAGAATAGGTCAGGACTTTTATTTCCACCGCAACCTGCCAATACGATGGGCGCGCATTGTTGGTGTGGTTGTTGCTGTGGACGACTTCACAGGACGGCGCGTCTTCACCATTGACGACAGCAGTGGTGTCTGCGTGGAAGCCACTTCTTCCTACGCACCAGCGCCCAAATTCAACCTGGCAGAACCCAGCCATAGTGTCGCAGTCCGGGATAAGACTGCTGGTGCCCATTCTCTCAATCAAGGCGATGGCCAATCTTTCAAAGCTACATCGTCCTCACATGGCTTGCCGTTCCAAGAAACGGAAGTTGGCAGTGTCGTCGACATCAAAGGCAAGCTGGCTCTATTCCGTGGAGAAATCCAGTTGAAGATAGAGAAGATGGTCACAGTGAAAACCACAGCCCAAGAAGTCACCCTCTGGGAAAAGCGCAACAAGTTTCGGCGCGAGGTCCTGCACGCAGACTGGGTTCTAAGCGAAAAGGAGGTGCGCCGATGCCGTAAGGAGGCTGAGGACCCTGGAGCCCACGAACCACGCAAGGCGCAACGCAGTCACAAGTCCGCACAGAGGGCAGTGGCTGTCAAGCGTTCCTTGAAGGCCAAGTCGAAATTGAGACGCGAAATCACCGCCCATTCACCGGAAGAGGCTTGATGCACTGCCAGTCACCAGGTGGCCTACTGGCGTTGTGCGACTTCCATGTCGAGCGGCCACCTGGTCGCGAGAATCTCAACAACACTGCATGTGCTACCTAAGCCTCAGTGATTGTCGTTTACGAAAGGGCAAGCATGGCCGCAGCTTCTTCATCAAAGACCACACGGTCGAATGGTGCACTTGTACTACTACAGACCTGGTGCTGTTTCTGGGATATCTTGGTCCATGAAAGGCTCCACGCAGGAGTTGATGGCCAGCTTCCAACACTGCCTCGCCAGATATCCTTCCATCTTATGGAACGCCTCCAGTATCTCCAAATGGACAGTGAACGACTCGTGCCCAAGAGTCTTTGAGGAGTTCACTGTACTGGAACGGCAAACGCCCCACTCATGATGCGGGCGTGAAGGACAAGACGCATGGTTGAGGGCAGCTGGAGCCAGCCTTGGCCATGCTTGCTGACAGGCTGAATACAAAGTGCCCTCTTCACTGCTACGAAGCCATCCACAAGTGCTTAGGCTCCCGAATCAGCTGACCTTGGTGTCGTGTCTTTGGTGGCTGGGAATACTGGAGCAGACTTGTTGTTGGGCAACATTTATTATATGAATCAGCCCCAGGAGGGCTTGGGTATTGCGAGTCCTGCACCGCCGGTGATTTGACCCCTGCTTGCGGGGCCTTTCTGAACATGGTTTCTGGCGTATGCTGGTAAGCTTAAAAAGGTGGCACGTGGCACTGCGAATGGTTGGCAAAAGCCCCGGCGTTAGGTACTATCTTAACTTGGGTTGGGCTCCATGAACGGACAGGTAGTGTGGTGGCTAATAGCTTACGCACTGATGGCTCAATACGATACTCTACTGACGATTGTCAATTGTGACAAACGATCTGAAACCTGCCTTGGAGAGTGCCTTGCCAGGGCCACGGCGCTAAGTTTATTTAGTTAAGGTATGTTCCGGGGCGATCAGATGTCAGCCCTTAAAGTCAACTACCCTACGTACATAAATATGGCCAAAGTTGCGTGCAAACCGACCCGGGAGCTCTCGAGCACGGGAGCACACTTGAACTGCAAGCGAGCTTAGATTCATCCATCTCGCTGGGGTCGTCTTAGATTTAATCTCTGTGGAACCAAAAAAGCGAGGCTACGTCAGGTATTGATGATGTGGCTGAGCTACAATACGTGTACAACGGGGGCTCAACCAAAATGGTTCTCAGTGCCCTCAGGCTGATAGATGGAACGTGCTGCACGCCTTCGCTTTTTGTCTGTTATCCCTCAAAAAATAGCGACAAGAATAAAAGAGCAATCGTTGCCAGTTGCCGCATTGCTACTGTTCGTTACACGGAACATCGAAGCCAGTAGTGGATCGCGTGCAGCATTCCCCGATTTTAAGGTTTGAGAGTCTACGGATACAAACCCCAACTCCAATCCTGCTTCTCCTCTCCTTCGTCATCGTCACCGTCGCTACAGCTTCAAGACTCAAGAGACCGATATCTCAAGCGTCCCAGGTATGTCATGAAAAGCCCCAGAGGAGTCAACCCAATTGCGCGCTGCGCGACAGGATCCATGTTACTGCGCTACCTCCGCGCGAGGATGGCCACTTGGCACTGGTTGAGGCCTCCCTCCCTCCTCCAGCGAGTCGCTCCAGCGAGTCGCCCCAGCGCAGACCTACTGCACCCACCCATGACCGAGTATGCCGCTCGCAGTCGATGACACACTGTCGCTAGCGGTGCGGTGAGGATGTATTCCCCCTCACGCGCTGGCAGGCCGGCGGGTGCTGCGTGGATGGGCATCAGTGCAGCGCAGCGCAACAGCGTGGATCGGGAGGCGTCGTCCCCCACATTACGGGGACTGAAAGTTGAAACTGGTGCTAACAGGGCGGTGCGTCACTGTAGTGATCCCCCCATTCTGTCCCGATCCCAGCCAAACAGCGCTGCCACGTCGACCCGTCAACACCCATCACCCGCGACACCGACAAGCCCAGCATCGCCAAACCTGCTGCCGCATCGAGCGTTCGAACATCTTATCCGGTTACGATGTCTGGTTTTTGTAAGTATAAATGTCTCTTTGTCACATTATCCTCCCAGGTGTGGTGCGCTACCACAAGATCGGCCCGTTGCCCAGAGCCGGAAGCTGGAGAGGACTGGAGGCGCCTGCGTCTTTGCACAGCCTCACTCCAAGGTCCAGCCAGTCCCGCCCCTCGACTCTTCTCGTCACTCCCTCGACTGAGCTCCGGAGCTGCCTTACCTTGGCCTTGGCCAAGCTTTTTGGACATTCTTGTCCCCTGGTAGCTTCTCATTCTGGTCCCCCGTTTCTTTCCCTTCACAAATCTGTTCTTTCATACGTACGGTCGAGCTTGATCAACAAGCACTTGGGACATTGTCTCGGCAAATGACCCATTCCCAAATGTGAGCTTACCTGACCTTTGCACTGCCATTGGCGTCCAAGCGGTACGCCTTTGCACCGGGAACGCGCAGCCGCAAGCTCTGTTTTAAAGTTGCGGTTGGCCCTATCCCACTACGGGTTCCCCAACCTCATTCCGATCCACGGTCGCCCACTCCCCGAGACCACGTCCCCGACTGTCCTGCTTCGATCGATCGCTCTTCTCTGGCCTCGGCATGCCATGATTCTTAATTGTTTTAATATTCTCGAGACGCGTTCGGGCCTATGCTGACCCTTCGACCGCCACACAGTTAACTCGAGCTTTACCCGAGAGGTTAGGCGCACCATGAGCAACAAGCCAGGCGACAGCGATGCCGACGAGCGCACGCCGCTCGTCAATGGCGGTCCTTCCGGGTCGCCATCGCATCACATCATTCCCAATGGCAACCATGGTACCGCCAAAGCCTTCTTCTTCGACTCGCGGCATACCCCGGGTCTCGAGAGCGACAACTTGGCGATCCGGTCCCTGGTCTACACCTGGCACATTGCCAAGGTTACAATCTTGAGTAGTACGTTGACCGCGCATTGAGCCTGGGATTGGCTGACGCCTTCTAGACTACACAAATATCCTTCTACCAATGGTACCCATCGGTATCATCGCCGGCGCCATGGGCTGGGACCCAACGGCCGTCTTCGTCATCAACTTCTTTGCGATTATCCCCCTCGCCGCTGTTCTCTCTTTTGCGACAGAGGAGATCTCGATCAAGCTGGGTGAGACCCTGGGCGGACTCCTCAATGCGACGTTTGGAAACGCGGTCGAACTTATCGTCAGCATTGTGGCCCTGAAGGATGGTCAGATCGAAGTCGTACAGTCCTCCATGCTGGGCTCGATCCTGTCCAACCTGCTGCTCGTCATGGGCATGTGCTTTTTCTTCGGTGGCCTCGTGCACCGTGGCGAGAGCGGTGCGGGATCTGAGCAGGTCTTCTCGTCGGCCGTTGCGCAGGCTACGTGCTCGCTCATGACCCTCTCGTCTGCTTCGCTGGTCATCCCTGCGGCTGTAAGCTGATACGCTGTGACTGCTTGTCATGAGCCCCACGCTAACATATTCCTAGCTGTACGGTGTCCTCGATCAGAATGGCTCGGATGATAAGAATCAGAGTATCCTTGTCTTGTCCCGCGGCACAGCCATCATCCTGCTCATTCTCTACGTCATGTACCTCGTCTTCCAGCTGCGCACGCACAGCAACCTCTTCGACGCCGAGGGCCAGACAGCCGACGACGAGGAGCCCGAGGAGCCCAGCATGGGTCCCATTGCTTCTGCCGGTGTTCTCGTTGTCACCACGATTCTTGTTGCCATCTGCGCCGATTACTTGGTCGGCAGCATCGACCACATTGTCGAGAGCGCCAATATCAGCAAGGCCTTTATCGGGTTGATCCTCATCCCCATTGTCGGTAACGCTGCCGAGCACGTCACCGCGGTTGTCGTTGCTCTGCGCGACAAGATGGACCTGGCCATGGGTGTCGCCATTGGCTCCAGCATCCAGATTGCACTACTCGTCACGCCCTTCCTCGTCATGGTTGGCTGGGCCATCGGCCAGCCCATGACCCTCCGCTTTGAGACATTCGAGACGGTGGCCTTTGCGGTTTCCGTGCTGGTCGTCACCTATACTGTGCAGGATGGCAGGTCCAACTACCTCGAAGGCGCCATGTTGCTCGGTCTCTATATCATCATCGCTGTTGCATTCTTTGCGACACCCAGCGGTGCGCTGGACAAGTCTGGCGCTTAAATGACTCGACGTCAAAATTTTCTTTTTCTCTCTCTCTCTCTCTCTCTCTTCGCAGTCTCTGTTGGATATTCTCGAGAGGAGAAAACTGTGTCTATCTCTCTGTGTACTACTACCACTGCTACGACGCGACAAAGGTTTGGATTTTTCATAGGTTCAGGATTTGAAGGAATACCCGTGTTTAGGTGCTGCCAATCAGGCGAACAAGACGGACAGAGTTGAGCGATGTATAGGTAGATCTACAACGCTGTTTACAATGAAGAATGGTCTTTGAATAAAAGTCCCACCACGTCGTGAATGCCTATTCGGCGCCTGACTTGGCTTGTATGACTTTACCACTATCGCTATCCAAGTGACATACATGGTTCCAATCCGAGGTTCATCGTATCGTATTCACCATCTATCAACAGACAGGTCGTCTACTATTTCGGCTTGGCCATGGGCGCGATGATGCCCTGCTTCATGAGCACACGCGGCTTCGTGCTGTCCTGGAAGGTCTCCTTGGTCTGCCACTCTGGTCCGACCGGCAGACGCAGAGATCGCTCGTACTGCGCTCGGGACTCGAAGGGGTGCGGCAGCTGCGAGGCGAGGTAGCGGCCGTTCTGCGCACGTCAGTCAGTCTCTCTCTCTCTCTCTCTCTCTCTCGTATATCCAAGCGTTGGAGGTAAAACATACCTTCTTGATGCGCTTCTCGTTGATAATCACCTTGTCCAGTTTCGCGTCCTGACGATCCTTCTTCTTGATGCCCTCCACTTTGGTGAGGAAGCGCCCCCTTTGGCGTTCCTGCTCGCGCTTGCTGACGCCCTCGCCGACCCACGAGCCCCAGCCGGGAATCGTGTTGTCAATCACCTTGTCGTCGTCGGCCTCGGCCACGTCGGCCTTTTCCGCCTCGAATTCAGCCACAGTGTCGTCGCCGGCAAAGGCACGGTCGACGAGGGTTTGGTCGCGAATCGCGAGGGGCAGGTGGTTCTCTGTCTCGGACTCGTCGGAATCGTCCTGGCCGCCCTTGGCGGCTGCCGATGGCTTTTGTGTAGACGCCTTCTTGGGGGCAGGACGTTTGATCAGGGTGGCTGCGTCGAGTTCGAGGCTCTCGGGGGCTGAAGAGCGTGTCTCCTTGCGACGAGCTTTGCCCTGCGACCACTGGCCCTTGCCGCTGTGCACTGTCGACACGACGTCTTTGCTGTCGTCTGCTGCGGGCTCGCGCGCGCGCGAGAGACTGGAGGACCACTTGCCCTTGGTGGCAGCGGCCGACGGCTCATTCGTCTGGAAAGCAGCGGGCGCTTTGCTGGCGGTGGTCTGGATCTCAACCTCATTTTCCTCGTCGTCCTCGTCATCGCTGTTCCGACGCTCGGCTCTGCGCTCCGAGGTGTCCAGCGCTGTTGAGAAGCTCTTGGCCGGCCCGCCGTATGTGCGTCGACCAACCTCCTTCTCCTCGTCACTCGCGGGACCGTCCGACCCAGCGCCGAGCTCCTTCTTGATGCGCTCCAGCTCCTCGGCCTCCATCTGCTTGCGGCCGGCGGCGGCGTTTCGCATAAACTTCATCTGCTCGAGCCTCGACAAAGGCTCTCCATCCTCGTTCTCCACGGCCTCGAGTTTTCGAAGCAGTGTGGCATCGTCCTCGGAATCACTACCGGAACTAGAGGTGTCATCATCCGAGTCGACCATCTTGCCCTCTTTTCTTCGGCGAAGTTCGTCGTCCATGCGGGCCATCTCATTGAGACCTGTGCGGAAGTCGTCGTCCCACACGGCGCGCTTCGCCCGGTTCCCAATCTTGGCCCACTTGCTGTCCTTGTGTCGTTGCCCGACACGCTCCAGCGCTCTGCGGCGGTCCTGCGCCTCGCGCTCCGCGTCCGAGTCGACCTCGCCGTCCTCCTCCAGTCCGGCGGCTTCGCGCTCCTTCTGCTTCCGGTGGACACGATGGTAGGCTTTGCTCTTGATCTTCTTGACACGCGCGGCGCGCTTCGCCTCTCGCTGTGCGAGCTCGCGCTCTAGTCGCTTGCGGTTGAGGATCTCCTTGTTGCTGAGCTCGTTGCCGTCATCGTCGTACACCTTGGGCTTCTCCTTCTTGGGCTTGTCCAGTGATAGCCCGCTCTGATCCAGGAGAGACATCATGGTGGACTCTAGCTCATTGGTGGCGTGGGTGCTGCTCAGGGGCTGGAGTTCGGTCGTGTTGAGACCTGCGTTGCCGTCTGTCTGGGGGAGCGGGAAGACTAGATGATCAGCCCGACGGTTCTGCTTGACGGTGTCGTTCCACCTGTCGAGGGTCTCGTTGGTCTTCTCATACGCAGCCGCGCGGTCGATGCGTCCCTGCTCGCGCCTGGACACAGGAATGTCGAGTTTCTTTGTGGCTCCGGGTCGCTTCTCCTTCTCCTCCTTGTTCATAAGCTTGACCGAGTTCTTGATGAAGGGATCGTCGAGGCCGCTCAGCCCCAAGTCGCCAATGTTGATCTTCTGTCGTGATGATGCGTTGTCTCCTTTTTTCGCCTTGGTGCCAAAGCCCGATACGAGTCCTTGCAGCGCTTCCAGTTTCTCGGGATCCGCCTCGTCGTCGGAAGTGTTGTCTTCGTCCTCATTCTCCTGTGCATTCTCGTCGTCACTGTCATATTCGCCTGACTGATCCGATTCGTCATCGTCTTCTGAACCAGACCCTTGCTCTGGCTCATCCTCCGAGTCTTCTTCCCATTGATCCAGGGCAGTCGCAAGGTCGATGGCTTCCTCTCCTAGGGTCTCGCCCTCCTCATCCTCCGAGTCACCCTCGTCGTCGTCATCCCCTTCGGAATCATTCTTCTTGCTCTTCTTGGCCTTGGACCCTCGAAAGTGATACTCGTCAAACTTCTCGTTGTCGCTGTCGCCAAAGGCGTCGTCACTCTCAATCTCCGAGTCGTCATCGTCGTCGGCCATGCCACCCAGCTGCCACTCGTTGCCCTCGCTGTCACTGCCGTAGTCGACGTCCTCGTTGCCAGGGCGGGGTGCAGCCCTGGGTTTCTTGCGCTGCGGCTGGTCCTCTTCGTCTTCGTCGTCTTCATCGTCGTCGTCGTCGCCTCGTCCGCGCTTGTGCTCAATGTCGGCGTCGAGCTCCCGGTATCGTGGCGTCTTTTTTACTTTGGAGGGGAAATGCTCCTGTGCGATACCAAAGGCATTCAGCGCATTCTTCTGCGCGCGCGCCTTGGAGTTCTTGCCAGCCTTCTTTGCCTTGGGCGCTGCGGTCAGAGACCGTCCGTGTGCTTGTCGGCCAGGCATGTTGTGGTGGGCGTGGTTGAGGGCAGCTATCAGTATTCATTCGAACCCCGATTCGTAGACAGACAGACAGACGAGCAACGGAGCAATGTGGCTGCATCGCTGGGTTTTTCTGCCGCCTCCAGAAATTTTGGCGGTGAGGGCCCTGCATGTGGGCGGGGACCCCTGCGCAGCGCTGCGCTGCACTAAATCTTTATTAGGCTTTACCCGCCTATCAGGGAGGGCGGAAGTCGAGTGACCGCATCATGCAATTCCTAATCGCTCCGATGAATTTGTCTCGCAGACATTCCCTTGGCCTATTACTCACCAGATCCTGACCAAAGTCACAGCTCAACACAAACCATGGCGTCTCTCGTGCCCGGCATGAGGCGCCTCGTCTACCAGGCGCCAACGCGCTTCTTTGCCTGCAATCAATGCCTCGCGCGCCAACCGACAGCGACCTCCCGCATCGTCAACCTCGTGCGAGGGCGTGGATATGCCTCGCAGGCCTCACCACAGCCGACGACGCCATTGAACAAGCTCGCCCAGGACATGTACACCCGTGCACCAGCCAAGGAGGCCGAGAAAGCTAAGAGGGCGTTCCCCGAGACCAGCTCCAAGGGCGTCGCATACTGGTTGCTGGGCAGTGCGGCCAGTGTCTTTGGCATCGTCGTCTTTGGCGGATTGACCCGATTGACCGAGTCTGGGTAAGCCTCGCAGGTAGCGGACACCCCCCTTCCATTACTGACAATACGATAGCCTCAGCATCACCGAATGGCGTCCTGTCACCGGCTCAAGGCCACCCATGACCGCAGAAGACTGGGACTCCGAGTTCGAAAAGTATCGTGCCTCGCCCGAATTTAAGCTCCTCAACCCGCACATGACCCTCGACGAATTCAAAAAGATCTACTTTATGGAATGGGGGCATCGCCTCTGGGGCCGCCTCGTGGGCATGTCCTTCGTCCTGCCCGCCGTCTACTTTGTCGCCCGCCGCCGTGTCAGTCCCAAGATGGCTCTCAACCTCCTCGGCATATCGACCCTGATAGGCTTCCAAGGTTTCATCGGATGGTGGATGGTCAAGAGCGGCCTGAAGGACGACTTGTTCGCCCCTGGGTCGCACCCCCGTGTCTCCCAGTATCGACTGACCACCCATCTGGGCACCGCCTTCATCTGCTACTCGTGGATGCTCGTCTCCGGCCTCTCCATCCTCCGAGCGCACCGCATGCGGGCCAACCCCAAGGCCGCCCTCGACACCATCAAGGCCATCCAGAACCCGGCGCTCAACGTCTTCCGCCGCACAGCCTTTGGCATGGTCGCTCTGGTCTTCATCACGGCCATGTCGGGCGGTCTCGTCGCCGGTCTGGATGCTGGTCTCATCTACAACGAGTTCCCCAAGATGGGTCTGGGTCTGACCCCTCCCAAGTCCGAGCTCTTTGACAAGTTCTACTCCCGCAAGGAGGACGGGTCGGATCTCTGGTGGCGGAACATGCTCGAAAACCCCAGCACCGTGCAGATGGACCACCGCATCCTGGCCGTCTCGACCTTCACCGCCATCCTCGCTCTGTACGCCTACTCACGCACGGGCCGCGTCGCGGCTCTGCTGCCCAAGGGCGCCAAGAAGGGCTCGCTCGGCCTCGTCCACCTGGTCACCATGCAGGCCGCCCTCGGCATCTCTACGCTCATCTACATGGTACCCATCCCTCTGGCGGCCGCTCACCAGGCAGGCAGTCTGGCCGTGCTGACGGGCGCCCTGGTGCTTGCCCAGAGGATGCATGTTCCTCGTCCCACGGTGCAGATGCTGGAAAGGAGGCTCAAGTCCATGAAGCACTGAGGTTCGATTCGGCCGAGCGCCGGTGCGGGCACGTGCCCCTGTGTACAATCTTGTAGGATACATGTAGACATCTTGGTGGAGAGCAGTATGACGGGATACACTTTCTCAACTCAGCATGGGCGGCGTTCTTCTGTAGACAATATAAACAATATTTCAATACCATGGTGTGGCATGTGCAGATGATGTCCAGCGAGAATTGAGAGATGATTGACGATGAAATCGCCCATGCCCCAGAAGATGTATTCTTTTCAACACCATGAGCTAAATTACACTCATAAGTCAAGACAACGCTCTGATAGTTTTGCTTATCCATGCTCCCACGACTAGCATCGCCCGATATATATGTGCGGCTTGCCATTAGTATTTGTACGAGAAGAAGAAAAAAGACATTACTCCATATACATCCCGTCGCCTCGCATCCCCTGCATAGTCAGGCCCATGTCCGGCGGATGCATCCCGTTGCCTTGCAATGTCATGTTCATGTTCGGCACGGACCGGCTCATGTTCATCCCTTGGCGGTTGACGGGGCTCCCTGCACCGTTCTGCATCAGGAACCGCGGGTCCGCCATGTTCGCGCGTTGTTGCTGCTGTTGTTGGACTTGCTGCGGGTGCTGCTGTGCTTGTTGCTGTTGCTGTTGTTGCTGTGCCTGTTGCTGCTGCTGGGCCTGTTGCTGCTGGGCTTGCTGCTGCTGTTGTTGCTGTTGCGTTGGCCCACGAGTGCGCGGCACGTCCAATGAGGTTTGCTGATGCAACGGCGGGGCCAAGGCCTGCTGCTTCTGCACAGCATGGTTGTGGTCGATCATGGCGAAGCTGTCATCATCGTCCATCTCAGCATCGGCATCGGCATCTTGATCGCTAGCCCCTTCGACGGAGGGCGGCCCAGTGGTGTTTGCTGATGTGTTCTGATCGCTCACGCCGGTGCTGGCCGTCGACTGCCGGTTCAACGGTGGGGGACGAGGGTTCATGTGTTGCTGTGGCGTGTTCGTCCGGCTCCGGGCCTGGGAATACCCGTTCGTCTGGGCATCGGTCGTCGGCGTGGAGACGTCCAGTTGGCGTTGGGTGTTCATGCCACTGCCACCTCGCGCCGAGGTCACGACAGTCTTCCATCGCTCAATCGACTTTGTAACAATTGTGCCGAGATCCAGGCTCTTGTCCTCGAGATTGAAGCCCACCAGTGACGCTCCCTTGACCCCTTGCTCGTAGGCGTAGGCCATGACATCCTTATCCATCTGGAGTGTTTGTGGGGCGAGCATCTTGAACTCTTTGGGTTGTTGCAAGCGGTTCAGCTGATCAATCTGTGCCTTGAGATGGGCATTCTCTGTCTCCAGATTGCGCTGCGTCTCCTTCATCTTTTCGGCGTCTTTGTGTTTTCTGCCGACGCTTCGCGCCATCTCCAGTATCCAGAGCTCGTTCTGCCGCCCCTCGGGCAGGCTCTCCCACACACCATAGGCAGACTGAATGTGCTCGTTGACCTGCTTCTCGAGGTTCTCGGCCGACATCTCGGCCCGACGTACTTGCTCGCGCTTATCGCGGAAAACGTTGTTTTGTGGAGGAGGGTATGTGAGTTCGTCGACTACTTCGGTGGTGGCCGAGGCACATGTGATTTTCCATTGCCTGAATTCTTCTTGAAAGTAGGAACGGAGTGCGTCGTACTCGCGTCTACCCGGACATTGGACTGACCAGGAGGTGGATGTGGGATGCTGAGTGGAGGAGAAGAGGGTCGGCGGCGGTTGCAGGCATTGGAGCGTCAGAGCAGGGAAGTCGAGCGATAGGGGGTCAAAGTCGAACGGCATGGAGGCGGCATCGATCTGCTGTCTGCCCACTTTGTTAGCGAAAGGATGATTCGGGACGTGGGTTGAGCGTACTTGGCCGCGCGCCACGAGCTGAGAAGCTCGCGAAGAGCGAGCTCAGCAGCTCTGGCTGTGTCCATGGCGTCGGCCAGCTTATGTTTCACGTCAAGCTGGGCTTTCTGCGCAAACTGCCGGCTGGCAGTGCGTTGCATGATTGGCCGCTTGCCAGAAACATCAGGGGTCGCATCGCCAATGTCGTTCATGACTCCGGTCAGCTCCCATCTCGGTGCAGACAGCGAGAATCCCTTCATGGAGTTGTCAACCGCATACTGTCCATCTCTAGGCACTCCGCGATAGCCATCTCTGTCTTGCACCATGCTCTGTTTTCGGGACCCGCCTCTTGGCGTATCGGTAGGGGTAGAGACACCGCGTGCGCCAAGCGAGCCTCGCGGCTGGCGACGGGTGATGCCACCGCGCATCTTCCTAATCTCGTCGACATCGTGGATGCCATCCTGAGGCTTCGGGTTCTTTTCCTTGATATACAGGTCTAGATGACGGCCAAGCGAGGAGGACGTGAATGCCTGGCCGCAAAAGGGACAGTTCTTGTCTTTGGGGGCGCTATACTTGGGTGTCTTTTCATCTTGGAGCTCTGAATCGTCCATGACGTTGGTAGGGCGGCTCGGATGCGGGACAGAAGTGACGGAAGCGCAGTTCGTGGGGTGGAGAAGTAGGGGCCGGATCGTCGATGCACGCGAAGGGGTTGTTGAATGGGATAGGTGCCGATCTTAAGGGATTGGGGGGCTTGAGAGAGAGTCGAGGAGGCGAGATGACGGGGCCGGCTGTGTTGGGCAAACGAGTGTAGAAAGGCCCGTGGTTCGAAAGGTTACCGATTGGGGTCTTCGAGAGCTGCAGTGAGCAAGCAATAGGGGGCCTCGCGCTTCAGGTGGGAGGTCCAGACATTGAACGGCACGAAGAGCAGGTCAGGGACTGGAGGTGCTCCAACACCGGCGGGAGGGTAGCTTTCCTTCCTTGATTTGCAGTGAAAGCCCGTGGAGAAGTGGCGGATGACAGAAGAGACTGGAAGAAGAGAAGGAGTGGTGAGGTCGAAACGAAGACACGAAAGGAGAGTTTGATCAAAAGAAAGAGGACTGGAGGTTCGTGGAATTTTTACGGAGCCCCCTGGTCATGAATTGGCGGTTCTTGTCTTTTTCGTCAAGGCCTGATGGATCCTGATCAGCGGAGGCCGGAGGGCAAAGGTCGGCTCGAAAGGGTTGATTCTCATTCAGGGGTGGGACGCACGCTCTGCGCCAATGGCAAGCTTGGGATGCGCTTCGCTCCCCGCCTCGGGTCCCACTGCTAGGCCCCCAATTCCCCCCATTCCCCGTCAAGCTCATTCAGTACAGGGTAGGCTTCTTTTGGCAGCCCCTGACATGGAAGATGCGATGACGCGGTTGATGGCCGGGTCGTCAAAGGTGGGAACTCTACTATGCCTCAAAGGCACCTTGGACGCAAACCCCTAAACTGCCAGATGTCACCCTCGTGCGATGCAGCTCACAGAGAGCTTCCGCTAGCGCCTTAACGGGGAATGGCGCCTCCGAGCCGCCCGCCGTCCTAGCGCTGTGTTGGCCCTGCAGGGCTCCAGGACCATGCGTTGACTCTTGAGTCCTTGACAGCATGGCACGCCGCGCATTTTCATTCTCGAGATGCAGGACCTTTGCTCCATGTCTGTCCGAGAGCCAATCTTTTTGGCGTCTCGCCCTTTCATGTTCAGCTGCACGTTGTTATGAGGAAGGGTACATACGCACCCCTTTTTGGGTCATCTTGTCTCACTTGGAGCGAATCGATTCGGGCTGACAACGACGGAGAGTGGAATCTCTCTGCCGCTGTCGTATGCATGTTTCGTTCTTGCCTTGAATGACAGCCACGGAAATGAACTTGATGGGCGATACACATCTAATTAGACGCAAGTCAGCGGGTATTCAATTCAACTTCACTCTCTGGGCTTTGACCCGAATGTTGATCCTCACACGACCTGGAGTGAGCTACTAATTTAGGTAACTTGCTTGCCAGCAACATGCTGTGGCACCTGTCATACTTTAGTCAATGCGCTAATTAGACAGGCGACGGTCTTGCACACTTGTTGACAGCTCATTCCGTCTACATAGCAAAGCTGCGTAAAGGGCTTGAGTTGACAAAAGGTCGTTCAAACGTCCTTCGTTGAGCTCAGGGGTTCGACGTGTCGGGAGATCACCGTCAGGCGTAGGGGTCCCTGCTCGGATGCACTGTCTACTTGTATCATCAGACGCGGACGTGACTGAGCAGTAATTAGTGTCCAGTTTGCCATTCCGGCAACAAGACAACGAAGCAGGCCAGGTGAATGAACAAAGCAAGGATCGAGTGCAGCCGCATGCAGGAGACACATTGCAAGCAAAGTACTCCGTCAAGCCGATGGAAGCAAAAGGACGCGGAACCCCTGATCCTGCGCCTCATGGATCGGTTGTCTCCTTGGGCGACATTTCGATTGGCTGCACTGGCATTCCAACAGGCCTGACAAACCTTAAAATTGAGAAGTGCCCCTGAGAGCTTTGCAATTGGTGTCCAAAATTTCGGGCAATATTAGTTCAAAGGATAGTTCAAAGGATGACTTCGCAGGACGCTCGTATGGCGTGCCGTGCGCCCTGTCGCTGCCGCACAGCTGCCATTGACCAACCACACTTTCAATGGGCTCATTGTCCGAGCTGCACGTCAACACACGACATGCCGGCTGGTACGCTTGCGACCCGTTGACACGAGCCAATGCCAAGACGTTGAGCCATTTCCTCCCATATGCGCCAATGGCCAAGTGCATGATTTGCAGCACATCAAGGCTTATCTAGCTGATGACCCCTTTCCTCTCGCAGCGGTGCGGTTGGACAGGTGCGACTCCTGATTGGCGGTTCGCCCAACAGGTACGCTGGGCTGTGATGATCTAACGAATACCGGAACCCGTCGTTTGCTTGATCAAGGAGTGCTTCCGCAAGTCCCAATACAGGGCCAAAGTGTGCTGAGAAGAGATGGCGTGCCCCTGGGCCTCGAGCTCTATGAGCACAGCCTGCGTACAAGAGGGACTGGAGAACTTGTCTGCGTGCTGGGCACATTCGCAACCTTCCGATATATTGCATGACATGTCAAAATCTCAGTAAGCCAGGCTATGAGATTGTTTGCCATCGGAGAGCACGGTAAAATGTGGCACGTAAAGGTAATGTAGTTTGTTGAAGATAGCAGATGAGCTCGACCGCACTAGACAGAGAGCCTTCACATGACCCGGAGACAGGCCCACGCGCATCGCGACCTGGACTGACGTCTGGCGCGACCCGCTGCGAGCTTGACAACACACCAGCAGTCACTTGCGACTTGTTTTCGTCCCATTGACGTATATACGATTCGTCGCATCTAGCCCACAATGCCTCCAGGTATGTCCATCGACACTTTACTGCTTCTCTGACCTTCTGCGACGCTCCTCTGTACCCCCACAAAGTCTTCGCGCCGCTCCCGCGCAAACGCGTCCACCTATCATTGCGCAACGCTTGTTGTAGACTCTCTTCACCATGGCACCCAAAAGACGCTCCAGACCAGGCACTACTGCTTTTCGCAAGGGCGCGACGGCTAATCATGTTTCTGTCGCAGCTTTAAGCGACTCAGAGTCCGACGCGGGCGTCGCTGCGATCCCGACCTACCCAGCTCCCGCGAATGGCTCATCAGGCCCCAAAATTGTCGGCGGCCCGGACGCAGTAATTGACGACGAAGATTTGCCTGGCTCAGAAGGAGAGGAAGACAACGAGGATGAGGACGGCGAGGAGGAGGAGGAGGAGGAGAATGTGTAAGGGTCCTAGGATCACCTCGCAGTGGCCGGACGCTAACCTGGTTGGACAGATTTGTCGTCGAGGCGATCAAAAAGCACATGGTTGATGAAGAGGTACGACGGTTCCGGAGGACACGGCGAATTGGTGGCTGACTGGAGCAGGGCATCCTCCGATTCCAGGTAAAGTGGGAAGGCTACGAGAAGAAGGCGGACATGACGTGGGAACCCGAAGAGAACCTGGAGTAAGCGCCTTGCACGTGTGCACATGGGGGCGCCAGCTGATTTAATGACAGGGAAGACGCAAGTGAGGTCCTCAAGGAGTACTTTGCCAAAGTAGGCGGTCGCGATGCCATCCTTGAGCAGCACGCCAAAGCCACCAAGGGGAAGAAGCGCGGGAGACAATCCGCCGGCCCCAGCACATCGAAGCGCTCAAAGCGCGAGCCCCATCCCGACGAGGAGGACGCGCCGGCGTCGAAGCCCAAGTCGTTCGTCCCGCCAGCAGGGTCATGGGAAGACGAGGTTGTTAGCATCGACGCGGCCGACGAAGATGGCAACGGCACTCTTACCATCTTTTTAAATTGGCAGAATGGCGCAAAGACGAAGCATCCACCCAGTGTTGTCTACAAACGATGCCCACAGAAGGTGAGCACTGGTCCCTCGGAGAGAAGCTGGTACAATGACTGACAAAGCCGCGCAGATGTTGCGTTTCTACGAGCGCCACGTGAAGATTGTGACCACTATGAAGAATGAGGCGGAGGAGAAGGTGCAAACGTTGACGCAGGCCGAGGATGAGAGCTAGGGAAGGGTGCGCTGCTGTTCGTTTTATTGCCTGGGACCAAGGCTTGCGAGCCTGAATTATCTGGTTCGTGGCAGTTTTTGTACAATTGGACGTGCTTGGTACGGCACCGCTGTCTCGAATGTATAAGATTGTATATGTGAATGAACGGCTTCTTCTTCTTTTTCTGTATCTTACAGGGCAATGCGCCATCATCACAGCTCGACTCTCGGTGGGAGCATCGACTCACTCATTACCAGCCACACGTTTCAAAAGGTTGACCAGTCGTCAGCCAAATGAGATTTCGGCGCCCAACCCCAAGCTCCAGATTCAGGGAGCGATGGCTGGCCAATGAGAAGCTCGTGCGGCCCCTGCATTACGGACGGGAAGCCCCGCTATGGCCCAGCCTTGCGATTTTAGCACTGCTGCCAGCTTTTGCATGTAAAAAGCCGGTGGCGGGGCAACCAGCAATATAATGCGCCAGCCATCGCTTTGCACATTCCAGTCCTTCTTGTATCTTCTTGCCGATATCTTCACGTTTGAGTTCAGTCGCTGCTAAAAACTTGAACGAGACTTGCACGTTTTTCGAGAACAAAGATCTACAACCATCATCACAACACGACCCCACCACACACACTGCCAGTGCTTCAAGCTTGAGCTCAACTCCAGTTCTTCAGTCAAGCACAACGCCCAATCGCTACGGAACCGAGACGAGACACGCCTATCGACTTGGTCCGGCACTCTCTCATTCCAAGCCAACCCGACATCTTTCCGAACCCCCCCCCCCCCCCCGCGCAAACCCCACAACCGCCATCATGGTCAAGAAGAACGATACCATCGCCATCATCATCATTGTGCTCTTCATTGTGCTCGCGCTCGTCAGCTTCGGTATCTGGACACTGGTGCATCGCGTCCGCAAATCGATGAGCGTCACGTCGGCTTCAAGCGGCAGTAGTAGTTCGGAAGGGGCATAGTCCATGCCTACTTGGACTCATTTCCTCTTCTCATTCCGCATACTATATCATATGCATTGTACACGGCGACGACGAAAAACGATAATCAGGAGGATGGATGGCACATGGGCCACACACTTTGGATACCACGGATCATCTTTTACGATTTTGGACAGCATTTGGGACAATTGATGGGGCAACTGTATTAGACATGGGCATGGCGTTATGAGAATACGGCGCATTTGCGGGAGCGGACATTTAGACTAGTCCCATGAGAGCACGCGCGGGATTGATTGTTGAATGGGTTGGATTAGGCAATTGGCGAATTACCGTTGCTACTGGGTAACTTGGGATAGTAGCGCAAATATCAGCAACAACAAGCTTGAATCATAGCGGTTATTATTACTGGACTTCAATTCTTTGATGAAGGCAGTGCTCTGTCCATGCAAGCGAATGCACGTAAGATGTCCACGCAAGCTGTGGAATAAGCCGCCCGGGGATTTCGCGGCGCGATCTCCTGCCAGCTCGGAGATACGCACCAGGAGCTGGGATGCCTCCCCAACGTGTAGACCCCGAGAGGCACGCACAAAAGGCCCAGGCCGCTCCTCATCTCGGTCTTATTGTTCTGCAATAGATTGCAAACATCCAGTGACTGCTTTTGTCTCCCACACGCGACGCTGCAGCCGTTCTCCCACCTCGTGGCCGACGCACTGGTTATCTTATCAATCAATCCCGGTGCCTCCACCGGCAAGTATCAGTCAGTCAATCAATCGTACGTCCGGTTCGGACTTGGCGGCGGCGCCACGCGCGATTCGCGTCATTTGTCGCTCGACCCCCTCCGTAATTTCTCAGCGTCCGTCCCACCATGTCGGCTTCTTCTTCTTCTTCAACACCATTCTCTGCTCCTTCTTCCTCCTTCACCTCCATCCCGCTACGGCCCCGACCGCTCGGATACAGAATGGCCGGCACGTTCAAGTCGTTATCGTCATGGGTCCTCGGCAAAGGCGCCAGCACCAACGACGCCCAAGCTGCGGCGCTCTTCCCCAAAGTCGATCCCGCCGTTGATGGCGAGGAGTGTCTGCACGACTGCCGCTCGTGCACGATTCGGTATCCGCGCAAGTTCGACATTGACGAGGAGGATGACCTGTACGGGCAGGTCAAGGCGTGGAGCACACACATGCTTGTCGCGACGGGCAAGACGGACTGGGTGCGGGACGTCGCCGACGAGGAGGGCAGTGTGATGCAGGCGGTGGCCAAGGCGGACGTGCCGAGTAACGGGGTGCGTTGTTTGGCTCTTTGCTGCTAGGTCTGTGGTGAAGCTGACGTTGAGAGAACAGACATTGAAGCTGTCAGCGTCCAACATGCCCACGCCCCACGACACGAGCGACTACTCGGAACCGACGACGATCCTACTCCTCCCTGCCTTCACATATGTCGACAACGTCCTCCCGAGAAACGTGCCCACGTTAATAGATTCCATCATATCGCATGCGCCGACGACCGAGTCGCCGCTCGACACACCGTTCACACCACAGGCCGTCGAGGGCATGATCCCGCGGAACTGTCCACACAGCGCGGTCATCCTCATGTGCAGCCACCGGACGCGCGACGCACGCTGCGGACAGAGCGCGCCGCTGCTAAAGAAGGAACTGGAGCGGCATCTGCGACCGCTGGGTCTGCAGAGGGATATGCATGATGAAAGACCGGGCGGTGTGGGGATATACTTTATCAATCACGTCGGCGGGCACAAGTACTCGGCGAATGTGATGATCTACCGACGGAGAAACGCGTTTGGACAAGACGCAGCACCCGAGGGCGCGTCCTCGAACGGGCATGAGAATGGGAACGGAAAAGCAGAGGGGCATGATGGTGGTGCCGCGCAGGGGATATGGTTGGCGCGCGTGCGACCAGAGGACTGCGAGAATCTCATCCGGTATACGGTGCTCCAGGGCAAGGTGGTCAAGCCGGAGAAGCAGCTGCGTGCTGGGTTTGACCGCGCGCGAGGTGTGATGAGCTGGTGACGGCCGGACTGTCTGCTCCTTTGCGATTTGGGCGAAATGAAGGATGGGCACAGGAGACCGAGTGAGGAAGAGAGAATCCTCACAGGCGACTCCTGTACCACAGGGGGAACGGGACTTTTGGGGATGAATACATTGAGCCCACAGAGGATCCCCTCGTGGACGGGCCATTGTGAGGAGGGCAGCGATGTGACCCTTCAAGAAGGTGTCTTTATCAGAATAGATGAACATGACAGATCAGCATGGCAAGGCGAGCGGAAACTCGTACAAATAGAGCAGCCTGGTCTTCAAGCTGTACTCCTGGTCGTCAAGCGGTACTCCTGGTCGGCAGTTGTGTGAATCAGCCTGTGAGAGTGTCGATTGATAGGCTTGACGGCGCCATGGTCACCGAGTGCCGCGACGTTGGGGATAAATCAGCCATTCGGTGTCTTCAGCCTGTCTCCCGCGGCCCGTGATACATGTCCCCTGGGGTAGTGGTTGGCTCAAGCATGCAGTGCGCAGTGTGCCCTTCTTGTACAGACTACAGCTGTCTCGCCGACGGCCTTGACCGAGTATGTCGGTCGGCCAGAGCGTGCAAGCAGCAAGTCGTCTTCAGGGGTAATTGCTGATGGGAGCGCGGAGACGAAGAAGAAGAAGCAACGCTTCCCAAATGTGAAGCTGAAAGGTGGCCGAAGGGATCAGCGTCTGGACTGTGCGATGGAGTGGACGACGAGAAGAGTTAGCGAGCTTGCAGACACTTCACAGCAGCGAAGACGTCTGTGCTCTTTTTGTGTTTCATGAAAGACACTGGATGGTCGTTCTTCTGGAGGTGAAACGATAGAATAAAGAAACTACTTGTGAGACTTCCCCTTGGCGCTTCTTGAATGAGAGACACATTCCTCATTGGGTGAGACTCATTGTTTCGCGTGCACACGTCGACCCCGTGTCACAACCTCGTGGATGGGAAACATTCGAGTGCCGCCGAGATGTGCTACTTTATTATCAAGCTTAGACTAATGAACGGGAACCACGGTCCGTCGTCGAACTCATTGGGTGCGGCGCACTTGGTATGACCGATGGCGGCGGAACAGGGATGTTATTCGACAGGGGTCTGTCAGTCTGTCCGGCAGTTGACGGTGAGGTCTCGTAGCTCGCACCAAAGAGGGAAGGATTAATTAATTAAGGATGAATGTGTGATGGGCCAAGGGACGATGGGCCAGAGAGCAGTGAGCGACGCAACGTGCGACAACCATTGACACAATGGCCACTCGTCAATGGCAAACATCCGGATGTGAGATCATTTGACAATTGACATTCCACGACGGCGCAGATTGGATCTTGGACAAGCTTTTGCCAATGTGGGCGTGGCAGCTTGGCAAGATCTAACGCTGGGGCTCCAGGCTCCAACCTCCAGACTGGACAGTGGACGCTGCGTCCATCTCCACGATGACAGACGGCACCTTCTGGAAGAGGACAAGTTGTTGCACGACGACGACGATAACGCACTGGACCTACTACCACTGTCGCACGGCCATGTCGCGTCCGGACACCTCGGGCCATTTCCAGCTTCCAGGCAGTCGAGTCAATGGCATGACTTCATCGAGGTCAACGTGACCCCCATCCTGCTCGCCCAGCCTCCATTTTGAACGGAGACGATGTTCAAAACGGCGTGCACAACATCGAGTCGCTCTTCGTTCCGCAGGCCGGTCAAAGGTGGCTGGACAGTCAGAAAAGACGGACATCGAGGCAGTGATCCGCGCCAGTGACGACGACGCGGTGCCTGGATCCAGAACTCCAGCCACAGACGGAGGGGACAGACTGGATTCTGCACATCATACCTTACCGTAGAGAACTGTAACGGACGACTGTTCGAACGCCTCAGGGCCAACCGTCACGTCCGTGGGCGACGATCGTGCTAGCGCGGGTGGACCCTGCAAGCCAAGTTTTTTTTTGATCCCCTGCCAAGGCGGCTGCTGGCCACCTTTGTGGCTTTGACGTCTAGCCCCCTTTGGGACTTTCTGGAAAGCCTGCAGGCTGCTGTCGTAACCGTGGGCGACCTGAGGGAAGATCTGCGCTCAGGGACATGGACATGGACATGACATGGATCCCCCTACGCTTGTTAATCTGTAGCGGTCGGCCCTTGCGCTTCCGTGTCAGAGGGAGCAATCGTCCGTCTGGCGGTGCACTCACTGGACATGGGAGGCAACCAGGCAACGTCGAGACGACGTAGAGTGAGATATTTTGCTCCCAGAGACTTTTTGGAGCCGCGTGAATCGCAACGCCAGCCCGCACTATCAATATAGCGCTGGATACAGACGACGCGCAAGCAGGCTGGCGGGCGCCACGTGTCAAACAACAGCGTGAAGCCACCTGTGGGAGGGAGGGAGGCTTGGAGGCTCCCAGACCAAGATCATCAGGCACTTCTCCATCAGGACTCACTGAACTGAGGAGGCTGTCCGTCCGTGGACGTACAGGAACGTTGGGTTAGTACCCAAAGTGCCGGACAAGGATGGTGTGGGCACCACCACCACCGCCATCCATCGTGGCATCGACAGGTTCCATCATCTCCTGGCGCTACTGCAAAGGGCCCCTTGGAGAGGGCCATGTCAACCTCGTTGTTTCGTGCTCGCATTGTGACGATTCGATCAAGACGGATCACTGGGCAAGTGTGAAGTGATCGTCATCTGCTTTGCTCCAGCCATGTCTTTTCTTGTCTGCGCTGACTGCCTATAAGTTTCATTGTCTTCGTCCTGATTGCCTCTGTTCACCATTACTCTGCAACACAAGCAAAGACTTCCCAAATCAACATCACACAGACCAGCCCATATCTTGGATATTGCCTCGCCTCCTCCCAGCACAGCTCTCGGTATCGCCTGTTCCGCACCACACCTGAAGGAGTCCTCCCGCCGGACGATCTGTTTATCTATCTATCTATCTACACGCTACAGACACACTCGCTCAGCCTGGCCCAACCCCGGGAGTGCACCGTTCCATCATCCTCCACTCACACCCCCCGGCAGGCAAACCGGAAGCAAGGTCCAGTCTCGTTGAATCATTCTCAAGTGGCTGTCCAGGCACACACACGGACGGTCCTCTGTCGATTCAACTCATCCATAAAGCCAAGACTTCCCTCCGGACCCATCTCTGGTCGTCTTGACTCTTCTCAGACCACTTCTTCGATTCGACTACTCCACTGTATCATCTCTTGTCCGTGCCGGCCACGACGTTCAGCTCTCTTTCACAACAACGAGTTCTTTCTCGGCCATTTTCACACATCAATCACCATGAAGATCACCGGCTTTGTCATCGCCCTGGCGGCTTCCGCCTCCGCCATCCCCTTCAAGATGGCCGACTACACAGCGCCTCGTGGTATGTCTCTACTATGCTTTTCATCCCAGTACCTTGGCTAACACATCTTCAACAGCCGTCGAGGCCCCCGAGGTCCGCCCACACCACGGCTACCCCTACCACGGCCCCGGCAACCTCACAGCCCGTGGCTTCGGCAGGCACAACGAGACGGACAGGCCTCACCACGAGAAGCCCACCGTCGTCGTCGACAAGCGTGCCTTTACGCCCGAGGGCCACCGGGACCAGAAGGACAAGCCGTACCACAACGGCATCGTCGGTGGTCACCACTGGGGTCCCAAGAACCACACCTACCACGCATGAGTGCGGAGTGTGGAATGATAGACAAAGGCCTGGCGTCTATTTCTCTACTTTGCCCAGGGCTCAGGGCTCAGATCGAACTCATGAATTGAATGGACTGGATTGAACAAACTGGAGATGGAATTGACGGGGCAAGGGATCAATGATACCGTGGTCGTTGCTACGACCCATTTGCTTTTGCTTGTACTGCTTGCTATCGTACTTGCTATAGATAGATTTGATGAATTCGAGCGACTGTTTTAGACACTTACCACTCGAGGCTTGGCCACAACTTGATTTGTGTGTACATTAGATGACCGTTTCCGGAGTATCAAACAGCCTCGTACATTATGCCCAGCAAGCTTGGCCTGCCTTGGCATTGACGTTGATCTGTCCAAGCCAGCTGCGCCGCCGGCACTTGCGCTTACACGAACCGATTGCCGGACAGGGGTCCAGCTGGGCCAAGTCTTCCACTCAACGTATCCGTAAGCGTCTCAGAATAATGAGAAAGACGTTGCGATTCATGAACTCGCACCACTTTGCTCTTGTTCTCCCTGCTGAATATCGCGCCTTCACGTCCATCACCAAAGGGCCAATCCGTCCCCAACGCAGCGACGATGACTTCACATGTGGCCACAACGTCCGAGCGACCGCAGGATCACCACCTGATCCACACATGATGGACTCTTCCTTTCGAACGCTCTGCAAGACATTGCTGGACATGTTCATCACGCTGCGTCGCGTATTCTGAAACGGAGGCGCCGACATCCGTCGCCCGAATCCTTCCAGACGTCACCTCGCCCAGATCGCCATCTCGACAATGCAACCCTGCCGGACCATCTTCGTCGCATGCAAGCCTCTCGACTCTTCTTGCAGCCATTCTTCCAGGGGGTCCCTTCTCTGCGCCGCGACCCTGCTTCTCAATCGCCAGGATCGCAGGCCTAGTATCTGGAGGAGATTCCTTCCTGCAGATGCAGCGCATTCCCTCGGGTGTCGCTCATCGGTCACGACTTCATTCTCGGGACCGTATGCGCGCCCACATGCATCTGCGGCTCTGCGCGGGCACTACGTCAGTCGAGCAGCAATCTGGCGTTGTACCTAAGGTACGTATGCATCCTTACACTCAGCAACAGCCTACCCTGCAATTAGAGGGAAGCAACTAACATATTCATTATGACTCCATATCGTCCCGTACTAGCTCACGTTCAATTACATGTTCTTTTTGCGTGCCTCATCGTAGCCCTCCTCCTCACTGTCCTCGTCCTCGTCGTCATCCTCAGGCCCCGTTTCCATCTTTCGGACCCTGTCGGACCGCCGCCGCCTGTCCTTCATGGCCGCGCGAATCTTGCGACTCGCCTCGTCAAAGCCCTCCTTGGAATCTAGACTCGTAAAGCCCATAATGGGGAAGCCACTCGAGCCAAAGCCGCCCCCGCTGCTGCTGGAGCGCGAGCGACTGCGGGACCGCGACGGCGGCCGCGTGGAGAAGATGCCCACGTGGCCAATGTTGCTGAACGAGTCGTGCCGGGGCAGTTGGCGGCTGGATTGTGTGGTGGCGCGTCGCGACAGTGCGGGCGGTGTCTCGATCTCGAAGCCGCCCTGGCTGGACTGGTCGCTGTCCTGCCGGCGGTGACCGCTGCTGCTCGCCGGTGCGCCGCCTTCCTCCACCTTGAGCGGACCGGGCACGAGGCGCGTCTTGTCAAAGTCGGGGAACATCTCCGGGCCGAGAGTGTTGATCAGCTCCGTGACCTCGGAGCTCAGCTCGGCGCGGCGATTCCGTAGGCGGTGAATGTTGTAGCCGGACATGGGTGAGAGACAGAGGACGAGGGGCCGCAGCGACTTGAAAATGTCCATGCCGACCTCGCCGAAGCGCAGGGCGGCAAAGGTGATGCCGACCATGGCGGGCCAGACGAGGCAGTAGACGAGCCAGAGGGGCACCCAGGGCGGGACGTAACCCCAGAGGCGGTCGTGCCAGACCTTGGCGACGATGAGGATGGAGTAGAAGTGGTAGAGCGTGGGGGCGAAGCCGAGGGCGACGAGGATCTTCCACGTGGCCATGACATCGCGGCCCTGGATCTTGACGGTGGATCCGGCCAGGGCGGCCTTGGCCTTTTGGCGGCTGATGATCTTGGTGGCGATGAAGACGGGCGCGAAGAGCGTGAGGCCGGGGACGGTGGCGAGGAAGAGGAGCAGCAGCTTGATGGAGCGGTAGATGGTGAGGAAGATGACCTTGAAGATGGACATGCGGGCGTACTGGACCTGGTGGTCCTTGAGGTTGAGGTAGCGTAGCTGCTGGTTATAGGTCTTGACGTCCTTGGAGAGCTTGGCGATGCGGGCGTCGTCCTTGTATTTTTCGTAGCCCTTGCAGAGGCGCCTGTTCATCTCGATGACGACGGGCAGGGGCAGCTTCTTGCCCGTCGGGTTGTAGAGGCGGCGCGCGGCCTGGATCATCATGAGCGTGTCGTAGTCGGGCGCCGAGACGGTGACCGAGTTCAGGGCCTGGTAGACGGTGTCGAGGACCTGGCCAATGGCCTCGCGGCGGTTGTTGTTGCGGTACTGGTCGACGACGTACTTGGGGATCTCGACGGGGGTGCCAAACTCAATGACGGCGCGCGAGCGGAACTTGTGGGCGTGAAAGTAGTTCATGCCGACGGGCACAATCTTGAGGCCGCAGTCGGGGGACTCGGCGAGGGTGCCGAGGGCCATGATGGCGACGCCGGCCTTGAGGGGCAGCAGCTCGGTGCGATCGTGGCTGCCGCCTTCGGGGAAGATGCCCACGCAGCCGCCGCTGCGGAGGCGCGCAAAGACGGCCTCGTAGACCTTTGTCTGGTCCGTGTGCGGGGCCAGCTTGAACTTTGTGCCTTGGAAGCCGTCGGCGCAGCCCTTGCGGTGCTTGTCGGTAAAGTTGCCGTCCTCGTCAATGTCGTCGCGGCCGGTCAGCTGCTCCATGGCCAGCTTGCCCTTAAAGGGCCGCTTGATGCGGACCTCCTCGGGGCTGAGGATCTGAGCAATGTCGACGTTGGCGCCCGTCGTCTTCTTGCCCGAGGGCAGGAAGAGCATGCCCTGGACCTCGCCCTCGCCCTGGCCAAACTTGGTGCCGACGCCGCGGACGAGGGTCGGGTCGTTGATGGGGTCGGGGAGGTAGATGCGGCCGGTGGCGGGCTTGGCGGCGTCCTGGGCGCGCCCGACAGGGACGGCACCGACCTGGCGCGAGCCCCAGCCGATGAAGCCATGGACGGACTTTTGGGCGATGAGGAGGGAAACGCGGCGGTTGGCCTCCTGGCGCAGGACACGCTGGAGCAGGAGGGCGTCGACGAACTGGTTGGCGTGGGGGGCGGCGACGAAGAGGACGGGGCCGGACTGGGGCACGCGCCAGGAGCCGCGGGGGACGACCTCGCGGAAGAAGGTGTCGACGAGGTTGCCGATGATGTAGAGGAAGAGGTCGTACTTCCAGTTGACCATGGGATAGAGCTCCTTTTCGGGCTTCTTGGGCTTTGGCTTGGTCTTGGGCGTGGCCTTGCTGTTCGCGGTGTTGTCATTATTGTGCGGGGTAGTACTAGTCGCCAGCGCGCCTTTGTCGTGTGCGTCCGCCTGCGCTGGCTGCTGCTCAGGCTGAGACTCCATCTTCGAATTCGCGGGGGGACGTTCGGTGCGATGCGATGCGATGCGATGCGATGCGATGCGATGCGATGCGATGGGAAGGCGTCGTGGTCGCGAGGCCCAGCGAGGGGCGCGTGGATGTTGATGGTTGGGCAGGGTGCGTCGGGTTGGTCGGACGGGCTGGTGGATTTATTGGGGAAAGACTCCCTTGGTACGTGGTGCTACTAGTAGAGGGCGGCTGTGCTGGGCTGGGCTGGGCTGATCTGCTCGGATGACGGCTGGAGCTGCGAAACCTTGTTGAATTGGAACGAAGGATAAACAAGGTAGGTAGCTGCTTCAATTTGTTGATAACGGGAGTGAGTGAGGTGAAGCTGCAGTCCTCCCCCAAAAGTCTATGCAGACAGAACTTTCTGGCTCAGCGCCGATCACATGCAAATCAAGAGGGCTGCAGCAGGCAAATAAATACGTAGTAATTCAAAAACTTGGCTGATCCTTGCTGCTCCATCGAGACTCGAGAGAAAGAAGAGCAGATGGTCGGTGCTCACTGCTTGGCGGCCTATTATGTCGCCCCTGCGTCGGCTGTCCCGTCGCCTATCGTCGCGACTTCGCGTTGAATCAACTGGAAACTCCTCATCATTGATCCATTTGACCATCTCCCACTCCCTGACTCCTGAGCGGCCGACAAGCAGAGCATTGACAGCTCCGCCAGTGGGGCCGTCAGCACTGGGGAAGAAGTGGACGCCATGATCCGTCCCGGACGAAGATCCCGGCGTCGTGGATCCTTGGTCGGCCTGCTACCTCGAAGCACCTAACAACAACGGTCCCCCTATCGATTTTCGTAATTAGGCGTGCTTTCACGACATTAACGAGTGAGTCGTCGCCATGGTACGTCTCCCCAGCTCGACCTGAGCATCACGCGACAGACTCATCGATGGACGTGCTGCGTCGATCTGCGCAAGTTTGGCGAGGCCTTGCTCGAAACGCAGGCACGCACAGCGAGTCTTTGCGGACTATTTTATAACATAGACAGCCTCAAATCAGACCATTTGTAGCTGCTTTCTTCGTAGGGGCAACCCAAGCAGTCACCCGTGCCTCCAACTTGAATGTCACACTTTCACTTTCATCAGCAAAGCCCAGTTTCTATTACAACATTGAACCGTCAGTCTTCATGTTGTCTTTGTGCCGGCAAACCGCCAGTCACCTGTACAGACTTCTGTATACCCAATGCTACAAAGCAACATGGGCACACCCGTCTCAACCGTTGTATGAATCAAAGGGCCACTCGTCCACAGTAATAACCGGCACGAGCCAGCCGCTCGATACGACCAACAGCCATCATCAATGTCACCTCGGGAACCATCACGCGTCGACCCAGCATCCCACCATCATCATCGCCTTGCCCCAATCGGGCTCGACAACCGCACTGCTCACCATCGTCTCCCCGCATAGGGAAGCAAGCATCAAGCACAGGGCCCAAGCAAGCAGCCAGACCAAGGGTTGCGGTGTTCCAGCATCCACGACGCGGATCACCTTTGTGACCGACACCTTTCAGATCATCTGACGCTTAGTTGGACTGGCTGGTACGACTCTGAATAAAGCTCCGTCTCATGTCGATCAGCATCGCCATACTGCCCAGGAAGCAAGCAAGTCTGCGAACTGGCATATATTATACAGGCCCCGCCTCAGTTACCCCAGCATACGACAAACAAGAGTATACGACAACCTTCAGCATGTTGTCTCTCTTCTTCGTCCTGCCCCTGGCGGCAGCGTCAATCGTCAACTCCCAGCTCTCCTTGCTCCCACACCACCCGCACCCTCCAGAGGACATCCCCCCTCTGTCTCACTGGGAAGACCTCGCCGCCTCGCAGAACCGCACACTCTGCCACATCCTACCCGGCCAGGACGGCGACGACGACGACGCAAAGACCATCGCCTCCGCTCTCAACCATGACTGCCGCACCAACGCCCTCGTCGTGCTCCCCGGCGCCCAGTACACCATGGCCTCCAACATCACCACCACGTCCATGGACAACGTCCACATTGAGCTCTATGGCCGCCTCCTCTGGACCACCGACATTGACTACTGGCTCTCCGTCTCCATGCCCGTCGGCTTCCAGAACCAGAGCACCGTCTGGTACTTTGGCGGCCGCCACGTCCGCCTCGACGGCCACGGCACCGGCGAACTCAACGGCAACGGCCAGGTCTGGTACGACTGGGCCAAGGGACGCGGCAACCTCCCCCACCGGCCCATGATGATCAACTGGCGCCACCTCCATGCCTCCGTCATCACCAACCTCCGCTTCGTCCAGGCCCAGATGTGGACCATGGCCACCACCTGGTCCCACGACCTCCTCTTCGACACCATCTACGTCAACAACACCAGCAACAGCTCCCACTCCACGCTCAACACCGACGGCATCGACACCATCTACTCCGACAACATCACCCTGCGCCGCTGGGACGTCACCTGCGGCGACGACAACGTCGCCCTCAAGGGCAACTCGAGCAACGTCTTCCTCTACGACAGCGTCTTCCACGGCGGCCAGGTCATCGCCATTGGCAGTCTGGGCCAGTACAATGACGCGTGGGAGTACGTCCACACCTTCCACGCGCGCAACGTCACCATGCGCGACACCCGCTACGCCGTCTACCTCAAGACCTGGGCCGGCCACCAAAACGGCTACCCGCCCAACGGCGGCGGCGGCGGACGAGGCCACGGCCAGGACATTGTGCTCGAGGATGTCGTCCTGCACGGCGCCCGCACGGCACCCTTTTGGATCTGGCAGTGTGAGAACTACGAGGGGGACATGGGCAAGGACTGCGACTCGAGCGAGTTCTCCTTTTCGGACCTGCGCTTCTCCAACGTCAGCGGGACCACGGCGGACGGCGTCACGCTCGCTGCTTCGTTGCGCTGCGCGGCTGGTGGTGGAGGATGCACAAACATTATCGTCGAGGACTTTTCGGTCGTCACGGCTAATACGAAGAAACCCTTGACGGAGTGGTACTGCGCCAACGTCCACAATCCGTCAGGGTTTGAGTGTGAGCCGTTCCCTGAGGATAAGGGCGACGACGAATGAGCTGGCTGATCCGGTATGCGTCGTGATGCACCGCGTTGTAGTGATAGTCCCCTTGGATTCAATGATATCTCCAGTTCCTTGTTAACTGCCAGGCCATGCATCCGCCGTGCAGCCTCACCGTTTCGCTCTTCGTTTCCCCTTCTTATCAGGAACGCTCGCCGTGCCCCCCTGCACTTCCCCCTCATCCAGATGCCCTTCACTCTCCATCTCTTTCAGCTTCTCCTGCCCGGAGATGAACATGGACAGGTCGCGGTTCATCTCCTTCAGCTCGGCGTTCTCTGTCCTGAGCGCCTCCAACTGGTTGCGCGTCGTCTCACTCTCCGTGTTCAGGTGCTCGATGCGCTTCATCAACCCCTCGTTGATCTGCTTTTCTTCTTGCACGGTTTTCCCGAGGCTGCGCGCCAACTCCTGGCTCTTGTTGGCTTTCGTCCTCTCGCGCTCCAGATCACGCTCGAGCTGGGGGATGGTCTGCTTCGTCAGGGTGCTGTACTTCGCCTCCAGCTCGCCCAGTCGCTCCATCGCCTTGGTGCTCTGTGCCGCGGAGCTCTCCGCTGCCGCGGTGGCCATGGACGCCTTGTCGACCGCCTTGTTCATGAGTCCCTCAAAGTACGCCCTCTGCGACTCCAGTTGGCTCGATATGAGATGCGAATACTCGAACCCGATGTTGTCCAACTTGGAGCGTGGGACGACATCCTCGTTCGGCAGCTGCTGGTGTTGTTCTTGACCGGACGGTCCACTCCTGTTGGGTAGTTCGACGACCTTGCCGTCGCCCTTGTCACGTATCAATCGATGCACCCACATGTCGCCGGCGTAATCCCACACATGCTGCGTCTCCAGTTCGAGAGCAAAGTTGTGTGCAGTGTCCTTCCAGTGCGCCTTGGCATGGGCGCCCTTGTACCGCCCACAGCCGACGTGCCCGCAGATCAGGCATATCCACAAGTCGTCCGTGCTGTCACACACGGCACACAGGTTTGATACAGAGGAGCCAAACGGTTGCGTCTCGGGGCTTGTTGTGGCCTCATCTTCGTCTTGCGCTGCGCCTGTGAAACGGCAAACAGGACAGCCTTGCCCTCTCCAGTTCTGCAGGCATGTACAGTGAAAGACGTGCGAGCAGGGTATCGTCATCAGACCGCTCGTTTCGTCCATGCGCTCTAGACACACGGGACACGTCGGCAGCTCGACAAGACTCGGCGTGGGGGGCGGCAAGGGTCGCAGAGAGCTTGAGATCGAAGAGGAGACACTGTTGGATATACTCGCTGTCGATAGTCCCGGTGTCTCGAACGTGATCTTCTTCACGCATACGGCGTGGCATATTTGTGGCTGCCAACTACTGTCAATACATCGCCCACGCGGCAGAACGAAGAAGCACTCACGTCCATCCGGTTAAATATCTTGCCATCAAATGCCCTCCTCCACGCTCTCGCTCTCGCCGCATCCCGAAACTGCAACAGCACCATGTATCGGTTCATCCGCGACGTCATGACCATTCGGCAGTGGCTAATGTCCTTTGTCCACTCCTCGCCTAGGAACACAACCAGATCGGCCGGACTCATGTAGAATGGCACAGCTGGGATGCACATGGTCGTGCACTCCTGCGCCCCGTCTATTGCCTCCTGCTCAGCGCCTGTAGCGCTCAGCGAGGGTGTCTCCTCGCCCTCCCTGTAGAAGTGGACGACTCCCCAGCCCACCTCTGTGTTCTTCGTCACAACCGGTAGAAGCTCTGCTTTCGTCGCAGCACCGCTGCCCGTAGGGCCCAGCTCGGGCGCTGGTCCCGCCGCCATGGCGAGATCGACCGTCAGGAGACTCACGCGTCCGAAACGCCAGTCCTGTACAGCAGTCTCGGGTTTCAGTCCTGCGTCGGCGGTGGGGGGAGGGTAGCTTGTCGTTCTCTCCAACAGGTGCCGTTCAGATGGTCGTCCGGCCGGTCGCTCGACTTTGTTTCCAGCTGCGCTGAGGCCAGCATCCACGGGAGACGACGAGCTCGCAGGACCAGATGATCTCCGGGCAAGCTGTGGTCGGTCGTCGCGTATGGGGATGGTTTGCGTCGGTTGCCTGTCAGATCGCGGATGACTCGGGAAGTTCTCGTCGAACACGTTGGCAGAACCTGGCGGCAGCCAAAAATCGTCGCTAGAACCAGCTAATGCTGCGAGGGATAAAGGTTCGTTCGGTCTGGGCGAGGTATACAGCTCAAATTTGAGGTGGTAGAAATAGGAAGGCATAGGCGCGTGTGTGAAGCTGACAGCTGCGACACTGGTTCACGGCGGTATGAAGCGATCTCGTGAATGTAATGAAGAAAGGCGCCTGACCATGGCGCAAGTCGCAGGAAGCCGCGCGAGAGGCTTTGCAAGAGAAAAGAAGATGGATTGTTCTTTGGGAAGTGGAGGGAGGAGCCAAGCTGGAGTCAATATCACGCCGCCCCGCCTTCACGAAAGACAACAACGTGGTAGGTAGCTACCCGGAAGCGACGGATTCGTCTTACATACTATGTAGCTATCTTATTTACTGATTGACATTCACATAATGAACAAATTACTCAAGTGCAGACGGGAATTATTGTCTGATTCGGCGCCGTCCATTAAAGACGGCGAAACTATGCTAAGAGGTCATAAACTGCTACCATTGTGCAGTCCCATACCAGGTTGAATCCCAGAACGCCATCGTGTCAACATGCTCGCCACTTACTGGCCACCGCGCAGACGCAACACCAGGTGAAGGGTCGATTCCTTCTGGATGTTGTAGTCCGAAAGGGTGCGACCGTCTTCCAATTGCTTGCCAGCAAAGATGAGGCGTTGCTGGTCAGGAGGAATACCCTCCTTGTCCTGAATCTTGCTCTTCACGTTGTCGATAGTGTCGGATGACTCAACCTCCAGTGTGATAGTCTTGCCCGTCAGGGTCTTGACGAAGATTTGCATACCACCACGCAGACGGAGCACCAAGTGGAGTGTTGACTCCTTCTGGATGTTGTAATCGGAGAGGGTGCGGCCATCCTCGAGTTGCTTGCCAGCGAAAATGAGACGCTGTTGATCCGGAGGAATACCCTCCTTGTCCTGGATCTTGCTCTTCACGTTGTCAATGGTGTCGGATGACTCGACCTCCAGAGTGATGGTCTTGCCAGTGAGGGTCTTGACGAAGATCTGCATACCACCACGGAGGCGGAGGACGAGATGGAGAGTGGACTCCTTCTGGATGTTGTAGTCGGAGAGAGTGCGGCCATCCTCAAGCTGCTTGCCGGCGAAAATCAGGCGCTGCTGGTCGGGAGGAATGCCCTCCTTGTCCTGGATCTTAGACTTCACGTTGTCAATGGTGTCTGACGACTCGACTTCGAGGGTGATGGTCTTTCCGGTCAGGGTCTTGACGACTGGTAAGTGTCAGTGGCGAGCGAGCATACTGAAGAGAAAGGAAGGTGACGTACAGATCTGCATACCACCACGGAGGCGGAGGACAAGGTGAAGGGTGGACTCCTTCTGAATGTTGTAGTCGGACAATGTACGTCCATCCTCAAGCTGCTTGCCGGCGAAGATCAGGCGCTGCTGGTCAGGAGGAATGCCCTCCTTATCCTGGATCTTGGACTTGACATTGTCGATGGTGTCGGAGGACTCGACCTCAAGGGTGATGGTCTTGCCCGTGACTGCAAATAGACGTCAGCATGTTGTTTACCGCCGCGGGTGCCGGCACCGGTGCACTTACGAGTCTTGACGAAGATCTGCATGGTCGCTGACGTAGATCGATGCGCTGTGTTGTGTGTCGGTGAAGGTGATGGTAGATGGAAGTTTGCAGTAGGCGATAAATGCGGGAGTGATGGAGGAAGGAGAAACGAAGCAGAGGTGATGGAGGGTAGAGAGGTTTATGTACGTGGTAAGCAGGAGTCCAGTCGGCTGGATGAATGAGGGGAGAGCGAGCGCAGCCTGAGGCGCATTTCCATGCGCCTTCACTCACACCATCCGAATGCGCATTGCCTAAGCACGATGAATCATGGAGGCACGACCAATCAGACGAGGTCATGCGGAAGGCTCCAGAACGCGGAGGAGGAGACACTAGACCCCTGTCGTGTTTTGGCTACCTGAATCCACCGCAAACGCTCGCCCAGAAGCTGGTACCCGAGACATAGCCGTCTTATCGACGAGTGGATCCTTCACCTTGATATCATGTCAACCTCGGAATGGATGATGCACTCGTTCAATCAACGAACAGTCAGATGGTTGTTACGAGCGAAGATTTTTCCTGGAGCATTTACTCAGCAAAAGATATCATGAAGGATGCGACTAGAAGATTCCTCGCCGCAGCACGCGCTGGAGGATGGCGCCGCCCGATGCTGCGGTGACCAGGCTGATGGGCGCGAGGGCAATCGTGGCTCAGCGCTGTGTCGATTGGTCGTCATCGGCCTCAGGTGGCGGGCGGACTTGTTGTCCCGAGCCCAAGCCTGCCTCCACGTTCAAGGTGGCGATCTATGCCGCTAGCGAGTAGTTTGGAGTGAAATCGGATTGTTTCTACAATCCGATGTTGGACCATCTGGTCTTTCCTTTCTTCCTTTCTTTCGTGATTACACGACACTCGGTGTTCACTAAGCTGCATCGTTCGTGAGGCTGGACCAGACGCGGGGTCGCCGATAGGAGGTAGCGACGTCATAAGCGCAGGGACCTGGGGATTCACTTGCAAACTTGCGAAGTGAGCCTGAACAGTTGCCCGACCAGGATCGAGTGATCCGTACGGACTAATGAAGCGGCCTCTGCATGGGCTGGCTTTGACTATGTCATCTCATTTAACTTGCAAGTACTTGCCTGCAAACTGCAGTCGCTGGGCAGCCCGTAACACATGGGCTGCTACTCCAGCTCGGCAGCGCTAATGTGGGAGCACCTTTACGGGCATCGCATCACAACGTTGGCAACACATCAAATCTACTGTGGGCACAAGTGTTGCGTGAAAGTGTGTTGCTTGAAATTGCTAGTAGATATCTGGCAGTGGTGTATGTCGGAAAGGCCATGAAGGCTACTCCAAAGACATCCACCATTCATTTGGAAACCAACGGCATTCCTGCTAGGGCCACTCATGCTGCAATGCTGGCTGTCAACGCCGTAATCGCTCCCAGGTTGCATTCTCTGTGCATCTAAACTAAACTGGACTGTCGTTTTCCGTAATAACATATCGTGGTCAAAGATCTCATCGAGACATTCGAAGAGATTTGTTCAACTTTGCATCCCTCCCATGTTTCTGTCTTGCGATGTGGGGCAAAAAGGGTAAAAGATCAAGGGCCGGTGTAAAAAAAAAGAATCTTGTTGAATTCATACATTCGTGGAAGAAAGTCGTAAAAGCGTAGGGTCGTGAACCGTTATCTTCGTATCATACGTGAAGCGGTGCCCAGCCAGGGGGGGGGAGTGAAAGAATAGGCCGATGTGTATAGAAATCATGGACGCTTGAAAACAAAGGAAACATGCTAGCCTCCCCAGGAGACTGGGTATTGTAACAACAACATCTCCAAACACACAGAAACGTTTAGTTGGCGCGGATGACAAGCTTCGACACAAACTTGTTGGACAAGCAGTCAAAGTCGTCACGCTTGAACTCGGCCGTCTTGCGACCGCGGAGATATGTTTCTGCCGCATTGTTAGTCGGGGGAACGGCACGCGATGCGGAACCATGAGAACATACCGTGATTGAGGATGTGCGTACGCATGTCGGTCATGGCGTCACACGCAGCCACGTTGTCGAACAAGATGTGACCATGCTTGCGCGTGTCCCAGTCGGTGAAGGCCGGAACCTTCTGTGAGATCGCGTGGAAAAGACCCACAATCACACCGACAGGGGTCGTCTCCATGTCGTTGCAGAACTTGCTCACCGCCTGGGGATCAGGCATGCGGTAGTGGCTGTCAAACTGCATCTCCTCCCACACCGCCAGCAGGATAGCGGCCAGCATAAAGATGGTCGGCCAGTTCTTGTGCTTTTCCTGCCCCTTGGTGCTGTAGACGCCAGAGTAGAGGGCGGAGAGCTCCTCGAGGATCTCCTTCTGCAACTCGCGCCACATGTCGGCGAGCGCCAGCTTGATTTGGAAGTTGACAAGGACAGGTGCGACGGTGCGGCCGTAGAACTTTGAGCCCTCGTCGTCAATGGCGCCGTCCATCTCCGTCTCCGCACCCTGGTTCTCTACCAGAGTGATGTGGAAGGTCAAGTTGTACGCAAGGACGAGCTTGAGAGCGTTCTTGATAACGGGCATGGGCTGCTTCTTGTAGAAGCGGTGAGCTGTCTTGAGGATCTCAGTGATGAAGGGGGTGCCTTCAAAGTGGTCATCGATGAAATCCTCAAACGGACCCTCGATGTGGCTGTCGAGATACATCATCAGAGAGGCCTTGTCAACACCCTCTGCGCCGACGTCGAGCTTCTCACTGCGCGTCTCGAACTCAATGGGGTCGTCCTCCTTGTTGTGGGACTCGACCCAGTCAACGTCGAAGCAGCTGTCGTCGGTCACATAGACCTGGCGAACCTTGATGGGCAGAGCGAAGCCGTAGCCATGGGTGATCCACATGAGCGTCTCCTTTTGCGAGAATCCCTTGACATTGTAGACGGAGACGCCCGAGTGCAGGTGCCTCTCGTAATCAGCCTTCCAGTCCTTCATGAAATAGCCAATGTCTTTGATGTCAATGCGGGTGCAAGGCACCTGCCACAGGCGAGCGTGCGAGGGCTGACACCCAGCACAGGGCTCACCCTTGTCGCAGGTCTTCTTGAGGAACTTGCACCGCAGACAAGCACGCAGCTTTCTTATCTCGCTCGCTTGCTTTCGCTGCTCTGGCAAAAGAGGTCCCTTTCTGCGCCCAACCTTCTTCTCGACGGCGCCATCCTTCTTCCCGTTGGAAATGCGGCGGGCCACGGTCTTGTTGGTGTTGGTCTTGGCAATGGGGCTCCGACGAGGGCCAGAGTTCCTGCGTGGCTGTCCGGCGGACGATGGTGGTGAACTTGAACCGGCGCCGCTACCGGGGCTGTGGCGAGCAGAGACAGGTTCCGTCTTGATCGGTGCCGGGAGGGTAGGCGCGGGTGCAGTGGGGCTCACACTGCCGTGCGTGTGGTGATGGTGATGATGGTGGTGCCCATCCGAGGAGTAGCAGGGTCGGTGGTTCTGACCGTCAGACGCGTTAGAGAAGGAGGGTGAATACGGGAAGGAAATCTCCTCGAAGCTCCCGATATCCATCGAGTTGCTCCCGTCGGAGGAGCCCGAGCTCGTTCGCAAGTGCAGGGTCTGTGAAGGGTTGAATATCGCGGAGCCCTGTGCAGCCGAGTACTGATCCATGCCAGGCTGGTTCCAGTCGACCATGGACCACCCCTCGCCCGAGGAGGAAGGCAGAGAGAGAACCTCGAGATATGTGTTGGTGGGCGAATTGCTGCCAACGCTACCTAACCGTGGCAGTCCGTCCATCTGCAGGGTACTCTGGAAGTCGTGCCAGTTGTCCATGGGTGCCCCTCCCCAGTGCATGGCATGAGTGGCCTCGTCCACAGCCGGCAGGTTGCCAAAGTTGGGATCGAGCAGGTTGGCATGGATAGCTTGCGCCGTCGTGGGGGGAAAGTATTCGAGTGATGTGGCAGGCATGTTGTTGAACGTGTTGAAGCCCATCAAAGGGTCCGGAACAAATTGCGACATGTCTGGGTGATGCGCATTCTGTTGCTGCTGTTGATGGTGATGCTGCCTTTGTTGCGCGGCCATGGTGGCCTGCTGTTGATTGAGGGCCCAGTCTGTCAATTGGTTCGCCGCCGAAGGGAACGGTGAGGGCTGAAGAGACGAGTGTTGCGAGTGCGGACTCGAGTGGTGCGAGTTGGGTGAGCTGGACTGGCGTGTTTCGGGCGATCTCGAGGCAGGTGACATGTGCGGCTGGGTGTTGCTGGGAGCGTTCATATCCATGACAGGCCAGGTTCGATTGTTGCTTGTCATGGCGGAGGCAAGCAATTGGGGATTCGAGGCGGCCGGGTATCCAAAGTTCTGGAATTGGTGATGATGAGGATGATGTTGGTGCTGAAGCTGCTGGCGGTGGACGAGTTGGTGCTGGTCGTTGACCTGATCCGGGCCCTGCTGTCCTTGTTGAGCCTGTTGGTTCTGGGTGTTCGGGTTGTAGGTCAGGTTGAGATACTGAGCTGCGCCGGCGCTAATGTCGAAGTCGGAGGTCATGCTGGGCAGGAGAAAGGAGGATCTCCTTGGGGATAGCGATACTGTAGAGTTTTGTTGCGAGGCGAGTGGTAGACACCGCCTTTTCCTCGAAGCTCCCGATTTGGGGAAGTGTAGGGAGCAAGGACGAGATCCCAGACCAGGAAGCAGCAGAAGACCGGAGACAAGAGGGTGGAGGATGCAGTGGTGAGATGGGGGGCCTGGGGACCATCCCGAAGAGGGGCCTCACTCACGAACAAGCGGTGAGGGAAGTCGTTGCAGACGGGTCCAGCCACTGGAAGTCCAGCCTCAGCCAGTGGCCGCCCCGGCCGGGAGCTGCAGCCAATGGCGCTCGCCAAGCCTGCACAGCGGTGGATTTACGGGGCAGACTATCAACAGTGCCGGACGCTCGCTAGTACGCACTGTCTCACACGTCCAGACAGACTGGAGCTTCAGGTTCATCATGCCTCGATCGACATCGCACAGATACACAATGCTTCACTTCCCATCCTACACATCTAGCACTCGCTCGGTGTGTACCTCGGAGGGTACAATGCGTAGGACTAATTCCCAGCACAACTTCTCCTCACCAGCCCTCGCTCGGGTGAAACAAACTCACCAACTTGGTTAACACCGGCCGCTCGCCCAGGCCCAACAAAGTGGCCCTGGTCTCGAAGTCGCAGCGGCTCCATCGTCGTGCTGCTCACACCGGCGGCATCTCAATGGCGGGCGGGTAACAGATTGATGGAGCTGCCTGCATCGCTCTAATGTACGAACAGCGCTGCCAGCGATGCCACTCGCCTCCACTCACGCATACTTTATCGCCTCGCGTCAAGAGGCAAATCTTGAGCGTTGGCTGCAACGAACTTGGTCACGCCAACGAGGAATGTTTCTACTCACTCAGACTCGAGTGTTAGCGCTACGTGCGCCTTTGCGACGCCAGCCTCCGACTTTGAAGTGACAGACAATGTGGGGATCGGTCGCTGATCATATCAGACATGGCATGCCAGCCGAGTGACCAGTGAACACCACCGGTCGAACTCGATGCCATTCGAAAATCCGTGCAACGTGCAGTCGTATTGGCCTTGACAGACTAGTAGAAGGGAACATCGAGACTGCTGCATGCCGAGCGCCTTAATGGCCGATGCACGCTTATATTGCGTTTGACAACGGCGCAGATCCTGATATTGTCGCAACACCATGTTCAGCCGCCACTAATCATATGTTTGTCCAACCACCTTCTTTCCAATAATGTCACGTCGTCTTCGCTTACTTGAATTGAAGTCACGGTGAGGCCGCGATTGGCTCAAGATGCCATCGTGTCAGCGTCGACTGGCCTTTTTCGACAGCACTGGTCTGGTGCCCGGCTTTCAACCTGATCTGAGATACACGCATTCCATGCCGGTCCTATCCCTTATAAAAAGCCTTCTGCGGTCGTTCCCGGCTGGGCGCGTCCTCGTTTCGGGGTGTTCTCGGGTCAGGTATGCGGCAGTGATACGGTGCAACGTCTCGTAGTCTGTCTTTCCAGCCACGTTCTTGCACACAAGAGGCTTGCGCCGCATGGCTTGTGACCCTTCCCTTCTTCATTCACTCAATTTGGCGACGAGTAATATTGATAATTCTAACAGGTTTTAATTACAAGGTATCCGTAGATCTTCAAGCATGCTCGGCTGAAGAACTTGAGAACTGGAGCTGGACCTTGCGCACAGTGCCAGTGCTGTCCGTCCAGTCCCCACACCTCACGGCTCGGCCCCCATTCGTGACGTGCCGCAGCGGCCACGTCAAACACCACCTTTTTACGATGCAGCCAGAGGCCCAGAGGCGTGCCAGTTTCAATGTCCAATACCACCTTGGTACTCGCCGTACTGTGCCAGTGCCTTCGCGAATGCCCCGATTGGCAGACCATACAACTTTGTCGCGCATGCGCAAGCGTGATTCGCCTCAACGCACGCAATAGGCACGTACGTAGTACGCCGCGTGCCTTGTCAACGGCGGCCCATCGCTCGAGCTATTGATGAATGCGTCCTGCTTGGCTGTCAATGCAGGAGACTGCATAACCATGGCAGTGCCAACTTCATCAGTGCACAATGTGTAGATCGCCCCGATGCCGTGGAGGATGAGATACCACCAGAATACTTGGTCATGCAAGCCTCCATGGCAAGTTGCAGCAGCCTTGTGCCACGCTATTGCGATGATGATTTGAGAGCCGTGTCGAGAAAATGCTTTCTCAGACACATGTAGCCTCACTACCTAAGCAAGGCAAGCATACCTGACAAACAACATTAAGGTAAGTAAGTAGTTAATATATTGGCTACTTACCACCTAGTTTTGAGTTTGCCGCCCAGCCGACTGCATCCCCCGTCATCAGCATTCAAAGCCAGCATGGCACCTCCATCAACCCTTTCCGAGTTCTTCTTGGCAGCCGGTAATGATAACAACCAAATTCGAGATGTTTTTACCCGGGTTATCGACCTCGGTATATCTTTCCAAACGTCTAAAAATGTCTCTGTAGACGGGGCGAAGGCCGTGCCAGGCCAGGTCACCTTTGATCGCATGCCCGAGGCAGGCCTTTCGTACGACCAACTCATCCAGGCCTTTTCAAATATCTCCTCGAAGAGCAGCAACTGGGCCTCACCCAACTTCCTGGGATTTCCCGACTCAGCCAACAACGTTGCCGGGCTGGCGGCTGCCCTTCTCATTCCCCTCCTAAATCAAAACATGGCAAATCAAGAGATCTGCTCCCCTGAAGCGACCTTCGTTGAGATGGAAGTCATTCACTGGCTACGCGAAGCCCTCGGCTATTCTGTGCCTGCTATGTACACGTCAGCCAGTGGTATTGGTGGGATCCTTACCCTTGGGGGCTGCCTGTCCAACACGATTGCGCTCCTGGCAGCTCGGGAAAAGCTATTCCCTGGGTCGGGTCTCAAGGGCATTCCGGTTCTTCCAAGCAAGATCCGGGTCTTGGTGCCTAATATTATCGAGCATTACTCAGTCAGGTCCGCCATGGCGTGGCTGTCGCTGGGCGAGCAGAACGTCGTCCGAGTGCCTGTCGATAGCGAGTTCTGCATAGATCAAGAGGCCCTGAACCGAATCATTGAAAAAGAGCGAGACGAAGGTAACCAAATTCTTGCATGTGTCGCGTATGCAGGAGACTCTAGGAGCATGAGAATCGATCGACCACCTGGACGCACTGGCTGAAATTCTGCGCAAGAACGACATTTGGTTCCATATCGACGCCTGCCACGGAAGCCAGCTTATATTTTCCGAAAAGTATGAGCATAAGCGTCGGGGCGTTGAAAAAGCTGATTCAATCACAATCGACCCGCACAAGACTATGGCTCTTCCATACAATTGCTCATTCGTGCTCTTCAGGGACCCAAGTGCCCATGCCGCCACCTCGACTAACTCCGATCTAATCCTCAATACTCAGTGGTCACTAGGTCGAATCAGCCCTTTCGTTGGGTCCAAGGCATTCGACGCCTTGAAGCTCTGGTCAACAATCAGGTTCTTTGGTAGAAAACGCCTTGGCCAACTGATTGACGAGCGGCTAGACCTTACGAAGGCAATCCAGCTGGAGATCGCTCAACGGCCCAGCCTTGTCCTGTTGAACGTGACGGACATCAACTCGTGCATGATGGTGTACATTCCTAAGGAAATACAGAACCACTGCCTCGAGCACAGCATAAGGATCTCGGATTCCGACTTGGAAAAGGTGAATAGACTCAATCGTGAGATCATGGAAGAGATCCGCGAAGATGGCACTTACTACGTGCATGGCTTTCCCATGATGAGCTGCTCCCACGACCAGTTAATCAACCCGGGAAAGCAGGTCTACGTACTTCGGACCATGAATGGCAATCCGGCCTCCACTATTGGAAACGTCAAAGGTCTCTTTGACAAGATGGAAATGGTTGGGCGGGATTTATTCGATAAGTCTCGATACAGGTTTATGAGTTACGAATCATCAACCCGCTTACAGATCTTGGAATCAAAGCTTGACAGGGGGCTCCGCTCAATTTTTGGCGGCGAGGACTACCTCGCTGTTATCTACGGTTCCGCTGCACTCCGCAAAAATGCTCTGTTGTCCGATATCGACCTCATGGTATTTGCCGACGGCGCCGACTATGCTCTGCAGAAGAGTCTGGAGGCCATGTTTCGATCCACTATGGGTGAAGAGGGTATTTTAATTGACGCCGAAGTCCCACTCGAGCGGAAACTTCTGGTTCCCCTTCAGCTTGCAGCCAAGGCGGCTAATTCTGGCCCTCCGCTTAATGAGGCCGGGCATGTGCTCAGTATCCGCAAGACGGTGGAGTATCTCGCGTCTAATGAGATGCTGAAGCGGCTGGTTTTTAACGTGCTGACGACGCCGAACAAGATCATCTCAGCCAGCGGGGATATTACTCCTACTTTTCAAAGGCTACAGCAGGATGCGGGCGAGAAACTAGTGGCCCTGATTCGCCGTCTCAACCCGGGCAAAGTGAATACAGCTGAGGACTTTGTTAGGTTTGCGACTTCGGATGGCGTTCGCAGTGGGGAGGAGTATCTCGGCTATAAATCCCGTGATGACGTAGCTGAGAAACTCCGCCGGACCTTTTCTAACAAGTGCTAAGCTCTATAGCACTCAGACATAGGTAGATGTATCAATATGTATAGGGCGCGTTTCACTATTTTGATTGCCTCAGTGCACTCTTAGTATACGTAGCATGGAGTGCGTTAGTAGACTAGCTGATTACGTAGCTTCATTTCCTACGTACAAAGCGACTCTATTTGTGTGCAGATATTCTAACAATGAGTGCCTTGCATTTAATCTTTGTGACCTCTTTGTTAGCTCTAATGAAAGTCTGTGTCTCAGAGTTAGGTAACAGTCAGTCAGCCCGCTGTTTGACCTGGGCGCACTAATAAGTGTCGCTTATTAAGCGCTCGGGCGCGTAGATAGCAATTCTTACATAAGCTCCACCCTGTAAAATGGCTTCGTCCAGCGCGTGTGCTACTTATTACAAGGCTGCTTGCATATGCGGCTATGACTGCCTACTTACTTACCTACATGGGATAGGAGTACATTTATTAGACATAGACCACGTGTGTGACAGTGTTCGTAGAATATGCCACGCGAATAAATAGTCTTTCACTAGATCGACTCTTATAGAAAAGAGCTTTAGTAGATACTAGGCTCTAAGGTAAGATGTTCCGGATGTTTGGAAAGACAATTAAGTAGGAAGGATGTTTATAACTTACTGTTACGACCCAATATACGGCCACTGACGCATGTCACGTGGGCCCCACAATTTCGTCGTACGAACCTATTCATATTCTTTAATATAGTAAAGTATAAAGCGGCATACCGGCCGCCTAAATAAGCGATAATCGTGCGAATATCGTTCGTATAAGTACCGGTCGCACGAATACCAATCGCACGAATCCTATTCGTACGACTAAGGACTTACTATTTCTACTAACCACGCACTAATTATATTAATCACTAACTCTTAATACCACGACTACGGTAATTAATTATATTTAATTACTACTAATCACTCTTACTTAACTATAATTACTTCGTGATTACCTTAGTATATAGGAAGCCTAGCTTCGCTATAGCTAGTCTCTACTAGCTCCTTAGCTATTAATATAATTATCTACGTAAGATCTACTATCTTATATATAGACTATAACCCGACCGCTTAAGTTAACGATATCTTAGTATACTTAGTTTATAAACTAACCTTAGATCTACCTACCCTATAGCTAGTTTAATCCGAACGTTATATATTAATAGCTCTTATTTAGTATACTACCGTATTAAGTATTTAAGTAATATAATACTATAGCTAGCGAATCCTCTAAGATAACGCCTAAGTCCGCCGATAAAGGTAAGGCCACGGCTAAGTATACTAAGCCCTCCTAGACGGCTTAGTCTATAGACTTAGACTCGGACGAGTCCGATAATAAGGACACGAAGATCCTTAAAGGATAAATCTAAGAGTTATAAGGGTAGCTATAGTAAATTATCGATATATAGACCCGCGATAAGTAATAATATAACGAAGCCTACCGTTCCTTTAATAAAGGAATAACCTTATAATATTAGTAAGCCGCCTAGCTAAGGAACGAGATAAATAACATAAGTAATAATATTATTCGATAGGCTACCGGCAAGGACCTAGGAGAGATTATAAAGCTACGCTAACTAAGATTATTCGATAATACGACTAAGGACCTTTAAGGGTTCCTAACTTAGGTTAAAGCCTACTAATAATACTTCCTATCTATCTTTCGTACGGAAGAAGATAAAGTATATTACGTAGCGGGATATTTATTAAGAGCCGCTCTCGTATAATTCGAACCTACTCTTAGGGACTTCGTAACTAATACTTACTAATACCGAAAATAAAAGATAAAAGATATCTTCGTATACTATAATAACTTTAAAGAAATATTAAAAACGACCTTCGGGACTATCGACGAAGAATGCCTAGCTAAGAACTAGCTAGAGGCGTTAAAGTAAAAAGGGTTAGCCTCGGATTATAGCGCTTTATTTACTTAAATCGCGTCTAGGACTACTAAGAGTAAAGGAGATAAGATAGCCTCTTTCTACCGAGGTCTTAAGGACGAGGTTAAGGACGAGCTATATAAGGAAGACCGACCCGCTACCCTCGCGAGCTATATCGCGATAGCCGTTAAGATCGATAACCGATAATTCGAGCGACGACGCGAGAAGAAGGGATAGTACTTTACTAATACCTTAAACCACGATCGTAATAGTAAAAACCGAATTTACCCTAATATAGGACGACCGCGATTTTACTAGAGTATAGCTCTCGGCGGAACCTATATAAGACTAATAGATCTTAACGCGATAGAACGAAAGCTCGCCGCGATAGATAAAAAGAACCTTATTTACTATAACTATAATAAGAAGGGATACTTTACGCGCGAATACCGTTCCCTAAAGAAAGAACGAAGCTTAGGCTAGAAACTAATCCTTAACGGTAAGTATAAGTAGCTAAATATAACTAGGTCCGGATACGATATTAGCCCCCCGTAAAATATAGTATCCTCTAGGGAGAAGGAATAATAGAAGTTCCTCGAAGAAATAAAGAAGGCCGGAGAAGAAGTAAGAAAGTAACTAATACCCTACGAAGTATTATACTAGTTAAGATACTATAACGATAGCTACCTAACCTACCGGGATAGTAAGGAAAACTTAGGATAGTTCCCTAAGGTATTACGCGGGTCTCGCGTTCTAGCTATAATATATAAAGTTACTATAGGACTAGGGTAGTACCTAGGTAACGTAGATAAAGAATTATCCGATACCGACTCTATAAATAGCGGCGAAGAGCTCTTATAAAAGAAATAGATACTTAAGACTAACTTATTATACGGACGAGTAACCCTATAAAAATAGATAAAGGTAGCGATAGATTAATATAACCCTCTACTATAAGGGGAAGATCTCTAGATAGTTATCCCCGCTTAGACGCTAAACAAAGGAATTAATTAGGTAATAGACCGAAGAATAGTCTTAGGAGACGACTTATATATATACCTAGATATACTAAAATACTACGAACTCTTATAGATTTCTTATATATACTATTTTTATAAAATATATATATTTAATAAGGGAAGGCATTAAGTTTACTTAATTAAGGGACTAGCTACCCGCGTTATTAACGACTTATACGAAAAATATAAAGCGGAGTTCTACGAGTATATATATATAGAATCTAGCATAGGATATATAATACTAAGGTAGTTAGCGAAGTGCCCCGAAGTATACGCACGAGACTAGAAGACGTGGCATAGATATTAGTTAGTAGACTACCTACGATACGCTAAGGCAAAGGTATTCGATTAATATAGGACTAAGGAATAAAAAGAGATAGAAGAGCTCCGACGATACGAGAATACCGTAAAAGTATTACTCGGTATTAAGATAGTTAAGAATAAGGAATATGCCTTAAGCTACGGATAAGGGTATAGGGGATATAAGAAGTACCCTAACGGTATAAGATTACTATTCGACCTTACCGAATAAGCGGACCGAGACTATATTAACTAAGGTAAGATAAACCGCGAAAGATATATTAGAGCGAAGGAAACGCTATGCCTATAATATAAGATCGGAGTATAAGAATACCTTATTCCGTAAGGAAAGGTATATATATAGTATATTATATATAGGTATTACGAAGGATATATATTAGACTACGGAGTCTATTATTACGGGTACGTATATTACCCGTGCGAAAAGGAAGGGAAGCGATACCCCTCGATATACCTAGAGTCGTACGGTAGTAGCTACGTATACGACCCTAAGGATAATACTATCGATATAGAATACTACCCGTTAAAAAACTATTAACGTTGCTTATAAAAAGGGTATAGGACGACGAAGAAAACCTAAAGACTTTCTACTCCGTAGAGATAGATAGAGGATAGAAAACGGTTTTAGAAGTCTAGATTAATAAATATTACCTACGAGTATTATTAGATAGTAGGGCAATAGGAAATTATATCTTACTAGCGGTAGTTAACCGATATACGCTATTATAGAATTATAAGGCTCGATTATATAAGCTTTTTAACGTCGAAGGATAAAGCTTTAATTATAATAGTAGGACTATCGACCGCGAGACTAATTATCTTAATATAGCGATATAAAGATATTATAAGATAATTATCTTCGATATTATAGACTTATATAAATACGATATAATACTAGGTTACTTATAGTTAACGAGAAGTAATCCGGTAGTCGATTAGTATACTAGCTAGTTAGCGTGGATAGATACGATAACGCGATAATTACTATTTAGCTAGAAAAAAGCGAATATTCGCGATAACTTAGCCTCTAGAGTATCTTTATAGGAAGATATAAGCAAGCCGAAGTAAGTAAAAGCTATAATATTAACCGAGAAAGCGTTATAACCGGGTATACGATATAAATAAGGAAAACGAATTATCGCTAATATTATATAAAAGATATTCGAAATAAACTAAGCCCTATAAGAAAAAAAGAAGAAAAAACCTACGATAGAAGAAGAACGAATAAAGAATATACCTTTAGAATATCGTAAATATAGTAAGTTATTTAAGGAAACCCTCGAAATAGGTATTCCCTAATATAGTTAATAAGATTACGAAATCTATCTTAAAACTAGAACCTCGACTAAATTCTATAAACTCTATAACCTTAACTAGAAATAACTTAAGATACTACGAGAATATATCGACGAAATACTTAAGAAGGGCTATATTTAAACCTCTACCTCGGAAATAGGATACCCTATTATATTCGTGCCGAAGAAAAATAAGAAGCTACGATTAATTATAGACTATCGGTAGCTTAACGATATTACGATTAAAGATAGGATACCCCTACCGCTTATTAACGAGCTTAAGGATAGACTTTATAGTAAGAACTAGTTTACCGCTCTTAACTTAAAAAGAGCCTATAACCTAATCTATATAAAAAAAGGAGACGAATAGAAAATAGCTTTTCGCACTAAGTTCGGTCTATTCGAATATTTAGTAATACTATTCGGCCTTACTAATACTCTAGCTACTTTCTAACGAATAATTAATAATATACTTAGGGAGTAC